CACCACCAGCCCACCACCCCGGCTCCGTCTCTTCACTGGCCACATCCCCATCCAATCGGAGGCTTGAACCCCTTAGCCTCCCACCTGGGCACTCGCATCCCCCGCACCTCCCCCCGAGTCGCCATAACGCGGCACCGCATCTGGGCTTGACGTTCTGGCTGGCGCAAGCGCCAAATGCGGCCAGCCACGAGGTCGGAGCGTCGATAATCCGGGCGATCGCTGCAGGTGCTGGCACGTTCGATGCATGTCATTTGACTGGCTGGACTGGAGCGGCTCGGCGACGGGTTAGTCACGTCACGCTATTGGATTTGGCGGGTCTGGCTCTCGATGCGGGTTGCGCGAAGATAACGGTGCGAGGGAGGTTGGGTTGGGTGAGGGTGAGAGGGTGAAAGGGTGTGAGCGGGTCGGGCCTGCTGATGACTGAGAAAGGTAGGTTGATAGGATAGGTAGACGGGCTAGATTTGTGAGCGAGTCGTTTAGAGGGATGAGGGGGGTGGGGGGGTTTAGGAGTGGATTTGAGACAGGGCGAATGGCCTGGGATTGTTGATGGTGGGCGTGAGAAGAGAAGGATAGGTGGTGGATTACTACCCGTCGTGTTGCCCTGCCCATCACGACGTGCTCCTCAGATCTCAAAAGCCCTCACTGGCGCAACCACAGCCGCTGAAAAGCGAGACTACGCGGACGACACTCTCGAATTATTAAGTAGCTACAGTACACACGGGCTACATCCAAAAAAAGCCTATACCAACCGGCCTTTTCCTCACTATCTTCAATACACTCTGTCTCCTTTCCCTCCTCCTCTGCTTCCAAAAGAGCAAAAGCAATAAAAACAAAGAAAAAGAACGCGTGAGCAGCCAGGCATCCGCCGATATTATAACTCAACGGAGGGTATAAGCCAGACCCATGGGTACCAATAGAAACCAAATCCCACCCATTCCCTCCATTTTCCTGACCTAGTCCGATCTTTCGATCGAAGGGGGTCGATCCTAACCGTCCCGTCCTGCACCAGCCCAAGAATGTCTTCTCTGGCGTGCGGGCATAAATCGCGTACCCATCCCATCCCATCCAATCTCATATCATTCCACCGCGCCGTCACCCCCTCCTTTTCCGCTTGAAGTACCGTCAAGCCCAACCCCCTCAAAACGCAACACCAACCGGACTAACCGGGCTCACAAACCCGGCCTCCTCCCCATCAATCCCAACCATCCTCACATCCACCCCCATCTCCTTCCCCAACGCGCCCCGCAACTGCCCGCTCGGCGTCTCCGGGCTCCCCGGCCCAAAGCGGAACCGTTCGCTCTTCGCCTCGTCCTCGAACGTCGGGCTCGCCGTGCGCGAGCTCAGCGCCGGCGTCGACGGGCACGACAGCAGCGTGACAGTCCCGGTTTCCGCGCTCGCTTGGCGCGTGTGTGGGCGCGAGAGCAGCGACTGCGTGCCGCTCTCGGTGCCGCTGTGCTGGTGGTGTGTTTCTTGTGGCTGCGGCTGCGGCGTGCACTGGTAGAAAGGCGTCGGGGTGGAGTGCTGCTGCGGGATCGGTTTCGAGATCTTGTACGCAGCGGCAGAGGTGGGTGTAGTTGGGGACGAAGGGATAGAGCGTTTGAGCCAAGCACCTAGACGGCCGAGGGGCGTGGTGGGCGTTGGGACGGTGGGGGTGGGCGGGGTGATGGGGTTGGAGTTTAGCGGTCCTGGACGGGGTGGGGGGGGGAGGGGGAATGAGTTTGAGTTTCTGGGTGCGGGTGGCGAAGAGGGAGGGGGTTGGGGAGGAGGGTTGCGAGCGGGAGCGCGCGTTGGGGAGAGGGGAGCTGGGGAGGGGTTTGGAGACGAAGGGAACGGAGAAGGCGGAACCGATGTCGGAGAGCGTTTCTGAGCGGACGTGCATGCGGAGGGAGGGCGCGATTGCTGGGACATGGTGGGAGGGGGATGGCGGAGGGATGTTAGGGAAGGCTGCGGATGGACCGAGACGGGCGTCGGCACGGCGATCCTCTACAATCGTGTTGAGCTCTCGGATCTCTCGCTCGACGTCGGTTTTGGCGCGACGGAGGCTGCCGCGTTTTGGGAGAGTGTGCGGAGAGTCTGTGCATGAGCGAGCACGCGATGGGGACGGGAGGCTTGAGAGAGGGGTGCGGGGAGAGGCGATGCTGCTGATCGTGCCCGAGCGCTGGAATGTGCTAGGAGATTGACAGAAGGACTCGGTTTGGGGAAGGTGAGTGGAAGCCGGTCTGCTAATGGAACTGCTAACGCTAGACCTGTTGGAGCCAACGGGCTTGCGTTGGATGCGGTATGATGTATTAGACGATATCGAATCGGTTTTTGATGATGACCTGACGCGTGCCTGTGCGGGGAATTCCAGCCCAGCTGGCAGACTACTCCACTCGGCCTCGGCGAAGTCAGGGAGCGGCGAGAGGCGGCCGTTGTCCACGTAGATGGATAGCTCCAACGGTCTGAAGCTTCGTCGTCGACGTACGGGCATTGCCTCCTCCTCTTGGAACGTGTCGAGTCCTTCGACCCGGCGGAAGTCTGTTGGGCCGCTGATGCTCGGACGGCCCTTGGGGTGAGCTACCCACGGTCGTTTGACGGTGGAGGAGCTCGTCCGTATCGAGGCCCTGGACATGGTATCGCGGCCGCTCATGACCCATTGCGAGACGTGACGGGACACGGAGTGGCTGGTCATGGGACGAGGGTGCTCCGGCTCGGCTCGAGGCAGCTCTACTGCTCGCGGTTGGTCGTAACATATCTGCATCTCAACGGGGCCTGAGAAAGTCGTCAGTCGAGGCCTGGATGTAGCATGCCGACACCACCATTTCCACCGTCTGTGCCATGCGCCACTCTGCATACAACACGGCCCTCTAGTTCATCATGATTTCTGACGCATCCAATGCTGGTCTTCGCCAGAGCCTCGTGAGACTTGGAGATGTCGTCCAACGTGCCATGACCCCGCATAGCATCCAGCATATCCAAGCTCTTTCAGCAAGAAGCAAGAAGAATGGCACTCACTATTCGCCCTCAAGGCAGCCTCCTTCTCCTCGCGCAGCTCAGCGGATGCACAGCACCCAGCAACCGATATGGCCAGCCATGGGGATTGCGGTGGTCGAGCAGCCATAGCGAATATCCTAAACGAGCCGACGTCTAGTCACGCATGTCTCTCTTTTTCCGAGTCAGGACCCACACGCGGCGCTATAAACAGGTATACACAAAAGTAACAGAGAAGGAAAAAACAGGACAGCATCAAAAGAGAGAGGGGAAAAGAGAGGCAAGCGGCAAGCTCGAAGGACTCGAGGGAGAAAGAGAGGTCAGGCAGGCCGGCGTGGAGCAGGAAGCGCTGCTCTTTCAACGCCCCGCAAGAGTGCGAATTCTGCAGCATATTGCAGCAGGGCCACCGACGCGCCCAATGGCCCGCCAGGAACGCTCCCGACCAAGCTGGCATTGCGCCCGCGTCCCAATCAGCGCCGCCACGAGAGCGCGCTCGAGCCCAGTGCGGTGGGAGGAGGGCGGGCAAGGCGTCGTGATTCGCGCCTAGCAAAGCAGCCCCAGTTAGCCCTCCCGTCGCGGGCGCGTAACGCAATTGCTCGGCAGTGTCTGACAGCCAAACGTCGCCGTGCAGCCGCTGGAGGCTGATGCACCGGCACTGAACTGGCGCATCGTTCGCGAGCTGTGCTGCTGTGAGTCGGGACGGGCGCGCGTTGCAGAGAGAGAGAGCACATGCGACAGGCACGACGCCATCTGAGGCCGACACGGCTCGACAGGGTATACTGCTGTTTCAAAAGTTTCAAACGCCTGCTCCGACCACCATGATGCCCGCCAAATCCCGAGTATCGCCATACATTTATAAATCTCCGACACTGCCGTCCCTCATCATACGGGTCGCATCACCGATCGGACCCCCAGGCGTTGCGCTCCTCGTGGAAGCTGCCGTACTGCGGACTGCGATCCCTCTGGCTGCCCTTGCCGTCGTCGCCACCTGCATCCTCGTCGTCGTCGCCGTAGTCCCGATGCTCCCACCGTGCAGCCTCGCCTGACTCCAACGGCGCCTTGTCCTTGCCGCTGTCCTCGTCCTCGTCGCCGTCGCCCACTGCGAACGGAGAGTCTAGGTTGTGCGCCTGTTCCGGGTTATGGGGCTCGGGGTTATCTGGGTCGAACCCTTCCCGCACCTCCTCTGCTTGACCCTCTTCAGGATATGCATGACTATTTCATGAGGCGTCAGAAACATCAAACGTCTAGATCTGGTCTGGGGCCGTGGCTTACATAAAATGCTTCGGGGCGACCTCGTTCCACCCTGGGCCTCCTTCCTTGCGAGCTCGGACACGCTCTACTTCCTCTGCCTCGTGATCCTCAACCACCAAATCCACGAGCTGGCTTTTGTCCGACTTCGCTGAGCTCGACGACGATGATTCGTGCCGGCCCAACAGAGGCTTTCGCGACTTCGAGCTCGACGCTTCCTCACTGGCTGTGCTGCTGCGATGTTTCCCTTTGCCTATAGAGTGTTGAATTTGCTGAACCTTGCTCTTTCTCCGCTTCCGGTTTTCGCGCGTTGGCTGCAGCAGGTTTCGATTTGTTGATGCAGTGATGATGTTAGGCGTTCCATACAGTCTTTCCTCGCGCGTGGCAGTGTGCGCAGTGATGACAGGGTACTGATACTGTAAGATGGATGAAACGAAACGCCAGGGACACGTGGGTGACTTACGTTCCAATCGCCAAACTCCAACGCCCGCGCATTATCAAACAATCGCTCGTCTTCAGGGTTTAGTGTGGGCTCATCCTCGTCATTTGACGTTGTGCCATATTTGGCTCCATCGAGAGCCCTGTTGGCTCCCGGACTCATGGTACGAGCCCGACTCGATGTCACTTTGGATAGCAAAGGCGAATGTTCATGGCCAGGCTTCGGTATCCAGTACTTCCCCTTTCCGCCTCTTTCATATCTCATCCCTTCTCGCATTCGTGCAGCTCGAGAAGCCGACTCTTCGTGACCCAGGACATTATCGTTGGCATCGAAGTCTCGATACTCGTAACGTCCTCCGCCGAACGTCTCTTTCGTGTCCTCGATAAGATCCCTAGGCCCGAAAGCGTCCCGGAGCGCAAACTTAACCGGCATTCGAGCCGCCGAAATCGTGTCGTCTGCGTAGTCGTGCCAGGAGAACGCGTACCAATGCGCCGCCGCAAATACTGGCATCTCGAAGCAGATCAGTGCGTCTTGGATGGCAGCCGCTAGATTGTCAGGTGTGTATCCGGGAACGTCGTTGGGAATTGCGCGCAGCCAGACGAGAATAGATAAGAAGAATCCTTGCCAATACGACGCGAAAATGATGCCTTTGATGCAAAGAAATTTCGGCATCGGCCTGAAGGGTTTCAAGTCTTGAGCCATGCAAACCCAAAACATTGCAAGCGCGTATAGACTGACTGTAATGCTCAGGTTGTATATGATACCGCTCCAGAAATACCCAGAGGTTACTCCAATGTATCCCTCTTTGTAGACGCCAGTAGCCTTCATGATGATAGCAGCAACGGCTAGTATTGGCTTCATCCATGTGTATTGCAGAATCCCCCTCTTGACAGCCAAAAATGTATGCGGATCCGATATGTCGACCTTGGGGAGGACGTGGTTCAGTGGCCAGAGGTGGGAGACGGGCGGCCGACCGTGCATCAGAATGATCAAAGAGCGCTCTCCGCCGATAAAGTTGATCAGGAGTTGGAAGAAGGTGTAGATAGTGAATGCCTACGCGTTTTTGTTAGTCGAATGTCTTCTAGCTGAGGACGATGACTTACCTCGTATACGTCACGAAAAGGGCTAATCCAAAACGCAGCCTTCAGCGATATGAGACTTGCCCAAGAAGACGCCGAGTAAATTGGAACCCTGTATTTGCATAAGCTCGAAGTCCGTATACACCGCGTGCTTCACCCACATTAACAATATCCGCACTACATATCTTTGCAACAGGGGCTTTCGGTAGTTCTTGCTGTAGAGGAGCATTAGAGAGTGCTGCCCAAGTGGTTTCTGGGGCCTCACGTTTGGAGCCAAATCGACCTATCTACAGTGTTAGTACTGGTACCGTGGAAGAGGGGTGGCGATGGAGAACGCACAAGACAGTAACAAGAGTGGCAGCCAAAGCTGCAACACCAGCGCAGACAATGACAGCATGACCAAAGCGGGCTCCACTACCCCTGGGGTTGGAAGGCTCAGAAGGTTCCCTAGGCACGCCCATGATTCTCGTGGAAAGTTGATTGCGCGGCCGCAACCTATGAACGGGCTGGAGATCTAGTCAACGGGTCCGGCAGAGGGAAAAGGGAATAGAAGACTGAGAAGACCCCGCTCTTTGGGTACTATCACCACGCGGACATCTTGTCCCCCCGCAGCTTCGAGTGCTGAGTACTGAGTGTTGGAGTGTGCAGGCGGCAGAAGGCGAACTGCAGCAATGGAGCTTGGACTCTAAACCGACCACTTGGCATTAGCGTTGGCAGTGTAACGGAGCCGTGAGGTTTCCATCTACCTACGGCAGCAATGATAGTGAAGCACTTCATACAATTTTATTTGAATTAGTCTGTTGGTGTCTGAAGTGCCCTCTTGAGCTTTTGTCACGTTGACTTGTATCATTTTGAACACCTGATCAGCGCGCTGGGCCACCTCATGCGGCGTCCTGCCGCGGAAATGTGAATGGATTCACGCATGCCATTCCCAAATCCCATCCATACGACTTTGGCCACCGTCACAGCAAATTGATGCATCGAACTCTGCCTGCTCTGCAACTATCCGACGCATCTCGACAGGCTCTTGAACACCTGATCCTTTTGACCAATCTATAAGCCTTACGAGGCCATCTCAGACGGTGGCATCCCGCCCGAGCTACACTTCCGTCTTGGCGTGACGCGCATTTGGCCTTGCCGAGCTGTCACTGGGCACGCGCAGTCGACAACAACGCTATACCGCCTCCAAAATGACCTCCGGATGACCGCGACTGTCCAGTTGTAGCCCAGATGGCGGCAGAAGGGTTAACCGCCCAGCCGTTGAACCCGCAGGACGGCTTCAACTGGGTCTTCCTGGTCGAATTGCTAGTCTGTGGTATTCTGTAAGTGGCTGTTCCCCAAAGTGTCCCCACAGTCTAACCCGCATAGGTCCATCTTCTTCCTCTTCTACTTCAATCGAGTGTTCGGGACTCTCGTGTCATACGCAATCCGAGCCTACACCTGGCACACGTACCAAGCCTATATCGACATTCAAGCGTTGCAAATATCGCTGCTCGGAGGCCGCATCTTCTTCAAAGACATCCGATATCATGCCCAGAATGAAACCATACTTGTCCACGGGGGCTACATAACATGGCAATACTGGCTCCGCAAAGTCAAGGACGCGGAGATATTTGCTCAAGAGGAGCTAGATTCACGCCCAGAAGGGGGTTCAGATACTTCAAGCAGTGATGGAGGCCGCCGACGCAATAGACACAGAGACTTCGATGAGGAAGCAAAAGGAGCGCCCCAGAAAAAGAAGTCGCTTCCGTCTCGGATCACGATCAAGGTTTCTGGAGTGGAGGTCTTCATGTATAATCGAAGCTCAGGTTACGATGGAATTGTTGAAGCTATTCTCAGGAACCAGGACGACGGGTCCGATGGGAGCGCGTCTTCCAACTTCGAACGATCCAGGTCTGGCGCTTCCGCGAATCAGAAACACAAGCATGAAGTCAACCTCGTCAATCGGATCAAGAAAACTCATACCAGTGAGAGCACGGAGCCAGATGCCCCCGGAAACTCTGATGAAGCGCATGCAAACACGGTTCAGTGCAAGAAAGAGGAATTACCTGCTTTCTTGCGGCTGCTCCCCGTCCATATTGACTGCAACAAGGGCGCCATTGTGATTGGTAATGAATTCACTCCGGCAGTAATCACCGCGCAGTTCGAGAAGGCATCTGGAGACTTTGATGCTGCAGCATCTGGCCCGCTCGACATGTACCAGCAACTATTCAGCTTCCAATTCACGCATCCTGTTGTTCACATGAGGCCTAATCCGGATTTCAAACGTTCGCAATTAGATAGCGCTGTCCAGTTGAAAAAGGATGCCGAGGGAGAAGAGCCAATTTCGAAAGAGGCGCAAAAGAGCAAAGTTTTTTGGAGCAGACGAAGGCCATGGCATACCTTGTGGAGCATGCACAGCCTCTTCTCTAGATCTTCCGACTCTATCGAGCGGCCCTCGACACGTCATGCGAAGAAGAAGATGCAACCCCCAATGCCACCCGATAGCAAGCCGTGGAAAGGCTTAGCGAGATATCTCGACGATAGTCAGCTCGATGAGCATGACGAATGGGAGGCCATAGAGTATGCCAAGACGTCTTTAGTTCTCGATTGTCCTTGCATCAATGTAAGCTTCTACTGGGATGTGCCGGGACGCGTGTCTTCCGGTCTGGACGATGGTTCCTCAACTTTGCCCTTCCGGAAAGGGGACATCAATGGTACGATACCACCAGAATACGGACTAGATATAGAAATCTTCGGCGGCACGATCAATTACGGCCCATGGACGGACAGGCACAGAGCTATATTTCAATCAGTCTTCTTCCCAGCCTCGTATGTTGATGCTGTTCCGAGCTCTCTATTGAAACCGGGGGAACTTCGAGTGTTTACGGTCTTCAAAGTCTACCTGAGCATCGAGAAGGATACTCTGTTGCGGATTCCTCTGCGAGAACCATCCAAGGACTGGAAATGGAAGGGTACTGCAACGAACGTGGCAGGAAATTCCAAAAATGCAGCAGAGAAGGGGAAGTCGCGTGGGAAAGGAAGGCGAAAACCCGTCAGCGGAAATAAGCGCGAACCTGGAGTACCAGCCCCGAGTCACCGACCTTTTGCGTGGCTCGAGATCAAAATCGCCGCCAACTCGACCGTCAACTACCTGATGGATTTCGTGGCCTCTGAGACGGGATATCAGAATAACGTGTCCGTGGACATACGAGGAACCGAAGTGTTTTCAAGCGTCAATCATGCTTTGCTGTGTAGATCTAGTGCGTTATCACTGGATTGCGACCTATCTGCGCCGCTTCGATGGAACCAATTACGAAAATGGCTCTTCAACATATCGTGTCATGATTTGGAGCTATTTCTTTTGAGAGACCATCTTTTCTTGATCACAGATCTTGTCAGTGATTGGGGTTCTGGGCCACCATCCGATTACTTCACCTTCACGCCTTTTCAGTATTTCCTGAAGGTGGACTTACAGAACTTCAAACTTTATCTCAATACAAACGATTCCAACATCGTGAACAATCCATCCGATCTCGATGACAACAACTTCCTCGTTGTCTTTGGTCAGCACTTACGAGCCAAGTTGACCATACCTCTGGATCGGTATCGACCATACCAAACTGAGATACCCTTTGATGTCAGCGCCGAGGATGGAGGCCTAGACTTGTGCATGCCGTCGAAAAGTACGCTCCAGACATTTGTTCGCTCGAACAGGGTTGCCAAACTGGGCGCCCTCACAGTTACCGGAAGCCACAACTATTTCACCGAAACATCGACTGCAAATACCGATCGCCTGCATCTCGACATCCACGGGACAAAGCTTGCGTTGGACCTGTATGGATTCTTGATTCGCCATTTCATGAAGATTAAAGACAACTACTTCGGTGAAGACATGCACTTCAAAACGCTGGAGGAGTATCAAGGCCTGCCAACTCAAAGTCTCGCAGTAGATGGAGTGGGTAGTGGGCAACATTTCGGGAAGTCAAACGATCTCGATGTCATACTCTGTGTGTCTGTAGACCAAGCGAGCGCCTTCGTTCCGGCCAATCTATATTCGGCTGAGGATAGCATCAGAATTGACCTGCCATTCGTTGCCGCAGATCTAAGGTTCACAAATTATTACATGGACCTCATGGTAAACTTCAGTCCTCTGAGCGTGTCTTTGGGTCTATTGGGGAGCAGTCCAGGAACACGAGGGCAATCTGCTGGCCCAACGGAAATTTTTATCGAATCGGTCGAGATATATGGGCACCGTCTCTTCGGGCTTCCTCCTACTGAACCTACCTACGTCTGCAATTGGGATTTCAACATCGGAACCGTATCCGGAGAATGTACAGAGATGTTCCTTGAAAAGGCAGCGGGGACTGCACGGTCCTTCGGTTTCACTTTCGACGACGATGAAAATGCGCTACCTTTGTCTCAGCCTCTGATCATCCACGACTCGACATTTCTGCGCTTGCGAACGAGCGTCGTCCATATATGGCTTCACGTCGCTACAGAGGTCTTGCTTCTTAGTACTGGGCCAATTACTTTGGATTTCAACGATCTTGCCGGTCCAACTTTTTCGGAGCGTTTAAAGGTCCTCGTCCCTGACTTGACTGTTGCTTGCGTAGATGCGAGATCCGCGTCTAGGCACCGGACCAGGGCAGGAGAACGGAATACCATTCGAACGCATGCTTATATTCAAACGACGTTGTCTTTACAGATGCTACAACGAAAAATGGACTTCACAGTTGATAGGGAGGAACAGCAGTCTCATATGCAGGAGCATGACCAGAGGACTAACCGGACACCTTTTTTTCTGATAGACAAGATGACTACGTCCACCTATCAACCCTTAAAATCTACGCCCCCTACGCAGCCACCGGCAATGCCTTTTCCGTACCTACCTCATCCAATCTCGTTGCAAACTTCTCCGAAGCCCTCTGGTAGTTCCACGCCCACCCCTAGTATGGCGCATTCTAGCACTAGATTTTCGTCACTTCGGCCGCAGGATGCGAGGGGTAGACAGCTTCGACCAACTCCTCTGCGTTCATCTTCGAATGGCTCTATAGCAGAAAGCATACGAAATGTACAGTACAGCAAAGATCCTCCACACCGTGAAAGCTTCAGCCGAAGCCGAACGTTGGTTTCTCGGTCGGCCTCACGAAATAACACTAGCAAGTATACCTACGCTTTGACAACTGAGGAAGAGAGGGAAAGGCGAGGACTACCTCCATCATCGGTCGCACTTTCGAGTTCTCTCGCCGCTCCGTACTTCCCACTAGACCTCGTAGAACCAGATCTCTCTGATGTTCCTATGCTGCCTGTGGCCTCTAAGGATGTCTACGAAACCGAAGACGACATGCTACTTTTCAAGGATGCTTCCGCTAAGGCGTTCGATGAGAGTTTTGTCCATACCAGTTTTATCATAAGCGCCGATCCCGGCATACGAATCCATTGTACCCCACAAGCTATCCGGTGTGCAGCGAACTTAGTCGACATTATCAGCCCACAGCAACCAGAGGATATACTCGATGCTTTCCAAGTAGATGTTGTCACAACTATATTGGACATGCAAAAACGCCGACAAGGAAAGGGCAAGTCGACTGAGATGAGCCTCCGCGTCCCTTTCACACACATAAGGTTTGTTAACGAATTTTCTAAGCAATCGGGAGACGAATCTGAGCTTGAAAAAGACCAATACGATGTTACATTGGATAATTTGAACGTCGCCCTAAGGACGAAAGACTTCCCCGGTGATCGTGCGGGTGAAAATTCTCTGTCCTTACATACAACTCTTGGCTCCGTCGCCATCGCTATTAAGGAAAGGTCTATGGAACTTCCCGGCGACGATGTGGCTATACAAGCACGAGTGGACGATTTACTCTTATGGGTTATGAATGCTAAAACCTGCTCTGTAAACGTGTCATTCAGGAACTTTGAAACGGGTGCTGCTAGCAAGAAGGTCGAATACCTCGCATCCCTGATCCACCGAACCACATTACTCGGCACAGAATTGGTGGAGCGATTTCAGACTATGAGCCTGGAACAACTACTGCGTCTTCGATTTCTTGCGTGGAGATTGACAACCTCCCATAATCAGACTCCAGATCCCGCATTCTTGACGAGGCCGTCTTACGCCTTGCGTGTGGCGCGCGACCACATCCGAAACCACGATTCCTGGAAAATCATATCACGGTTTCGCTTTATTTGGGCGAGCTTACCAGAGCTTGAGAAGCAAAGACTCAAAAACTCCTGCCTAGCAAAGATCACCACTTGCCCGAACGATGCAGAAGCCAAGGTTATAGAAATGTGGGACCAATGGCGTACCTGGGATTTGAGTCACGTCAAGAAGAGCCTCGCGATGCGAAAAATCTATGGGTCGTTCGCCGACATCGAGAAGATTTCGAGCAAGCCAATTCCAATTTCCCTCAATATCAGGTCCATTGGCATCAAGTTGGTAGTCGATCCAGGGCCAAAGCAGAGTGAGGCGTCTATACATCATGTTGCCCTTGCATTGTCTATGAGTCCTCCTCCTGAGCCTACCGGCCTGATGCTCGTAGAGTCCGAGACAGCCGTCCAGTCGACTTCCCTTCAAATCAACTCTAGGAATACCGTGGTGCAAATCAAATGGGAAATCTGCGACCTTGTTGACAGCCTCTTGAAGCTTTTTATTAAGACTCCGTCAGTCGACCAGCCACCAGACTCGGCAATATCCGAACAGGGCAACAAGCTTGTCAAACAAACCCCTAGTGACAAGCTAAACGCGAAAGACCTTCACATTGTCTACGCAACGGATTATGCAAAGATCAGCCTCGATGGCCTCAATTTAAGAAGCGTTTCAATGGGTCAAGGACTGAAACTATCTGTTGCTACATCTGAGAAAGAGCACGAGACGACTGTGAGCATCTTGGTCCATGCTCAGCTTGCAGCAACAGAGATGCACACTCGACACCGCTTACTCTTGATCTCGAGATTAGATCAGCCGAGTCTTTACCTCTCACGTTATAAAGCCGAGAAAGGAAAACATATCGAGGATATGAAGGTTGTAGGAACGAGCCGGATGAACACTATTGAGGTCAAGGAAGACGCTCTTGGTTTCATTGAGATCTTCGATCTGGTACTTCGCGATGAAATTGCATATCTCCATCGCCAAGCCGCAACTTTCAAGAAACCCGGAGACTTAAAACCTCTAGCAGTCGAGAAATCCAATGCTGATCTGCCCAACATTACTATGGCCCTAATGATGGATTCTTATCTGATTCAGGTTGCCCTTCTCCAAAACCTCACGTGGTCAATCTCTGGAGGCTTCGGTCGAATATCCGTTGAGCCACAATTGGGCAAAGCCCATTCTCTCAACATGCACTTCGACTTGGACGTCCATACGCATAAGATGTACAACAGCACGTCTGAGGGATCTAATGTCATTGCGGCCTTAGACCTACCACCTGTCAACGGAACTCTCAGCTTGACCCAAACCAACAATCAGACCGTGATCAAGGCCTCTACAATAATCGACTCGATTACGTTTCAGGCCTCCGAGATCAATGGCCTCGTCACGACGATCAATAAGCCCGAAATATCCAACGTCGTCCACGCTGCCCGAGATGACCTGGAGATACTCAAAACACACTTCCGTGAGATTTTCCCACCAGCCGATGAGCCGCTTGCCCCTAGCAAAATCCAATCATCAACCAAAAGTCTTGTCTTTGGGGTCGACTTCACTCTCAACGGTCTAAATATTCTTGCTAGCGCTCCCGGAAAACTTCCGAGCTCAGCAAACGCGACGCTAGCGCTGAAGTTAGCGTCGATTCAGCTAAAGGCGACGAACATATCCCTCGAAGATAACGCGATTCTGTCATTACCAGAGATCACAGCACAACTATCGAAAGTAAGTGTTGAAATGACTATTCTTGAGGACGGAACCATGCGCCACTGTGGCAATATCGCTTTAGGTGCATCTTTCCATGCTACTTCCCAACTTGGCCAGCATAGTACCAGACGAGTCTATCGCGTAGAAGTGCCGGGACTGGAAGTCAATCTGTTCGCTGATACTGCATCCGCTGTGGTGGACGTTCTGAATCATCTTCAAGACAAGATCAAGGATCTGGACCTCTCCAAGGAGAGGAAGTACCTGAGAAGACTTCGTCACACAAAAAGTCGAGGTCTAAGGAAAGAGTCAAGCGATCAGGGCAAGGAAAATGACGACGGCGACGGTAGCCCTGACGCCCTATTCACCTCCACATATTCATTGGACTTGCGGTGCATACAGATCACCTGGGTAATGGGCGCCTCTGTCCCATTATACTCGATCTCGGAGCCAGAAGATCTCGTTCTCTCATTCCGAAGGATCAACCTTTCCACGCGGAAGGACGATGCGGCACGCCTCATGATTGAGGATTTGCAATTGCAGATGATTCCCGTCTCAGGCGATAAGCAGCAACGATCCCTGAACTCAGCCCTCCTCCCGGAAGTAGTCTTCAATGTTTCTTACAGCTCGACAAATGAAGTCCGCAAGCTAGCTTTCCAAGCCGCCGGTAAGTCCTTAGACCTCCGCCTGGAGTCCCACTTTGCGATTCCCGCAAGCATGCTTCATCGATCGATGTCCCTTGCAGGACAGAAGTTCCGTGCGGCATCCGCGACTTGGAAAACCACACCGACATCTAGTGGGACACAAAGATCTAGTCCATTCGGGAACAAAAAATTGTCTTCTTTGCTAGTTGATGCCGACTTCGCTGGTGCCGTTGTCCACTTGTCCGGCGAGAGGGATCAAGAGACAAACACGCGGCTGCCACAGAAAGGAAGATACAGCCAGTTTGTCAGCGATGGGACTTCGAACAAGGTGTCTCTTCGGGCACCTGGAGTTGCCTTGAAAGTCCAATATAAGGATGACGGGCATGAACCCGCACTCAACGCCGAGCTGAAGGTCGACGCTTCCAGCAACACACTTTTCCCAACACTGGTTCCCTTGGTCATGGACATCTCTAACAGCATCAAAGAGGTAGTGCGAAACGATGACTCTGAAAGTTCGCCGCAAAGTCCGCAGCCGAAGCCTCCTGGAAAATTGATGGATGAAGACAATCTAATTACAGCGGATCCCAGCGCCATCTTAGGGAAGACCAAACTCAACCTCGGCGTGCGCATTTGTAAACAGGAGTTCAGTCTAAGTTGTCAGCCTATCGCCAGGGTAGCTGCTACAGCCCGTTTAGACGATCTCTATGTCACAGTCAACAGCGTTAAATCAAGCGAACAGGGTCATTTCTTTGCCGTTTCCGCTGCAATTGAGAAGCTGCAAGTCGCTGTCCAGCATGTTTATTCCAGAGAGTCCACCTTCGCCTTCGATGTTGACTCTATTGTGCTCTCGTTGATGAACAGCAAGCACCTTAGCGGTACTAGTGGTATCTCCGCCATTCTTAAGATCAATCCCATGCGAACACAGATCAACGCTCGTCAATTGCAAGACTTCCTATTATTCAGGGAGATTTGGATTCCACTGGAAATAAGGAAGGCTTCGAAGCAAACTCAAACCAATGCCACCACCGAGCCTCAAGAATATCTCGTGCAACGCTACCAGAAGGTTGCTGCTACTGCTGCATTTCCTTGGAATGCAAACGTTGCCATAGCAGAAGTCTCCATTAATCTTGATCTTGGTCAGTCGATCGGCAAGACTTCGCTAAAGGTGACGAACCTTTGGGCTTCTTCAAAAAAGAATTCCGACTGGGAACAGAATCTCTGCATCGGTGTGGAGCGCGTCGGCCTCGAAAGCCAGGGCCGGACGAGCGGCTTCATTGAAATTTCCGAAGTCCAAGTAAGGACCTCGATCAGTTGGCCTTCTCGAACGATACATATTCGGCAGACTCCCCTTATTCAAGCATCGCTCGGCTTTCAACGACTCCGACTCAAAGCTGGATTCGATTACCAAGCGTTTGCTATCGCAGATATCGCTAATTTTGATTTCCTAATGTACAATGTGCGAGAGCAAGTCGAAGGCGCGCCCGATCGTTTGGTGGCCATTCTCGATGGCGATAAGGTCCAAGTGTTCTGCACAGCGACAAGTGCAGCTCAAGGCCTCGCCCTATATCAAGCTATCGAACGCCTGGTGCTAGAGAACCAGCAGGCATACGCCCAATCTCTCCGAGACATAGAGAAATTTCTGCGTCGCAAGTCGTCTGTAATACCGACGCGCTCGTCTTTTCAAATCCTCAACTCTGCCAAAGCTGCGACGGATACGTTAAAAGCACCTATCTCGCTTCATACGGACGTTGTTCTCACCTTGCGATCCGTCAATCTGGGCATTTTCCCGTCCACATTCACGGACAATCAGATCTTCATGCTCGAGGTGTCAGATGCACAGGCTCGCTTCGCTGCCGCACTTGAGAAGGGCAGAGTCCACTCTGGGCTCGGAATGACACTGGGCAAACTTTCTGTTGCTCTAGCCGCTGTAGCCCAGTCCAAGAAGGCGAAGACAGTGAGCGAGCTCTCCGTCGAAGACGTCGTCGGCAGCGCGATGGCGGCCCGAGGCGGCACCATCTTGCGAGTGCCGAAAGTTGTTGCAACCATGCAGACATGGCAGAGCCCGGAGTCCAACCATATCGACTACATCTTCAAGAGCTCGCTCGAGGGCAAGGTCGACGTTGGCTGGAACTATAACCGCATCTCGTTCATCCGGACCATGTGGTCCAACCACTCCCGCTCGCTGGCTTCTCGTCTCGGCAAGCCGCTACCAGAATCCGCACTCAAGATCACAACACCGGAAAAGCCGGACACTGGTGCCGCGGGTCAAGCGGGCGCAGGCGACGCAGATGGGAATGCCATCGCAGAACGAGAGAAGATCACCGCGGTTGTGAATGTGCCGCAGAGCAGATACGAGTACACAGCGTTGGAGCCACCGATTATCGAAACACCGCAGCTGAGGGACATGGGCGAGGCGACGCCGCCGCTGGAGTGGATCGGGTTGCATCGGGATCGTCTGCCAAATGTGACGCATCAGATTGTCATTGTGACGCTCTTGGAGGTGGCGAAGGAGGTGGAGGATGCATATGGAAGGATTCTGGGGAATTCGTAGTGTGTGTTGATTTCAGATACCCCTTCAGTGCTTTAGGAGTAAGGGCTTATGGGTTTGGCCCGCCATGGGACGGTTAGCATTAGCAAGCGCTTTTAGCATTGTAGGTTGTACAAAAGCTCTTTTGTTGTAGTTTCTAGTTCTGTAAATTTCTTGTAAGAATGGACGCCGTCAAGGTCTATTCAATGCACTTCCATAATCGCATACACGTCTTTTTCCGCTGGCGGTGGTGCCGGCCAACTTGCGAGAAGCTCAGACATCAGCGATAATATGTATACAGACTAGACATTTGCCCGTTTATTCCAGATCTCTCAGGGACACGTGGTTGTGTAAGTTTCTCGCGCCTTGATCTCTGGTATTTTGGTTTTGTGTTCTCGTTTTGAGTACGGACGCAGTTGGGCATGTCGTTCCTCCCGTCTTTTTCGTGCCATGGTACAGCAGACGAAGTTTGGCACAGCGCGCGCCAGCCCCTCGTCAACGAGCATCAGAGCACAGCCATCAAGCGCCAGCCCATGAACATCAGAGCGCAGCTGTGACGGTGGGTGGAGAGGTCTCGCTAAGCATCGTGGCATCGCACCGGTGCAGGTGATTCTGCCGCTTCACCTTTAACCTGCGCTATTGACACAATAGACCACTCCACGACAATAGCCCATCCGTCGACAACAGCCTACTTCTTCGCCGTCCGCGTCCACGACGTCTTCCTCTTCCTTACCGCACACCAGCACCATTCGACGCTGTTCTGCACCGACTGAGCTAGCCGTACTCACTGCTGCTCTCTTCCGTATCCTTGTGCCTTCTTTCCAGGCTTCCCTTCTTGCCCGTTATCAGCCATGTCCGCAAACTCTTCAGCTCCAGCGACCGGCCCTACTCCAGCGACGACTTCTGTTCCAGCGAAACCGTCTGCTCCAGCGGTCTCTGGAGTCCGTGTTCTTGCGCAACAGCAGCGAAATCCGAGTTCTCCAGCCATGAATGCCTACTCCCCCGTTCCAGCGACTCCGCTCCTTCCAATGACTTCGTCCACTCCAGCGACCGGTCTTGCTCCAGCGATGACCTCTACTCCAGCGACGACCTCTGCTCCAGCGACGACCTCTGCTCCAGCGACGACCTCTGCTCCAGCGACGACCTCTGCTCCAGCGACGACCTCTGCTCCAGCGACGACCTCTACTCCAGCGAATTCGGCCTATACAGCGAGCTCTAGCACCGGAGTTCCTACGCACCAGCAGCAAAATCCGAATAGCCCTGCCAATCCTGCCTCTTCGGTTCCAGCGACTTCCTCCGCTACGACAGCCTCTCGCCGCCGCCGCGTTATACCGGCGCATCAGCTATACCAATACAAAGGACCGGCCTTCACTACGTCGGCAGAGGACAATGCCAAAAAGTCTTCTTTGCTCGCGAATTCTAACGCACGCACTGATACTCAGCACAAGCAAGATCAGAATCGCAATGAAGATACTCCGACCAAAGGATACGGACTGGAGCATGCAGACGGCACCCCGATTGACCGAGCTCTGCTCGCAGCCGAGACGCCTATTGTGGAGGTAGAAATCGCTTTCTTTGATTTCATAACTAAGCTTGAAGCCCGAAGGAAACGTAAAAACCCTGATGTGGTGAGAGCATCATCCTTTCACGACGACTATGGTTCGGTAGACCCTGAGACGTATCGAGAGAAGCAAGCTGTCAACGATGTCTTCGATCTTGGGCACTATCTTGGCTGGACGTTCAAGAATACATCTCAGAGTCGAATGAAGATCTTGACGGACGGGCTCTTCTGGCTCAGCAATAAACATCGACTCACCTGGTATGGTTTACCGCCGAAATTGGGAACAGTCTACTGGGAGGACACGTTCCAAGATCCATCCTACGCTTCTTATCGGAGTGTTGGCCGTTCCTCCCGTGCATCGAGGGCGCGTTTGTTCCCTGCAGTACCTACCGAGCAAGCTTCAGCATCCTCTCCCAGTGGTCAGTCCGATTCTGTACCTAGCCAGAACTCCACTGCTCCAGCTTCAGCATTGCCAACGACACCTGCGGAGGGCGCCTCAACATCCTCTCCGACCCGCCAGTCCGATTCTGTACCTGGCCAGAAGTCCACCGTCCCAGCTGCATCGTTGGCTCCGGTACCTGCCAGGGGCTACCCAGCACCCTCTCCAACCGGTCAGCCTGATTCCGTACATGGCCAGAAATCTACTGTCCCAATCCCACCATCGCCCCTTCCTGACGAAAGCAGCAAGCGAAAGAGGACAGCGGCTGATTCGGATGCAACTTCTCCCAAGAGGGCCCGAATAGAGACACCCCCTGCTGCTCCAGTGACGACTCCGACCCCCGGACCTAGTGGAAGTTTGAAGAGAAAGTCACCAGAGCGTGACCCCGAGCCTACCGTGCCAGCCGAAAAGAAGGCCAAACCCGTCTCCCCAGTGTCCTCAAATTCCAACAAATCATCACCGATTCCCGCGAACGGCACCACGAAGCGCAAATACAACAAGCGCACTGTAGACCCAAATGCCCCAAGGCGGGAGCCGAAGACCGAAGGGGCCAAGATGAAGGCCGACATGGAGGCGCTAACGTTCTCAAAACTGCTCTATGACTACCCGGCGCCCGCGGAGGACGACGACTCGGACCTGGCCGTGTGCGTGCGGTACGTGCGCGCAAAGGGGGACAAGAAGTTGACCGACTTCCCGTCCAACATGGCCGAAATCCTGCTGGAGGCGGGGCGTTTCCCCCTCTTGAAGCACCTAAGGCTACGGAAAAAGGACGACAAGTCCCCCCTTGCGCGTTGCATAAGGTACTGCAGGCACGAGCAGGACCAGCCGGAGATTCAGGAACTTAGGGCCGATGAGGCCACGATTGATTGGCTTGTGGTGCAATTGAACAATGATCCACGGGAAAGGTGGTAGGGGGTGGGGGGGAGAGCGGGGGCGGGAGAGTGTGCGTTTGAGTGGGGTGTGGGCGCCTAATTGGGCCTAAAGGGGTGGCTATATGGCACGTAGCCCGGCGACATGTTCTGGCTTTTTGGCTTCTTTTCTTTATGTAGACTGCAGAGTACAAATTGAGACTGATTGACTATGATACTGCGGACGTTTGAAATTATGTGATGACCCTTTGAGACCTTTGCTGTTACGAGTATATTGATGTCATGTTCCAGGTGTCCTAAATCTGGAGGTGTCCTCAAGACTTAGTGGTGAGTGTGGTTTTGACTCCAAGTTTTATACCAGGTCGATATACGTCTCATACTGCAGACGCACAAAATGATTTGTAAACCGCCCGAGTGTATTAAGATGAATAGAGCACCAATGCCATATTGTAGGCGTCCTAAATCTGGAGGTTTCCTTACGGATTGGTGATGAGTGTAATTTTAACTTCAAGCTTCAAACCAGGTTGGTACACCTTTCACGTTGCGTATGTACAAAACAATGTGAAGGCTGTCCAAGGGTTTTATAATGATTTATGTAACGATGTCATTTCCAGGCTTTTTAAATCTGGAGGTGTCCTTGGAGACTAGCGGTGAGTGTGGCTTTGGCTTCAAGCTTCAAATCAGGAGAGTAAACCTTTCGCGTTGCGTATGTGCGAAACTATGTGAAGGCCGTCCGGGCCTTTCAAGATAAATAGATCAACGATGTCATTTCCAGGCGTCCTAAATCTGGGTGTGTCCTTGGGCGTCAGTGGTGAGCGCGGTTTTGACTTCATGATTCAGACAAGGACAATGAACCTTTTACACTGCAGATGCACGGAACGATTTGAAGGCCGTCCGAGTGTTTCAAGATGAATATAGTGTTAATGTCATTTCTAGGCGTCCTAAATCTGAACTGTCACTAATGATATGCATTCTTCGTTTAGAGGATGACCCGCATGTTTCATTCATGATTAACTAGTAGATATAACACTACCGTCTAAACTTTCTTATTACTCTCAGTTCAAGCCTCCTCTAATTTCTTCTCTTGATGCCGAATAATGTGCCCAGCCCCCGTATCCGTATGCCCATGAATGATCGCGCCCTCCTCGAGCCTAATCTCAATCTTCCGCGTCATCAGGTGATCCACATCCGACGCAAACGCCACAATCACGACTCCCACCGCGCCGAATGCGATGGTGGTTAGGTACACGATCTTGAACGAGCTCGCAAAGGCTTGCTTCAGCCCTGCCACAGCTAGCATCAGCGTCTGAGGCTTCACTGTTGAGAGTGCCGGGCTCGCCACGTTGCCAGACGTCAATGCCTCGATGACCGCGGGGATATTCGCTGGGGGGACACCACCTAGCGCCAGCGGCATGCCAACGTCTTTGGGGATGTTGTCCGTGAGTTTGTTCTGCAGGATGGAGACGTAGATGGTGGAGCCGACGGCGCCTCCAACGGTGCGGACGCAGATCATGACGCCGGTCGCGACACCGATGAACTCGTGCTCGACGTTGAGCTGCACCATAGCGGCGGTCAGGATGGAAGTGCCGGCAACGAAGGAGTAGACAAGGAAGACGAGAGCCGTTGACGCGACGTGACTCTCTGGCGTCACGGTAGCCTGGCATCCGGACAGCAGCGAGAGGGCAGCGATGATGAAAGTGAGCTGCCACCGTACATGGCCGAACTTGCGCATCGACCAGCCGTATATCGGACTCGTGCAGAGGCCTCCGAAGCCAGACGCGGTTGAATACCACCCGTTTTGCATGTTGGACTTTGCGTAGAGAGCGACGACTTGCTGTGGCCAGATGACGGCGGTTCCGTAAAATAGGATCCCGTATATGAAGACTCCCGCGAGGATCACAGTGACGCCACGAACGTTACGGAAGATGATAGGCGGAAAGATAGGCCAGTGGATCCTTCCGTACGCTTCGTAGAAGCCCATCGCGACCACGAGGAAGAAACCGATGAGCAGTGGAGCCAAGGCGCCGGCGGACTTCCTGTAAATTTGGGTTAGAGTAGAGCATGGCTACATTGGTCAGGGAAGAAATTGCTAACCATGCGTAGAGTGAACCTCCGACCGAGATGCCCCAGAGAAATAGCACGATTCCTGCAATGTACAAGAACGTTCCGATGAAGTCCGTCTCCTTGAGCTGATCGATGGTTGTCTTTCCTTCTTCGTGCTACATAACGATATCATTAATTGGGTGATCTTGTCAACAGATAGCAAATGCTTACAATATACTGATTAATTGGATGATAGAAGAAGAAGACCAAGATCAAGGCGGTAGCGTTGAGCGCAAATGTGAGCCAGAAGAGCGGTCGCCATGACCCGTTCTGAACGAACCCCCAGCCTACAGCTTATCAGTCCTATGCTTCCACGATGGTTAGAGCCGTACCATACCGATAAGTGGGCCAATTACAGTTCCACATGCAATGCTAGACTCGAAGAAGCCAAAGGCAAATCCTCGAGAGCGTTTCGGAACAACCTCTCCTAAGCACGCCCAGGCTACCTGTACGTTGGTAAGTCAAGTCATTTTCCATTCCTAGAGCTATGAGCTATCTTCATACCTGATGCATGGCATTAGCCATCCCCAAGAATGTGCCTCCTGCAATCATGGTATTGACATCTTTCGACGTGGCCGCCACAATGGCCCCGATAATGCCGAAAACGTTTCCCACGAAAAGAATATTTCGCCGACCAAAGATGTCGCCGAAACGTCCACAGACGGGTGCCAGAGCTGCAGCGCCTACGATCTGCGACGTAGCGATCCAGGAGTAACTTGCGGACGGGCCTAGCCGCTGTCAGCACCTAAATTAATCTACTCAATGACCTAAGCACCTACCGATATCGCGGTTGATAACAGAGAGAACGGCAGATGTGCCAGTCAAGACGAGGAGGTCCGCAAAGTACCCTAGTTGGAACGACTATGCTCAATTAGCACCGAGCTTCAATATGTCATGAACGATGGGGACGTACAAGTATAGCTAGGAATTTTCCGAAGGTAAAGTTGAAGTCGTCATCTGAGCGGATGCTTTCGTTGCTCGTCTCATCGGTCGTCTTCTCAGTATGCGAGGGCTCGAGGGAAGATGGCTTCTCCTCCATGTCGTCTGAACACGACTAAGTGATGAAGGGCGGAGGGTGAATAATATTCAATCGGGTTGATGGATTATCTCTTGGAATCCCGACAGAACGGTTGGCAACCTCTAGCGTCCTATATGAGAGCGATCTGATGCCAAGCTAAGGGATTCCCAGAATACCGACAGACGTTTCCGTATGTATTCCGTCGGCAAGGTACGTACCTCCACGGCATCCTTGGACGTGTGCAAAGTGTGCTGGAGACATCAGGGCTCATGGCGAACTCGCTTATATCGAATCTGCGGGATTAGCGAGACACTAGGCTGTGTATCTGGGGAACAAGTCTTCACTGAGCACATTCTCAGGATCCGGGGTAGCGGTATTGGATTCCTTCATCCTTGCAGTGGCTTTCCAGGTCTCGATTGAGTGATGGCCATCCCGAGTCCCGGCTTCTCCTAATTATTCGTTAGGGATTTCAAATCAAGTACTCTTCCATTTCGGTGAACGCTCGGTGAAGCCTTTAATTTCCATCTGTGGAGGTGCGGTAGAGGTGGGGGTGGGGGTGGGGATGGAGTGAAAATCCGGGGTCCGGGGATGAACATCTGAATACGGGCAAGTTTGAAAACGCGACCCATCTTAGAACTAATACTGTTAGTAAATTCAAGCTAGGGCGACAATGATGAAACATATTTTGGTAGAAATAGAACAGTCAGTCAGTGCCAGAAAAAAGCTTATGAGTGATAGGAAGCATGAATTGGGGAACGAGATAAGCCATCTTTGGCAAATTGCGCAACGACGATTCAAAGAACTGTGATGGCAATGTAATCTATACCTCAAAACACGAACCCAACTTGACCCAGGTGCTGAATGATGCTCTGTCGTATATTTCGGTTGGAAAGTCTCGAAGAGTCAGTAATGCCAGCATCGAAGAGAGTAAGTTGAGATGTAAGCAAATCTGTAGAACGGTGTTTGAACCAGCAAGTATGTCTTTCGTAGGGCTTTCCTGCTGACATGGGACAGTGAAGTCCTTTGGTTTGCTTGATCAGATGTGGATAGACGGCGAGCTTATATGCCAACGGATCGTGCCGCTCTACCCGTATTTGCGGTGAACCCCTTTGTTCATAGACACAGTACCACTCATTTATGAATGTTTCTGCGTGATTTTACTCTGTTTCCGGGCAGGCTAGAGCCTATGGCAATATGTTTAGATGTATCAGATGATTTTGCCAAGAAGAATTGATGAGATCGTGCCGGGGTGGAGGGTTGGCTCGAATCAGTGGCTCAAGCTCACTTGGGCGACTCGCTTGGCGATCGAGTGACTTAGCTCGACCCCTACCTTTCTTTCAAGAAGGCGGTTGCGTGTAATGCCTTCTGAGGTACGTTCCTTGGCCAGGTTTACTGAATAGCCTCAGATAGGGATCATGTGCTCGTATTTTCGATCCCTCGAAGCTTGAATGTGAGGATCCTCAAAGTCGATTAGAATAGATCTAATGCTACGAATATCGAGGTCCTCAGGAGAAGAAACACTGAGTTCGGAATGTCATCCAGCCTTCACACAGAAAAAGCTCCAGAGACTTACCAGCCCTTGCCATTTGCCTTACGACGCCTACCCTCGCTTTCAACTCCAGCAGTCTATGCATACCCTCCTTCCGGATGTCTACGTGTAGATACTCTCAGTGTAGGCATTGAGCGTTAAGCCTTTTTCGGCCATATCTGCATTCTGCAAAAACTTCATAGGCATCCATACCAAATGGCCTTTAATCCTGTCTAGTTCCTTCCGCACTTCTGCCACTGGACGGGTTTTGTCATACAAATGACCCTGCTTGTGTTCCTTGTCACCCTTCGGATTGGGCGTGAATTTATCGTAGTCCTCAAACGTCAAGATGGTGTCATCAGGATCGGCATGGAAGAGATCGCGGAATACACTGGTGTTCGTGGAGGCATTCCCAGTCCACATCTCCCACACCCGGTCAGAAAGCGGATCTGCCACGAACTCGTACTCAGCCCCTTCGTAGTTGTCATTGGGCGAGTCGCCCGGAGGCTGTGCGTTTGGATCATCCGAGGCATCGAGGCTTTGAGCTGGGAGCAAGCCCAAATGCTCACGCCAGAGATTTCGGCGAAGAGTTGCGGCGTGCCGTCCGGCTTTGAAGGCGACGCCGTCCATTGTACTCTCGATATAGTCTGTATCGTTCATGACTATACTGAGTTCGGAGTCGTGGTAGCCGAGTTGTGACTAAAGGGATTAATTAACTGGAATTTTGTGACAACATGAAGTTGGTGTTTGCACTTACGCGATCATTAATGTTCGAGCTTCCACAAATAACGGTCCTGTCGTCTACGATGCAAACCTTCGCATGGATATACAGTTCCTCTTGGAAGAAATTCTCTTTCTCATCTTCTGGCTCACCATCCCATTCTTCGGTGCTGACCAACTTGTCGTTCAGCATGGCGTTATCAGCTATCGAGTCCGCATCGATGATTCCGCCTTCATCGCCTTTGCCCACGTCGACAGATTCATCCATAAATTGCCGCCTCTTCTCGGCCGCGGCTTCTTTTGCTTCAGGTCCAGCATCAGCAGGTGCCGTGATCTCGTCTGCCTCTGCGCGTTGAAGTTCGGAGTACTTCATTCCTGACTTTTCTTCCTGTGCCTTGAGCTTGGCGGTAACATTGAGTCGATCGTAGGAACGCAAATTGAATACAAAGACGTGTTCCTCGGGATTCACGCCTTGAGCCTTGATCTGACCGAAAATGCTATGCTCTCCACGGCATATACTTTTGTACTGGTAGTCCATGATGGCTCGCGTACCTGTGGCAGCGCTTTCGCGCAGATCACCAGCAAAGCCTGGGATAGCCGGAATCACTATGATCACCCGGAATTTGCGACCTTCGCGGCCAGCGCTGACGCAGGCGTCGACGATGGCACGTCCGATTTGGTTGTGTACAGGGGTCTGCTCTTCTCCAGTCGCAGTGACTAACACTTGTTAGGATTACTCTACCAGTGAGGTCAAGATACACCTACTGAAAAATTGGTTCTCAATGTACACATAGTGTTGCGCGTTGCGGATGGTGTCGCAGTACGCAGTCTGGATACTATGTTCCGCAGGAAGAATCCCGCTACTCCAGTCCGCACTGCTTCGCACGACCTGTGCGTGTACAGTACCCCGGTTTCGAAGATTCTTCGTGCTGACTAGGCTCAAGGGATGATGTATGTATTCTCCTACCGGGAACTTTGGTCGTTGTACGCCGATGAGATCTTCGTCCGCGCCTTCTCGTCCTTCTAGAGTCAACCAATCATAGCGGCCATCGCGTTTGTATTTATCACGCTTGCAGAAGTTCCAGCGGAGGACAAAGTGTTCGGCGATGTCGAGGACGCACGGCCCAATGACGCCCATAGCGACGTCGTGCCACGGCATACGACCGTATTCGGCTTTGCTGAGTTGATTAGATTTCCAGTCTTCGACGTTTTGGAAGTCCATGATGCGGTTGTTGTTGAAGTCTTGGCCCGGGAAGATCTCATTCTGCACACCAGAAGGATGCACGTCGGCCAAAGGGTGTTGTCTGTAATCCCAGCGCCCATAGCAAAGGTCCAGACCGCCAATGAACGCCAAATTATAGTCTATTACGAGGAATTTCTCGTGATGAGCCTAGTCTCACGTCAATACAGACAAACGGCAAGACAGGTGAGGACTTACCCAGTAGAAGGTCATGTCACCAGCATTCTCGAGCACATTGTGATCGGGATGCCTCATCAAATTGATGTTGCCATATCCAGGAGTACCCACAGGGCAAAGATTCATAATGGCCTTCTTCGTGTGCTGGCTGTTGCAGGTGAGAGCCGCCGAGACCTAGTCATGCTTAAGTTCGAAGAACGAGCGGTCGAGATACTCTAGGCACATACCTCTTTGTACACTATGATGTAGATCTTGACGCCTTCTTCCGCTTTCTTCTTTAAAAGTCTATCAAGACGCCATTCTTGGTTGTAGAAAGGGGGACGACGGAGGAACTAGGCTATCAGAAGCTTTTACCACGGGAGAATCATGAACAACGTACAAGCTCTGGGGACAGCCACCAGTCCTCTATGTAGATAGTTTCTTTGGCCCTCTCTAACGCAACTGAGACGGCCTGGTCGACATCAGTCTCTGAAAGGCGCATTGCTCACGTGACCCATGGCACTTACCCAAAAGTAGTCTCTACCATCGACATACCACTTGATCAAGTTTCCGTCCCTCTCAGGCGCAAATGAGTTGAAGCGGTGGTTCTCACAAACCCTACTTCTCTTCTCATCCGTCTCCTGCTCATGCTTTTCGTCGTGACGATGATTCGGATTGACCAGGTTGCCGAACTTGCCAATCTTATGCTTCATATGAGTCGCCTTGACTTTGACATCGTGAAGATGGGTGTCCTTGAGCTTATCGCGCAAGTGGCCAAACTTTCCTTTGAGGCCATGAGGCTCGCTGTCGGCGGCGCTCCCAGACATGTTAGCTAGGCTTTGATACCGCGGGCTGGTAGAGCGAGTCGGGTCAAATATCGATTGGCGGGGTAGTAGGTCAGTGCCACGATGCAGCGCGGACGGCTGTGGATGAATATAAGGAGCTGCACAGGGATTTGGTGGTCAGACGCTTTTCCCTGAAAGCGGTTCGACGGCAGGAAATGGGGCGCCTGCACACCTGTTCATAGGGCTGGGCAGTGACGTAGCGCCAAGCCCAATTCTTCCTCTCCCTCTCAGATCTGTTCGCTTTTATAGACCTTCGTTCCCGACAACGCCGTTTGGGCCAGCTTGACAACTTTGCGCGCAAACCAATACAACGACCTTAGACCCCCTTCGAAATTTGACAAGGTACTAGAGCAAGCAGTGGCATTCACACGTATACGAACGACGATGCATTTAAGTGTGCCACCTTTCTCACGCCCTAAGACGACTACTTAGATCTTGCATTAGCCCCTTGCATATCAAAATTAGATCAAGATACTTCATGCACGAGAACATCATTCAAGGCTTCACGCCATCTCTCCATATCACAAGCTCGTGAGAAACCCGTATTTTCATTGAGTTTCTATCCTCGCCCCGCTAATCTAGAGCAGGTTCTGTCAGTCTCATAACCTGACCGTGTGGCACACCCGCCTTCCCTGCTTCCAAGATCTAACCTGAAGAAGCGCTCATCAGCTCCTGGTCAGGAAGAACCAAAATCTTCGTGTTCTTCATCTCGAGACTGTGCAAGCGCTCTGCTCTTGGCCCTTCATTCGACCTTCCTACGCTCGGGGTCTTCCAAGTCCAGCCACTGAAGAAGAGCCTTGTGTTTCGTGAAGACGTCCAACGTCAGTCCCTCCATTTTATCCTTAAGATTGCGCAAATGGGCAAAGCCACATGCCCAATCAAACAGATGTTTCTTGAACTTGGACACGCTCAACGCCCTCTTGTTCGGAACATGGATTTCGAGGGTCTCAAGCTTCTGGTATGTCAACAACACGTTGATGAAGTGTTGGATGAACCCATCATAGATCTGCAATTCGTGTTTTAGCTTGATGCTATGAGTCGTCATCCAAGCATCCATCCACCAGTCTATTTTGATCTTCTTGATATTGGCTCTTACAATCTCGCCAATGCCTTCCAGAAATTTGCAGACCATCTCCAAGTTTGTAGAGGCTCTGTAAGAAGAGGTAAGGTCAAATTCCGTGATGTTGAAGAACAAGGATCCATACTCCAGTCTCATTTGACGGCTCACTCTGATTAATGGAGGGCTGCGGTGGAAACGCAGACGCGGGAGAAAGATTCCGAGATTTCCGGTCGAAGTAATTCGAGTCAATTCGTTAGTTCCCAGGCGCGTCGTATAACTAGAGAACCGACTATTCCCAAGCAGGAGTCCGTAGACCATATTGCGCAGCTCCGGAGGAAGCTCGAAGAACGGGAAGGTGTTCTTTTGGCGGCGGCGTGTTCGGACCATGAGTTGAACTTCATACCCCACCTCAGTGGCTTGGTCCTAAAGTATAGGTTAGACCTAGGTTCCGTTGACAGTAATCAGAACATGCTTTAGAGATCTTACGTCGATGGCGATGGCTCTCTTCTTGCTACTGAGACTCGACTGGATGCGCCCATTTCCCCCCAATCCTAGGCTCACCACAATATCATGGCGTTCGCGGGAGACCATGAGTTTTCCATCGGGGCATTCGGTGATCTAACGAGTCGTGAGTTGCCATGTAAAGCTAGGCCGTTGAAGATCTTCAACTAACCTTGAACTTCTTACTTGACGATATGTTCACTCCCGTAGATCGACCTCTCTCCTCCTCGAGCGTGTCTGCCCCTCTCTGGTGATTTGTTAGTCCTCTGACTTTGCCCATGTTCAATCCAAAGAGCTGACTGACCTTCAATCTCTTCATCTTAACGATGCCGACTGAGCCCTGGCAGAAGACCAGAGTGGATGTCGGAGTGAGAGTGAACAGGACGAGGCGTTGACAGATAAGAGCCGCACTAGCCGGATTCTCACCTTCACTTCTAATGAGCACGTGACTATCTCTGAGGTGAGGGAGCAGCTTCCATGTTGGAAGCCATTAGGCAACAACAACGCAACTGAAGAAGTTAGGCTAATACTGGGACCCACGAAAAGCATCTGAGAACCTAGAGATGTGGTAAGTAAAGCTCGCGTGCTATACGGAGCCTTTGCAAGACCTACCTTTCCTAGGGTCTCTTCCCAAGTTCTGATAAAATTACTAAATTACCCTCAAAAACGGCAACATATATCGATCGGAAGGTCTGAACCGCTCCATTTTGCGCTGCTCAAAGTTAGACGTGCTGTCCTGACTCTTTTCGGTGCACCGAAGCATTCAAGTGTGCACGGACTTCTGTCCCAATTAAGGGAGGCACGTGCCATTTGAGAGGAAGAGATGAAAGTGGACGAGACAGAAGCGTGGCTAAACCTGGTTGCGGGCTGTAGAGCTAAACAAGTTGGGTAGATCGAAGGTTCTACCACTCTTCATCACCGTAGCAAAACGCAATTCCCGTTAGAAGATCAAGATGATTCAGTGAAACTTTTAGTTAAGTGACCTTAGCCTTTTCGAAATACCCAGATTTCCGCAACCCAACCATTCCAGTGGCCATGAATCCCATATGTCTGATACGCAGGTGTAAGAGCTATTTGGAAGAGCTCAGTCGGCTCACCCCCTAACGACTTATCTTCTTTAGCATTCCGGAAATTCCATTGGAAATTTTTGCCAGGAAAGATTAGCCCATTCAAACTCCCGCAATATTCATCCCTACCATGTAGCTCATCTCTGCTGCTCAGGCGCAAGAGCCATTGGACGCTTCCAGCCTCGTCAATCTTTCAGGCTTTCCTCCTTTTTTGCAGCTCCGAAGAGTCGTCCCCCTCCGCACTCCTCTTGGCCGACTGTAGTTCCATCAACCATTTCTTGAGAGGGGCATTGGTGGTGTCCACGCTCATGTCTGTAATGATGCCAAAGAGCGAGCGCAAGCATTCCAGGCCACACGCCCGACCGAAGTACACAGGTTTGAGTACAGAAGACCCGAGACCTTTGCGTTCCGGAATCTTGACATTGACTAACCAGAGTTTCGGGCAAGACATGAGAAGGTTGGACAGCTCCGCGCTGAGGTCTGGGTCCGACCAGCCGGTCCTGAAGCCCTTACTGTAACGTGGGCCATCCTTCTCCCACGTATCCGTCCACTAGACCATTTCAAACCCGCGGATATTGGCACGACCAAATTCGCCGATCCCTTTTAGAAAGCTGCAAGTTAACTGAAGATCGTTATTCATTCGAGAGAGCGTCCGGAGATTCATCAACATGCGCTGGAAGACGAGCGGTGCGAACTCGAGCCGCATTTGGCGGTTCACTTCTAAGACTCGAAAGTTTCCACGACGTGGGAGAAAGAAGCCTGTGGCACCAATTGGAGCATCTTTCTTCAGCTGACGTGGGTGGACCCCCGTCTGGGTATAGTTGAAGTCGTCATCTCGTTTGTCACGAGCAGATACTTGGTCAACCTCGTCGCCAAACACCACATCGTAGATCATGTCTCTAAGTTCTCTCGGAAGCTCAAAGAATGGAAAGGTATGCTTGCGGCGGCAACGTGTGGTCACCATGACTTGCATCTCCTTGCCCGTTAGAGACCTGCTTTCCCAAATTTGAATGTCAGAATGCTCTATCGACCGACAACTCTAGAGGTTTGCTTACTTGGGTGGCAATGTATCGGCCTCCTCGACTAAGGCTATTGAAGGTCGTTTCAACTTTCTCGTTTCCCAAATAGTGGACATCGGTGACAACGTCGTGGCCGTCGCGCGAGATTCAGATCTTTCCGTTGATCAACTTGGAGATCTATAAAGCCGTGAGCCGGAGGTCTTGATTATGAGTGGACAAGGTGCTAGAATACCTGGAAGGCTGGATCTGAATAGATGATCTCGTCGATAGGTTCCTCCTTCTGGCCCCTATTGCCGTCGGCGGACTCTCCACTACCGCCCTGAAGGTTCGTTATATGTCTGCGCCCACTTAGACAGAGATCAGACGTGGTCACTAACCTTGACTAACTTCATCGCGAGCTGCGCTACTATCCGACAGTTGCTTGGAGGTATTTGAGATGAAGATGAAGAAGAGAGTGAGAGGTGAGAAGGTTCGGAGGACAAGGAGCAGACTAGTGCCTCCCCACCTCACTTTGACCTTGACCAAGCGATATAGTGCTAGGCCAGAAGTCTAGACACATGGATATGCGACTGGCTGAGTATCACTCCAAAAGTTAGATCCCGCTCTCTGGAACCTGGAGCAGCTCCGTTGTTAGGAAGCTGGCCAACCAACCAAGAGGCAGCTCAAGTTTCACTGCACGGGACTTGACATCGCGCCTAGATTGTTGAAACCCACGGAGATACTCCAAGCAGTGACAAAAGAGTGCACACAGAATTAGAGCGGGCTAATATATAGTACTTAGACACAAGTTTGGGCACGCCGTCTTTTGCATCTCGTGCCGATTCATAATGAGATGCTGAAGCACTACAGAGAGCGACAAGGAGGCCGACTACCAGCGTGCGAAACTTCTCTGATTTAAGCTCACAGAGACTTTACATCATCTAAAAAAAATTAAAATGCGCCGAAGGACCTCCAATAGTGGCAAGCAACTGTGCCCAGACTTTTGGCAAGGCACTGTAAGTTCACTGTGTGAGAGTGAAAGTTTGAGAGAGAGCTGATGCGATTGACAAGAAGTTTCCAGACATTAGATCTTGCAGAGTATGCGACATATGCGGAGCAGGTGCAGCTCTACCAAAGAAGAATGTTCGTCGAGAAAAGAAATGAAACTCCTCTTATGCGCCTCTCTAGAAGTTCGCCACGTACTATCAATCACTAAAAAGAAGCCTCAAGGGTCTCTAAAACGTGATGCGAGCTTTACCGGTATAGCAAATCCTCAACCATCTCCGCAATCGCCAAACTACTGGTCAGCCCAGGGCTCTCTATCCCCAGTAGATTCACGAAGTTCTCAAATCCTTCCTCCGTCTTGATATAAAAGTCTTGAAACCCCTTCCCACTCGCCACGGCGCCCATCTTTCCTAGCTTCGGCCGGATGCCCGCGTAATCCAGACCTATGGCATCGCGGTTAATTCCCGGAAGATAAGACTGGATGTCGTCGATAGCGGCGGTAAGATTCTTGTCGTTGACTCGCAGATCCGTCGGGTTTTCGACCCATTCAACGTCCGGACCGAATCGTATGTGGCCAGCCATGTCGAGAGTCAAATGCGTGCCCAGACCACCATGTCCTGGGACTGGAGCTGGATACACGAGAATAGATGGCTTCGGCCTGGATAAAGAGTAGGAGAAGTAGGATCCTTTTGCGTAGTATGGCTTAAGATGACGTTCCGATGGTAATATCATATTGGAGATGGGAATTGCGGCAAGACCGGCAGAATTGATGAGAGTTTCGGCGGTTATGCTAGACTCCTCGCCTCCAGATACGGTCGTGATTTTCCATCCTCCAGATCCAGATTGAATGGGCTCGACTGCAATAACTTCCGCATTGAATGCGCACATGCCGCCGTTCTCTTCGAAGTCACCTTCGAGATACTGCATGAGTGAGTGGCTGTCCACGATGCCAGTTGATGTGCTCTCGAGAACTCCCGCTTCGGCTCGGACATCAGGCTCGCGCTGCTTGGCTTCTTCTGAGGATACGAAATGAGTCGGCACGCCGAGTGTGGAGGCAAAAGAATGGACTTTTTCAAGCGCTTCCATCTGCTGCTCATCTTGCGCCACGATCCACTTGCCACAATTCATATGGGGAATATCGTTTTTTCGGCATAGCTCATACATCATCTCTTTCCCACGCAAACATAGCTTGGTCTTGAGCGACGTCTCGCCATAATAGAGGCCGGCGTGAATCACCTGGAATAGAATATGAGCTATCTCCGCTAGACCAGTAAATAACATCGTTTTGTCTCCCTCTTTTGCAATGCTGATATGAAGGAGACGAGAGGTGGAAATATTCAAGGAGAGACATCATATACACCTCAGAGTTCCGACTACTAGTCTCGGTGCCCACGGTCCCATGCTTCTCGACTAACACCGTGCTTGCCCCGTCTCTGGCCTGTAATTTTCGCGCAATTGCTAATCCTACGACGCCTCCGCCTACGACAGCATGCGTGAAGTCTGCGTTGCGGGTAACGCTTGTGGAGAAAAGCCGGCCCTCGACGCGGCTTACTGCCCGCCGGGATGCGCGGGCGAACATTGAACGCAGAGACAAAAATGCGGCGTATCGGGGGCGCTGCAATTAGAAAAGCGGTGACACTGAAAGTTTGAAGATCGTTGGACTGAAGTATATCTGGGATGGTTGAGAGGTTGCGTTTGACCCATGACGTTGCTTGCGATGATCCCTGCTAGCTTCATTCGGACTAGCGTTTAACGGGGGACTGACTCTCTTACGACTTTGTTGAGGTTCTTTAGCAGTGCTGAGGAAGTACCTAACGTAGGAAGCGGATAGCCTTTGAAGGTCATCGTAACAGTGTTGTGAATCGTTTTGTATTTCAGACTCCATTTGCTCCGCCAGGAGACATGATGGTTAGCAACAATCTCGTCAGTCATAACCGCCTGCAAGCAGACCTGAGGACCATTTTCGCTCAATACCAGGCCGAGACAAAGAAAAGATCCCTATGCATGACCCATCGCATGTCCCTTGCACAGACACAGCTATCCCTCTTCCACAGTGCTCGAGTAGCCCGGATCCTCATTCCCCTTCACCATCAACCTCTCACTATACACGTGCTTGAAGTCCTCCGGGCTCCAGCTCTGCTTCCTTCCCAGATCCCCCAGCTTCAGCCCCGCCGGCCTCGCCCTCTTGACCGCCTCCGCCTGGCCCTCGCCCACTCCCGTCTTCAACGGCACCACTCCCTTCATCGCAGCAATCGAGTCCGGCGACATGCTGCCTGGTTCCTCGTAGACAGTCGACGTATGCGGCGCAGGTGACATCCCCGCTCCAACTAGCGCTTCTGCGTAGTTCGAGCTGCTCGTACGGGCCGGTGTCCGTCTGTACGCCAGCTTCGCCTCGTCGATTGCAGCTTCCTTCTCGTTCAGAGTCTTTCCGACACCGCTGTCCGTGCTAGCAGCCATGTATTCGGATTTGGTTCCGGCGAGAGCTTCGAAGCGGGCTGCCGCGTCTTGCAGAGGAGTAGTCGGGGCGGCTGAGTCGGTCTGAGCCTGTGAATTCGCCGTGAGGGCAGCTTCAGCTTCGGAGCGGGTGTTTGGGGTGAGCTGGGATGGCGTGCTGAGATTGTAGGATGGATTGCTTGAGAGTGCGGCTCGGGTTGAAAGGAAGGCAGTGGATTCGGAGTCGCCCATCTTGGCGGTGATTGGGTGGGGATATATACGTAAACAAGGGGTGATGGGGTGATATATTTAATTCGAATTGGGCTTGTTGAGCTCCTGATCTGTGACGCTCGTTGCTCCAGAATAGGCAGACTGTGCAGACTAAAAGCCAGGTGGTACGCGGAGCAGCAACCTGCTCTGCCTGGCCGTCTATTTATCTGACTGTCTCCTTCAGTGTAGTGATGGCATATGCCAAGAACCGGTGACGTCCACAAATGCAGGGACCTTTAGCGGCCTTTTAGCGGCCTTTTAGCGGCACAGCGGGGAGATTTGACAGCTGCTTTGGGCTTAAAATACGGTGATCTTCCGAAAGCCCCCAGCCGTTATTGGCCAACTCTTTATTAATACCGCGGAATCATCAAGCAGATCTGTCACTATACCTCAATCGTAGAAGCCGCAAATTAGGTTCGGGATGGATGAGCACCTGCGACTGTTACAGCGCTGATGTCATCACCCGCGGGAAGTTGTTCTGTACGTTCCTCAGCCTCTGAAGATCAGCATTCGTGGAACTCACATACCTTCAGCCCCCTATCACGCCCGATGGCCCAGTGCGCAGATCAAGCCATAAATTTGGGGGTAATAATTTTAAAAGTAATGCGGCCAAAGCATCGTGCTTTCGGCAAACTTAGCACGGCTACAACGCTCTGTTAAACGTAAAGTGGCTAGTTATACATTCTAAACGCCATCCGAGGTGGCCCACCGCGCTATTAGGCTCGTTAAAACTATCGTTGTCCAACTCTTCATACGTACTAGGGGACTTCAGGCGGTGTTAGGAAAGTGCACGCAAGCTTAGAGTGGTGTACGGTAATCTTTAGTCCAGAAATGGGCTACCTTCAAACCTCGAGACCTAATTCCACCTGTTGAGCCTGTGGCTTCATATTCACGCTAGGCCACCGGGCGTGAGAGGGTGGTGTAGGAATAAATGCGACACGGTCAGATAGTGGTATGTAGCCCAAAAGAGTGACTTGAGTTAGGTAAGTCAGCTACATGATTTCGGTCCCGTATTTTCAACACATCCCTCCCGTTGGGAGACGTAGTTCTGCGCCAAATGCAATTGCAATATGCATCCACGCCATCCTCGTGCATGCGACCTGCCTCGGGCAGTCAGACCGCTAAAGCAATCTCCCCTCGATCCTCCATCTGTGTCATACTTACCGCCATATTTATTCCACCTCACGAATAGCCGTCTCTGGAGTCGAGCCGCGCTACAACGTGCAATGCTCATCTGCCTGGCCATGTGACGACCACATGGGCAGGGTGTGACTTGAGCTAGCTTCCGCGGTGCCTCGACGAGTGGCTCCGTGGCATGCTTGCGCTCTTCGAGACGACTAGAAGCAGTAGAAGATAGTTGTATCAGCGTGTAAAGGTGTATCGATGCTTGCAGATGCAAGTAAATAGTGCATCAAGTCCTGGAATGAAGCCGAAGAATGGCCTCGTCAGCCCCGCTTTCTAAAAGTGCGCCGAGAAGTCGGGCGCGAAGCCTGACGACGGACTTGATTCTGAGACTGAGAATCTTTCAACGAAGGAAATTGATCGTCGGGTAAAAGAGAGTCTCGTCGTCCTGACACCTTTGAGTCTGATTCGACGATCTTTTTTCGAGGGAGAGAAGGCTGACTGAGAGTGGAGAGTGGAGTCTGAGATGAGGAACGTTTGTTTCCATACCACTCGACATCGCTAAGCTGTAGTTTCCTGGCGCGCTGATTACTCCGGTTGTTGCCTGCTTTGTCAATGCGCGGCTGGATGTAGGGGTTGTGCTGCTTTTCGAGGCCTGAGGATGTCTCAGTATGTTTTCTGTTGCAGTTGGGCTGAAGTAAATGAGAAAATGGTGTATCACCGTCGCTTTCATTTTCGTCTGTGCCTCGGAGGTCGTAGTTCAGGACGAGATTCTTGATACGCTGTTGCTCCTCTCTCTCTGCCTGCTGCTTGCTCTTCATTGCAATGGCGAAGTTGGAGTCGGAAGGCAGATCAATGGACCGCGTCTAGAGCTGTATTAGTCACTGAACCGAGAGATTGTAGGGTGAAGACATACCTGTTGTCGATTGCCGCGCTTGCTTAGAAGAGAAAACTTCATAGTGTTGGACGGAGGTGCCGGAGCAGGCGCCGCCTCGGCTGCACTATCCTCTGTATTGGAAGCTTGCTCGCGAGCACGTCGCATCGGTAGTGGAACATCGAAGACCGTTTTGCGTTCGAACTTGCGGGAGTCTAGACTCTCAGACATCAACTTGGCAAGCTCGCGATCGAAGTCCGCGTCAGCTTCCGGGTCTCTCTCGTCCTCCTGGCGAGTGACGACGATTTGCTCTTCTTCATCTTCAAATACTCGCTCCAGTGGCTCATCGTCATCTTCGTCCTCAGAAGACTTCTCTTCTTCTTTGTCTCCATCTTCATCGGCAATGTCAACCGCGTCATCCTCAGCGCCATCCTCATCATCAGAGGCGGATGCTTCGTCGAGTTCGTCTGCTTCGTCCGCCTTGTCGACTGTAGCAGTCTGGTAATTTTGCCTGACGATCTCGACAAAGGCGTTGGATGCTTCTTCAGGATCCGTCAAAAGCTTCCATTGCGGTCTGGCCAGCATGTAAGCGTCTTGGACGAGAAATTCGATATCCATAGGTAACGGGTCTTTGACGCCATAAACGTAGTACTGAAAGAACGTTAAAAAGAACTCGAACTTCTTCGCTAATGGTCCCTTCACAAAATACACGCCGCAGGTCTCTAGAAGGTTGCAAATCAGACGAATCCGGAAGTAATCATCTGGAAGATCCAATGGGTTGATGCTGCCGCGCTTCGGAGTATTGCCCTCGTGCCCATAAGACGCAATCTTATAAAAAGTGTCAAAAAGGAGATTGGTGTCGACCATTTTGTAGATGTATAGCTCCCCAAGATACTTGACTTCTGCTATGCGACGTTGGTTGAATTTGAAGTCGTTGAGCTCCAGTCCAAAAGTGATTGATTCGAGAAGGTCGTCAATGACCGACATGCAGAACTCCTGGTGATATCTGTGGAGAGACGAAAGAATATCAGCAAGAAGATGTATGTTGCTATACTTTATTTTGCCTGGTTTGGTGAAGATCTTATGGATGATGTTCACGACCTCGTCTTCTTCCCAATGAAGCTTCCGAACCTGCTTAACGATCTTATCGACAGTCCGTCTACTCAAATCTTGATAAGCGAGCTTGCGAAGGAATAGCTCTAATGGGGTCCTCTCTTTCTGCTCGATGGCAGATCGTTCGGGCGGATTGACGTAATAAACGGCATTTTCAATGAGCATACGCTCTTGTTGGCCAAGATGCTGAGCTGCCTTCTTACGCTGAAGGGTCTCCAGAAAGGAGTGCATTCGCGGCGAAGTTTCCGGATTACGAAGAAGATAGCGGCCGCAGTTCTCAAGGAGATTGCATATGATCTCAATATTCATCCTCGAAAACTCATCAAGGCTGACCTTAAGACAGTGGAATATGACATGCTCAGGAACGACGCCGAATTTTGTCAACTCTGCAAGATAGCGCACGTTCTGAGTCCTGACTTGTCCAAGAAAATCCTTGGACTTGCGCCGCTGCAGGCTGCGAAATTCGTCATCCAAGTAAGTTACCAGTCCCTGGGAGACATCTGGCATGTATTTGCCAAGGGTTGCAACCAGTCTAGAATATAGCGGCAAAATGTCGGAGCGGCTCTTTGGGATGTCTTGTACTGCTTTGATCAGCCTATTGCGAGAAGCTTTGGAGTTCAAGAAGCAGAAATCAACAGCCGCTTGATCGACCAAGTCTTTTGAGTTGGCGTCTGGTAGACGTGCTAGAATTGCATCCACCTGGGCTCCAACTGACTTGTTTGCAATGGCCGTTGACTGGTCTTCACCATCCACAAGCTTAGCATCCGCTGTCGCATCTAGTTTCTCCGTAGCTTCTGGATCCACACCCGATGGCTTGCTCTCAATCTTCTTTCCCACTTGCTCGTCGTTGTCGGGTTTCTTCTTCTTGGGTTCCTCGAGAAGGATTCCAGGTACCCGGTCCTTGAGATCGATAACATTCTCGTAGAAGCGGCGTTCCTCTTCATCTTCCCAGATTCCAGGCCCTTCGCCCTGGCCACGAAGATAATCCCCAGCTTTTACAAGGCCAATCGAACTATCCCCGGAAGCAGCAGTAGTATCTTTCTCCTTCAAATCTGGCATATCCGCACCGAGTGCGTCCGCAAGTACTTGGGCATTGACGACAAGTTTCTCCTGAGCCTTGGTCTGTTTCTCGTAGTTGGCCTGGCGATCTTCAAATACTTCGCCAGACTTGACGTATGCCTCTGCATTACGACGTCCCTGAGCAACAAGAGTCTTTTGGTCGCGGGCCAGGTGGTTCTTCACATCCTCAAAATAACGGAGAAGAACGTTCTTGAAACGCTGGCGAAGTTCTGTCGTCGTGATTGGTGGGTCCTTAGCAGTCAAGTCCTCAGAGTCTGTTCCGGCAGCCGATTCTCTGTCCCCTGGTGCGGTAGTAGATCCGTCCGCAAGAACAGTCTTGCGGCCTTCAGGGGAGGTCTTGGCTCCTAGCACATCCCATGCAAATGCCTTGACGAAGATGACCACCAGAGGAAGATTGACGTGCTCCCGGTCATGACCCAGCATATCCTTGAGCACTTCAAGAGGAAAGGGCTCCGCATCCACGCCATCCGACCGAGGGCCGTTAGCCGAGGACTTTGTTTTTCCAGCGCTCTCTACCAGCTTCACGCTATCCTTGCCTTTTGCAGCTTCTTCTGGCCTGGTGACGTCGTCCAAACTCCGCAACACCCCAACGAGCCATAACTCGGTTGCTACCCGTAGCAAGACGCGCTGGCGGGCTAGACGGTCCTTCTCTTCCCTCTCCCGAACATCCTGCGCCAGCGCCTTGAGGTGTGCCTTGTCCGGTGTGCTCAGCCCTCTCCCAATGTGCCAGCCAATGAATCCGGTGAACTCTCCAGGTCCGAAGCGTTGGTGCAGTGCGCTGACTATTTCGACACCAGCAGCGATTTCCCCTGGCGATTTGAGCTTGCAAAGACCCTCGTAGCAGGCGGAGATTATCTCGGAGAGGTATTTGTGGAGCGAGAGGGTTCTAACTTCTTGGAGGAATTGGCCCTGGGAGCTTGCCGTGATCGCAGTGCGTAGTCGTTTGATAAAGGCGGTATTTTTCTTCATAGAGGAGTCGAGCGAGCCTTGGACCGGGAACACATCTGCAGTATATGTGAGCGGAGGGGTCGGGATAACATGCGAAAGGCCCTACCTGTGTCGCCAGCCCACACTCGCGCGTTCTGTTCGCGCAGCTCGCCTGGAAGAAGAACCCTGGTCAGTATTGGAGCTGGCAAGCTTGTGTGCAGGAGACGTACGCTTTCTCTGCCGTTCCATGGCGGCAGAGCTATCTCGCACTGATGGAGGGGGTTGCGTCAAGGGCAGGACGCATTTAGAGGTTGCAGAGTCCACGCAGGCAGGGTGTGCATTTGACGGTTGATATCGATGGACAGGCTTCTAGCCGGCGATGTCTCTGTTTGCTGGCGGCAGGAAAGGTGAATTGAAGGCGGTCGCGCTGGCGTTTGGAGCTTGGTGCGTGGTCGATTGAAGCAAGTGGGAGGTTCAAGACAAGCTAGAGCCAAAATAAATGCGCCCGCGGGACGCGCCACTTATCCGTAGCCAGCGGCCTATCACAGCCAGCTTCCTCAACAGTCATGTATAATGAGGGCTTGACGGTGCGCTGAAGCTGTTTGCGGCGCGCGCTTTCACAGATTACTAGTTTTCCGGAGTGACTTTTCGATGAGTCAGGGCGTTTTGCTAGAACAAATGTTCTGCGTACGACCTCACCTGCATGTCTGACTAGAAAACAGCGTACGTCTCACATACTTCCACCATGTCTCCAGGAGTCGCATTATCACTGGGCCGCTCTCTATGTAATTGCTAGTTTCAAGAGCATGCTGTGGTTCAGACTCCTCAGGGCTCCAATCATGCATCACGGTGAAGGAAATAGCTCTGATCGGCCAATCAGAGTAGTGCCACGTGCACAATGAAGCTATTAGCTGATTCCATTGGGTGCACCGGAGAGACAGCCGGGTTTCCCAGATGATTACGTTTGTCAGTATCGAATCTTCTATCTGAACCGCGACGGTTACTTCTCGAGACCCGAGAGACCCGTATCGCGGACGCTTGTCTTGACACAGCCGTGAAGACGCTGCGATGTATCCTCATAAACACCAACGGTGCGGCCTCGACCGTGCCTGAGCTTCGGGAAAGACTATTTTGAGAGCCCCCTGCTTGCTGGCCACCTGTCGTGGCACGCGGGGCATGGAAAAGGTGGCACACTAATGCTGTCTCGTGTGTACACCTGTCTGCTACTGCTTGAGGTGCTTCAATGCATTTCCAGGAGTCTGAACGAGATATAGCCCCTTTGCCTTGGACCATGTGGAAACTTGTTGAAGCACCCCAGACAGTGGCAGACAGGTGTACAGACGAGCAGAGTATTTGGTGAGTGTGCCACTTTTCTCGTGCCTAGCGTGCGTGGCACCACGTTACCGCTGTGATCGGCACGGCCTCCCGAGCTTCGGACAAGGGGAAGGTGAGGCATCTCTTGCATTCCCCCTCTTCAATCAGTCTTGTGAACTTGTTCGTGGCGGGTGGTCAGAGGAGGAAGTTTGCTGCTGAGCAATGGTGGCTTGGAGCAGACGAGCTTCCTGATAGCATCAATGGCGCAGTCACATATCCTCGAGCCTTCTCCGCGTTTTGTACGAAGGAGCTCGTTTTCTCGCGTCTATGCCCTCGCCCAATTTCAGTAGCATGGTATGACTCAAGAAAAACGAGCTCCTTCGTACCTTCACCGTGACCGAGAGGCCAACGAAACACCAGGACGCCTCCGCTAGGCTCAATTCTGTTCGCCATGCACGGCGAGGTGCTGGTCGATTGACGCCCAGTGTGTGCTTGGCAATATCTGCCTCCAGGGTCTGTAGAACCTCAACACCGACCCTCTCATCAGCCTCGCCGGTGGGAGCTTTCAATGGAAGTCAGACACACGGAGCACACGAGAGCTCGGGGGCCGAGATCAATCTTCAGCCTCGGTGAAGTTACTTGCAGGATGCAGTTCAGATGCAGCGGTGAGATTGGGGCTGCAAACTGCAGTTCCTGCATACGCCTCCGGGTTTTGTTGTACAACACGCCCAGAGGAGGCCACGAGGAGGGAGATGGGGCGTTGTCATATTCTAAGCATTGACCAGTTGAGCGTCATCTGGCTTCATGGCGGTAGGCACGATGGGGAGTGCTCGTTTAGATACTCAAGAAGGCGATACTTCCGGGATAGGCTATCATCACTTGCTGTCATTCTCAGCATGTCTCTTTCAGCTATGGGCATTGCAGAGTCCTCAGCTCCACTACTTCTCAGCCTCTCGAGCGCTCTCGTTTTTTGTCTTCCCTCGTGGTGAATACCATTGACCGCCATCTCCCTGTTCATTCACACGGCTCGGTCGTTCACCTTTGCAACGTGGTGCGGCCTCGGGTATTTAAAGTCGACTTCTTTTCCTCGGTTTCCAAAAGCATCCCGCTCCTCCTCTAGCGTTGTGCCACAAGCAAGTGCTGCGGGCTGGCAATTGCTCTGTTGTGTTACGTGTGGCCCAGTGTCCATGATCACGGGTAACTTGCCGCGCTGTCCTTTGCCCACGCACGTAGCCTGCTGCAGAAGCCCGATCGGGAGCCAGCCATTGAATTCAAGCAAGCCGCCTTAACTCAGACTTCTGCTCCGAGACTGCGTACTGACTGCGAACCCAGCAGCCACCCGAAACCTCACCCACCACCCCACGTCCCCCAACGTCTACTAGTCCATGCCATTATCTATCTCTGTTTGACCCGTCCATCCTCTCTCGTTGGACCCTCACTCGTTACACCGCTCGTAATCCTCGACTCGAACCTTCGCTTCCACAGCTTGCTGGACAGACATGTGGAGTGAAGTCTTGGCACGCACAGTCAACGGCAATGGAGTGGGCGCCATTACGGACCCGTGGCCGGTCAAAGATGTGAGTATTCCTCAATATATATACTTGAATCTGGACTCTAGCTGACTGTGGTGTCTCAGATTGTCTATGTTGCCATTGTCGGAACGATTATGCTAGCGGCCTTTTTGGAGTGGTTTCTTTGGCTAGCCGCATTCCTCTACTGCCTCGTCAAGGTTTATCAGAAGGCGGAGAACCTTAGCATCAAGATCTTGGCTGTTATCATTATGGTTGTGTTCACGCTGCTCCGGTAGGTACTAGCTGCTTTCCGTATGATTAGTTGCTAACTATTGGAAGAATGATATTCCTTCCGATCATGGTCGTCACGCTCCCGCTTCCCGCAAAAATAACCCAGTACTTCCCTTTGGAGGTGGTCTCCTTCTTGCAGTGGTTCGCCTTCTGGTCATTCTCCGGCCTTCTCATTATACCCTGGTTGCTGTGTGTCTACCAGCTAGTCACACACTCCATTGGACGTACCACTCGGATCAAGACCGTTCTGGATGAGAACTCGGCGCCCAAAGTTGTTATCGTTATGCCCTGCTATAAGGAAGTCCCGGAAATCCTTTTGAGAACAGTAGATTCACTCGTCGACTGCGAGTATCCTCCATCATGCTTGCACGTCTTCCTCTCGTTCGACGGAGATCAAGAAGACGAACTCTACTTGAACACCATTGAGAAGCTTGGTGTCCCTCTGACTCTCGATTCATATCCCAAGAGTATCGACGTTACCTATCGGAGCACTCGCATCACCGTCTCTCGATTCCCGCACGGCGGCAAGCGACATTGCCAAAAGCGGACCTTCAAGCTGATTGACAAAATCTATACGGATTACCTCAAGCGCAACGACAACCTCTTCGTGCTCTTTATCGACTCGGACTGCATCTTAGACAAAGTTTGCATCCAGAACTTTATGTACGAGATGGAGCTCAAGCCTGGAAGCAAGAAGAACATGTTGGCCATGACTGGGGTCATCACATCCACTACGGAGAAGAACTCTCTGATCACCATACTCCAAGACATGGAGTACATCCACGGGCAGCTATTCGAGCGTTCTGTCGAGTCGGGTTGTGGTGCAGTGACCTGCCTGCCTGGCGCTCTCACCATTCTCCGTTTCTCTGCGTTCCGAAAGATGGCAAAGTACTACTTCGCCGACAAAGCTGAACAGTGTGACGATCTCTTCGATTACGGGAAATGCCACCTCGGTGAGGATCGTTGGTTGACGCACCTCTTCATGATCGGCACGAAAGAGCGATACCAGATCCAAATGAACACAGGCGCGTTTTGCAAGACAGAGGCCGTCCAAACCTACCAGAGTCTGCTCAAGCAACGCCGCCGGTGGTTCCTAGGCTTCATCACAAATGAGGTATGCATGCTGACAGATATACGACTTTGGAAGCGTTACACGGTCCTCTGCACCGTTCGATTCATGCAGAACACGATCCGAACGACTGCGCTCTTGTTCTTCATCATGGTCATATCTCTCTTAACAACATCCCAGACAATCAAGCAACTTCCTGTTGGATTTATTGGTATTTCGCTCGGGCTCAATTGGATCCTCATGCTGTATTTCGCCGCGAAGCTTGGCCGATACAAAATCATGCTCTACCCCCTCATGTTCATTATCAATCCGTTCTTCAACTGGGTGTACATGGTCTATGGGATCTTCACAGCCGGGCAGCGCACTTGGGGAGGCCCTCGAGCCGATGCTGGAGCCGCGGATACGACGACCACGCCTCAAGCTGCCATTGAGCACGCAGAAGCGATGGGAGATGACCTCAATGTGATCCCCGAGACTTTCAAGCCGGCAGCGGAGAGGCAAAAGGATACTCGGCCGGTCCACGTCCCCCTCCAGCCATCAGCTTTTTTGGAGGGTCGCTTCGCACCCGCAGAGCGGCTCCCCGGTGGTTGGTACCATCAGTCCAACGACTCCGGCCTCACCTTGCCAAACACGATGCCTCGGAACCCTCATGTTCCTCACATCCCTCTCCATCCCCGCGACTCTATCGACTCAATGATCACAGCCTTCTCTGCGGGCAACTCAGTCTACCTGCCCCGCCGCGTCGAGAGCTTCGTCGCTCCCGAGGACGCCCGTCTCTACCACAACACGCAGGCCACACAGCGCCCAGCCGGCGGCGCCTTCTACGAAGCCGACCGCCGAGTCCCCTGCGACCGCGAAGCCAGTTTCGCGAAGTCCAAGAAGCAGAAGTCCATCGACTCGTTCTCGGACGAGTCGACCAACAACTCCAAGACCAACCTCCATCTCTCGCAACATCCCGCCCGTGGAAGCCGCAGCACCAGCGCAAACACGAGCCTGAATTTTGCCGAGTTCCCATCGCGGCCTCCATCGCCGCTCGCACATGACGCAATTCGGGTTCCGGCCCGCGCCGCTTCCAGCATCCCCTCCCAGTCCACCTCACTCCTTTCTACGGACCCGCAGAACTCGAACCCGTTTAACTCGCTGATTGTCCCCCGCCGCAGTCGTCGCCTAGGCGACCGCACACCCTCGGCGTCGGGTCGAGGGCGGAGTCCGCTGGCGCGGAAGAGCTTCGTGCGGACGGCAGCAGCAGCAGAGGGAGATGGCGGGGAGATGGAGATGATGCCATCGTCCCAGCGAGCTCGACTGCAGGAGCATGGCGGAGACAGCAGCGGCGAGGACGATGGCAACCACCGGAGCTCGAGCAGCGATTGCAGCAGGCAGGGCCGGAGGCGGCTGTCCAAGCCGGCGCCGTGGTGGGAGAAGAAGTGAGTCGGAGACACGTGCTCTTCATTCTTCAGCTCTCTCTCTCTCTCTGAACTCAAAATTTCCCTTTTTCTTTCCCGTTTCTCTATTCCTTCCCTTCAACGCTTTTACTTGCATTTGCATATACTCGGCGCTAGAATGGGGGCTTGGACAGTACAGCATATGTGATGAGAGGCAGACGTGCGGATCTTACTCAGACAAAGGTGCATAGACGGTTACATTATATACGTTGCGATGATATAATTGACTTCATTTGATCCTTTTGCTGTCTCGTTGCTTTTACCCTGGGAGCGAAGATCATGTATTGCGCATAGGCTTGAGAGCATATCGAGACGGTACGAAAGGCGAACACATCACAACGCTCAATTCTCACGAGCCTAACAAAACACAACAAAATATCGTCAAACACGTTGTATTCAAGCAAAGCCATCCGCCCCCATCCACCCGCGCTGCGTTAATATATGCACTACGCAATCCCCAGCCCATTCATGCAATCCACATCTATTCCAACCACAGCACTCATTATATATATGCATCCGTGAGCGCTTGTATCCAAAGCCAGCCAGGAGCGAAGAACCCCCCCCCCCCCCCCAAAAAAAAAAAAAAAGTCTAAATATTAATATTATGAGCCCGCGCCGGATAATGCAAGCCGAGTCGAACTGCCCGTTGCTGAGGCAGGTATTCTATGTGCAAAGAAGAGTCGTTGAGGCCGGGAATCTAGGATATGGGGCGCGAGTCTATGTTCGTGAAGAGGAAAGAAACATGTGGCGTGGCCAAGGTACAAGTCGAGCTAGATGGATGTTCCGAGAAGTATGTGAGGGTTTTCGGGCAAATGGTGGTGGCTAGGTGCGATAGGGGTGAAGCTTGATATGTCGAGGTCGAAGGGGGGGCTGGAATGGTGCTGTGAGGGTGGCTGAGATAGGAGCTGGACGATGGAAGCACGCGTGGGGAGCGAGAGGACCGGCCCGAGGGCTCTCCGGGCATCGGAAGAGCCGGACGCTCGCGTCGCAGACGAAGAGAGTGGACGGCCTAGGTTCTTGCGAAGGAGCGCCGAGCTCGGCCCACACGACGGGCCGTTGGTGAGGGTTGGTGAGGGTTGGCGCAGGAAGCTGGCGCATCGATACGGGGCGGGGGTCGACTGTCGAGGTGTGTCGGATAGCGCTGATCAGTTGCATGCTCGGTTGTAAGCCATAATTAAATGCTGCCGGAAGCGCTGCTTAGGCGCCCAATATGACCTGAAAGTGGCGCTGCCCCAGAAGGCTGCACCGTTTGGGAGGCCGGCGACGCGGCCGGGGCCGTCATAAGCCGGGCGAGCAGCGCTGGGCCGGCCAGAGGGGGGGATTTAGGGGCCTTTGGGGAATTGATGCTACCCGCCGTGCGCAGATGATGTCGCTGCCAGATTGCCCGGGCTGTTGCGGCCCTGGCTCCTGCCCAGGCGAGCATAGCGCGCTGCGCGCCCAGCCCTGCTAGCCGATAAGCATCCCGACAGAACTGTGGGTTACGAGCCGGCCAGCCATATCAAGATGCTCTTACTTTAACCTCGCGCACCTCTCATCATCGATCGCGCTTCCTCAGCAATCGCTGTTGAGTTTGTGCTTGGGCCATGCATGCCCGGTCCTGCGTCAAGTCAGCCGCGCACTCCACCTCCAACCACGGCCATCGGAGTACTCACTGGTCCCATTTCTGCAGCACCGTCAAATTAGCACCTTCGTATCGCTGCGTGGAGTGCGTGCACTTACTGTGAAATTCGGGTTCGTGTATGCATTCATGTGGTCCTTGATGTACTGCGTCGTTTCCCACCCGGGCGGATCGCATGTTCTGCATCTTGTCAGCTTGCCTTCTACGCGTGTGCCATTATGCCATGCATCTCGAGGAGCATACACTGAGTAGTTCCCTGGCTTCTGATACCACCGCACATAGTCGACCCTATCATCGTCAGCCGGATTCTGTCACGCTAGGAGAAACAACCAACCGCATTACCGCCGGGAAGACGAGCTTCGCAAAGTCAATGAATGTCCAGGCAGTACTAAACCCCATGTTCAACACCAGAGACATCGGCTCTTGCTGTTACACCATTAGCACGGCTGTATGAGGATGTGCGTAAGTGCTGAGTACTGCTTACCGAAACCTGGCGACTCTGGACATTGCCATTAGGGCCGATCGCTCGACCATCCAACCTCCATGTCATCTGATCGCCCACATACCACGCAATGTACGCGTCTTCACCCTCTCCGGGCACGTACTCGAATGCATACTTCTGATATGCCTTGCCGTCGTACCAGTCTGCAGGGAGCGTCAGCGAGAGCTTTGGAAGGTCGGATCGTGATACATTACCATGATTAAGATTAGTGGTGGCAGATAACGCTTGTTGAAACGGACCCCCGGTATAGCCATTAGGGTAGCTTATACTGTAGTCAGGGTATTCCGTGAACTCGTAGTCAGGATAGTACCATATGTCAAATGGGGCAACTTGATACGATTGCGTGATGATGGGCATTCCTGCGTAGCTGGCACCCGCTTCCAAGATGTCGATCTCTGGCGCGCCACGCCCCGTGCCCGGAGTTGGGTGGTCTTCGTTAGGGCCTTTCGCTCGGTTAGCAGAACTCAGTAGCAATTAGCCATGCATACGCACAAGTGCAAGAGGGGAGCCGTTGACCTGGCAGACGCGACAGCCCGTCGGAACTGGATTGATTGGGCGTGATTCCCGCGTCGCAGGAGTCATACGTGTAAGGCCACAACCCTTCAGTTGTGGCCAGGTAACCAGGCCTTCCAAGGTTGCCCATCGTCCACGCGCCCGGCCACAGGCCCATGACACCTGCAGGCCCGGGCAGCGATACTGACACCTCGAAAATGCCACCTTTGAAGCAGAGGTGGTTCCAGCTATTGAGCATGCCCGATCGATACCCTACTCCGTGGTTTATGAACTTATCTAGCCTCATCTATGACTGGCGTTAGCATCGTGTCGCCAGCGTAGGCCGTAGTGACATACCTCAAGCGTGCCGTCCCACGTCGTGACCGCGTCCGGGTCGTACCAGTCCTGCGCAAGATTAGACAGGATCAATTGATGTATGTAGACTTACATACCAGATCGACGGTAGCTCCATACCAGATGTCAGGAGCATACCAGTAAGGGTCGTCACCCTCGTAGAACGTACGATTGTTGTCGTTAAACTCGTCACTAAACACGAGCTCGAGCTCCTCTCCATCGAGGCTCTTCCTGGTCTTGGCACGATCTGGCGTCGCCGGGTCTATCAGGCCCGTCCTGACATTCTTCAGCAGCGAATAGGTGAGATTATTTACAATGGCCCACTCCTCGCGCTGCTCTTTGCCGTATCCCATCTGATTAAGAGGGGTCTGGTCTGAGTTGTACGAAATAACGCCCATGGAACTCATGACGGGAAGCGCAACGAAGACAAACAACAAGCCGATGATCATAAAAGTCATACCCAAGGTTGAGACGATGTTCTCGCGGTTGAAATGATCTTTCCAGGGTACCTTGAATGTGATATCGTCGTCTGGCCGCGGGAGATGCATGTCATCGTCAGTCTCCGGTTCGTCCACCGATGGATATACGTAACCCGCTTTCTCCGAGTATGGCGCGCCCAAACGATCATCCATGAATAGAAGGGGCACCGCAGCACCGGTTGCCTTTTCGGGGTCATTCTGAATGTTGAGCTTTGTAGTGGAGGCTCGGGGCGTGTTGAATGGATTCGAGCCTAGTCCAGGTGTGCTTGCTGGAGAGCGAGGCCGTGAAGCAGTGCCATCCGCGAAAGAGCCTCCCTTGCTGTCCGAGAAAGGATTGAAGTAGCGGGTGTAGTCTGCGCCCAAGTCCCGCACGCTCGATGGGGGCGAATGCTGCGCCCCAGACATGTCGGGAGGATTCAGGTATACCGGTCTGCGAACGGGTGGACGGCCTCGAGGTGTTCGGGATGTTTCTACAGCTCCCACTGCACGAGTCTGCGAATTTGAGGATGAGGACCCAGATCCATCGCTAAGTCGCCTGCTGTCTTCGGTGAATGCGTTTCTTGGCTCGAGCGGGGTGGTTGGATTGAGAAGAGACGACACGGTGGGGATGTAGCTGGATCTCCAGTTCGGCGGCGCGGGCTGGGCAGGCGGGGGTGAATTCACGGCGGTCTGCTTTGGGACGAGGTTTGGAGTGCTCGTCGAGCGACTCATAACGCTGGGGCTCGGGCTAGGTGGTCCAAGTGCCGCCGCCGCCGCTTCGGCGTAAAGGCTTGACGATGTCCTGCCATATTGTTCGACTTCTGCCTCTTCCACGCTCGCCGAGCCATTTGACGGGGTTCGCGATGCCACTCTCTCGGGGGACGCCATGCCAGCGAGATCACGGCGACAGCAGCTGGCTCAATGCGCGTGTTGCACCAGGATGAATCAAGAGAGAGCTGCACGCGGTGTGGGCGACATTCGACAGCGAAACGGAGTAGCGACTGGAGGTGCGACGAGCGCAGGCGTACCGGCGGGGAGGCGGGCGATTGCGTGGGCTCAGCGGACCATGGTTTGTTTGTGACGTTGCGTGTGCTCTGGTGATGGGCTCCAGGGTTGTTTCGGCCAAGGAAGGTGGCTCTTGGGTTTCCGCTCCTGGCACTGGCCGAGTCAAAGCAATTGGCAGGCTGCTTCCGGAGACGGCAGATGGAGTCGCGACGGTGAAGAACGACAGTTGTGACTGCGAGAATCGTGGAAAGGGCAGTGTGGACGCCAGCAGCGGGCAGGCTCTCAGGTCATAATAATAGAAAGCAGGTTCGCTCGAGGCTGGGATAGGAGCCGGGGCCAGCGGTGCTCGTACCCAGCGGGAGATAAGTCCAGCGTGGTGTGAGTGGGCAGCGGTGGAATGCCAAGCAGATTTGCGATTATCAGGGGCGCCCCTCGCCCGCCGCTTTCGGTGTCGCTCATCCGCAACGTTTTAGCCGCCATGGACCCTTGTTTTCGGGGAGCCTCCAGGGCACCGCGTTGCTCCCCATCGTGTCCAGCAGACAGACCATAACAGCTTCTGCGTGGCTGCATGCTGTACTATCTGGGCGCATCACGTGCTGTGTGGGCGATGCTTTTCAGATTAATCTCATGGCGCCATCGCAAGAGGCTGCCCGTAACGAGGAAATAAAACGCCTTACGGTTCTGGACTTGTTCAAGAGAGATGACATGCGCTTACAGCATCAGAGCCCCGCCCAGCCTCGCCCGGCGCTATCTATCATGATTCTGCTAGGTCCATAGCAGGAACGGGTGCCATGAACCAGGACTTGAACCTCAAGCTTTGTGAAGGCCTTAGCCTTCCAAACTTCAGTCTTTGCGAGAATACTTCAGCGCGTTGAACTGCGAAGGAGAAATCTAAACATGACGCCTCGGCGACGGAAAAACCGTGATACGGCCATTTTCCACTTTCGACGTGACATTGAACCTTAGGCTCGGGAGGCCGTCCGCGTCCGCCGCATACATGGTAGTCTACCACTCAAACATGCCGCAGATCTGTGCGTCCAGCCCTCTGAATCAGAGGACGCACCCAAAGTCTATGACCGCATAAAGTCAACAAGGTAAATTTTGTCGACAACAACGCTACGAGGCGGATCTAGACATAGCCAAAGTCTAATTCTAAGCTCCTTGCCATGGATATCAGAACAGCACGCGTCATCTGTCATCTAGGCCGCTATCCTTCCAAGTCTCAACCTTCAGGCAGGCGTCGACGCCTTTCAATGGTAAACAGAACCGACGCATCTGTCTCCACCTCAACTTGTTCGCCCATGGCGTGGTTGCTGGTGCTCACTTGGTGGCCCATCTGCGTTGCCCAGTCTTGCACATCCCATTCCAACCCAGACGTGGTAATCTGGGCCGGTCCGTAGACGGGAACGATGCCCACATTACAGGTGAAGTACCCCGCAGACAGGCCTGTGGAGATGGTGTTGCGCCCTGGCCTCAGTATCCACGATACATTGGTCTCTGAGATCAGCCACAATCGCAAATTGGGATTCCGCGTCTCCTCACGCGTCATTTCATGGAGGAGGCCCAGTCCTTGGTCAACGCGACCCGACAAAGTCCCCAAGATGAGCACTTCCCGGCGCGGCGAGGAGAGGTCGGTCTTCTCAATCTTGCGTATGGCTTTTCTGAAGTCTGTGCTGTACTGATCTGGGTCTTGCGACACTTCAACTCCTTTCGATGAATAGTACTGACGGACATCGTCACGCAACGAGTCGAGATCGCCATGAATGATACTGGGAAGCTGTCAATCCATCAGTAAGTGGTAGGCGTTTGACTGACGGTATGCATACAAAGTCTGCTCTGGCGTGCTCCAAGGGGCCGTCAAATATGTCGAACAGCCGATTGGCCCCTCCATCTGCACAGATGCGGTATCGCGAGTGCCGCCATAGTCTCTCAAACACTTCAAACGGAGAGATCGGCTGGTTCAAGATCAAGAGATCAGGGACCGTTGATCCGCTTGGGAGTTCTTCGTCGCTCAGGAACAGAGCCGGGGTGAATTCCATGGATTCCCCTTCGTAGGGTTCCCAAAAAGTGGCGAGAAGCAACTCTTCCACAGGTAACGACCAGATAACTTGAATCGAAGAATTAACGATTGTAGCGGTAGGTTCCAAGAGCAATCTACAGGTGAATGAGCTCACGGGTCTTTCTTGGTGGTGATTTGTCGATGGCTGCGATGCCGGCTGTGCGCCGATGGGGCACAAGTCTTCTAGCGGCCTTCTAGAACAACTGTCTTTTAACCATCAATCAACACCATGAATTTCTATTTACAAGGCAAATTTACCAACATTCCGCCAGCCGACTGCACACCCCAAGACGGTGCCCCCACATATTGCGCAACCGTGGCCACGAGGGAGTAGTCCAGCTTTACGGCCAGGCTAATGTTGGTACCCAGTCACCGACGTTGCAGGAGTCATCGTCGGGGCGCCCGGGCTCTCTATCTCGCATTTGCAGCTGTCCGAGTCGACTTCTTGAAGACTCCTGCCTCATTCAACCTCGACGAACATTCGTCATCCTTTAGACCGGCAGCACGAGATCAGCGCACTCCACACCATCGTCGCATAGCGAAAGAGGCGGCACCCAGGGAGTCGGAAGTCATTCCGTCTCACAATGCGGGCAGGGAATGCATGCAGCCGCTCTCATGAATGAGGGAAGAGCACAGCGTATTCGCTTCGATTCCAAAACGAGGCTGGGCCATCTGGAGGGCTCGATTCTGGTGATCCTACCACGTGGTACGCACCGGAACAATGCTCACCGTGACTAGTGTCCCGAAAGTCCGTACATGACATCAGTTGAGGCTCCAATAGATAGCCGTTTTCTCCAGATCTCGGGAGGACCCTAATGTTTCCGAGCAATCAGAAGCCACTCCAGCAACTCTACAGCCTCAACACACGATGTTAGCGTGCCCGAGCCCACGGACAGTTGTGTAAGACCCGAGGCCCGAAACACACTGCCCGATGCTTCTAGAAGGTCTCTTTTTGGGGCCTTTTCTGGCGGACTTCACGATACAGTCTCCCTACCTGCTCGGCTCGTACACCTCTGTGCACGACAGGGTTGTTTACAGTGCGAATCACCCATGTCGTGTACATAGGTGTACGGGTCGAGCAGGGGGAGAGACTGGAGACCCATACCCACCACGCCGACTAACTGGGCTCGCCGGGTCTTTGGTATTTTGTGGGTTTCAGAGCAAGTTGCAGCAGAGGAAGCACGGCTGTCTCCACGTGAATTCTCTAGGCCTCGCGTTAGTCTTACTATAGCTGATTCTTCTGGAAGGGTACACCTTGCTAATCCCCGCCCAATACAGGAATTTAGCTTTCTTAACAGTGCCATAATATAGCACCCGGAGAATCCGCGGCGGCACCGTAACCGACTCCACTCGCCCATCCTTCAGACACGTAGTATCCGAAGCATACTCGGGAAACCTTTGCAACACTCAACACTCAACCTGCAAGACCACACGCAGGCGATGTATTGCAGGGTGTCGCTTGCCTGGGTACGAATCCTCTTGTCTACGGAATGGGTGCTCGCCGGTGCCAGAAGACTTCCACGATAAGGCTACGGAGTCATTGTTTCCAGAATCATCGATAGTCTCTCGCGCAGTCATGCACGTCCAGTCTCAAAGGGCACTACCACCCGCCCTGGGCGGCCGTAAGCTTGATGCATTCAAGAGGCGGCCAAGGCCCTCCGTCTGCTTGGAGCCGATGCGATGGGCAGCGTACACAACCAGAGAGGGTGGTCGACGGCGCCGGACTTCAGCAGCTGGGACGCGCGCACGTGACTTAACCTCGATTGTCTGCGGACCATCGATGATGGAGGCCGCAGGCTGGCATTAATGCGAGCAAAGCTCCGCAAAGAGCAGGGCCCGAGGCGATCGTAAGGTCATGGGCTCAGCGGGGGTGCGCCGTGTGCAGTGTCTCAGCAGATATGACCCGAAGCAGCAGGGCAAGCTACCCCGCTGTGGTGTGATAAGTGAATGCGACTTAATTTGTTCTGCAGCACGCGGCCGGGATCGCGATCCTGCCAACGCTCGTTGACGCCATGTACGAATCCTGAGCAGCGCCGGCGCCGGATCGACAATCTGCCCAGTGCTTGAGGGCAGCCCTGTCGGTGCCGCGATGGCGGCGGGAGGCGCGCCGCCAGTGCTTAGAGTCGATCCGCCTATACTCGCCCTCCTCGACGCAAACCGCAGCAGGGCCGCAAGGCGGAGGAGCACCACGAGAAGCGCCGCGGGCAGTACCACATGGCGATTCCCTGGCCCCGGTTGGCTGCCACCATGGGTCGTCTCCCGTGGGCGTGCCATTGCCGTGGTTTGGCTGATTGACGGAGGACTTCCGCGGCGAGCGAGGCCGGCGAACACCACACTGCGCGCATCGCAGCACTCTCCTCAACCAACCCGCCATCTGACAGCTAATTGTGCTGGCCGACGACGCGATCGGCAGTTGCAGGAGTCGAGGTTTGGCCTGCTTCGGCGCTGGAGCAGGCCGTCGAGGACGCGGGCACGTTGCGGCCAACACTGCCGCCTCCATCTACAACCACGCTTCGCCCCGAATCGATCTTAACCCTCCAGCCCGTCGTCATGCCGTCGTCCGCTGGCCTGTCTCATGCCGCCAGGGCCTTGTCAGCATGCAGCTCCCGCCCTGGTCGCTACATGCAGGTGAAACTAGCCGCGTCCTTTGCTTCTTCAGGCTTACAGGCATTGTGGAGACCCTCACTGCTCTCAGCGCTGTGGGATCAGCATCGACACGCTGCCGCAGGGACTGGCTGGACATCTGCGCGGCTGGACAGTGCCCCACGTTCACCCCAACGCGCAGATGCAGTCTGAGCATGTCCGGATATAAAGCTCGGAGCCTTCTCTCGTAGCCACACTATCACCTGAACTCTGTCTCTCATTATCACCACCAACTAGTTCACCTATCACGTCCCTCATCATTCACCCTGCCCTTCTTGCATCCGGCAGCATCGTACCTCTACGCGTGCCCGTAAGTCGACGCTACTTCCTCTCGTCTAGTTACTCTTCTTGGTGCTCTAGCGTGGGTGTCTCGTTGCCGTGATATCTCCATGCTTCAAGGAAAGGACGTACATTTGGAGAAACCAGAGCATGCCTGACCTCGGGGCAGCTTTATATCCCCCCCGCTACTACGGGAATCTCTCGTAGCCCTCGCAACAATGACCGGCCAGCGAAGAGCAATTGCCTGCACCATCTGTGCAAAGGCCAAGACGAAGTGTGATAAAGCTGTACGTTGAGAGAATGAGAACCCTGCTCCTCCCTTTCCGTGCTAATCAAGCCCTGCTATATCAGGTCCCCTCATGCTCCAGATGTGCAGCTAAGGGCCTCGTATGCGAGGCTCGCTCAACGAGACGGACTACCGACAATGTGTATCGCCAGGCTAAAAAGCAGCTCGTCTCGCACAAGCGATTCTCCTCAACCTCGTCGATCCCGACTATTGGCACAGAATCCCCTCGAAGCGTACCTGGTCCTGACCACAAGCTCTCTCATACCTCGCAATCAATGGACATTCCTTCTCCTGCAAAGTTTGGCCACCGCCAGGCCGACCTTTCTAGACGGCCCACGCTACATGTACTCCCACCTTTCAGCTCAGGACGCCGAAGTGAGAGTGTCAGTGACGCTTACTCAGACTATGGGAGCCCTGATCCAGGGTTTTCCATGTTTCCTCCTCGCATGGACAATGGTGACTTTGATCTTTCTGGCACTTTGACACCCCAGACTCCAGACTCCTTCTGCTCCGGGAGTGAGTCTTTGCCCATGATCACGGACTCATTTGATCAATATCTCAACCCACAACTGTGGGCAGATGACAATCAGATGCCACTGGGTCTAGGCTTTGTGGAGGGCGAGCTGCCCGACTTCATGCCAACCGACCCAACGATGCAATCATTCTGGCCCACCTCTGACTTGGAATCAAACTTCGCCGGTAGCCAGATGTTTCCTACGCAAGATACCCCTTCGCTTTGTGAGTCGCCCACCTCGCTACCAGCATGGTCAGTGCCAGCTTCCTCGGCGTCACCGACCCGGCGCCACGCACACGCAAGATCTATGCCCTCAATGTCCATGAGCGAGAGCACAGTTCCTGAAGTTGATTCCATGCTATCCTTCAAGGATGAATGGCCATGCTTCCGATGCAACCCAAGCGAGCCAACCGCGCCAGAGCTAAGCACCTCCAAAACTTATCTTCAAGGTCTAGAAGCTATTCCCAAGAATCCCAATGTTTGGCGGGACTCTATCCAGCCACAAGCTGCCGCTCGCCTTCGGGAAGCCTTCAACAACAACCTACGTATTGAGTCCCTACGGACCTCTACACGAGATGCGTTGATGACTACGACAAGAGAGATGCTTCGCAAGGCCCGCCACATTTTCGAGAGCGCCGACACCTCGCTGTCGCCGACAACTGGCCCTAGCGGCGCTGCAAACCGCCTGTCACATTCCCTCTCCGTCGCCTCCCGATCATCAGAGCTCGATCAGGAGTTTGCGACCTCTCCTTCCACAACCACACTAGAATGTCTTTTCAGGTCTTACAGCTGTCGTTTCGAGCCTTATTATCCGAATTTTTCTGCAGGCGTTCTGGACCCTATGGAACTGATCAACTCTGACAATAAGAACGCGTCGTGCCTTCTACTGCTTCTCATCCTCGCTGCAGGCGCCTCTGCTACACCTACCATGGAAGCAGGATATCTCACGAACGGCCTGACCGAGTCTTGCCGGATTCTGTTGACAGATCTCACTGACAACGATATCTCTCTTTGGAAGAACCCTACCATTCTCCGAGCTGCGCTCCTCTCTATGAATCTAGCTGCTTGGAGTGGCGAGAAGTGGCACATGGATGTGAGTGATCTCTGTGTATGAAAAATTTCTGTATAGCATACTGACTGTTTCAAGGTTTCCAAGAGCCAATCAGACCTATATCTGACGGTTAGTGCTTATTCAATTCACAGAAACATCATTAGTCTAACTTGCTATAGATGCTTCGACGTTCCGGACTTTTTGCGTACCGAAAAAACGCTCTGCCAGAGTTCTGTGGCATGCTTGGTACTGAGGTGGAGTGGAAGAAATGGAAGCAGCACGAGAGCATGAACAGGTACGATCGGACTACGCGATAAGGAACACGCACATCATACTGACCGTTGCTCTAGACTGGTGTACTCCTGGGTCATCGCAGATCAGGAACTAAGCCTCTTCCACGACCAAGCACCTAACCTCGCCATCACCGAACTCACTGCTGCCCTTCCTGACAAGGATGTATTATGGCAAGCCAGTTCCGCTAACAGCTGGTCTTTGGCCTTGGCCAGGGTCCATGATGGCACCGACCTTAGCCAAACCAGGACTCCTCCCTCTCTCTACGACTTGTTCAAGCGCCTCATGAGCCGCGATCTCTTAAATGAGTCTCGCGACCTCACCAAGCTTCAGCTCCGCCTTCTCCTCCACCCTCTACAGTCGCTGGTATGCCACCTCTACCAGTGCTTGAGCTGCTTTGCTGGCGACGCTAGTAGCAGCCATGCTCAGCGTCTCTTCGTCCAGATCCGTGAGGTGCAATCCATCCTCCAGGATTGGTACGCTCTGTGCTGTAAGCGCATGCGCAGCGTCGAGGAAGTCTGCCCTATTCTCCTATCCAACCTCGTTATGTACCACCTCGTCTGCCTCAATACTATGACGCATTTCCCCGACATCGAAGCCCTCGCCCGCGGCGAAGTATCCCAAGAGCAGTTCCTCTCTACCTCCTGGGCGCGCACCAACTCAGTTGGCAGCGCCTCACGCATTTGGTTTCACTTAGGCCAGATCGTGCGTCTAGTTCGCATGATGCCCGAAAGTAACCGTCCCCTTTGGTTTCCTGCCGTCATCTACCGCGTCGCCCTCATCCTTTGGATGGTCTCCACATGCAACAACGCGACGCAGTCGCCTGAATCTGCAAAATCGCTCACTCCATTCAGCGACAGCATGTTTGCGATCGACAACATGCACCCGGAGCACACTTCCATTCAAAGATACCTCCAATATTCGGAGGGCACTCCGATGCTTTCAACAAGAAAGGGTGTTCTTGTTAGCCTCGCCGTTCCTAGCGATACAATCATGTACGCGTGTGAAGTTATGAAAGAGGAAGATTTCAACACGCGCCTAGCAGTTTGCATCAAGAACCGACTTTCGCACCTGGCTCAGCGAGTCAAGGCTGCTTCTGCATGATTTACGTTTCTTCTTTTCTTCTTTTCCAGCACTTTTTTTTTGTTATTCTGTGTATACCCGGACTCAGCTTTATATACCCAGCCTTTTGAACCGACAGTCAAAATGTTCTTTCGACTGTTACCAGTGCTAGGGAATGACGGCGTTAACATTCATTCGCATTGGTGGATCTCTGTCTACGTTTTCTTTCCTTCTATCAGCTGGCGTTTTAGAGTTATCTCCTTCAATGATCCTTTCATGTCTGTACAGAAGAGTCCATGCTCTTTCTCCCTCCCGTTCTCCATGTCTCAATTTCCCTAGCACGACATGTAATCCACATTTCAGTTTACCCAACCTTCTCCCAAGCGTTCAAACACAGGGCAGGGGAAGGTGCCATTGATAAGCAATTCTTTCCCTCTTCCTCTATCTCTATCTCTCTCTCTCGCTCGACGCGGCACTACCGCCGTCGATGCCGCTCTGCACACCCTAGCCCCACGGGGTACGTACTTTGTAGAAAAGAAAATGCAAGGCTACTTACCGCGCTTTGAATTTCGGGCCGGCTTTACAAACCCGATAAAACACACTCGAGTACCTCACAACCTAACCGTGACTCCGCTGATTGGCGCGACTCCGCACAATCCAACACGGTGCTAAAGCACAGCACGAAAGGCCGCTAATTATGTTGCATGAAGTCCGAAGCGTGGTGGTGGCGCAGGGGCACCCCCAGTCTCTCAATAATCACCCGAAGGGGCGTCCAGGGTCCAGGGGGGTACCCTTGGGGGTAAGTAGTGCGGGAGGGGATAAGCTTAGCGGCAACGCGGTTGTGGCTCGACACGTTTTGTAGCGAGCCGCAGATTATTGCAGTTTTTAGCAGGGGGGTGGTGGAGGGCGGAGGTGGCGATAAGTGAGTGCGTTTACGAGGAATTATGGGATGGGAGTTTGGAGCAAATGGCGGTGCTGCGGCATCTGCCGTGGTGGTGGTGGTTGGTGGGTGGTGCGGGTGAGATGGAGCTAGGGCATTTGTGAAACAGCCGGTTCCGTCGCTACCGTTGGCTCAGTCGGGGGAAATCGTGCGTATCTAAGGTTTTGAGGATGTCGAGTTTGGGGGAGTATGGGTGGTTTGATAGGTGGTCAGCAGCTGAGAGGGAGAGAGGGGAAGCCGTACGTTGGATCAGCACTTTGAGGGTCTATCGGCCGTGTTGATCGCTGACGGGAACTGGGCATGACGTCGGCAGCGTATGAGGGAGCCGAGCTGAGAGCTTGCCTTCGACGGTTGCTAGCCCGATGCCTAATTGTAGAGGGACGTGCGTAGTAAATAGGCAAGCGGGGCGGGTCGCAAGGATATCGGACTGCGCAATGAGTGGCGCAGATCCTTGGTAAACGGTTTTTTGATGTCTGTGTCGTCAGATCAGGAGCTGCTCACGGCTTACAATTCATCGATGTTCGGGTGCTCAATGAAGAAGGTGGAGAAGTGATGGTGTGATATCAAGCTTTCTAGAAACGTTTGCCCGGCTTATCTCCTGGGCTAGGTATATGGCGGATTAATATGGTAGCGCGGAGAACGAATCCTACAGAGTTGGACTTTTGTCGAATCAGAAGCTGATTCGCAGCTCTCCCGGTCACCGGGTATGGCCAGATCAAGGGAGAGTCTTTCGAGTCTAGGTTTCAGGGTCCATGCTATCACGGTCCACCTTTTAGGCCCAGGGTGCAGGTGGCTAAAGACACTGTTCTAACGATTTTCAGTCAAGGAGCAATCGATAGCTCAACCTTGATACTCTGATCTGCATTGATATCGGTTGCGGTATCCGATACGTACTACTGAGTTGCCAGAAATCCACGTGTTGAGTGGATGGGGCATGGTGAGTCGCTGGACGATGGAGACGTCAGAGGCATGGAAAGATAGCCGCTATTCTAAGTACCCCACCTCGCTCCACCTATCGCTTCGGATCACTATCACGTGGAGAGCAAATTGGGATTAGTTGAAGTCACGTAGGAAATATGTTGAGTCACTAGCCACATCAACGTACAAAGGTAGTAATCGCAATCTGTTCATCTTCGTTGAATCTACCGTTTTCGTTTGTACATTCTATAAGTCGTAAGCCATCGTAAGCTGAACCAGAAGCATCCTAAGAGTATCAGCTTAAGCCGGTGTTCACTATCTCGTACTTTTTACCGAAACTCTTATGATACATACCTCTTTCAAAGGTCCCTGCTGTTCCTTCTGTCTATTCTCTTTTGTATATCCGCTCTTTGGCTCCAGCTAATGTTCCTACTTGGGAGACCCCTATAGGCTTTTGAGCTCCGGGCACGACGCATCGGTCGATGTGATGGAGACTGGATTGCCTCTTGACTGACCGGCTACCTTCTCGGTGCCATACTCTAGATTTCACAGTGTCGTCGAGTTAAGATTGGGCTATGACTGCAGGTTTCAGCCTCAGAGCAGGGAACTGTGGAACTTGATTTATAGGTTCGGCCTCAACTCCGCGGCCTCAACACCGACAGCTCCCTGAATGTCATGTCCCCAGTCAATGTGCTTCCCTGCTTCACAACTGGGGGCTCGTGAGCTACGACCTCAACGTACGGAGAGAACTCCGACATAGTCACGTTACTTTCCTGATTATTGCGTATATAAATTCACTCATTTACTTCAATATAAGCTCATGGTCAATTTAATCTATCTTATAACTCTTGGCGTTTTCGGCCAGTGATAAGGGTAGCCTGTGGTATCAAATAAGTTTATGCACTCCTGCTCTTTGCTGTCTGAGGTCCCTCGTTGCATTATCAGGAATCCAGATAAGATGTAAAGGCAAGTCTAGGTAGACTAGAGCGGTGTCAAACGCTTCCCATGCTACATTGTTTCTCGGGGTGGCCCAGCGTCTCATCGATATATTTGAACCAAGGCGGGGACCAGCTGCAAGAGAGTGCACAAACCGATGTCGTAGTATTGTACTGTTCCTACGCATCTTTACCCTGGCTTGGATATGTAACTGCTTCCATCCACACTGTCACCTTATTTGCTATTTTACTGTCCTTCCCCTTCTTCACAAATCTGAATTGGTTCCCCTGCAGCATATCGACCTCGCAGTTTCCTGGGTTCAAGCGTGGATCTGGATGAGAGAACTGTGCACGGTATTTTTTATAGAGCTCCGGGGCTCCATTCCAGAAAATTCTGCCTTGATGAACGACGTGTATCTTCTGCAGTTCATCATTGTCACAAGATGCTATGGTCTTCCGGATAAGAAGCTCAAGATTGCAAATCATGAGGCCCTCACGAGACTCAGCTTGAGTGGCTTCTCCTTCCAAGTGTACATAGATCTCGCGAATGCCTCTGAGCCCCGCGGCTGCCAACCGCAGCCCAGAAAGCGACTGTGGATGTTTGAGGAAGTCGTACACCCCGGCGTGAACCTTAAGGCTCGTGATATGTGGACGATACGGGGGCCGTACGCGAACCAGGAGCTCTTTGAGGTCGGCGAGACGCCAAGCCCGCGTGTGGAATGTCGTCGCTGCGAATGCAAGCGCATGGGTTTCGTCATAGAGCTGGCGGCAGGCGAGGGACAAGGCTAAAGGTGACTTGTCAAGGGGCGGCGGGAGAATGGCGGTTGTTGCTGTTCTTGTTGTCGTTGTCGGCGCGAAGAAATGCGCGTACACTTCCAAGCGTAGTTCGGCAGGTAATGATAAAAGAGGAGAGTTTTCGGAAGGCATAGTCGTGTTAGAAACCTGTGTATCCGCGAGTGCAGGTTAGCAGGAGGATACTTTGAAATACGAGGAGTTGAAGTTGACGCCTAAATTGATCCCATTAGTGCTAGTGCGCCGCAAATGAGTCCACGGGTCGAGGAGACGTAGTGGCGCAGGCCGCCGTCTGAAGTGGCCTAGCATATTTTCTAGAAACTCCAATGGAAAATCCAAAGCTTGTTATGGCTTACAAGAGTGTATTGAGGTAGACAGCAGTAAACAAATGTACATAAATCCACGTAATCGGTTTCATTTATTTGAGTAAAGGAATATCGCTACTCGGGGTGACCAAAAACTGAAAATCTCGCACATTCTAAGTTTCCACAATCTTCAGACCCCACCTACCTACCTCAAAAACCAAAAAGTGAACACCCGTCCACTAATTCACCTTAGATACCCTTCCAAAGGCTAAAAAGCGACCAGCACGGGACTCGAACCCGCAGCCTTGCCCTATCTAGAAGTCAATAGGAGGGGCACGCGCTACCATTGCGCCAACCGGCCCGTCGATTGTAAAATCAGAAGATTTTGAGCGATCGGCAAATTATTTGCATTATATCGTGTAATTCAAAAACAGACACAGAATTTTCTTTGAAGTTTGCTCTTCGTTTGGGTTGGTGCGGGGAGGAGGGGCATGTCACGAGATTAGTGGGAACAATTCACAATGAAAAAGTACGTTTAATAAGCTAGGAAGTCTGTTCAATGCGTGCTTGGACTTTATAGCCTAATGCCACTTGACCATCATGATCTTTGGATGAAATTTCTTTCAGTGACGATGTAAAGTTCGGATCTCATCTAGTCTATTGCATATACCCATGCCATGGTAGTAAGACTGTGTAATTGCCACAACCCAATCCTATCATACCGCACATCAATGGAAACTGTTATGAGCCTGGTATTCCCACCTGGCAGATAATAGCGATGAAGTGATGCTAAGGTATAGTAGATCACGTGTCAGTTCCCGATTCGGACGACTCGATCACTTCACTTCCATTCTTCTCACAGACGACTCCATCCAACTCAGAGCCTATCTAAGCTTAGAGCCGTCTATATAGGACAATACGGCTACAGCTCGGCACTATCACGGTCAACACAGTCCCCCTGTATATCTCATATTTCCAAAGTCACTTCTTCAGCCCTTCATCCGCTTCGTTTACCTCCGACTCGGATGCCGTCTGACCCACCCCTGCCTTTCCCAGTCCATTTCCACTATATCTTCCTCCACGAATGCCTTCTGGGGCCCCGACGATGAGCCCTGTCCTCGACGCCGTTCGCGTCTAGCCCCACTATCAGACACTGTTTCCTGTCGGACAGCAGTTCGGGAAGGTCGGCCCCCCTGCGGCGCTGCCGCACGAGGAGGTAGATCGAAATTTATGGGACCTTTGGGACGATAGCCGTCGTGCGGATGCTGGCCGTCATCGTTCTCGTCGTCTCTCTGCTCGTCATGGAAAAGGTAGACATAAAAGACGCGAATAACAGCGCCGAGACCGATTACAAAAAGGATTGTCTGCCCGGCTGCAGCGAGCGAGTTGACGCCCGTGATGTTGTTCCAGTGGATAGTAAGTTCAGTGGCAGCAGTGATGATGGTCGCAACGATGATGTTGATTAGGGAGTTGAGGTTGCGGAGAACTTGAATGCGGCGCTCGACGTCTTCGCTCGGGCTATGAAAAGTGAGTAAGGAAAGGGTCTACAAGTACGAAGCGTGGTATGAGGGGAGAACATACTCGTCTTCGTATGCATTCAAGTCCTTTAGATACCCCAGCATGCTGACCATCTTCACAAAAACAAGCAATAGACATATCGTCGCGAGCATGAAGTAGAGTAGTATATTAATAACCACGAAGCCGGTGTTATTCAGGCGGATCTTGGCGAAGAAGAAGCCGAACTGGTCACATTCTTCGCCTTTTAGGTCTTGAACGCGGCCGAACCAGAACCAGAATTGCAAGCCTAAGACGGCAAATTCTAACAAAAGGCGCAAGTTCGAGTGCAGAGCGCTTTTTTGAACGATTGGCCACCGTGTCGGGTCCCAGTAAGGATTGCGTCGGGTAAAGAAGCGCCATATGTATACTGGGGCTGCGTAGAGGTATGCGCCAAACATGAGGAGCAGGATGATGTAAACTTCAACGACTTGGAGAGATTGCACGTTTCGAGATACTTGAATGACTAGTGCCAGGAATGTTGCGGCTACGAAAAAGTCATTGGCAAACCACAAACCTTTGACCTCTCCACGAGCGATCCAGGCGGCGAAAATGGCGCCAAACCACTGTAGATAGAATCCAAGGCGTATCCCGAGACCGTACATGTCAGAGTTGCCCTCAAACGTACAGACGACCATCTTGGACACGGCGATCTAAGCAGCCAGCTGGAAGTGGGGTTGAAGTTCACATAGTCGGGATGAACCCAAGTTCCAGAGCTGAGGTGCATATCCCCACAGCCAATCATTAGCTTCGGCCTGAAGCCCATCGCATGATCGGTCATGCACATGGCCAAGAAGAGAGAAGGGGTTTTCCGAATTGTTTTGACAAGGAGAGATGTGACAAGAGATTTGGACTGTTAGCTGGCCGATCTTGCAGCCTGCAGAGCCGGAATGGAGAGACCCGAGAAAGAGACTAAGGAAAGACTCGAAAAGACATGCACCGTATAACGCAGGAAAAAGCAAATCTCGATCACCGCTGCCTTCGCACCAAAACTCGAAGACGCGTCTAAGGGTTTGAAACAGTGGTAGAGCGGATATGCGTTGGCATAATGGCGTCCATTTATCCATCCTCGTCGCTGAAAAGGATTGAACTAGAGCAGTTCTATGACGTTGTAGACTGGCAAGAAGATAGAGAGACGGCCATATGTGGCTTGTCTCGTGATCTAACCATCACCGCCCATTCGAGTGCAATGGCCGGAGAGAAGCAAAAGACGTGATGCTGAAGCAAAGATGATGATGTTGAAGAAGAAGGGATTCACGTGAAGGGTGGAAGGTTAGAGCTGGGACGGGCGTGATGTCGGTGCCACCTCGCAGGCATGGTGTTGAAGATCCCAGCCCCCTCTTTCGTAACCTGCTTTCGATGCGCCACCGTATAAGAACCTCTGCCGGGCCGTCTGTCTGTCTCGTACCTATGTGCGCTGCCGCCCCTTCGCATGGGTCACTGGCAGGAGCGCATCGTCTTCGTCCGTGACTTTGCCTTCAACTCCCCCCGTTTTCGCATGGCGACCAACATCGGCGATGCGCCCGCGACCACCTTTGCCGAGTACGTGAATCAACCACTTTCCACGCGTGCAGACGTCCCCAAGATGGATGCGCCAGAGCCGGAGTCGAGCGCAGAGTCGGGCTCAGAGGCGGAGAGCGATGCGCTTCCTGACGGGCCCTCGCAACCGTCCTCTGAGCCCAATCCGCTCATGCCGCGACCCATTCTGGCGCATCGCATCCACTCGCACCGTCTCCACGTACAAGCCAAAGCTAAATCGCAGCGTGCCAGGCTCCTCTCCGGCCCGCTCGTAGACATCTACGTTGGGCCCTCCAAGCGTCACTGGGCCCTCCACCGCAACCTCCTCTGCCACCACTCCGAGCAGCTGGCTGCCGAGCTCCTCCCATCCAACGACGCGAAAAAGAAGACACCAGACAAGCTCGAGCTACTAGACGACGATCCATCAGGCTTCGAACTGCTGGTGAAATGGCTGTATCAAGGCAAGCTCGACGATGTCTCCGACATGGCAGATCCGAATCGCATGTACGACTACGCAGTGTACTGTCACAAGCTGTACCTGCTCTGCGAGCGCTTCGACATGCCGCAGCTGAAGAACATTGCGATGGACCAATACCGCAAGGGGCTCAGCGAGGCAGAGCTGGTGCCGGACGCCGACGAGATCAACGAGATATATCGTAAGAGCAGTCCCGGCTCTCCCTTTCGACGGTTGATGACCAAGATTGCTGCGCGCCAGATCATGGACCCGGCGAGTGAGAAGGACGCCGAGTCCTATCGAGCCTGCTTCGACGGGACTCCAGATTTCGCAATCGATCTGGTCAACGCCATTCGGTTGGGCACGGGAGGTATGCTGTTCGAAGACCCAACTGAGGCTCGCGATGACTGCACTTATCACGACCATGACGCGGGGCCAAATTGTCACATAAAGGGCAAAGGGAGAGCAAAGCCAGGTAAATAAGCGGCACCTGTCACAATCTGCCCGATTCCTCAACACAGTGCCTTCCTCATGCCGTCCCGTCTCCTCTGGGACGAAGTCGAGCACCCATCACGCTCCATCCACACCACGCTTCGTCCGCACAAAGCAGAACGATAACAAGAATTAACACCACAGTGTACAAGGCTTCCTCGCACCGCCGCCGCGTCCACAAGCCCGCTCCACCCGCTCAAACGGCAACGGCACCGGCCATTCCATCGGCATCGGTCACTCCACCTCCAACAGCAAACATCACGTCGCCTCGTCAAGCGCTGCCGACGGCCGACCCTCTGCCTCCCGTGCCTCCTCCTCCGCTTCCAAGTCATCCGACTCCACATTCCGCTCCGCAGACTCCCCAACCGCGTCCCCCTCGCCGACCCGGCGCCTATCCCGGCGGCCCTCTCCGCCGCGCCTCGTCAACGGTCTCGACGAGCACCGAGACGGCGACAGCAGCAACGCTCAGCTCAAGCCCGCAGGAAGCTCGGGAGAAGTTCCGAGCGAGAGCAACGTCAGCGTCCGGCGCAAGAGTAGTGGGGCTGGGACTAGAGGAGGCAATGGTGGAGGAGCAACAGGAGGAGGTCGAGGAGCAAGCCCCCCTGCTGCCGCCCCCCCTACCACCCCCGTCGACAGTCCAAAACGGGCTCCGCCAAAGCTACGAAGGCGCACTTCGCCGCCAGGCCAGTCGTAGCAGTCTTGCCAGCAAGAGCAGCAAGACTGTCTTGCCCGAGGCCGGCAAGACCAGCAAGACGTCCGACAGTGGTAAGAGCGACAGGGCCACACGCGATACAGGCTCCGTTGACAACCCAAAGCCCTCCAAATCCGAATCCGCAATTTCCAGCTCCATATCCAAAAACGACGACAGGAGTCAAGACGACAGTCCAGAATCCCCGTCCGTAGCCTCAGTCGACGCCAGCCCGCCCCGCCGAAGGATATGGGACTGGGCTAGAGTTGGTGTCTCGGTGCCGGGCCTTGGCATTATGAGCCGCAGGTCGCATAGCGACCTCAAGGCTTCGATGGACGTGAAGGACGCGCCTGCCTCTCAACCGATTCCTAAGACCGCAATCATTCCTCCTATTACTGGGACTCAGGATGATTTCAGTGTTCCATCTGCCGTTTCGACGGTAGCTACCACTGTCGATACTGGTCTCGAATCGACAGCGAAAAGCAACGGTATATCGAATAGTATCTTTCTGCATCCGCCGTTGTCGCCCTTACATGAGTTTGCGGAAACCAAAAGCTCCTCAGACGACATAGTTGCAGAGTCGAACGGGCATTGGGCAGATTCAGCCGCTGTTACGCCAATAAAAGAACCAAACTCCTTCGCAGAGCCGCATAATGGTGACGCGGGCGAAGCAAGCAACTCTCATGCTCAGGGGAAGGCCGATGTCGATAGTGATGATGACCATGCATCCCCGAAAAACGATGAACAGAAGCAAGATTCGAGTAACTTCTGGACCGAAGACGCGAAAGGGGTCGCTGGGGCGATCTTCGCCAAAGCAGGGGGCCTTACGAAGTCGAGGTGGGCTTCATAAAATGATTGCGAATAATGATGCTGGACCCCTCGATGGATCAGGCTGTGGATATAAATCGTCAAATTGTATAACATTCGATTCCCGCTATGCTCGAAACTCGCAGAAACACACTCAAGTTTGAGAAAAATGGCTACCAACACACACTTATGTACTCTTCATCAAACATCTACTCCCTCCCCCTCGACACAACACTAACCCCCCTACTCGCCGGCCTACCCCCCACAACTGTTCCCTTCTTCTCCCTCCTGAAACACGCAAATTGGCTCTTCGTGCCCTCCCTCAACCTCTTTAAAATAAGCCTCAAACTCGGCAGCTCATTTTGCAATTTGACCCTCGCCTCATTATCCGTCCGCTGGTCCAGCACCTGATAAATCTCCGTCTGCACCTCGGCCGCCTTCTCCGTCGTGTACGTCGACAGTGTCTGTGCCAGGAACTCGACGTCCAGCGTCGCTTGCATGAGGTGCGCGAGCGTGTAGCGCTGCCGCGACTGGAACGTGTTGATGAGGCAGACGGAGATGTGCTCGAACAGGAACCTGAGGATGCGTTGGGTTAGTGGGGACGCGGTGGTGGAGACCTCGGTGTGCACGATGACGAGGTCGAGGAGGATTTCGTAGACGTAAGGAGAGGGGTTGCGGTCGGTACCGCGGGGCACTGTGGGCGCCCAGCTGGGGGATTGGATGCCGGTGGTGATGGTGGCGGCGAGGCGGTCGGCGATGGGCTTGGTGTAGGATTTGAATAGGTGGGCGTCGATTTTGGCAAGAGAGTCGCGGATGGCGGTCGTTTCGTCGGTGAGGGCGACGGAGAAGGTCGATTCGAAGATGGAAATCAGGTGGGGGATTTGGTCGGTGCTGAGGTGTGAGAGGGTTGAGAGGGTTAGGAGGAGACGGATGGACTGAGTTTCGTTCGTTAGTAAAAATTTTATAGGTTGAAAAATGGGGGCATATATGATGTGGTATACTGGGCGTACATGAAGTACAGCGGAAGTAGGCCTTGTTGGAAATGGATGCGATTCTGATAAGAAGGGGCACATGAGGTATAAGAGTGAAATGACATACCTGGTTACTGGCATCAATACCACTTAAGCTCGAGTCCTCAACCGCTTTCTGTGCTGGTACCGTGAGCTCGTCCGCCACATTATCCCAGTCATCATCAACCAACACCCTCCCTGTCTCAGCATTCTCAACCATTCCAGACAGTGCTTTGTACAAGCTCGTGACGAACTGACTTCGCACCATCTGCAACAGCTTGGCAGACGGCGGCACCACGACGTCCGTGGAGCCAGGCTTGCTCATCGCATCGCTGACATATAGAATCTTCTGCATATTGCCTAGGAGTGCGTTTTGTAGCGCCATAAACCTCGAAGGCAAATTGGTAGAGTCCCGCCGTCCTGACGAGCGTGTCCAGTCCTCTAGAACCTTGACTTTGCCGGCGTCGAGGTCCCAGGCAACACAAACAGCTGACACGCAACGTTCCCGCACACCTCCAACGAGAGATTTGAGCAACTCGGTCATGCGCATTCCTGTTTCACTACGCTCGGGCAGTCTAAGCGATGCCATTTCGCTCGCAGCGGCACCGATGAGAACGAGGATCTTGGCGAGATAGTGGACGCCGCTGAGGGCGTTAGAGTAGGGCGGCCAAAAGGCATACTTCTCCCAGGATTCGCCCCGCGAAGGAGATGGTGGGGGGGCGCTGTTGGGGTCGAAGCGGAATCGAGTGTCACTGAGAGGAGATAGAGCGGCAGACATTGGTGTCTTCGGAGTGAGAGGGGTCGTGGGCAGTGGGGAAAATAGTAAAGATATGTCTTCGATGGGAGGGTCGGAGAAGAATGAGAAAATATGCTCGCGGATCACGTTGATAAGCTCGATGACGCCTTTCTCCAGTTCGCGAACACCGTCTGTGGAGAGGCGGTGATGCTGGCGGCTGCCACCGTCTATTCCGATCGGTAGGTTCTTTTGTGCTTTGCCGTCGATGAAAGACCTCGCAGTATCCCAATACTCAACCACCTCACCAAGGACTCCACCCTGTGTAGAGAGAAGGGTATTCATAGAGCCGAGTACATGCTCCCAGAATTCCAAGACCTTGGCCGAGTCCATCTTCCCGAAGTCTCCTGATCGGCCTTGCGAGGCAACGGAGCGAAGCTGCAAAGCGAGCATGCTCAAAGTAGGCTTCTCGCCATTGCCAAGATGACGACGTAGAATCTCAATTTCAACTTTTGACCGTTCGCAGGTCGCTGCGATCTTGTTTTTGAGGAAATCGTATCTGCTGAGAAGCCAGAACCATATGGGGTTTTCTTCTACGCCCAATTCTAGCATAATGGATATGAGCTCCATGTATGCTTCGGGCTTGTCTTCCGCCATTGCTTGCTGCTTGTTAAAGTGCATGCCAGTCAGGGTGCGCCATGCATCACGCTTGAATGACTCGACTTGGCCATCAACATCTGCCCACATGCGAGCGGTGATGATGATCTGGTGAACTTGGTCGTCTGTAAGAGGTGTCCGACGGTAATTAGCGCTTTCGACCATAGATCTTGCATCCTCTGCATATTTTCGTGCTCGTGTATAGTCCTCGACGATGGTTTCATGGTCCTTGCGCTTCACTGCATCCTGCAGTGAAGCTCCAATCTCGAAGAGGGCGCGATTCCTCTCCATGGAAGTTAAAATGGCTTTCAGAGTCTCTTCTTTATCCCTTCCACCAAGCGCAGGTCCCCAAACTTCCTCGGCTTTCACTGCCACTTCTAGCAAGGGCGCCTTGATGCCTGCCACACCATATTCACTTTCTTTCACCAGCGCGTTCTTCTTCTTATCACTCGGTAGTGGTTTGTTGGAACCTAAGTTGGGGCTCAGAGGGCCACTGGTGCTCCTGCCATGATTGGCCGACTTGCTAGCATGGCGAGAGTGTGGTCGTTGTGGAGACTCGGGCTCTGCAGCACCTTGCTCCTGCATCTCGTTATATACATTGTCAATGGTGGCTTTGGCGCGCACAAAGCGCTCGAAATTCGACTCAACAAGCACTTTGAGGGATGCTGATTTCTTTTCAATGGATCGGGATAGGAAGTCAAGGCCTCGCAGCAGTTGATCGGTGGAATCGTCGTTGTGTACCTGTGAGAGAAAGAGGGCGGGGGAAAAGGTGGTGGAAGACAGGAGGAAGCGGTTTCCTGCAACCATTAGATTGCTTTCTTTCGAATGGACTCGGTATTTTCCACATACTCATCTTGGTATCATCCTCCACCGGCAGCCCCCGCTGGCGGAGGACCTGCACCACGCTCGGGAATGCGCCGAGGGGATCGGATTCATCTTTCTGCACGAGGTTCTCCAGCCCATCGCGCGTCTTTTCCGCCCCTGGCAGACTTCTCCTATAGCTTCCACTGCGTTCCAGCACAGAGTACCGCGACTTTGACCGGCGGACGGGGTTAATGGTGGACGTCTTGGGCACGTCTTCATCTTCATCGGAGCTCACGTCCTTCTCCGCCGGCCATTCTGAGGGGTAGAGGGTCGAGATGTTGTAGTAGTTCTGCAGCTTGGCCTCGGTAGCCGCCATGTTGCAAACTGGTAGTCGTCTTGAATGGTGGGTGATGTCGTGGCTGGTGTCGAAGGTCTAAAGTCACGATGTTGGAGAGGACCAGCCACTCATGTCTCGGCATTGAATAAATACCTACCCAGCAGGCCAGCTTCAATCTAGCCTCCCTTCACAGGCTCCGGTGAACATAAAGTGGTAGTCTAGCACCATCTGAGGTACCCCCGAAGCAATGAGTCTTGTCGAAATTGTCGTTTCATATTCTTTCATAACGTACCCTTTGTACCTACTAGAGGACCTCTAGCGGGACTAGGCAAGTGTACATATAGATTCTTGATATTCACAATCAAACATAAAGCCAACGATTGAGGAATTTGTTTCCATGTGTATACTAACAAATAGTTCACATGTTCTTCACCAAGGACGTAATGCCAAACCTCCTGGTTGAATGCATGCAGCAACAGGGCATGGACCCACGTCGCGATTAAATCGTCGTTAGGCCTTGGCGCCGTCGATCTACAGAGCTTTGCTTTTACGAGTGCTTCACATCTTCTCCCCACTCCTCTCGCCGCCCCCAATTCTCGCTGCAGCAACCTCGCATTGCTGCACTTCTTCTACCCTCTGCTGGTATCGTCTTCGACATGTTGGCCTGCCGTTCTTTTGCTGCGCCCGCGAGGCAATGCCTACGTCGCGCCAGCCCAGCCACCCAGCGATGGATACCGGCACTTCCACAGGTTAGTCCTGCGGACTTCAGCGACCGGCATTGAGCTTCCGCTGCCATATGCTTCCATTCAAATTGAACTGTTTCTGACTATATGTTCAATTGTAGTCCCAATCGCGATTCTACGCTGTCGCCGCGGAAGACAAAGTCGCAAAGTTCAAGGGCACCAAAGGCAACGACGTAAGCCAAACCAGGCGAACACTCTCGGGCGGATTGCGACGATAATATGTTGCTGGCCCAAACCATGACTGACAAGGCTATGGATATACAGGGCAAATTCACCGTGACGCTTATCGAGGGAGACGGAATTGGGCCTGAGATCTCACAATCAGTAAAGGATATCTTTTCTGCCGCAGGAGTAAGGACAAATTCAACACGCGAAAGTTCACACAGCAGCTAATGGTCGAAGGTGCCTATCAAGTGGGAATCAGTGGACGTCACACCAACTCTCAAGGACGGAAAGACCGTGATCCCAGACGAGGCCATTGAGAGTGTCACGAAGAACTACGTAGCTCTAAAAGGACCTCTAGCGGTATTAATGGCCCTGCCATCTCTTCCGTGGCTTCGCTGACACCTCACAGACCCCCATCGGCAAGGGCCATGTCTCTCTGAATCTCACCCTGCGACGAACATTCAACCTCTTCGCCAACGTCCGTCCCTGCAAGTCAATCGCTGGATACAAGACACCATACGATGGCGTGGATACCGTGTTGATCCGAGAGAACACAGAGGGAGAATACTCCGGCATCGAGCACGTTGTTGTGGATGGTGTCGTACAGAGCATCAAGCTCATCACCAAGGACGCCTCCGAGCGCGTTCTCAAGTTCGCGTTCCAGTATGCTGAAGATGTTGGCCGAAAGAAGGTGCGAGCTGTCCACAAGGCCACCATCATGAAAATGTCCGATGGTCTTTTCCTCAGCACCGCCCGTGATCTGGCCAAGGACTACCCCAAGATCGAATTCGACGCTGAGCTCCTGGATAACACCTGCCTGAAGATGGTCACGGATCCCACCCCTTACAACGATAAAGTTCTCGTCATGCCCAACCTGTACGGAGATATTCTGTCCGATCTGTGTGCTGGTCTGATCGGTGGTCTTGGTCTGACCCCCTCTGGTAACATCGGCGACGAATGCTCCATCTTCGAAGCCGTGCACGGTTCCGCACCGGATATCGCTGGAAAGGGCCTTGCCAACCCAACCGCTCTGCTGCTAAGTAGTATCATGATGTTGCAACACATGGGCCTCAACCAGTATGCAGACAAAATCCAGACTGCTATCTTCAAGGTCCTAGCAGAAGGCAAGGTATGTGAACTTCCATCATCACTTTGGAAAACATGAATCTAACCCACAAGTAGACCATCACTGGAGACCTTGGCGGCAAGGCTAAAACACATGAATACGCCGAAGCAGTGGTTAAGGCTATGAAGTAGATTTGTCTTTTTAGAGTGCGATTCTTTGCATTTTCATTGGGTCGTACCAACGGGAATGAGACCAGGTGCGATGTGCATATGTAGGCTCCTGTAGATGCTGTATTATACACCCTGCAATGTGATAGTACTTTTTAGAAACTCCTTTTTGTGATATCCTGTGTGCTTTGTTGACGATGCTAAAAGGAATGGTCTCTCCACGATTTCTGGAACCATACTACTTTCCGCTACCATTTCCCAATATTTTGGAAATAAAAAGGTTACTCTAGCTGTCTAAACGAGGACAAGTAGTTATCAGATAAACTGAAGAAAGAGTCAGGTGATTTCCCGATTACATAAGGGGAAATTCCGAGACCCTTGGAGCTGCCTCGTACGGTAGCATCTCCCTATAAGGATGCGTAAGGGATTTAAAAAAAATAAAGCAAATTTTTTAGGGCGTACTCGGGATCGAACCGAGGACGCTAAGATAGTAATTACTAGTAAACTGCAATCTTACACTCTACCGCTGAGTTATACGCCCATTTGTATGCTGCGTACCAAAATATAAATATATATAGTATGCTCAACTTCAAAAGCGTAAATAGAATTTGGTGTGTTTAGTTTTGGGATAAGAGAACATTGCGTACATCAGTGCGTACATCAACGCCAAGCAGCCGTATGATGGGGCAATTGCCAAGCCCTATATTCCGTAGATTCACGTTGCTTTGTAATCATAATTGAGGCCATCTTGTACGCTGCATGTTCTGTTGATAGTACAAGCCCAAAGTTGAAAGTGGTATATTTAAAAAAAGTTATGTCCTTTTCAGGGCTGGAGCAGAAAGAAGACTGCTAATTAATATTATATGGCAAGTATTATATAAAGGTTAGTTATAATAAGGGGAGGGTGGTGGACTTCTTATGCTGAGGTAAGCATATTGTGCGGATTGTATCCTGAAATTGAGGGGGAGTGCAGAATTTCACTTTGGCCAGCGTACAACCCAAATTTGTATGAGGGCTTGGCACTGCAACAACGGAAATCGACGTACGGTGTCTATCGTGATATCGTCGTGATATTGAGCTACTCGTACGCTGCGTCAATAGAACAGAACCAGAGTAGAGGCCGTGCGCGCTCGTACGGTGATTTGCAGGGGCTATGTACGCTACCGCACGAGGCGAAAGAACAGGCTCTTGAACGATTGAACGAAGCTTGGAGCTCGCAAAGCATCTCGAATCCAATTCACGAATTGACAGCTACCACGGCTGTTTCACGTCAACATGTCATACTACAAGACGGCCTACCGGATGTTCGTCGGCGTCTCAGTCTTCTATCTATTCACAGACAACGTTCTCAGCACTACCGCCGTCAAAGGTCCCAGCATGGCGCCTACTCTCTCTCCGAAGTCAAGAAGCGCAGGCATTCACGACCGCGTCTTGCTCTGGCGCGGCTTGCCTCGACAAAACCTAAAGCGAGGCGATGTTGTGACCTTTTGGAAGCCACATAACCCGGAAGAAATATCCATCAAGAGGATTATAGCTTTAGAAGGCGATACTGTGATACCCCGGGACAGAGCTACAGCGACCGAAGGAGGATACGGGGGATATGGTCCACGCAAGAACTACATCGGAGGCAGTGGGATGTATGATGGGGCTGTGAAATGTCCAGATGGAAGTGTCAAGATCGTGGTGCCGCATAATCACATTTGGGTGGAGGGCGACAATTGGACGGCAAGCCAGGATAGCAACGACTTTGGGCCAATCTCGAAAGCTATGGTAGATGGGAAAGCTCTGTATATCATGAGGAATCTCATCTTCCCAGAGGACATTCCGATGAAGAAGCTTCAGAAGGGAGACACGAGGGTTATACCCGGGACTTCACGTTTGCCAAAAGACTATGAAGATTTAGAAGGCCTTGTGAGTGCTACGCCGATTCTATATACACCGAGTTCTACTTCTGCAAAACCTTCTCAATCTCCTTGCATACGGCCTCTGTTACAGTTTGTGTGTCGCTCGCCCCTGCCAGATCTTTTGTCTTGATTCCAGCCTCTGTCACATTCTCAATGGCTGCCATTAACCCGTCTGCAGCTTCGGTGAATCCCAGCCATCTTACCATCTCTGCCGCACTCCAAAATGCGCCAATTGGGTTCGCGATACCCTTCCCCGCGATATCGGGCGCTGAGCCGTGAATTGGCTCGAACATACTTGGGAACTCCCTCATGGGATCTAGGTTGCTCGAGGGCGCAATACCAATGCTACCAGACAGTGCAGCCGCAAGATCAGAGAGGATGTCTGCATGCAAATTGGTCGCGACAATTGTGTCAAGCGTTTTGGGATGCAAGGTCATCCTCACGGTCATCGCGTCGACAAGCATCTTGTCTGTCTCAACATCTGGATACTCCTTGGTTATTTCGGTGAAGATCTTGTCCCAAAGCACCATGCCGTGTCTTTGCGCATTGCTCTTCGTCACCATGGTCAGCTTCTTTCTGGGGCGCGACCTGGCAGTCTCGAAGGCGAAGCGGAATATCCTCTCGATGCCCACGCGTGTGAAGATAGAGACTTCGGTAGCTACAGCGTGGGAAAAGGCGCCGTGCGTTGTTCCGCCATGACCAGCGTATTCGCCCTCAGAGTTTTCTCTGACGATAACCCAGTCGAGGTCGCCAGGACCACAGTCCTTCAATGGCGATGTTATGCCTCGCAGGACGCGAGTTGGACGGACGTTCACGTATTGGCCGAGGGCATTTCGGATAGGAAGGATGAGGCCCCAGAGGGAAATATGATCTGGGACATCTGTTCGCGGGCCCAAATCAGCAATTCGTACTTGACATAGTACACATGTTTCCCCCTCAATATGTCTACAAATAGCAACAAAGGTGGGCCGTTTACTTACCAGGCCACCCAACAGCTCCAAAATAAATGGCATCGAACTTCTTCAGCTGATCTAATCCATCCTCCGGCATGTAGTAGCCTCTTTCCTGATATTTCTTGCTGCTCCAGTCCTTTTCAGTAAACTCAAACTCGAAGGTCCCGGATACTACGGCGAGCTTCTGGAGGACCGCAACTGCGGCTTCTGTGATGTCGACGCCGATGCCGTCTCCGGGTATAGTAACGATCTTGAAAACGCGGGACTTGGTGCGGATTGTGGAGGGAGACATGACGGCCAAAAATAGTCTTTGAGACGCAAACAGCTGTTTCACAGGAGCGGATGAGTGAGTATATTATCAGGTGGTGGTGTCTCAATGCCGAAATTGGCCGTTCGATCAGCAATCAGTGGTCGACGAACGGGTTTATATATCTCGGTACTCGGCGGAGAGAAGCCCGGCTGGAGCAGCGGAGAGCTCTTGCTATCTATCCATTCTGGCGTGCTTTTGCAGGGAACTGCGCGACGTGACGGCAACTGAGTAGTTAGCTGTGCTAGTGAGTTGTGACCAGTGCGGGGCTTCAAATTCTCGACCCCACTTCGCGACCTGCCGGAGTGGGAAGTTTTGACAGCGTCAGTTTGGAGGTGTTCATACCCTTTTGAGCCGTTGGGATGGGCGGTGTGATGGCTTGAGTTAGTAAAGAGTTAATGAGCTAGACTTGTCCAGCCATGAAAGCCTTCTGTCACTCTCTTCGTCAACTCACACCTACCTATTTTCAGCAGAGACCACTCGGGGCCGGTATGAAGCTCCTTGATAGAGACCGTCGAGGACGAAGACCAATACGTCTTTAGCGTAACACAAAGGCAAGACGAAAAAAAGCAGAACATCTTTGTCTATTACAATGGTTACCTCTTCGTTTCCTCTTCATGCGTCTCTTTTCTTCAGTTTCAAGAGACGTCAGCTTCCTACCTTTCTTCCATCCGAGGAGCATGCAGGTATATGGGGCGGAAAGACAAGCCGCCCAGGTCTTACAACGCAGACGTATAGCGGATTCCTGAAGTCGGGCAGTGCTTCGTTATCGAGCGGCGACTTGATCAAGCGTGGGGAGCCGTGGGTGAGCGCCGCAACAACGGCAGGACGCCTAAATCTTAGCAACGCACATATCTTACTTGCCTTTATCTGGCGTCCGTCCAATAGTTGGTCGGCGTAGTACTGGCCTTATAGGGCTATGCAAGGCTGTTCTTTCGTCCCATTGGCTCCACGCTCGCCATCTATCCAGCCTCCACGCTAGCAGCACGGCCACATCACCGCGCCTCTTTTCCGAAAGCTCCCGTCTACTACATCCCTCGCTGCAATCCTCCTCGTCTATTCTCATACGGCGTACGGCGAGATTTCACGCCGGTAAGTCTCCGAATGACGGACTACTGAGATAGGACGCCCTAAGATCCTATTTTAGCATCAGCCCTGCCACCACCACGCTCTAACACGGCCCGAACATGTGGTATCTCGCACATCGTGCTTAATTCTATCCATACACAGCACTGTATCCTTTCTTCATCACATGGGTCCTTCGGGCTCTAAGCTTCTGATAGGCTACCAGCTGCCCCATCCCTTACTAGCAGAAGAGGACTATCATGCTTGTTTGATTAGTTCGAACGATCACTGCCTCGGACAGACGATCTTGATATCTCTTTCTAGTCTTCTAGTGGTCTGAATACTCTCTGCGCCGCATGTAGGCTGGTGCTGCGGTTGTCAGATCAGGCCTCACGATATCTGGATACGACTCAGATGAGGCTTGGGCCACTGCACTTTCCTATCCCTCCAAGCCAGTAAGTGCAGAATATCATTGATTCTGTCGCCTAGACAGAGCCGGCCTCAACAGCTCTCAGCCCCAATGGTGAAGTTGAGGTTCTATAAAGGTTTCGATGGAACCGCATTCCGCTCATGGATCCACAACAATCGGAACGTAGCCTAGACCCTTATATCCTAATCTCTATTGCTCTTTTTGTTTTCGTCTTCTTCTCTTGATTACAGCTATTGTATTCTCTTGTACTTTTGTCGAAGTTCATTACGTCCTCTTATCCACTAGTCGACAACATCCTCATTATGTGGACCCAATCTCTCACACTCGTCCTTGCAGCCCTAGCTTGCAAGGCCACTTCCTTTTCCCTCGATGCCACGAGTTCCCCCTCCATCAAGACCGGCTCAGCAGATTTCGCCAGATCATTGGCATCTATGTGTCCCGCTGGCCTGCTTCCTGCGCCAGCATATTGGTGGGAGTCCGCAAATTCCTTGAGCGCTCTCGTCTCGTATCAGCACAACACCGGTGACGCCTCTTACGAGCACATTGTTTTGGCAGGCATACTTTCACAAGCAACTTCCGCCAACGACTTCATGATGCAAGGTGTTGGTGTTGCAAATGACGACCAAGCTTGGTGGGGACGCCTCGCCATGTCGGCTGCTGAATATAAGATTTCCGACCCGCCTGCTGGACAACCGAAGTGGGTTGATTTCGCAACGAATGTCTACAATGAGCAGAAAGGCCGGTGGGACACAACTCGCTGCAAGGGGGGCATGAAGTGGAAAATCAACCCTAACGAAAACGGCTACGACTACAAGTCTACCATTGCGACGGCCGGTTACTTCGAGCTAGCTGCCCGCCTCGCCCTCTACAACAAGGACCAGGCAGCTTCCGAAATTGCCGACGCGGCGTATGACTGGCTCGTCAGTGTTGGTCTGATCGACGTGCAGACATTCGCGGTTTTCGATGGAACGGATGACTCCAAGGGATCAGGTTGCATTGATGTCAATCACAACGAATGGAGTTACAACATCGCAACGGTCATGTACGGCTCCGCAGTCATGGCGTCTCAGACCGGCGACCACAAGTGGGTCGATCGTGTCAATGGCTTCCTGGGGCACATCAAAGACACCTTCACCCTCAACGGAAACCTCTACGAGCCCTTCTGCGAAAAAGGCAACAACTGCGACCTGGATCAGCAGAGCTTCAAGGCTGTTCTCGCCAGTCTCCTCGCGAAAACCGCTGCCATATTACCAGAAACTGCGGACACGGTCGCGTCGATCCTGACGCCCGCCGCAAACACAATGGCTGGAGATTTCAGTGATAGTGTGGGATTCGGTGACAAAATGACAACACTAGAGAGCGTGAGTGGGCTGTTGGTATTGCCAAAGGGGAAGAAGCGCGCGATTCGCTTTTTTGCATGAGGATGGAGCGGGTTCTGGGGTGATTTCTGATTTTCATGAGCGAACACAGCGCATTTGATACCATTTATATTAGCAAGGAGTTGGAAGGAACTTCATATAGAGTAATGACAGTGTATTCTCCACACGTTCACTGGTATCTATATTTACACATGGTCCGCTAGCTGACGCATCTGGCCCCTGCCCAGAAACGGCCCCGCTGCCAGCCCCTCGCACACCGCTTTCCAACCTTGAAGGGAGCTTCGTCCCGTCACCTCCAAGCTCCACGAATCCTCAATCTTACCCTTAGAACCTCAAAGCTGAACAATTGAGCTGAGCATAGCAATCATGGCCGCTGCCTACCCTCCCAATGGAACTTTCTTCGACACGCTCAAGAAGAGCTTCGTCGATGTCCCAGTCGAGTCGGGGAAGGACAATGCTGTTCCCACCACAGAGTTCCTCGAGGCTGCGGAGAGCTTGACTACACTATTTGGTAGGTTCTAATAATTCTGGATGCTTCTATGAGGCTACATCAAAGTCTGCATAGCTAGATTGGGTTCAAATGCTAATCTGCCCTCTTTCCCCCAGACGTCCTGGGCTCCATAGCCTTCACTCCCGTCAAGAACGACATGCTAGGCAACGTCAAGAAGATCCGCGACCGCCAACTCGCCGCTCCCGCTGTATCCGAGACCCTCCAAGACCTCGTCCTGAATGAGCTGAAGGGGAAGAAGCACACAGCGACCGAGGGGCTCCTATGGCTAGTCCGGTACGCTCCCCCGCTTCTCTCCCCCCTACCAATCATCACTAACACTATCGCCAGCGGCCTCGACTTCACCGCTCAAGCCCTCCGTGCCAACCTAAACGACACGTCGGAAGAACTCTCCGCCTCCTTCCGCTCCGCCTACTCCAACACCCTCAAGCCGCACCACTCCTTCCTCATCAAGCCCGTCTTCAACGCCGCCATGAGCGCGACGCCCTACCGAGATAACTTCTATGCCAAACTGGGCGCGGATCAGGATAAAGTGCAGGCGGCGCTTGTGCCGTGGCTAGAGGCCCTGGAGAAGGTTGTGACTGTGTTGAAGGAGTTCTTGGCACGGAAGGAGGCGAAGTGGTAGAGTGCGGATGAGATGGTGGTTATGTCATGGACTGGGTGGGTGTAGTAGTGATATATACATGATGGTTGGCATGCTTGCTGCGTAGGGGTGGGGTGGAGTAGTCGAGTGGTCATTATTTAGCGTTCATGAGCCTGATGTGCACAATACTATGAATACAACACTCTTACAGAGGGACGCTCTTGCGAAAAGGATGTTGCAAAATGATGATGGGAGAGACGTATAGTCTTGACCCTTGGTAGTCGCGCAGAGCATGAAAACAGTGGCACTCCGAGTTTAAACAAGCCGCGCGGTGAGTGTGTACACCTGTATGCCACTGCTTGGGTTGCCTCAATGCATTCACAGAAATTTGAGCGTGATGGAAGCTCTTTACCTTGGACGATTTTAAATGTCGTTGAAGCACTCCAAGCACTGGCAGACAGATGTACACCCAGAAGAGGACTCTGAGTGCGCCACCTTTTTCCCGCCCAGCGTGGTAGTAAAGCGTCTGATTAACTCACCATTAGTCAATCATGGCAGAGCTGCATATATAGGTGGAGGCGACCGCATAGAAAGATTTCTTTGAATACTGACTGTATGTTAAGAGGTACACTATGCATGCAAGCAATACATCGTCACGGAATAGAGCAGAGTCCGGAGGTACCGCACTCGACTGGATGTATTGTAATATAGACGAAATGTACCCAAATAGACCGAGGATTTAGCAAGAGTCTCGTGTTTGACTCTGGTATCGGAACAGGACTTGATTTATTTGTACTCACTGATTCAACGGAGATACGGTGACGTTGTTACTTAGTGCCAATCTTCTGACTTTAAGATCGAAAGAACGGACCTACCCTTTTGAGCCATAATTTCAGATTTGTGTTTCATCATTCTCTGTATGCTTCAGGGATTGAAAGGTGTGGTCTTTGGCATCTTCTCTCGCCAATTGAGGGCCACCTATTTAGCGTGAGCTGTTACATCCGATACCAATTTCGGCCTCTTTCCTTGAAAAAGTACTCTGGGTCTACAGACAGCCTACGGGGAAAGCACCCAGTTCCTTAGGAACACATAGGCGTTCTCTACCACTCATAGAAGCCGAGCGTTACCATACCTTCTTTGCGGTCAATCCTTGAAGACGCAAAGGGAGCGATAATTGGGAAGCGCCCAGTGACTTTGGAGGCATAAGGGCGCGTGAACAGGACTCTTTGTCTCCAACTCTTTAATTCTGCCTCGGTTTCACAACCCCATCATGCACGATATAATAAACCACCGTGCTATCCGAATCGACCGTCGCCAACACCACCCTCTTAGCTGTTCTCCATTTGCTCTCCTTCTCCTCACCCGCCTCGTGTTCAGTACCAGGTGGAGGAGTAAGCTCGATCGCGTCGAACACCTCCGCCAACCTCTTCAAGCTCCACCGCTCGCTCAACCGCATTGGTAATACCCATTCGCGCTCCGGTTCGGCATGCACGTCCAATCCTTCAGGTTCTGCTTCGTCTTTCTCCTCCTGGGCATCGGTGTGCTTCTCGGCTTGCTTCGTCCTCCCGGCTTTCCTCCTCGCTTCCGCCTCTTTCAGCAATTGAACTTGCTCATCTGGATGGGTATATAGCCGCAGCGGGGGCAAGCCCGATAGTAACGGGCGCGGGAGAGGAGCGTTTGTGATTGTAGAGTGTGTGTGGAGGCGTGTTGCGGTCCAGGCGTGTTGATGAGTGAGGTTGTGCTGGATCTGGAGGGCTAGGGTTTGGAGGGGGTCACTAGTGGGATTGGAAGAGAAGAATTTCGTGAGAGGAGATGGTGTAGGAAGCGATGCCGCAGCAGAGGTAGTCATGTCGAGGTACTGCGAGTTGTCGAAGCCTAAGTGAATGGTGTCGTCTTCAGGGAAGTTCGACGGTTGAAGATTTGAGGTGACTGGATTCTTCTTGGCGAAATCTATTCCGCGAGATCACGTGATACGAACCCCCTTCACGAGAAGTTGATGTGGTCCTTTGGGAGGTATAACAGAGGATCAGATTCTTAGATACGTATTGTAGAGAGCAATGATTCAGCTATGGAGAATTTCATTCTGGGCATCCCTTCGACGCTAGTATCATGGAATCTCAGAAACAATCCTGTCTCCCTCTTTCGGCAATTCATAGAAATGCTGCATATCGACTTTCTCTTCAGGAGGCAACTGATGCTTCTCCGCCCATGCCCTTACCGCCTCGAAGTTCCGGCATTTGTGTTTCGTATGGAAGTCGACAAACGGCTCTATGGGATTGCCTTCGGGATGATACCAGATCTGTCCCAGGACACCAACATCAACGGTACACATGAGCTGTTGGCGGAGGATGTCTAGGCAGTGTGTGGTATGATAACGGATCACGTAGTCTGAATTCGTGAATGGCCCCTCGCCTTGTTCATGGTAGTAGTCGTAGTTCCATGTCAGCGCTTTACGGAGCAGGTTCTACAGCAGAATGATTAGAAACCATGACCAGCAACGCCTTGAGCACAAGTATTGGTTATGTTGCGTGAGTAATGACTTACCAAGCAGTGCAAGTGATGCAAACCTTCTACATTGGCAGGAAACCCGCCCCCGTATCGTTGGCTGACTTTCACTTGATCCGGAAGGATGCCGGATTGAGTTGCTTGATCTGCTGGAACCACCATGGCACGGTCTGAGGATAAGTTTCAGTATTTTTGACTGTTGGGGATCTCTGCTTGGTACCTACAGTTGACCCCCAGTGACTCCCATGCTGCATCGACCTCGGGGCTCGCGGCGCCCCTGAAAATGTTTGCTTTGAGCAAAGAACCGTTGAAGCGAATCGTTTCATAATGAAGGTCCACGTCTTCAACTATAGGAGCTATACGCAAGGTATCAGCTCTTGGTCCAGATCAAAGGCAACAAGACGTACAATACTGGGAAGTGTGCCAAATGCAAAATTTGTCGGGGTTCAAAACCCAATTATTGCCCAACCATATCCCTAAGAGACCCGACGCAGTCGTTAGGAGGACCAGAGGGGCATACGTCTTCAAGAAGTACCAAGTTGCAGAAGGTTGATGTGGTGATCGTTTGATTTCAGAGGAGGCGCTACAAGAAGGACACGGAAGCAGGGCCTCGTTGTCTTCTTTCTGAGAGACTGGTGTGAACCTGATAGAACTTCTCACGAGTTGGCCAAACATAGTGAGCATTTACATCAAAGCTCGCATGGATATCAAGAATGAAGTAGAGAGTGAAGGGTGACGCTGTGTTAGATAAATTGAAGGGAGGAAGGCACCTGTTGAGCTTTACTGAGAATTTTTGAACATAAGTCGAAGCAAAATTAGGTAATTGTTAGTTCGATTACACAGATTAGCGCAAATGTCGTTCAGTAGATCATCAAATGGATGACATTCTCTCGGCTCCTGCAACCATCCGTGTAGCACGCCATTTCTGTAGGCTGACCTTTGAGGTTTGCTAGACTCAGTGAAGAGTGCAATAGTACACAGCTTCGAAGCAGTTAAATTCCCAGATTATCATCATCTAGATTCAAAATCACTTGCCAGCTGCTGTGCCTCATACTGAACCCTGTGTTTCTTCAGGATTGCTTGTGGCGTATTGATGAACTGTCCCAAACAGTAGCCGGCATGTCAGTTCCGTCGCAGCAGAATCTTACATAGAAGTTTGAAGCTCTTAAATGACTCGTTACCTGACTCAGTGACTCTAGGAGATGGTACCTAGCAATTAGGAGCGGGTAGAATAGTGGGGGTTTGTATGTACAGACTAAGGACCGTACCTCCTTCACCATACCGTAGGCTGTGCGAAACGTCTGACTTCTTGATTAATAACAGCCCTCTGATATACCTACGATATACCTTCGATGCCGCAGAAGCCGGGGAGAACATTCGGCCGTCTGCAAACGGCAGTAGTACATGGACAACATGGTTCCCCGTCCAGGCTGAGCAGTGAAGGCAGACAACATCACGCGGCTCTCCCGGGCCCTGCGTGGCCCCCTGGGATTTTGTGGGTTGACAGGTACATGGCTGCGGGATCCCGATGTCAGGAGTCCACTACCGGAATCACAGTGCTATGTAGTTCCAACAGATGCGTTGCTGGCGCAAACGAAGAGGTACCAAAGATACCATCGGACCGGAAAATCTGGAGTCCGATTGGTGCGGCTGACTATCCTATGCCGAACTTCTCATCAACCCTTCCCCTTTGTTTCTTCATCGATTTCTTTGACGCTTCCTCGAAAGGAAAGCGCTACGCCTCCATCCTTGTAGGGCAAGTCGTCACGGATAACTCGGGTTCTCGCAGCAACTTGATTCTAGACCACAGCTTGACAGCCACTATTCCAGATCCGCCTGTCGTTGCTCGTAGGCTCAACACATGGCCATCCTTCGCAGCACAGCATCCTCACCGCATCTCTCCAATTGCGCCGTGGAACGTCTTGTCGCCGATATGTTGAGTATCGTGGCGTGAAGTCAGACGTCTATATCGTATTTCGCCAATGGGAAAAGGTTTCTTAGGATAGCCACGGACCCTACCCGCGTATGCCAAGTCTTCATTTACAGTTTCACAATCATTCGTCCAATAAGTTATACCGACTTCCCGACGTCCTTGATAATCCTAGGTCTATTATGAGGTATTACTTTGCCTCTTTTGATTGCTAAAAGGTGCCTCCTAGCGTGGCCCAATGGTGGAACAACACTGGAATCACGCGAAGCTCGAAAAGCATTCGGCGAGCTGTAATTCGACATCTACTCGACTAGCACCATACGACACACTGGGCTCATGGAGTTCCAAAGTCTATGCCTGTGTCATGTCGGTATTCGTATCGCCGATTGTCTCATCGAACTCTGTCTCTAGAAGATGTATATTCCATTTAAATGTGGCTCTCCCAGCCCGAATTTCTTCCTCAGAGCCTGTGGCCTTTCGCTCACTTCATTTCTTCAATCGTTTCAGAGAACGCAATTTCCTCAAGTCTTGTCATGCATCTCACCCGAGACCTCCTCGCCGCCTTGGTGATTGGTGCCTCGACGGCCGTCATCGCTGCTCCAATTGCTAACGGGCGCCTCATCAATCCATTGAAAAGAGAAGCTGATCCGCGAGCATGGAGAATTATCCCTACTCCAGAAGAGGCAGCCACCTTCACTGAGTATGGCACTTACACCGGCTACCGACCATATCAAATATACAAGTCTTATGATCATTACAGCTCATCCGCGGAAAATACTGCCACCACGCAGCAGTCCCAAAAGCGCAGCAATGCGGACAATCCCGAGACTGAAGCAACGTTCGGCTACTACGGTAGCTACAGGCCGTACGCCTCATACGGATCGTATCGAGATGCAGCGGAAGAAGCTGCTCAGAGCAAGAAGCGCGATGATATGGCTACTGCCAAAACAGAAGCGACATTTGGCGTCTACGGGTCTTATCGCCCATACACATGGTATGGAAGCTACTCGAAGGCTACGGAGGGTGCAGCGCAGAATGAAAAGCGCGGTAACATAGCCACTCCCGAAACTGGAATGTCAGAAGCGGAAGAGGGCGTCCAAAATCAGAAGCGCAACGATGCCGACAACGCCAAGACTGAAACAACATTCGGCTACTACGGCAGTTACAGGCCGTATACCTCATACGGATCGTATCGATCTGCAGCGGAAGAAGCTGCACAAAACAAGAAGCGCGACGATAGCGCCACTCCTAAGACCGAAACTACATTTAGCTACTACGGTTCCTATCGTCCATATCAATCGTATGGGAGCTACTCGAAAGCTATAGATGGCACAGTGCAGAACCAGAAGCGGGATGAAGCCGGCAAGCCTCATATTCAGGATGGCTACGGCACCTACGGGCCTTATGGAATTTACTCGAGCTACGCGAAATACAAGAAAGCCGAAGAGGCTGCCACTACCAATGCAGAGCATAATGCCTCTTGAGACGCGTTGACGTCGTGAGTAATACAGGCGCGGTAGGCTTGTTTGCATAGCTACCAGCGAAGATGGGTACCACTGCTGACATGTTGCCACCAGGTCAAGCTTGCGAACGGTGGGTGGATTGGACAAAAGACTGAAGCAGAGAGCTAGTTGGAGATGTGCAGTTGTAGGACGCTGAGATGAGCTGGAGTGTCCTCCTAGTCATTCTTTATATTATGAGTATGTAGTTGCAAGAGGCTGTTTTATCTGGATCAACGACGAAATGGTTCCATTCTATTGTCGTGGAATGTTCGATGTGTCTAAGAAGCTACTCATCAGTGTTCACCTGCTATCTCACAGTGACTTCCTCTGCAGGGCAATTATATTATGACGCCTGACAGTGCAAAAGTATTAGTGATCTAGCCATCAAGTATGCATGAACACTACGTAACCCTATACAAAAAGGTCAAACATGCCTTGGCTGTCTTGCACGCATGGTACATGGACGAGCCAACGGCGCAACGGTGAAGTGTGTACGTAGTCTGTCCAGCCCCAAACAGGGTCATGCCCAGGAACAACACGTACCTGTGGTACTTATCTCCAATCCCATTGCCAGCCTAATAACCTAATCGTGCTCCGGCCCCCACGCCGGGCGTATCACGAAACTCTAAGCTCTTGTCCATGAATTGTGACGATCGCGAACGGTCTGCCGCAGTGGAGGCAGTCATCGCCGTGCCGCAGGCGAATAGGGTTGGCACTGGGCGACCAGGGCCCTGGTACACAGCATGGAACACCCGTCAATGCAGAGTTAAAAGGCCGTCTCGGACTTCAAGCTGGATGGGCACATGGGAAATGGCTGAAGGCGCATCGTCCATGGTCGCCGACGCGGGATGGATGGCCTCCCAGGCGAGCAAATTACACGATCTTCGCTGTCATTTGTTCCGCAGATTGGACGCCCGAAGGATGTCCGAGTTCGCACGGCGATTTCGTACAATGACTGCATCTGTGAGGAGTTGTCCCCTGGTGGCTGATGTGCACGCTCCAAGCGGTGCGAGGCGCTTGGAGGCAGTGAGGTGAACGTGGATGGTGCGACTGTGCTATCATGCCCTCAGGTGCATGCCATTGACGCAGTGACTCCCTGCCTGGAAGCCGCGGCCAGGGCGTCACGGGCGTGCAGGGCCTTGGGCGTCGCGATGGGTGTTGCGGGTAGAAACGAGGTGCAGAACATGCGGGGGGAGCCCTGACTAATTCGGCGCCTGTGGTGCAAGTTCTGGCCTTTGCAGTGGGCGCATCGTGGCCTGCGAACAGCACTACTTTGGCCCAAGAATGGAGAACCTCGGCGGCTTTGTGTGCTTCAGATCACTGCGCGCATCGAATGCTGCTATTGCGACCAGCACTCCCGCCAGACACAACGTCACCCTCCTTCCATTCACTCGAATTTCTACCTGCGCGCTCGTCTATGCCCATACCGCGCCTATTGCGTCAGCTTCCGGCCTCGAAGCTCTGCCTTTGCCCCTCCTCGCCATTCACCGAAAAGACCTCTCGTCCGAACGCCGCCTTGACCGCTTTTCAGCCTCTTCCCCTTGCACACGAATAACAGGACAATAACTGGCTGCTCCGGACCCCCGATTGCGCCAACCTTGCTTTCACGCCTCGTTGCTGGGCTGGCTGTATAGCTCGCGCGCATCGCCACTGCGCGAGGAAAACCCTTCGCTCGGATCTACGGCGATGCTGGCAACTGAGCAGCACCCGACATGATATACGCTGCTCCGCGACGCTACTATTCCAATCAAACACCCGTTTATCTATACCCTTGTGTTAGCTAGCAATTGTCCTGAGCGTTGGTGGGGATGTGAGGCCTGCCTCAACGGCGTCGATGGCGAACTATCCACATCCGTTGCCGGACAACAACCTCACAGATCAATCGCCTGAAGATCCCCTTGGTCTGAACAGTTACGTCGCGTCTAATACGCGGCTTCAGCACATGGAGAGTGCGCTCTCGGCTTCACAGTCGCCCTCTATGCCTCCCAACCCTACTCTCGTGCCAACGTATTCCGATGTTCCCATGGCTTTCGCAAACGGATCGCGCGACTATCAGCCATTCGGTGCTTCATATGACCGGGCCCAAATACCGTCCCCGGCGACGAAGAGCCACTCTTTCACCCAACACCGCACACCTGTCTCGAATTTCGGCGAAGGCCCAGGCTCTGTTGCATCTGGCCTACAGCACCGACTGAGCACTAGCACCATCGGAGACTTCAGTCAGCAAAGAGATGGTTTGGACCCAAATACAAGTCCAGAGAGTGGCGTTGGGCTAGGCGTGATGGGAGTTGGGGACACAATGAACGATACGATGGGGACCAAAGCTGATGGGAGTGTCAGCGGAGACGGAGGCGAAGGCTCAGTAAAGGATAAGGACGGCAATCTGGGGCCACCTCCGTGGAGCGAAATGAAGACCAAAGCGGGCAAGGAGCGGAAACGGCTTCCATTGGCTTGCATTGCTTGTCGAAGGAAGAAGATTCGATGCTCTGGTGAGAAACCTGCTTGCAGACACTGTTTGCGATCACGCATACCTTGCGTCTACAAAGTTACCACTCGCAAAGCTGCGCCGAGGACCGACTATATGGCCATGCTGGACAAACGACTTAAGAGAATGGAAGATCGGGTGATAAAGCTGATCCCAAAGGAAAACGCTGGATCTGTCCCAGTAATGGGCAGGTCAGTCGTCAAACCACCTCTCCCCGGCATCGTTCCAAAGCCTTCAGTTGCTAAGAAACGGGCGGCGGACGAAGCATTTGGTAATGACCTGGATGACTGGTCAAAATCGGGTGCCTCAAAGCAAGTCGAAGAGAATGCGACGGCAACATCAAGAGCACGGACTACGGAGGAAAGTAAGCTCCTTACCGAAGGAGTAGAAAGCCTACCATCAAAAGAGATGCAAGAACATCTCGCAGAAGTCTATTTTGACTTTGTATACGGCCAGAGCTACCCTCTTCTTCACAAACCCAGCTTTATGCGCAGGTTAGCTTCTGGGAACGTCCCTCCAGTTTTAATATTAGCAATATGTGCTATTTCCGCGAGATTCTCGACCCATCCACAGCTTCGAACGGAGCCTGCATTTCTTCGAGGCGAAGAGTGGGCCAAGAAGGCCCGCGAAATAGCCCTCAAACGATATGACGCCCCGAATATTACCATCCTGATAGTGTATCTCTTACTTGGGCTACATGAGTTTGGAACGTGCCAAGGAGGCCGAAGTTGGATGTTTGGGGGGATGGCGCAAAGAATGGCCTATGCCTTGCAACTTCATAGGGACCTCGATTACGACCCACTGGGTGGCGAGAACGGAGAACGCAAAAAGCTCAGCTTCATTGATCGAGAAATACGAAGAAGAACAATGTGGGCGTGCTTCCTCATGGATCGATTCAACTCATCTGGCACAGAGCGCCCACTGTTCGTCAATGAACAGTTCATTCAAGTTCAGTTGCCCGTTAGAGAGCAATTGTACATTGACGAAATCCCAGCATCTACTGAAGCTCTAGATGGCGGGGTTTCTACGTCAAATTCGGAACAGCTGTTGGACGCGAAGGCAAATATGGGAGTAATGGCATACTTGATTCGCTTGGTCGCCATATGGGGCGAGCTAATCAAATACCTGAACCTTGGCGGGATAGAAAGGGAGACGATACCTACGTGGGATCCCAAGTCCACTTTCAATTGCATCAAGGACCGACTTCGGAAATTCAAGGAAACGTTACCGGAGTCCCTAGTTCATAACGAAGAGAATCTGAAGAGCCACGCCATTGAGGGGTCTGCAAACCAGCTCCTATACATGCATATCCTCTACTACCAGAGCGTTCTTTTCCTGAATCGGTTCGCTCGGCCGTCTTCGTCTGCGAATGGGGACAACATCCGCAAACTGGGTAGAACCTCTCATTTGACGGAATCGGGAGCTCATACTCCGAATGATATTCCGCAGGAATTCCTCGCCAAGGCCGCACGTAATGCCCTAGAAGCCGCGGAGCAAATGTCTATTGTGATCAGCGCGTCTGAGGACTACAACGTCGTCGCTCCGTTTGTTGGTTATTCTGCCTTCTTCTCAAGCACTATTCACATTCGAGGGGTGTTCAGCAAAAACCCACAACTGGAAGCGCAATCGAAGAAATACTTGGCTTGCAACGTCAAGTATCTGACCAAAATGAAGAAGTATTGGGGCATGTTTCATTACATTGCGGAGAACTTGAAAGACTTATACCGGCAACACGCTGATGCAGTCTTGCGTGGATCTTCCGCGGGCAACGGCAAAGTACCCCAGGAACAAATCTTTCAATACGGCGACTGGTTTGATCGATATCCTCATGGCGTCTCCAACACCGATTACGAAGACCCAGCTACCAAGGCCAAGAGAGAACCGGGCACCGACGCAGTCCTCGGCCAAAAATCCGACCTCCAAAGCGTCGAAGAGTTCTTCGCAAGCCTTTCGCCACCATCTCGAGCAGAACATCAGCGCAAAATGGCGAAAAAGAAGAAACAAAATATATCCACAAAGGACGACGCACCTCCCTCTATCGACGCAACTGCTCGGCTCCAACCCCAACCATCACCATCACAGCAAACGGCCCTTCAACACCCACCGCAAGACCTCCACCAAATGCACCTCCAGCCAGACGTCGTCGAGAATTTCGACCCGGCGTACTACGCGTCCAACCCCGCCAACGCCTCCTTCCCGGCGCCGTTCTCTCAAATCCCGGGCCAGCCGCAACCCCAGTCTCATGCCGAAAATATCGGCCTCATGAGCCATGCCGCGACCGCGAACCCGCTCCTCCCCCTCGACCTCTCAACCTTCGCTGGGTCCTCTGCCCCCGATCTCTGGAATCTAGATCTCGGGGGTATGCCGAATACCGGCGGCATGGGCAGTGGCTTCTTCCCCGACCAGAGCATGGCGTGGTTCATGCCATTCAACATGGAGCCGCCAACACTGGGCGACGACGGCGTTTTTGTGGGCGATGGGTGGGGGTTCGGTGGGCCGCAGATCGGGACGGGAGATGTTTTGGATGAGGGGGGTGGGATGGGGTCGTAACAATAGTTGAGACGGGGAGAATTTTGATGGGGATGGTATCTAAGAAGTTGTGTATAACATGTGGATTTCGGAGATGAAATACTTGCATATGGGATGGACGTTTGATACTATTTCGGAATACTAAAGGAATATGGGGACTGGCTGGGGGATGTTTGATATATGTGATATTTAGCGGGGGGAGCGTTACGGGTATATGGAAAGGTGGATTTGGATTATATTTAAGGGTTGGAGATATATATGGAGATACTTGAATTCTATCTCACAAAATATTGAATTCTGACCGTGTTTCACCAAATGTATGCTCACGTGATGGGTCAGCAGTGAGTTAGTCCCACGTCAACGACACATGCAGCACGGGAGATGTGAATGTGAAGGAGAAGCCTGGTAGTTATTATGAAAGCTAAGTACAGGTTTCATTAACGTAATCTCCTCGTCGCTAAGTTATGTTAAGAGGTTATACCAAATTCGCCCAGCGCAACCATCGCCCACTTCGTGGAATCAAGCAAAGTCGTAATCTGTGAACTCCATAAGTCCAGCACGTATTCACTAGCCCGGGTAAGCTACAGTCTCCTCTGTTCCATCTTCGTAATACTTCTTGGCAGGTGTCTATTACTCAATTAGTTTTTTGTCAGGATACTGCATGAATGGAGGTTGCCCTACAGTATCCATCTGATCCTTGTGCCTGTGACCGAAGTAGCATTGAGGGCCTCCGTCACAGTAGTAGTTAGAACAAATATGTCCAAAATAACAATTAAAGTCGAAACAGTCGCTGCCCTGGACACACGAGAGTCCGCGAGCTTTGTTCCGCAGCACAAGCGTCTCCATTTGCGTAAGTCGGGGTGCGTGTGAGTAAGGACAGCCAATGTTCTCGCATTTGCCCTTGAGATGGTAGTCGTTGCAGACTTTTCCTTTGTTGATGCGTTTGTGGAGACTGTCCTGCGACGCACGATCCGCCTTTGCAATTGGAAGATCGAGTCGTTCGCCGTCTGCGTTGAACACGATGTATCTCCGAGGCGTTTTGTTTGATGCAATAGATATTTTCTTCTCGGTGATACCAGTCTTTCCGACGCTTGCCCAAGTGGATTCTTCAAGAGGAGTTGGGCTCTTAGCAACAGGCTGAGGCTGCGCAATAACAGGTGCACGAACAGGCGGTGGTGCCGGCGCCGTAGCTACGGGGCTTGGTTGGGAGGGCGGGAGTGAGCTGATAAGCGGTTGCATCGGCATAAATGGCCGCTCTGGTAGAGGAGTGGACCGGAAGATATCATCAAACCTGATCATCTTCATGTTTAGACCGGAGAAAATAGACTGGGCCTGGGTAGATTCCACCAGTGTGATTCGGGATGCCATGGCTTGATCATGCTTGTACGGCTCCAGATTTGGTAGATATCCGTAATCGTGGCATCCAGCGAACAATATATGTTTGCAAGAAGGGTTCGCGATGAACACTCGTAAAGTCTCTGGGAAGAAAATTAGTAAACCGTCACGTGATAGCGCGGTTCTCGACCCGTGGATCGCAATTGTGGGAAGGACTCGAGGAAAGGGAACCGCGTCTAGAACAGGTAGAATGATATGATACTAAGTGGAAATGCGATGAATCGAGTAAAGGAGACGGTTGGGACAGCTTGTGTACGACGTGAGAACAAAGCTGCTCTAGATAAATCCAGCCAGTATATGACCAAATCGTCACACCCTGTAGCTTCCGCAGTATCGCGTAATTGGAAATAAAAGAATAAAAGGAAGGAAGGTTGATAGTCGTACCTTTGATCTTATGCTGTGAAATTATTAGCGCGGCTGAGTATTAATTGGTTCCCAGGTAGACACGTACATCGGCTCTCTCCTTGCCTCTACCTACGTCCAAAAAGCTGAACAGCGGTTGGTTGAGGTTGAACGACTGCGCAAACGCGTTCAACTCGGACGGGTGCTTTATGATATTGAGTGAAGCTAGCTTGTGGGAGAGGCCATCGAAGTTCGCAAAGATCTGTACCATAATCGCCCATTGGCCAGCATTTTCGTACATACTAAGTATATGGGATCGGATTGCAGTGTTTAGTCGATGGGCGGCATCGCTACCGCCCTCGCGTGCGGCGCTGAGGAGCATGTCTTGGAACTAGGAAAGGGAGAAATATCAGTTTCTAGAGGGAGTTGTGCGTTGTGTGAAGGGCACTCACGATTACACCGTCTCCATCTATGAGTACTAGAACGAAGGGGCTCGAATCCATAGTTTGTCTCGCAGAGGTGAGCTTTCAGTGAATTAGCATAGTCCAACAAATATCTGAGCGGACAGACACGTACCTGTGCCTTCATATCGTCGCAGCTGCGTTGTAATCTCCTACGGGACTGTCTCTCATTCTCGTGGTCGTCGCACTTCTCCTCATACTTCTCCTTCAGGTCTTCGAATTGTTTAATAAGTGTCTGTAGCGGGTGTTAGCCTGTAGCGTACAGCGGAAAATTTATAGAGTGAGGCATACCAATAGCAGGGATTCACGTTGGCTGTCAGACTTCTTGAAGCCCTCCACCTGGGCCAATACAGCGCTGCTGTCGATGTACCCGTTCATGCTGGGTAAAAAGATGGTAAGTAGTGAAGCCCAGGCCAAAGTGGGCGTGGGTTTGATGTAGAAAGCGGGCTGGAGGCAGTCAGACAGCTCAAAAACAACGGTTGATTTAAGTGCACAGGCCCACGGCAGATCCCTGTCAACGATCTTTTAGTGCCCCTCTCAGCATGATGGAATAGATGGCCTTTTAGGTCCTGATGGGGCATCGAACTCTTTCTCCTTCACTTGCGACACGATTACTAAGACATTCGGTAAATACAGCTGCCATTGAAGAGGAACAGGGTTGACAATGTCTAGAACACGCGTCCACCATCCTGCGCCCTCTACACCACCACCATGTCTGAGCCCTCAGCCAAGAAAGCCCGCACGACGCCTCCATACACCCTCGTTTACTGGCCTACGCTCCCCGGCCGTGGCGAGTTCGTCCGTCTCGTGCTCGAAGCTACCGCGACGCCCTACACCGACATATGCAATGGACCCAAGCCTGACCATGGCCCTGTCATGGACGCACTCAACTCCGACACAAACCCAGCCTTTGCCCCTCCGCTGTTGAAGGTGGCTGGAGAGGGCAAAGATGGTGCCGAGCTGGTGCTCTACCAGACACCGAACATCCTGCTATATCTAGGAGAGAAGCTGGGACTGGCAGGCAGCGAGGAGGGGGACAAATGGGCTGTCAATGCATACGCCCTGACGGCGCTGGATCTCAACAATGAAGCCCACGACACGCACCACCCCATTGCGAACATACTTTATTACGAGGGTAGGCTGTCTACAACATGAGCAATCCTCACATGAGCTAGAGTTAGCTCGTGTGAGTAGAGGTAACCCCGCATTGCTGACATCGCCCAGACCAGAAGGAAGAGGCCCTCAAGAAAGCAAAGAACGTGCGCGAAATCCGCATTCCAAAGTTCTTTTCGTTCTTCGAGCGCGTGCTGAAGAGTAACGAGAAGGCTGGACAGGGCAAACATTTGGTCGGGGAGAAGCTGACGTATGCTGATACGACCCTGTGGCATGTTCTGAATGGACTGCAGCATGCTTTTCCAAAAGAGATCGAAGCGCGGAAACCGGATTATCCCCTGCTGTTTGATACGTTTTACCCAGCGGTAGAGGAGCAAGAACATCTCAAGAGATATTTAGCCAGCGAGAGGAGGCTGCCTTACGGCCAGGGCATTTTCCGTCATTATCCCGAGCTAGATAGGCAATAATGAACTTTGGGCAAGATATAACGAAGTGCTGCGATGGAAGGTAATGATTTTGGAGAATTCTTACTTTCGAAAGATGTAAGTAGATCAAAAGGACATCACAGTTGCACATAATCAAACAAATATGAAGAGTCTGGAGTGTCTTGGTATTGTGGCACAATTGATTTTGTGCCGAGTTGCTTTTATGCCGAACACATTGCTCCCGCCCTAACTTGCACACCGTCCAATGCCCATCTAATAGTCTGAAGGAGCACTCTGGGGGAACTCGAAGTTGACGCCCTTGCCAGTCAAGCGCTTGTAGACCTCCGAGTAGGTATCCAGCCTGTAGTCAACACCACCACGTTCCTTCTCGTCGAGCACAATCTTGAGGATCTTGCTGCCGTCTTCGCGGGTGCGGATGCGCTTGCCGACGATCTCGACGGGGTAGACGAGGTCGTGGAGGATGGCGTCGTGGACGGCGGTCAAAGTTCGCGAACGTGGGCGCTTCTGCGTCTGAGTAGTGCGCGAGCGGTTGGAGCGCTTGGGTCGGGGAAGGATGCGGCGGGAGGCGATGATCAGGACGTGACGGTCGGAGAACTTCTTCTCGAGCTCGCGGGTGAGGCTGTTGGAGGTCAGTCAAGCGCTGACGCAAATTGATTCGGGCAAATACGTACCGCTGCTGAGACTTGTGCCAGCCCTGGAGAAGGGGAACAGGGACGAAGATGACAATCGCCTTCCTGCCGTGGCCAACCTCGATCTAAAGAATCCTGGTGTCAGCGTGCTGAAGCTGCCCAGTGCCCACCGCCTCTTCGATATTCAACCTGACCCCCGCCGTCCGCAACGCCGCGGTTTCTGACGCCGGCGGCGCATTGGATCGATTGGAAGGATGTTTCCTACTGCTGAAGGTAGTGGTTCATCTTACCTCGCGAGCAGAGACGAACTGCAGAGGTCGCAGCGAGCTCTTCATGTCCGGGATGTTGGTCTCGAGGTCGTAGAGAGCATTGGCGATGCTGGTCTCGATCTCGGAGGGCTTCGTCTTGGACGGGCTGTTGGCCGCGATCTTGTTCAACGAGGGCGACGACATGATGGCGGTGGTGTCGAGAATTGGCGATGTCGCGGTTGTTTTTCCAACAAAGACCGCTGTGGAGTGGATATATTTTAGCGAGATGCGCTATTCCGGATCTGGATAGCTCGTGCCAAGGTATTCAACCTCCTCAATGTTCCTCCCACCTCCTCGTTCGGCACAACGCGTTGCGGGTCCGACTATTAAATCAGAAACGTCCTTTCCATAGTAACATGATGGTTAAAGTAAATACTCCCGTTTACACATCACTTCCGCTGGCCATAAAGCACGAAGCAGTTAGCGTGATTTGAAGACTTCATGTAAGCATCTCCCTCGTGCTTCGTCATGGCGCGCGGAATACTTCCACGGCTGGTCCTATGTTGCCATGCTTCTCCCATCAGCCTCATTGTCAACTAGATTCCCCCTAGTTTGCTTGCAATCTCACCTTCTAAATTACTTTGACAATGTCAACCTCACGGAAACGCGTCCACTCCCTCGAGCCCACAGGAGCCCTTGAAGCTACTAGCGATGTCGAGCTACAGCGCTTGCATGGAGCGGTGTCACGTCCCTTTGCAGGACGTATTGGTGGTAACCAACAGTTCACTGTCTCTCGTGACGATGTAGGAGCAACTGACCCTAAAAACCACACGAGCACAGCTAACCACTAGCCGGCCACTGCAGGCTCAATTCGAATCCATAACCAGAAAGGCACCCGATGCGACTGCACATTTCTCGTGGCACGCAAGTATCGATCCACAGGGTTTCTCTGACCCGGAATTATGGAAAGAAGCAACCATTGAAGGCGTTGGGACTGGTCTTCAGATTTTCGTTTCTGGTCTTTACTCTCTGGGGCTGTCCTCCGCTATTACAGAAACGTCTCTAGGCCCTTTGGTGCCTGCAGTTCTCGGAGCCATTGCAAACACAGTCCTCATATCGCTTTTCATTTTTGCCGGAGGGCCTGTTTCTGGTAAGGGACATTACCAAATTGCTCTGTCATAACCTAACTACTTCTCAGGTGGGCATTTCAACCCTTTCATCACTATATCAACGTTCTTTGGGAGGCTAGCAACCCTACCACGTACAATCTTGTACGTTGGTTTTCAATGTACCGGAGCTGTTATCGGGGGTTTCCTGATGCGCGCGGCTCTCGGTCTGCCAGCAGCCGCTCTCGAAAAGATACCAGGATGTTACGTTGACACTTCGCTGGTCAACGCGGGGCAAGCATACACGTTCGAGTTCATGACTGCTTTCGCTTTGATATTTGTAGCCTTTGGGGTCGGCCTCGATCCGCGGCAACGTGTAGTCTTTGGTCCTGCTCTATCGCCAATTCTGGTTGGAATCGCTCTAGGGCTTTTCACCTTTTCTACTGGGTTTGTCACATCAGGCTACTCAGGTGCTTCGCTGAATCCAGCCCGGTGTCTTGGTCTCATGGCCGCAGCAGGTATGTGAGAATGCTTCCGAGTCTCTAATTCAATGATCTGACATCTCAAAAGAGCGTTTTGACTACCATTACGTGCATTGGCTCGGAGACATAACTGCGGCCATTTTGAACGGAATAATGTACTGGTTCATTCCAATCTATAAGGACTAAAAGAAAGCATCAAGTGTAGCTTGCAATCTTAGACAGCCTCCTTCCAGAAGAAGCTCATTGAATAGTAGCAGCAACTTCACCAACTCTGTACAGCATATACCTCATAAAAACCCAATTGATCTAGGTTTCGCATTTAGGCTTAGAATGTGAGTTTCAACATCCTCACCATGTTCCAACTTCACTGCATGAGTCTCAAATAATTTGCACTTCTTTCTATATCGAAATCATATCGACCCTTAAAAATGCTATCCGATCTAGGTTTAACAACTCGGTATATCAATAGTTGTACCCGCACTACGCGTAGAGTCATCTAGTCGCTCTTCCCCAAGACCCAGAGTATTGTGTCGTGGGTGGCCCGCGTTTCACCTAGTCGTCATCTGGAGACCGGATATCATTTTTCTGGATGAAATTCGGAAAATACCTAGCAACCGTTGTTACCGAACCCCCTACTTTGACGGATTTTGCTACTGTACCAGCTATTTCAGTGGCTATTCCCAAGCTAGAATACGCCTCCATGGACAATCGTAGGGTTCAACCTACTTCTGATTCTCCCAATTCGGGATTATCTTCCGCTGGGTCCCAACCCAGACCTAGGCGTACAGTTCTGGAAAGGAGACGAAGGTTGGCGGGGTTTTTGTCGTCGACTAATGCTTCGGCAGTTGAAGAGCTTTCTGAGCGATGGATTGCAGCTTCCGCGGAGGATTCTCGAGAAGTTCGGTCATTGGAATGGCTCGCAGTCTGACTCACTGTGGGATTGACTCAGACTCAATCTCCGTGATTGAGAAATGAAGTACCCTTCGTGCGTGTCTTCCGCCAGCGCAGACATCAACTGCTGTGGGTGGACTTCGTCGTTCAATTCCAATCGCCTGTGCGGATTGGCTTCTCGAGCTTCAATCTTCTTCTGGGACTCCACTTTCGCTTGACAGATTCGCTCTTCAAGCTCCTTCTTTCCATGTACGTAGTGCTTGATTATCAGCTTCTCTATATCGCTGAACTCGCCGCCCACCCAGTTCTCGACCACGTTGGAGATCATGGCCTCCACCACGTCGCTATCATGGTCGAAGTGTTCCCAGATTACTTTGATATCGTACACCTCAACCGGTTCAGCATAGAGGTGGCTCAGGATATAACGCCGGAGGTGAACAGTACCCTCCGCTTTCTGGCCAAATATCATCCAAGCCTCTAGGACCAAGACTGCAGCGTCTAACGGTGGTCTCAGGGGGTTGAAAAGCGAGGAGTCAAATCGGCCGGCAATCTGCATCATCCGCTACCTGCCCACCGAGCCTTCGGGAAAAGTGAGGCGTTGGTATGGCTTGATTATGCGCTTAATAAGACTACCAGCTGGTTCTGGTGGCTCTAGGAGTTGTTGAAGGGCTGGCGCGAAATGGAGGAGCATCGGAATGGGAATCAACTACGGAAGCAATGAGGAGATATCCCTGGTGCCGATGTGAATGTGCGCATACGGCTTCTGTATTATATTGGTGGGAAGAGGATATACCGAGGCAGGAAACTCTAGGTAATAAGCCATATGGACTTACTAACTAAAACTAGTGGTAGTAGTGTTGTGTGGCGCGGTTGGTGGTGGTGGGGTCGGGGGATGCTTGAAGGTGTGTTTGTAAGTCCGAGAAAGCCAGCGGCGAGTTATGGGCCAAGTATACGACTTGGAGCAAATTCTTTTCTGCAGACTCTACGGCTTTGTACATAGGCCGCGGAACTCAGTGAACGTAAATCTATACTCCTAAGGCGGGTTGCTGTAGGTGATCTAGCCTGGCTAGTGGATTGATGATTCTCAGAGATAGTTGGTCCATTCCATGGTCGCACTGCTGATGAGCTCTCAGATAATATATACCAAAAGGACCGAGATGTCCACCCCACCGAATTATCTATCTTCAAGCTTGTATCGAATCTCGGGAAAGAGACAGAAGAAGGCTGGCCAACGAGACTATTTGCTCTCCAGACGACTTGCTGTTTGTTAGTTGGACATGCAACCAAACCTTTCGCAGCGTGGATGCCCTACGCAACACCGCACAATGATTTTCTATCTAAATGGGTCGCATGGTCGTCTATTACTTTCTACTCCGGTCAATTCAACCCAAATCTTTCACCTGGATTACGAAGTAATCTCTAGATCAGACGCCTTCCGGCCGTGTCGTTTGGATTCTCTCGTCCTCATGCTTAGCTCGCCGAATCCCGTCCACCATGGTCGGTTCCACATCCCCATGCTTCGTCCAAGTTGCACTCCACTGCCCCTTGAACCATATATTGTCCTTTCCTAGTATCCAAGGGCCGTCCTCAATCTCGTCTTTCCTGGGCTTTCGGCTCGTCCATAGCTGCTCCCTATACCAATCGAGGTCTTGCCACGACAGTTTCTTCATCCAATCCTTAATCATGTCGTCAATTTTTATTTTTCGAGCCGCTAAAGTTTCTTGCCACCCGTAGTGCTCTTTCAGTTGCTCTTGTTGCCGTTCCTCAGCAGTCTGGTGCTTGGTCTGCTCCAGATTTGCTTCATAGACGAGATATAGCATTCGTGGATCCGACAGCAAACATGATCTGCAATCCTCGAAACAGAAATTAGGCAACGACGAGATTCTGGGAGCCACGCACTTGAGGAGAGGGTCGTTATCCGGAAGGAACCTTAAGTTGTATATCTCGTTACTGTCAAGGAACGGGTTGACAAGAAGATGAGTTTCAAGATGTTCGAGGAGGAATGTGGTCGCCCTTCCGAATTTGCAATAGAGTGCGGTGATGTACAGCTGAAGATTATCTCCAGAGGTGAGCAATGGTATGTCGTGTTCTCCGTTCGTGCAAATGTCTTGAAGCCAGCCCAAGATGTGATCTTTTAAAGGAATTGAAAGTCAGCCGACCTGTTTCTAGTAGTGAAGGGAATTCCTTACCGACAACTTCCCAGCTGCCCTGGTTTGGCAAAATATCCATGAATTCTTCTGACCAGTCATCCGCTTCGAGGCCTTCGGGGGCACGCGAGAAGTACGTCCATAGGCGCTTTGGTACGTTGAGAATATCCAAGTGGCCACCATGAATGTCCCAGCATCTGACCGTCATGGTTGGTCCTTGAAGAAGCATCGACCCGTCAACGCCGCTACTGAGATAGACTGTGTGCTGGGCCATCTTTATTTCGAAAAAGGTTCCCTGTTGAGAACCTATGATATGCGGAGATCGCAAAATTGTAGCGCTTGTAAAGCCTGGAGCTTTTATAGAACGACGCAGGTGGAACAGGTCTTGCGCCGGTGCGAAAGATGTCTTGTTGGCCGCCCGTTGTTCACGACGTTGTCGATAAGCAGACAAACCTTCACCTCACGCTGTACTGCTCAATGTGAGTCAAGTTTCTATCGCTCGGTGAAAGATTTCGATGCACTATAATCCGTTCTTTCTATGCGTATTTGCAGACATTCGCCTCCGCGTGACAAAACCCGACCCCACCCGCTCATCCACCGCAACCCGAAGCATGAAGCATAGAATCAGGTGGCAATTCACCCTCGAGAGAGGGCTTCGCCGACTAAGAGGCGACTAAATCCACTCTTAGAATACATAAAAGCAGCGCCGAAACTTCCACCAGATTCCTTCTTCAGGAACCGACACCAACCTCATTCAAAACCAACACATGTAGTTCCCCAAAGCCTTCTTTACGCATCGATCTACTCAGCCTCGCAACAATGTCGCACTCTTCGATTGCTCCACCTAGTCCTCCATATCCCCCGCCGACCCATCCCTCTGCCGATACCTCTGCTAGAGATGGTGCCGATCCCGGGTTCACCACAGTGTTCATCTTCATCCGGCAGCATTGGTGGACCGCCCTTTGCAAGAGCGCGTTCAAGAACATCGAAGTCGACTACCTTTTTGAGGCCGGCTGGTTCGACGAAAATGGCATCCTCGATATCAACGACCCGCGTTATGAGCCAATCGTCAGCTTGCTCGTCAGTCCGCTCTACGCCTAGGTTGATGGCGAATATGCTAACATGCCAACAGATTTACACGCACGCTAGCATCATCGAGAAGGCCGGGGTCCTCGCCACACAAGCAATCAAGCCTTATTGGATCCACGATCACAAGTCGGGAGGCGCTCGGGTCGTCTTCAAGGTGAAGCCAAAGGTTGGCCACGCCTGGGTGTACATGGCTAAGATGCCGGGTCGCGGCTACATCGATCGTAGGACCGACCGCACCGCGTACCTTAAGAGCATCGGACAGCCGGACGAAGATGTCGATCCTGAAGCAGAGATGAATCATGCAAAACTCGACCTGGCATATTATCACCAGAAGCTCTTGAAGAACGACAAAGCCCCGATACCCGAGAGCGTGCGCTGTGGAGGCGAGGCCGTCGAAGTCAGCTCTGAGTCTGAGGGCGACTTCGATCGCGATGACGAGGCGGCATATCGCGAGAGCAAGGAGGCCTACAACTCTGGTGAGTGCAACGGCTTTCAAGCCAAGCCGAAAAAGAAAAAGAAGTTCATGGGAGTGTGGTAGGGAGCACCGTGAGCAGCGGAACGAGGGTTTCCTGCTTGAACTCTTCACATGCGAACGCCAAAGGAGTAGCATCGACGCCCTCCGCAACGGTTTTGGAGCGTTGAATGCTATTATTTCCTGTATCTTCATTCATGTCATTAGCAGGGATTGCATAGAGGCCCGAGATCCTAAACAGTAAAGAATTCTCTAGAGATTCAAAAGACACGCATACAGATAAAGTGAATGATTTCATTGAGGTGAACCTACTGTAGTGCAATTGTAGTTCCTGATGACCGACCTTAGTTTTTGACACGTTTTTGCATCCCCTTCTTCCTCTTCCCAGCAACGTTCCTGCCTTCCTCGATCTGTAGCATTGCCTCTCTCTTCTTCTCGCCAACAATCTTCAAGGCGTCCCTAATGACCCGACCTTCGATGCTCACGCCCTCCTCGTCGTACTCTACCATTTTCTTCCCGACTCGCTCTTCGATCGCAAGAATGAGACCCTGATCTCGCTGGCCGATAAAACTCACGCTCTCACCTGACCTTCCAGCTCTTGCTGTCCGCCCACTGCGGTGGATATAGTCGTCAGGGTCTCGTGGAAGATCGTAGTGAATTACCATGGCAACCTCGGGGATATCAAGACCACGCGCGGCGACATCTGTAGCTACGAGGATTCTTGCTGCCCTAGCACGAAACCGGGCGAGATTTGATACCCGGTCAGCCTGCGGTAATGCTGAATGAAGTGAGGTCACTCTGTGCTCCAACAGCCTGAGCATATGCTCAAGAAAGGTCGCTGTGCTAGTCCTGTTGCAAAAGATTATGATGCTCTTTTTGGCGTTCGCTGGTGTGAGGAGGACTGTTTTCATTAGCTCAAATCGTTAAAGTAATGTTTGTTTTGACTTACGGATATGAAGAAATGATTCGCGGTGAGTGACTGGGGCTTGCAGATACTTCTGCTCTAGTGTAGCTGGGATGGCAAGGACTTCGGTATCAACCTCAGACACAAAGAATGGGGGTCGCCCTGCCGGACGCGGGTTTTCCTTGATAGCTCTTACTTCTGGAGTGACTGTAGCTGTAAAGAGTAGAGTCTGCCGTTCGGTTGACGGGGGCAAGATATCCAGGCACGTCTCGAGGTCAGGGACCATACTGCCGTTACCTGTCGCAAGAAGACGATCGGCTTCATCAAGGACTAGGAACCGAACTCTTCGAAGGCCACCGATAGTGTCTTCCCCAGACGTATCAATATGATCAGCTAGTCGTCCTATGAAAGATGTGAGTCTTTGCTGCAAATCACAAATGTAACTTAGATTTTACCTGGTGTTGCAATGACAATGTGAGGTCGTTGTGATAGCGCAAGTGTCTGTGCACGGTGGTCACTGCCACCTGTTATCAAGCACGGCTTGAGTGAGACTGGCGACGACACTGCCTTGACCTGCTCGAAGATCTGAAGTGCTAGTTCTCTGCCACGATATCAGTATGTTGGCCTGCTAGAAAGATGGAAGTGTCCAACCTGGTAGGTGTCAGGATTACGGCAAATATCCCGACCGGATCCTCCGCCCATTTCTGCAATATCGGTGTCATGAAAGCCACAGTCTTTCCAGAACCGGTTCTGCTTCCGCCGATACAGTCTCTCCCTTTGATGATCTCGGGAATGCAAGTCTTTTGAATTCCAGTGGGTCTCGTGATTTGCATGGCTGCCAGAGATGCCACTAACCATGGCGCAACCCCAATATCAGAAAAGCTAGCCTTTTCGTCATTCGTTACGAAAGCAGATGCAGAGTCCGATGTTCCAGAGTTTGGTTGGAGAAGTCCTTGTTTCTTGGTTTTTATGCGCGAAAGTGAAGAAGCCGGAAGGAGAGGCTGAGAGACCGCTTTCTCGCCAGCTGAAGAATCAGATAATCTTCTGCGTTTCCTAGGGCTATCATCATGCACTTCATCTTGTGCATCTGAGTCCCACGAGCTCGAATCTTGATCGCTATCCAACTCTTGATCAGATGCTTCTCTGGGGCGTGCTTTTCGCATCCTGGCGACCATGATACCGATGGAATGGGTTATTGGCAGTAAGTCGTGTAGTCTCCTGGCCGTGGAGATGCTTCAAAGTTGGAGTTGACAAGTTCCGAGTTTGCGGCAACATTTTTGGCAGATTAAAATGTCCAAGCAGAGTCGATTAAAATGTTCAAGCGGAGTCGATTAAAATCTCTAGCGCTGATGAGTAAGCTCGCTAAGCGAGCCCCGCTGCCCACTACAAGTGCCCGTCCTCGCCCTCACTTGGAAATCAGCTCTCTTGTAAGTTTTCAAATCACCCCAAATTTTGACGCTTTTGCTAACAACGCTTCTCTTTCTTCCAGTGCCTTTTGGCTTAGATCAAGTGTAGTGTAATGACAAAATCCTCCCCACGTTCACCTCGACATTTTGCTAACCTTCTCCAGATCTGTTCTTTTCAGTTTAATCTCTGAAACGATCCTACGGGATCTCTCAAGATTAATCCAGTCTTTGGAAACCGCTCCTGGGCCGCTGGGCTTGCCTATGTCCAGGAGCACAGTGTCGCTCGTATTGCACTGCCTCGGGCCGACGCGAACTTTTTTTCATTGAACTTCTCAGCTTGTCTGGGACTTCGAAGAAGAAATTGCATCTCTGCAAACTTTGCAACCGGGCTCGGAAGAACGTCCCGCCGATCCAGTCGATATTCCGGGGGTTCTGTCTGTCTGTCTTCATTCTTCCCTCAGTCCTCTTGTTTCTCTTTCTGTGCATCGCGTCTCCGAAACTCCCTCTTGTCAAACCCGCGAGGAGAGTGCTTAGTCGCGAGGAGAGATTGTTAGGCTCAATGTCGCATACACGTGAAGGGCGCACAGATGTTCATCGCCATTACTCTTCAAAATGGTACATTACCTGCTACATGGCTCTTTCAAATGAGTATTCTTCGCATCGTACTCTTTTTTATCCAGTTCAGATTCAACAAATCAAACTTTGAAGGCATGCTTCCGCAATTTTGCTTTTCACGACCAAGCAGGATCTTGCACGTGCTCAAAATCCTCATCGTCCTCCTTTCAAAGTCAAGAATTGCAGCATCACGTAGATGTTTCATGCCCATGCGCTATATGCTCTAGTAGCGATTATACACATGCCCAGCTCTGAATCCTCTCAGTCCAAACTCAAGCCTGCTTCCCCTTCCAAAACCCCGCCGTCCAAGCCCTCAAAATCTGCCAGACCCAAAACCCATTCTCCCTCACCGTCCCGATCTCATACTCCACCCCTCTCTCCCCCACATCCGCCATCTTACACACAACCTCCGCCAGCGGCCCCGGCCACCGCTGCCGGATATACGCCGCTACCATATCCAGCCCATTCGTAATCCCACCTAGGTCCCCACCATTAGCAACCTTCACTGATTCCACACTGCCCCTCCCTCATGCGAGGAAGGAAAAGAAGAGAAGCAAGAAGAATAAGAAAGGTTCACCCACCACTCGTCCAAACCCCCCTATCCCTCACCCACCGCCTCTCCACCCACCTCACTTCCTCAAACTCCCCCTTCAACCTCCCTAATAAGCCCCTCGGCCCCGTTGCTACCCTCCCATCCAGCACCCCCGCATACCCCGCTACAAACTGCCCCGTGCATACGATCAGCAAATCCACGCCCTTCGCCACATGCCCTCTCACAAACTCCAGCTCCGGCTCCTGCGGCACCGCGCTCGGGTCTGGACCGGGGATGAACAGAATATCCAGCTTCCCCGGCTGCACTCCGGGGGACGCGATCGAGGCGTCGATGCGGATACCAGCGCTAGCGGTGCAGGGGGCAGGCGAGTCGCCGGTGGGCGAGATGTAGGTGATAGTGATGGGGATGCCGAGGGCGAGGAGGGGCGCGGGGAGGCCGCACGCGGTCAGGTACTCGGGCGTGAGCATGCCGAAGAGATCGATGGGGGAGATGTCGACTAAAGGTGGGAATAAGGTTAGCAAATCATGCAGAACCAGAGTGAGGAAGCCGCTCTTGATTTCTTGTAACAGGCACTGTTTGCGTGAGACACTTCTTCATGGGGATTCCAGGACACCACTGTGCTTGTCTCGAAACACTTCCTGAGTAGTCTTTCCAACAGACAGATTGCTGGGAAACTTTTTATCTCTGTCGGGGGCTTACGTACGGAGTTGGACGGGAGGGAGGATGAGGACGCCGATGTGGAGGGGGTTGGGGTTGGAGGGGTTGGTGGATGGAAATTTGGCAGGGGGATCTTGGAAGGCCACCATGGTTGCGAGGTCTTGTGTATTGGTCCTGAGTTGAGGCACTGTGCTGGACCTCCGTGGTTGAGATATTGAGGCTGTTTACATAGACGCCCTGGGGTTCAGGCAGCAAGATTTGGGACCGCGTGATTGGGCAATTGATGAGCAAGTTTTTGGGATTTCTTTCCGCGTCGAGGGACGCGTAATGCGTTTAGCTGAATGGGGGAGGTTTTAGACGAAGTGGGACGGTAGTTTTGTACGATGTTGTGCAAGATGCGGTAGTGTCGTCGCCCATGTGCGGAAACCGAGACCCCTACTTCGTGAATGGTGTTTATTTCGCGAATTGAACTCCAAGAGGAAAGTCGCCAGCGGCTTTAGAACATCCTATATGATCTAACGAGAGCCAAATTGGAGCTACGGTAGATTTACCATAACTTACCGAACACACAGAAAACGCGACTTATCAGTGGGCGAAGCTAGATTCGTACAATCAACATCAAAGCAAGCGCAATGCAGATAACCAAGAATGTGTCAACCGCCGAACGCGTGATTCGGAACTGTTACCCAACTAGAAAATGACACATGGCAGCAGCGCGAGCTTCCACTCACAAACCTAGGGATGAGTGCAAAGACCCTAACGCCCACCCAATGCTGCTAACCCTTCGTCATAGCCATCTCCGTGTATCCGTACCTGCCGACACCTCCCCCGTTCCATCATGCCCACCTCATGACCCGTACCTTGGCATTCTTCCAACCTGCCCTTCAAGTGAAGAAGCTCACTGTCTTCTATGAGGGCCACCAAACGAAAGAACAGTTGCATGAGTTTCTTTTTCGAATAGTCTATGTCCAGCACATGACACACAAAGATCCCGGGTTCTGAAATAGATAAGAACATAAAGAGGCGTTTCGCAGTGCTAATGAAGAGACGAGAAAGCCGGAGTGGACGAAGCGGGCCCTTATGATGGCCGAATCGACATCTCACCCTATTCTTTCCAGTCCCACACTTGCTTGAGGAAGTGCTCCATGTTGACCTTCTTGGCCTTCATTTCCACCATCCATGGATGTTCCAGCATACGCCATGGTGTTGCACGGCGGGGAGGTTCTTTCTCAAGACTGCTAAGCTGTTAGAGAGGGCTCGATAAGAACACGACAAAGACAGAACATACCAGCACTCGATGAAGTATTTGAAGTTCTCTGTCCACCTGATTCCGCTCTCGGGCTCATCTTTGAGCTTCGGAATCGGCTGCCTTACAATGTACGTAAGAAGATCGATCAGTCCTGCCCGCGGGTTCATCTCGGTCCCGTCTGCCGGGAACGGGAAGCGATGCTGTGCGACCTCGAGTAAAGTGACGCCCAGACTCCATACGTCACTGGTGATGGTGTAGCTCTGACCCGTGATCCGCTCAGGAGCCATGTAGTACGACGTTCCGATAAAGGTGTTGGCATCACCTTTCGTTCCGAATTCACCGGACACACCGAAATCGCAAAGCTTGACCTGACCATTACGGCACAGGAGGATGTTACTTGGCTTGATGTCCCGATGGATAATTCGATGAGAGTGGAGGTAAGTAAGTCCATTTAGGACTCCTTCAGCGACCTTGCCGAGGACCTTCTCACCGGTACGACCGCCAAGTTTCTTGACTTCACGGTAGACCGAGTCCAGAGAGCCGCCTTCACAGAACTCCATGGCAATGCTAATAGTGCCGGTACTATCATCCATGAAGGCACCGTAGTAGCGGCAGATGTGATCACTGGCGCAGTTCTTGTTGAACGACAATTCGCGCACAATCTGTTTCTTGACGTCAGGGTCTGGGTTGGTTGTTATAATCTAGAGATACAATTAGCATGGTACGCTCATCTCTTATGTATGATAATACCTTCAAAGCAAAGACTGTCTTTCCACCCTGTAACACACACTTCGTGACTGCACCTCCAGCTCCTTCTCCTAGACTGCCCTTTTCTTGAATCAGGCCTTTGGAACTCGCCGCTCTCCAGCCGACATCATCCAGATCCTCCACATCCAGGGGTCGGCCCTTCTCCTTGGCAAGTTGCTCTAGGTCAGGCAGCGGACCCATACTGTTTTCTCGTTCCATGGCCGGTGCACCTTCACTCCCGCCTTGGGATATTGCTGATATGGGGTCCGAGCCGTTTGTTCTCTGCAGCCCCGGGAACCCTAAAGCCTGCGAGTATGAGGACGCTGCTGACGTTGCGCCATTTGCATATCCGTTCTCCCCAAAGCTTCCCGATCTCGAGTGTCCGCTTGCGTCGCTGGAACCTCCTGCCGAGAGACCCGCCCCTGTTCCGATTTGAAGTGGAGGCAGTCCCTTGGGCTGAGGGCGGCCCTCGTATGGAGTGTGGCTACTGCCCATGGGTGTCGCTAGCCGGAGCTGAGGCAGCTGTGGTCGAGAGAGTTGAGGCGCGTTGTCATTTCCGTTAACGACAGGTCGAGCGTTTGGAGAGGGGGGTATCGAGAGACCAAGGCGAGGTGGCCCTCTGCTGGGTCGGCCGCCAGGTATTGGCGGCCGTAGGAGAGGGGCAGGAGAAGACATGTTGGATGGAGGAGTTGAATTCGGCGTGGAATCCGTGTTTGCGTTAATAGTTGAAGAACTGCACAGCTATAGCTAGAGATATGGTGCTTTCAGCAAGTATGAAGAAGGCCTGGCCAAACAGAGAGCTTGGTCGGCGGTGAAGAATAGACTGTGCGTCAGAGTACTGTGACTCTGTGCCAGGGCAAGCTGTTGGTATGAATGGCCGTGTCCTAAAGTTTCGGACGCCTCTCGAGCGAGTGACGGAGGAGGGGTCTGGGCTTCTGGTGTGTGTAATGCTAGAAGCGCGCTGCTTGGTTCCTGCAGACCGGGACGATGCACGTAGCCGACGACTCTGACCGACTCGATTGTAGAAATATAGCGGTCTGGCGCGACAACGAAGGAGGAGGCCCGCGAGAGGGGTTATCGTAGCTTGAATAGAGACACCGGCGATCGATCGAAGCACGGCCTGCCTAGATAGTGGGATGAGCACGGGGACGCTGGGGCACTGGGGCACTGGGAGCTTGAGGGAATGGAGCTGCGTACCGTTCTGCAGTGGAAACTGCTCGTCAGTGTGTCCAGAGCACAGAGTGTCGAGGAGTCGTTCAGGCTGAGTTACGGAGAGCGGGACAACGGGGTCGAGGTTGAGGCGCGTGCAAGCCCTGCCGAGGATTGGGCAAGGCAGCAAGGCGGCACAGCAGAGGGGACAGCCTGCAGGATTGGCGCTGGCGTTGGAGCTTGGGGGCCGAATCCTCAGCTCGCACACAGGAGGCAGGCAAGAAGGCAATGGAGTCAGAAGAGGCAGAGGAGAGGCAGAGGAGGCAGCAGAGGAGGCGTGAGAACGGGCGGCGGCGGGGGGATGTAGGCAGCGCTCTGGAGGGGCCTCTCAAGCTTCACATGGACACCGGGGCCTTCTTTGGGCCATCGTCGTGACGGTTTCAACACCCGCCCGCGCTACGTACAGCCGTCTCATTCGAGCGGCCCAAGGTGCCAGTGTTGGCGGCGAGGCCCGCGAGCCCTCTCAGTGGACGATACTCTCTGCCACCCCAGCACGCCCTCCACCACGATGCCTCCTCTCGCAGCATCACCAACATTGGCAGCAGCCCGCCAGAGGCGCCAACTCCGGCACCGCGCAGAGAAGTCGAAGACTCGGCGCGCAGCTGACGTGGGACACGCTGCCGGCGGGTATTGAAAGCTGCGGCTGTGTGGCCACCGCATGTTATGCCCACCCCAAGAGGGGCAGCTGAACTTTGGGACATGCATCGCCAGTCTTAGCCCGGCCATTGTCCTGCATCTTGCGGTGTTTGTTTGCTATTTCATGCATGATTCAATCCATCGGGTCCCGCACGAGGCCCCCCTTCCCTGCAGACGCTGTGGAGAATTCCAACTCGCAGACAGCATGACAGACCGGCGGCGCCATGTAAACACTCGGCAGAACGGGAAGCACGCAGCCTCAACCATGGAACCACGTATAGAGGTCCCACTCCCCAATGCAACTACAGAGCAGTGGAGTCAAGATCGCCGTCTCCTGTCTCACCAAGCGCCATAGCTATCGTCATGTCGCCGCCCAACAGTTTCGAAAGAATGATACAAAAGAACACGGCCCTCCACCAACAGACCGCGAGAGCAAAGGGCGCTTCGCCGCTGCCCAATCACCGAATCCCGCCATCCGAGCCCTGTTGGATCTCGGTCAGCCCAGGGCCACATCATGCATGAAGACGACCTTGGGCGCAGAGCCCCTCTGCAACCCACCTCCGTTAATATACCGCCAACCTCGACTGCACGTTCTCGCCGGGATTGATATCATCGATCCTCGCCAGGATCGTATCCTTATGCCTTTTCAATATTTCCCACAGCCCCGCCATGCTTCAAAAGAGGACCATCTTCAGCTTTGGTACTGTACTAGCGATTTGCGGAGGCTGTACACCCGCTGACTCAGGAGAACGAACGTCACACAGCATTCTGGAAGGCTTCCAAAGCCGTATCCGACATCCGCGATCCGCTCGTGCCGAATACGAATGCACGATGGGTAAGTCGAAGAACTCTCAGCCAAGCTATGCCTATCGCGTCTCTAGTCGTCCTCATTGGTCAGATGGTCACTCTTTTTTTAACACCACCTGCAGATGGCAACTATTGATCGTTCCGAAAGACGTAGAGAAATGTATCTGAATCATTAGAAGCTTGGAAGAGTGCTATTTATGTGAGTGCACGGCATCATGTGGCATGCAACGCTTGGTCTTCATGCGAGTCCGATAAAGGCAGGTTGATATATAATACGACACCTCGGCATAGGTGTCATACCTAGGTAGTTTCTGAGGCAAAAGAAGCGAGTTCTGATAAGTAGGTGCTCGCGCCTGATTCGCGGGCCCACAGATATGACATTGTAAAGTTCAAAAGATGAAGAGGCTTGGAGTCCTTCAAACGGCTACCTACTCTAGCAAATCACGCGAGAAGCACATGTAATATAAGCTAATGACCAAATTCCATGACTGCACTGTTGTAGAAGAGAGTGAGAGTGTGAGCGCGCGTCATGTGCTTGAAAAACCGGTGAATTGTACAGCATCGCGAGATGCTCTTCAGCTTATTTCTGTTCGTAACTATCGTTCAAAGGAAGTAAGAGACTCTTCTTGAGATGGTCTATCAAAAAGCTGAAGAGTGTACCAGGCCACTTTCGGCATTGACAAAGTATTCCGCCTCTAACTCCGCCTCTAACCCCACCTGGAACGGAACAGTTTCCAAAGTTTGCGGCAGCGGTACATGTTCCACACCTCGACTCATCTTCCAAGGAAGACGAGTTGCCTTATCGGCAAGAATCCTGAGAGCCCACATAGTGTTATCCATAACGTCCGCTTCAATGGATCTCTGGAGAAATGTTTGATCGGCCCAATGCTCCTGCACAGTATTCCGGACGTAACGCGTAGGAGATGAGGCGTCATAGTCAGATTGATAGCCTCTCTACCACTGATGCCAGAACAACTCCGGTCCTTCTTCAAAAATGCGCCAAGCAACCCACGAAGTGTAGGAACGATCGATCTTCGGCTTTTTCCCCAAATCGAATCGCCAACCAGAATGAGGGTGCATGGAGACATGTGTCATACTCTCGCTTCCAAAGGCGGCACCGAGACGTGAAAACATGACGAGAAAATTCCGGAGGCGTTCCATGGACAGGCCCTTTGCGTAGTCGATTCTCCGCCGGCAAATCTCCCATTCTCACTGCCATACAATTTCCATGTCGTCACTCAATGCGAAGCTCCGCACGCCGAGAACAGTTACCCGCCTCGGTGGCCTTCCATAGTGGCAAGATGCGCCCGGTCGTCGTCTGCCCGTTCTGATCTCATGTTGAATGTCTACATTTGGCGAATTAGTCGCACGCAATGCGCTGGCCACAAGATCTTCTTACTTCGCTCTCTCTGACGGTTGATCTCGGCCTCGATCTTTTCATTGGTTTCGATTTCAGCACTGGTCATGGGAAAGTCGATTCGTTGTATCGTAGGAAGCTCACGAGGCACTAGCTCATGTACTTCTTTCGCGATGCGAGAGAAATGGGCAAGGGTCTCGAAGCCGCAGGCGACCTGCTTTCTCAAATCGGCATGCCAAGGATGTCCAATAGGGTATCCATCGATGCGGCTGGGTGGGAAACCACGCTCTAGTTCCTCGCTCGATTAAAATGGCTCCCATCTAGTGGCGTCGAAGACTCTTGAGCCATCGTAGATTGTAGATGCCATCATCCGGTGGTAGAAGAATTTGCGGAGATCCTGGAAAGGTGTTCGCAGCCACAGCTTGCGAAAGAGAGAGTATGTGGAATTCGATCAGGTCATGATATTGCTGGCATACCAGGCGTGAGTTCAAGAAAGAGTCAACGTCTAGTTTTGAGAAGATGAGGATGAGATATCATTAGACAGTATTGCAGTCGCCATGATTGAAGGTGCGGTGCAAGTCAGCAAGATCGTGAGGTTAGTTGTGGAAGTAGTGCAGCCAGAGAGGTCAATCGCACAGCAGATGGCTATGCGCGGTTTCTCGGAGCAAACATCCACGGCGTCTTTCCGATAGAACTATCCTGATCGCAAGTACAGGAGGTGTAATGGATCACAGACACGATCAATTGATGAAACTCACGGGGTTCGGACTCTTATTGATGAGCGTCATATGCTATCGAAAGGAGGCGTAGGACCCTGAGGCGTGGGAGGATGTTCCTTCGGGGTGGAAAAACCCTCGGTCCGAGCCTCGGTATGTTCCCCGGGTTCTCATCGGATTTGATCCCGAGCAATAGCTACTTCGTACTTCTGGCATCAAATCTGTCTCTGCTTTTTTTCTCTTCTCCTATCGTTAAGCCTGCTCTTAAGATGGATATTCAGAATCTGTTCAACGTCAAGGTAGCCAATTCTCTACGCGAAAAGCCCACCCTTTCGAGAATCAGGAACAAGCACTGACGTCAGCTAGGACAAAGTAGTGCTGGTCACTGGAGGCGCCAAAGGCATTGGACGCATGATTTCGGAAGGCTTCGTTCAAAATGGCGCAAAGGTGTACATAGCGTCTCGAGACGCGAAGTCATGCGAACAGGCATGCAAAGAACTCAATGCTCTGGGCAAGGGAAGCGCTCATTACATTACCGCGGACTTCTACAAAGAGGGGGACGTCAAGAACCTAGCTGAAGAGCTCAAAAAGAAAGAGAAGAGTATGTTCCCTTTCCCCCCATACATATATCCTTCCGCCTGGGGAAAGTTGGATCTTGAAAGGCCATTGCTTAACTTATACTTTGGACAGAACTCCACATCCTCGTCAACAACAGCGGCAGCAACTGGGGCGAGCCCTACGATACCTACCCCGACAGCGCCTGGGACCGCGTAATTACACTAAATCTCAAGCGCGTCTTCACCATCACTCAACAAGTAACACCTCTCCTCGAAGCCGCTGCCACACCTGAAGATCCCGCGCGTATCATAAACATCGGCAGCATTGACGGCCTACGGGTGCCAGCTCTCTCTACTTTCGCATACTCTGCGAGCAAGGCTGGCCTACACCACCTGAGCCGCGTGCTCGCTGTTCACCTCGGCCCGCGAAATATAACATCCAACGTGCTGGCATGCGGTCCATTTGAGAGCAAAATGATGGCGGCAACACTGAAGAAGTTCGGAGATAAAATCAAGAGCGAATCCCCTCTAGGTAGGATTGGGTCACCCACAGACGTTGCAGGCGCATGTTTGTTCTTGGGAAGCAAGGCTGGTGGGTTTGTGAATGGAGCGACTATCACTCTTGACGGAGGTACCGTGATCAATGCGAAGCTATAAGCTAATAGCGATGTATGTTCCATTTAACTCTAGACTTTCATGTGCATACAGTTTCAAGTCATCAGTGAGAGCTCTTCCTGTTTCTCTTGCTGTGCATCTGTATGCAGCCGCCCGTGAGTGTTTTAGTCGGTCTAGCGGTGACGTTTCGGAGCACCTTCCACCTTCCCCCTCCAACCTCATTACAACCTCGCTCTGCACATAGATGTTCATTTCACCTCTTCACCTCTTTACCTAGGTATACAATGGCGGCGCACATTGCGCTCCCAAGCCGTAACAAGCGACCCATTGCCCAAACAGCGAGCGCCTTCATAGAAGCCCTCTCCGCAGAGATAGACAAGCAACACAAGTAAGCACACAGCACCCTCTCACCCACATCAAGAGCGCTGATACCAACCATCCAACCTCTCGACCCCCTCGCTGATCCAATCAACCAGGGCCCCACCAGGCTGCGCCCACGCCGACTTCATCGACTCAGCCCGCTCCACGACCCGCAACATCATCGCCCGCTGGAACTACAAAGCCCGCAAGTCCCCCAACATCGCCGCCGTCCGCCTGGTCTGGTACCGAGGCCTCGACCCCTCGCACAACCTAAACCCGCGCTCGCTGCAGAATATGTTCAACCGCGCGGTCATTAACGCGGCAGCGCGCCACTACATCCTAGACCTAAACCCGCACACTCCCACGCCCCTCCACGCCGCCTTTGGCGCGGCAATGAGGGAGGCGGAGGAGGAGCCGGCGAGCTTCGCGGCGCGGGACCGGTATGTGAATCTGTGGAATAATGAGAAGGCGGGGGAGTTCTGGCTACTTAATGCCGCGGAGGAGGGGGTGTGGTATGAGTTTCTGGAGAGCGTGTGGGGCCGCAAACATGCGGACGGCGGAGAGGAGTTTCCTTATGAGAGGAGCAAGGAGGTGTGCGGCGTGAGGATGTCGTCGCGGTTAGTCAATGGGTTGGATGCGGAGAGGGGGGAGCTGAGGGCGTGGTTTAGGGTGGCGGTTGAGCAGGTCTTGGAGGATGGGGATGTTGCTTTCTAGAGAGTGTCTGTAGATAATGCCAGGATGTTAGTTTGTGTGTCTTTCCTTGATGTCTGCTACTGTGAGCCCTCTTAACCAGATGAATAGATCGGTTCGGATTTGGAGAAGCTGGCTCGCAGCATGCTTTCGATATACCTGTCTTAGGTATGAAGAATGGCGACTCTCACTAAGCCGGCGTATTACGATGCACAAGGAAGGTTAGAAAATGCGTGAAATGCTATCAATACGCTACCAAGCGCAATTTTGAGGATAATTATATTAGAATGCTCGCTTGCTCCAGATTCCCAAAACACCATCTATGCCAGAAATACCCAGACACACCACTTACACTTTCTCAGGCATTAGAACAGCCCGGTACCTCATCTTCCCATCATTAAGCGTCTGCAGCGCATCCGTGATTCCATCCACGTTCATTGGGAACTTCATCACCGTAGGCTTGATGCTGTGCTGAGCGGCAAACGCAAGCATGCGCGTATGTATACCGCGACTGGCGACGAGAGATCCCTGGATGCGAATCCCCTGGAGGATAAGGGGCATGTATGGGATTTCCAAATTACCCGCCGCGACGGATAAGGGAATGATGACACTGTCCATGTTCATGAGGGGGAGGTAGAAGTTCCAGTCTACGATTCATGTTAGTATCTTAATTCAAAAGGGATAAGGATAGTCGTGACTTACCAGGCTGGAAGCTGGTAGTAACCAACAGACAATCGATCTTCCTTCCGATATCGAGCTCCTTCACGCCTTTTGTGGCGAAGAACTCGCTGGCGCCAAAGGCTTTAGCCTCCTCTCTCTTTGACTCGGATCCGCTGAAGACGACGACTTCACAGCCCATCTTCGACGCGAATTGGATGGCCAAATGGCCGAGCCCGCCGACGCCGATGATGGCCACTCTCGAATCGGGCTGTATGTCGTACATGCGAAGGGCATTGAAGACAGTAGCGCCACCGCACATCAGGGGCGCGGCCTCCTCGTCTGGGATGGAGTCTGGGATCTTGAAAAGAAAGTTTTCGCTCCAAACGGCTTGGTGTGCGAAAGATCTATACGAATGTGTTTAATGACTCATACTTGACTTCAAGTTTCAACATCCACTTACCCCTGATCAAAGTTGCTAGCCCCGTACGTCTCGCGCTCTGGGCAGAACGTCTCACGGCCAGTGAGACAGAACTCGCAATGCCCACACGCATTGGTCTCATATCCCCATCCAACGCGGTCGCCCTTCTTGGAGTGCTGGACCCCGGGGCCGACTTCTTCAACAACGCCCATGCCCTCGTGGCCTAGGACCATATCTTGGCCTCGGTAGTGTTCATCTGTACCGCAGACGCCGGAAGCAGTGACGCGGACAAGGACTTGGTTGCCAGTGAGTGCGGGCTTGTAGGTGGTGCTCCTCTGGATGGAACCGTCCTTAGAGCCTTTGAATACTGTGAAGGAGACCATGTTCGGAGATTTGAAAGGGTAGATGTTTAGATTTTGGAAGATTGAGATGTTCGTTGGTCAATTGAGAAGACTGGATGATGGCGGTGTTCGAAGATGCTGATGGAGAGGTGCGAAGGAAGAATGATACATATATATATATGTCTGGGCTGAATAATGGCATGTGGTCGTTCTCTACAGTTGACCTTCCAAGTGTGGAGCCTTGGGAAGGTTTACAAGCTTACCTATGTCAACAAGATTGCATAATACTGAATCTAGATGGAGGGGAACAAACAAAATCTGAATACACTACAATGACGTGTCGTCTAAAACCACTCGGGTTTCAAACCCTGTAGGGCTGGAAGTGCACATTTTGACGGGACGGACGAATGAAAACAGCCGCAGATGGTTTCAAATCTAGTAGTTGCGTATTTGCGTAGCTAGATACGCGAAAGAAAGATCGAAGGGGTAAGGATAGCTTCACATGAGTGGCCGCGGGTTCCGGGAAAGGTGTGAGTGATGATGAGGGCGGGCAGGTTACCAATAGGGCGGTGATCTGTGGCTTAAGATGCTGGCAGAAACTTTGGTCAAACAACTGCGGGGACTTAGAGCGTTACCGCACTCGGACTACCTTTAGATAAAGCTGGAATCTCGGCAGACCCGCGGCATTAGTTTTGAGATGGAGGTGCATAGGTAAAGAAAAACGTTGGCGCGGATGCACACCCTTGGCAGCCTATAGTTGGAGGAAGTTAGCTACATCCAATAGCAATCTCAGTCTCGGATTACGTGTTCTCTCTTTGCATTATAAAGCAGCTTCAGGTTCAAGCAAGAGGAGAAGCTGCTAGGAGCTAGGCCCAAATCGGCGAAGGATTCATGAACCAAGCGCCCTGAACATCATGAAGAAAGATCGGATAAACACAACATGCCGCTCAGTGCATCATAGACAGCAAGATATCCGAAAGTCAACCATAGATGCCGACAGACTCGAGTCGAGAGACGATATTGTTTTGTCAGCACAGAAAAGCTTCATTGCCTCAATGTTGCTTAGCACAGCAGCTTCATGTTTACTCACGAACACATTTCCACCGAAGGACGTAGGCGGGAATAGCTCGGGGTACTCAGTCCTCGGACTCGGCTGCGCGGAAATCTTTCAGGAACAGTTTTGACGTGTGACGTCGTGCCGCGATGCTTTCAACTTTTTTAGTGGCCCGAACCGAAAAGAAAAGTCTGCGATGCACGACACCAGCCACAACGCAGGAGTGGCGAGACCCGTTATTCCAAGGTTTCACGCGCCGCTCCATATGTCACGTGTCTCTGTGTGGTTAGAGGTGATCTGTGGTGTGGTGAGATGAGATGAGATGCGCAGTCCTGTGTCTGAAGTTTTAGGGTATCAGGCTATTCTCCTCTTGCTGTGAAGATCTGGGGTAGCGGGGTTTCTCGCCCTCCTATTGTGTAGCACAGGTCAACTCCGGGGTTGCGAAATCGTCAATATGGTGCAAGATTACCGTGATGGTCTGTGTACGATTGCGACTGCATGTCTCCCAAGACGTCAATATCACGCAAGATCGCATCAAGAGGGAGTTTGAAGTCATAGAAGCTTTATCATTATCGACGACAATAATCGTCGTAGGCTACCTCCCAAAGTATCCTCCGAGTCCAAAGTCTCCAAAACCCGAAAAAAACAAGAATGTTCCAGAGTCTATCTGGAGCCCTCACCGGGGTATGTGGGTATAACTGCCCGCTGGTTGTGGTATAATATGTAAAAATGAACAGCTCGTCGCTGCAGCCCTCGTCACGAAAGGAGCTTCGCCGTCCCGAAACTCCTTCGCCGGTTGTGTTATAGCTGAAATGAAATGGAACCGAGACCGAAACCGAAATCACTTTTTGTTGTTTTACACTGAGTGATGATGACTCCCGAGAAATGCGAAGCTCGGAAGAAAGACAAGATAGCCGCCCAACACCATGCTTGAATGCGAGAATCAGAACCAGCTCGCAATGCATAATAAGAAAGTCCGTAGATGCAGCCCAAAGGAAAACGCGGTCAGGAAAGAGCAATGGTGCTCAAGTCTCAGTTTCGCGAGAAGTTCTTGCTGACGCGGTGCCACGCACCCTCGATGCTGGTGCGGGTTCGGGAAGCATGGCTGTCTGCGCTCAAAGTCGAGCTGGCTGAGTTGGTGCGCGCAGTGCCGTCGTGGACTTCGTTGCCGGCGCCGCCACGGCCGATATGGTATACGGGGGCAGCGTGCTCCATCAGGCGCTGTTGCTGGGCAAGCTCCTCGTCAAAGCTGAAGATGGCGCGTTCCTTCTCGCGGTGCAAGTTGCCAGCACCGCCACGTCCGCTCATGAAGTAGGCGTTTTGTGGTGGAGGAGTGATCTTGACGACGCTGGCCGGGCCGGTGGCATCAGGGCCGGCGGTGACGCTCTTGGGGTTGACGCGAGCGATGTTTCCTGCGCCTCCCCTGCCGGCATGGTAGTAGTTGCTGGCAGGAACAGATGGGTGCGGTTCGGTGATTTGGTAGGATGACATTGTGATGTTTTGAGGGTTGTTGATGTGTGGAGAAGTTGGAATTTTTGGAAGAGTGGCTAGTTTAGATGCTTTGAGAATGTCTGATCGGACTGGGTATGAAGACTAGTGTCTGTATCAGGTGGATGTGAGTCTGAATGTTATGTGCTGCATTAATGGCGGGTCAGTGATGGGTCTTATAGTGGCGGAGGACATCGTGAAATTTTTGCATTGAATAATCATGACACAAAGCGGAGGAGAAATTGCGTGTCACGCAACAGCAGCCGTCGTAAACTGGCTCAGATTCGATGAGGGCTGCTGAAGACGCTTTGCAGTTAACGGATTGACAAGGCGAAGCATGATCATTCAACACAAAGCAGCTCGGCAAGCGGCCGGCCAGCACCTCGCGCCCTGGCCCGCCACGCAAGGGTGGCCATTGAATTAGTCAATGCCGAGCGCCCATTGGCCGCCGCGAGAGTATGCAGCGCCACCTGACCGTCCTCGGTGCCTGGCGGGAGTTTCCTGGGGGTAATAGAATGTCGTCTCGAAATATCCCTCTCTGTGATGGAACCCAGCGCTTGAAAAACGTGCTTCGGGGCGCTCCACACCGCGCGGCGGTACTGTTGTGCAGCCTTAGCCGTGAATCTGCGCAAATCTCTGTTTTTGGGGTGGGCCATGAGCTCTGGCGATGTCTCCTTTGCTTTTGCTGTCCAGTCGATGATCCGACGCAGGAACAGGACTGCTGCGGCAGGCCGCCAGTGGTCTTCCAGGCGCCGCCAGTGCATTCCAGCTGTCGACGACCCAGCTGCCGGTTGCCGACGCGCTGGGCCCGTCAGGCGGTGACCGTTTTGCTGGTCATTCTGAGGCGTGATGGCCGTCACAGGATTTGTTTAGCTCGTCACGACGGCTGTCCAAGGCGGAGGCGGCAGGAGTGCCGTTTGAGAAGCTGACTAGAATCGTCCAAACCGCGTCGCTTATGCAAGCTACGCTCAGCTATTGTTTCCAGCACCGTCACCTGGCCGGGGCACGGAACTTTTAGTCCCAGCTCGAGAAAACTCACGATCCTTGGCACTAGGAGTCTCGACGCCGGCCCTCAGCTAATTTGAACACTCTTGAATCATTACATGCTCCCATAGGGTATCCTTATGCCACGAAAACAGCCAGACTAACGCCATGAATGCACTCCAGCACGCACTCCAGCACGCAATGCCCTGCTCGCATCTCGCTCACCAAATAGCCAGCCTTCCAGCAGTGAAGTTAGTAACAACAATTGAAAGTGCGGTCAACATGCGGGGAAATAAACAACATGTAGCGCACTGCGCCGTTCAGGATTTACGCCCAGATGCTGCCATGACACGTAGATCCGCTGCGGGAAAGCTGCTTCGGTGGCTCTCCGTTACCCGGCTCAGAATGTCCGATTCCATGACTAAAGCCCAACCAACCGTCCTGCAGCTGTCCCGAAAGTGTGTCAAGGTCGCATTTGCGGGGGCGGGAAGGCTACAAGCGGAGAAGAATCTAATGCTTGCGGCGAATTGCGACATTGCGGAGCCAGATGCTGCATCTACGCAAATTTCGTGTGGATGATGTCGGGGTTCTCTTGCCATTCATCCTTTTCAACCCACATCTACGCACGGTTAGCCGCTGCTTCTGGGCCCCTGTCCATGACACAGGGGAACTGACCTTCTTGAAAGTGCTGAGACCAGCGAGAATGCTGCCTCCGGTCCACGTTGTGTATATCCTCTCAGGAGGCGCTAAGATTTTGATCCTCATATCCTTGACCGCGAGCCGTTGCACTTCATTGAGCAGCCTATTTCCAAAGCCCTTAGTGAGTGTGGAGCCTCCAGATAGTACGATGTTTCCGAACAATGCCTTCCGCAGGTCCATGTCCGTCCGATTGATGGCATCGACAACGATTTGGTGAACTCCAGGGTACTCCAAGCCAATGAGCTCGGGATTGAAGAGAATTTCTGGAGCCCGGAATCTCTCTGCGCCAATCTGAATTTCACGGTGTCAGCACCTGCTCGAGCAGGTTACACTGCTTAGACTCTTACCTTTAATTTTTGTCCGTCGGGCAGCGTGTATTCGACGCTCTTCCCGTCCGTCCTTGCCGAGCTGCCCGACCATTCCTTCTCCTCTTTCACGGGGTCCAGCGCAACATAACTGGTCGTCTCCTTGAGGTGTTTGACAGTCTCCTTCTCCGCACTGGTGTGGAAAACTTTGCCACTTTTCCTCAGCAGCTGCTGCATGTGCTCCGTCACGTCCCTGCCTGCCACGTCTATTCTCCTGATGCTGTTTGGAATGGCGAATCCTTGAAACACTGGAACAGCGTGGGACACGCCATCACCAGAATCTAGCACTATTCCTGTTGTCTTGCCAGAAGCGTAGAGGGAGAGCACGGCTTGTACCGAGGTATAGAGGGCGGGCACATTGAAGGTCTCGAAGAGGATTTGGGCAGCCATGTCGCGGTTCTCTCGCGGATTGAGTGGCGGTTCTGTGAGCAGTACGGGATGCTATAACGCAGCGCAGGGCTTTGATTAGCTTCAATGGTCTTTTCTTCAGGCGCAACCAAGATCTAGGTGTTGCTTAGAGACACATACATCTTCGCTCACGGTCTTCAGCTCCTCTGTATAGACATACTGCCATATCCGCTCCATGTCGTCCCAGTCTGTGACTATGCCGTGTTCTAGTGGGTAGTTGATCTTGAATAGCCCCTTATATTGCTGTGCTTGGGGTCCTATGAAGACGTCGCCCTCCAATGCGCCTGCCATTGTCCGCACATGCTTCGGGCGCCCGACGTATGATGGGAAGTAGCATTTCGGTACATCTTGTCCCGCGAACCCAGCTCGAATGGTCCCGCTGCCATTATCCAGAACAATGGGGGCGTTATGCAGTCGGGAGCCCATGGCGAGGGCGTGGCAGTGGAGTTAGGAGATCGAGAAGCTGGAGACGGACTACAGCAGTGCAAATGAGGATAGGGGAGGGCTTGTCGACACAAGAGTGAGGCGGTATGCTGGGAAGATTTTCAAGTCCTGTCGCGCGTCGACTGTGAAGTCAGACGCGAGGGAGAAAATGTGCAGGGATCTGCTAGATTATCCCCAGTCTTGGCACGATTCCATCTCAACCTCATCTTCTGCTGTCTCGTGCGAGAAACAAAGAAAAGGGCAAGCAATTATTTCAACGTCTCAAATATCAACTCGGAAGGGTATGAAGTTTCTATAAGAGTATGCAAAGCAATTGTACCACCAATCCCAGAGGCCCCCACCCTCCGGAAGTATCCCATGCGACCTGTTCCTCCTTTCTACGAAAGAAAGTTCATTGTGATGCTGTCCAACATCTCCAGCGCATTGTCTTGCTTCGTGTGTGTCAAATTTAGTCAGTCTCTAGACCTGCTTTCCCTTTTGTACGGCAGCTTTCCTGCTTTCCTGGCTTCCATGCATTCTGGCCGAAGAGGGAGCGGCAAGCACGTTAGTAATCGCATAGTACTTGGCGAGTGAGAAGCAGGAAGCAGATGCTTGAGAATATCACAGGCTCTTCTGGGTAGGTCTAGTTACTTTTGTGATTCCCATACCTTGTCACAGATTTGTGTGCACTCGTCGACCGACATCTGGAGTGCCTTGATGGGCTTTCATAGATACGAACGACATTGTTCCGAGTAATCAGTAATCTTGCTGAACTACTTAAGATGGTAGCAAAGGCTGAAGGTCGGTTCTCAACTACGAGAGCTATGGTGCTCAAACGGAAGTCTGGTTTGTCGTTCTTCCACGTGACCTCAATTCGTACTTTCAAAACACGTAACTACCCCTTCTTGTTTACACCTCCGCATCTACCTCAACTGCTTTCGCTCCTCTTCAACCCACCCCCAAGGCCTCGACTAGCTTTGGCCGGGGCACCAAACCCGTGTTGCAATGGCGCGCCGCAGAAAGGTGCGTGGCAGGGCAACAGCACAATGCGACGATCAGCAATTGAGGGACACAACGGAGGGGACGTGGAAATTGATCCAGGATTTTGCGACGAGGAACTTGCCTCAAGGCATATATTTGCTTTCGAAGTAGGAATACTTGCGTCCCTCGTACCTACGAATGGCCTTAATCCGCAGAATTACAGGGAGGAAGCCAACTTCAAACGGCTATGCGAGCAGGGTTATCCGTAAGTACTCTATATCTTGCCAGCCCAGTACAGTCTGGACGCGATTTACTTGTTCCTATAGGACACCTCCCGACTGCACATTCCAATCCTATGCATCAAACAAGGAGCTACGAATCCAAGCGTTAATGGAGCGCTTCAACGTCTACAAGGGCCAAGATCCCCAAACAACTCGCATGATCTACTTCGGCGAGCTCAATTACAAACGGTCCTTCCGGACGTTTCATGCCCTATGGTGGGCGATGTTTGCCTTTGCGAAGCAACGTCTCGGGCTCGATGTATCGCCTCTCCTGGAAGCTTTTCGCGACGCGGTGCTCGAGAACATACACAATCCTGGAGTCTTCACTGCGCGAGAGGCCTATTGCGCTATGTGGCCCACTGTGGACGGAGACATCCCTGAAATGAGCAACAAGCAGATGGAAACCGCACGGAACCTCATGACCTACCTTGAAGACTTGGCAAAGTCAGCGGAATCTACAAAGGCAGACGATGATATGGAGATTCTCGCAAGACGCACAGCTGAACTGAGGGTGAGCGGTGGACATGAAGAAGCCGTCAAGCGGATGATGGAACAACGCATCGCCGAGCTGCGAACTGGCAATCCTACTGTGCAAACGAGACCTCCCTAGCTCGATCATCTCCCTGAAGGGATGTCTCGCAAGGACCGAAAGAAGGCTCTGAGGGCTCTGCGAGTAGCTTATACCGAGAAGACCGCGGCGAATGCTGGCGCATCCTTCGAACCAAATGCAGAGGCATCTTATGAGCTGCGCCACTTGAATACCGTTGTAAACAGCCTCTTCCGCCAATCCACGAGAATAATCGCTTTGGAAGACGCCCAATACTTTGGTGGATGGAAGGGCGCTAGTTTCTAGCTAAAATAGTCGTAGGTTCTTGCTGTTGTTAGGACTGGGAATTTTGTCAGTGGGTGTCCTACCTTTGGATGCTCGGCTTTGATGATTAGTTCGGGCTCTCAAGCAGGTTTTAGCAATGACCGTTGAAATTCTAGGCGTATAATCACCGAGCCTCTAGGCGTTAATGTTATGTATGCATATTGGTGCTGTCCTTTGGTTGTCAGAGCAATTCTCCATGTTCCACACTTCTTAGCTGGAGGTTTCTCATGGATGCTAAGAGCTACCTATATCGGCCATCGCCCTTCATTGGTCGTCCGATGAGTCTCACCGAGGTCTCCGATGTCTAAAAGTCTGTCCCTTGTTTTTTCAAACAACAGCACTGCCGCAGCGGAACATTAGCCCAATGACAACCCAGCGAATGCGACGACAATCGAGCACAAACTTTTGGTGACGTTGGAACACGCCGCAGTAGCTTTCAGCCATCATCATCGATCCTCACAGCCCTACGTATTCGGGATACGCGCGGTGTCATGCAACGCATCCAAAGGACTCTACGGACCCTCACTTTCTATAAGCCGACTGACCATCCTCCGCTTCATTAACGCGTCATCAGCTAGCACGACTTGAACCTAGCAAACTCCCTCACAAGTCACAACATTACTTGAAACCCGAATCCATAGCCCATTTATTCCTTCATCCCATCCGTCTCACTCTCCCTCACCAACATGACGAAGCTCAAATTCGCTCTCCTCGGCCTTGGTGCCTACAAACTTGGAAAAGAACTCCTCATCTAAAGATAGCAGTCCACCTCCGCTTCCACCTCCGCGCTACGAGGAACCCGTCCGTCGAACGGGCCGCGAGCAAGACTACACTCCACAACGATACTATCAAGGAATCCCCCCGCAAACCCGATATCCGGAAGATGAGAAGAAATACTACAATGGGCGCTAGGAGCAGAGGGAAGATGACAATTCCAGGGTATAAGGAAGAAGTAAGGATCAAAGGGTCTGCGAATGAGCGTGGGTGTGAACCTCTTTCTTTGGACCAGTGGAAGATGGCTCAGAGAGCAGAATACACCACTTCATAGGGCTCTCATGTGTTGGATGACTACTCAGTTTCTTTGTTCGGTAAAGCCGTTTGTAGGATGTATAGACCTTTGCTAATGAAGACACTCCCAAGGCCTTTCTCCTTTGACTACAATCCTTTTCAAATCCAGACCGTTCAACAAATTCGTATACGCCCAGCGAAGGCTTCCTCTCCTTAGATATGGCATGCGCTCAAACTGCAGTAAACCCTCCATCAACAGGATGTTCAACACCTGTCACGTAACTGGCATCATCGCTAGCCAAGAACACCACAACCTGTAGAAAATGAGAAGAGGAATCTCAAGTTTGTTTCTGGAAGCCTAACCTTGCTCACTTCATCTGGCTCCGCCATCCTTCTCAAGGCCAACCCGCTCGCAACGCCTCCACCATCCTGATCCGTTGCAGCCTCCATCATCGGCGTTTTGATATATCCAGGGTGTATTGAGTTCACCCTGATCTTGTCGGGACCAAACTCCACCGCAATCTGCTTCGTCATACCTCTACTGGCAAACTTGCTCCCAACATAGGCAATACTCGGGGCCCCAACCGAAGCAACTAGTCCCGCAATTGACGAGATATTGATAATACTGCCCCCACCTGCCGCCTTCATCCCAGGAACCACGGCTTTCATGCCATAGAACTGCGAGTGCTGGTTCACTGCCACAACCTTCATGTACTCCTCCACAGACAAATCGATAATGTTCTTGATTGGGCCCAGTATGCCCGCGTTGTTCACGAGTACCGTCACCGGCCCAAACGCCTTTTCAGCCTCGGCCACCACCCGTGTCCAGTCGCTCATGGACGCGACGTCGTGCTGGATGAAAAGTGCGTTCTGCCCGATTTCCTTGGCGATCTGAGAGGCGCCGACGGCGTCGATGTCTGTCAGGATGACTTTTGCGCCTTCAGAGGCCATTCTGCGGGCGTGTGCTGCGCCCATGCCTTGCCCGGCGCCGGTGACAATAGCTACTTTTCCGTCTAGCCTGCCCATGGTCGTTTTGATTGTGGTAGATTGGTTCCGGATCTTCAAATGTGGAGAGTGTTGTAGTTGGAAGACGAGAATGTCGATTCAGTTGCTGTGGGTAGAATAGAACTCTTGCTTTTCCCTACCAACTAGGGGTCCAGATACTAGCACTTATCTACTTTCCCGGATCTGTTTTGCCGCACCTGCCTACGTTATTAAAGTGCAACGGCGGTTTTAACGCGTTTCAGGCTGGGCCAGATATCCCAGAGTTAGTGAGTTTGACCCATGAGTCGCTTTGAGGGACCGGGCACATGCATACGAAAGGCTATTTTCGGGAGGGGCCGAATGAGCGACGGCAGGGCTGCTAATGATGTGGGATGGGATGCACCATCGGGAGTCGGGCTTGAGTCGCACCGCGACAGCCAAGAAGCGATGTCGGACTGTGACAGCTGGGCGGGAGCATGCTGCCTTTGCCTCTTTCGGGAGGGGAGTTGATGTTTTCTGGCGGAATCCATCAAATTGTATAAATCATGTTAGTTGATACTCTCGCGCAGTTCCAGCACAGAATAGAGAAGATTCAATTAATATTTGTGCCAATAGTGACCCTTACGAGCCTGGCACCTTTGGATGTTTTCTAACCCGATCTCCGTACACTGTCCAAGAGCTCCCCAACTCCCGCGAACCCACGAGTTGTCGTCTCTAGCCACTCCGCCTCGCAAATATCGTCCGTCCATTTTGGCTAGCAGCGAATTCAATGTAGAAGCCATGCATAAACTAGCATCAAATTCGTACTCGGGAGTCGAGGATCGACTTTTCAGATTCTTCATGTCTCGGCCATTGACATTCGGGCGTATCTAGCGCAGCCACTTGTTCTAACCAGAGAGTGCTGTGGAGCTTTAGAGCGCAGCCGACTTGTTCATATACTGTACGCCAGGTTCTACACTCTCTAGCATCGACTTATTCACGTCGCAAATTACAATATCGTCGACATCCCCATGGACATAGTTGCCGACCCCGCCGACCCCGGACTAGCTGAATTCCCTGAGGAACCAGACACCAACGTTAATGACGGGTACCAGACAGACGGAGATGATACCATGTGCCCACTCACTTCCAGCGCTACACGTTGCGTGGATGAAAATGGACGTACTTATCCTTCCCATGGCCGCCACGAGTATCCTGTTCCAAATGACCAATCGGAGCAAGAGAGCCAGCGCATTCTGCATCGGATATTCTTCCTTGTATGCAAACAAAGATTACACCTTGCGCTAATATCCCCGGGCCATAAAACCCTGGACGTGGGTACAGGTACCGGAGAGTGGGCAATTGACTGTAGGTGTATTGTCCCATTGCTGATAAAGAAGACGCTGCTAAGATTCTTTTAGTTGGAGAACAATATCCTGCTGAGTCTATTAAGGGTACAGACCTCAGCCCGATCCAGCCGGAGTGGGTGCCGCCAAATGTCATCTTTTTGGTCGATGACGCAGAAGCCAAGTGGACACCAGATTTGTATACCTTTATACATACACGCTCTCTTATTAGAGGGATCCGTGACTGGCCTTCTATAATCCGCCAGGCGTTTTAGTAAGTTTAAAATCCAATTATAATCTAGCTTTATAGGCTAATCTACTATTTCTCACCGGAAGGCACTTAAAACCCGGCGGCTGGATAGAATGTCAAGAACCAGACTACTTCCCACGTACGGACGACGGCAAACTCAGCTCCGACAACTCCTTGGGCAAATTCTGGCAAGAAGTAAGTAAAGGATTTGCGGAGATGGGCGTTAATCTAAATAGTCCAGCACAGCTCGAAAGTCTGATGCGGGAAGCGGGGGTTGTGAACGTGAAAGAAGAGGTATTCGATATCCCTGTCGGACCATGGCACAGTGGCCTCAGACAAAAGGAGATTGGACATTTGTGGGAGGATGTACTGCTTCAAGGCTTAGAAGGGATAGCACTGAGGCCGCTATGTCGTCTAGGCTGGAGAGCGGAAGACGTATATATTTTTTTGGCCCAGATTCGGAAGGAATATTCTGTGAACAAGACGCACACGCGGTTCTATGTAGTGTATGGACAGAAGCCGTAATATTCTCCTAAAGGCTGCTATAGTATATGAAGTACGAAGCCTCTTCAATGTCGAACACCCTCTTCCTCTCCCCATAATAATATCGGGCGACTTGCAGTGACTAATCCGCCTTGCATGATGGATGGCGTCTCACACCCGGGCGACACCTCATACGGATGAAATAGCAACAGAGGTGAAATAGCACGTCTGAACGCATATTAAAATGGCATAGCTTATGCACCTTCCCTCATCATCGCATTGTACCGCATCACAAGAGGCCAACACCTGCAGGGTGGGGAAGTTGGGTTTTTCATAAGCAGCTACATAGCGCTGACTGGTACCCGCGATCTGTGAAGCTGGCGGGCTTACTGTGCGGGAGCGAAATCGTTCGCCATGTTGTGCGCACCGGAAGTGGTTTGTAGAGTCCGGTGGTATAGTGATCGGAGCATATCGCCCATCTGCAGGGTGTGCGTTGACGTCGGCCAGTCAGACGGGTGGTCTATCAAGGCTTGCATCAAAAGGCTTTCAGAAAAGTGGGATTGCAACAATCAGAGTCCTTCGAGGCCGAGTCTAGTTAATCGGTCTGCAAGTTCCTCACATTGGACAATGCCGCGGAATGCAACGCTCATGTTAACCTACGCAGGCTCATTGAGCGGGGGATGATATGCAATGGAGATGTGCTATAGCTATAAAGTTCCCACAATTATCAAGAGCGTTCGTTAGCAATCATTTTTCAACTAACAAGTAAGTCTAATGCTTAGCACTATCATCCTATCCATACTAATCATTAGGAATGGGGATGTGGACATCTTCTGAGGGTAATAGTAAGCCTTGGACTAGACCGGAATTATTGTGTTTCCCCAGTGATCTTCACATTTGGCACAAACGGCCTCAAATACCGGGTCGAAGTGACGATGATTGCAAGAGACATTGGATAAACATATTTCTCTATGCTTTCGATAAGGAGACATGCATCCCTGACGCCATTGAGATGTTTTTCAAGGAAGATTTCGCAGAGTCTTGGAATAAAGAGAAAGAATGTTCTTGGACCCCAAGTTGTGGCATACCATTTTTTTCTACTGGATATTGGGCATGAACTTTATGAGATGGGAGAAAACGTCCATTAAAGAGGGAATTTCGGCAGTAGTTGAAGCGTATCATGGCAGACAGGCCAGCAAGCTAGGGTCAAACCGCGAGTTAAAAGACTTGAAACAAGATTGAAATCGACTAGCTTCCCTGGATTTGACTTAATGCGTATTCAGCCATTTACCCTGAGTCTGGTCTTATCTCCCTTTTTTTTTCCAAAACAATACTTCGAAGTTCAAAACGATTCGGGTCACCATCCATACCACCGGGGGCATGGCCAAACTCTCTCCACAGCGACAATCATGTTACCATATTTCTACTCTAAGAGGGTGGCACAGTACAAGTCGATATGAGAACCGATGCGAACGACAGCAGTCATCATCGGAGATTAAGCATATTGATTACCAGCTCGCTACTCCTGTGGAGGTCAGGACTCTACCCTAATCACTCTTACTAACTTTCTCATAAACGACTGGGAGCTGGAATGTGTTATGATAGGAACAACTCCTGAGGCGAGATCTGAACCGGTCGGATGAGATGATGAACAGGTCCAAATAGCAAAACCGAGGGCAAGGGTGAATTCTCTAAGCACATCACGAGGCTGTTCACCAGGATGGTCGAGTGGACGACCATTGACCTCATCGGCAAGAACTTCAAGTCCTTCCCTAAGGACAGGATCGACAACTGGGTTAGGATGCAGTTTATGGGAGCCGCTCTGGGGTACACGAGCGAGTTCCAGTACCCACCGGCGTCCCTGGAGATGGCCCTAGAGACGGTGGTCAAGAAGAGCGTGATCTACATCACCGCCGGGCTCAGGATCGATTTCCTGCCAGAGCACTGTGTCGCAGCTACGGCCGTAATGGCGATCAGGTCGGGGGTTAGCATTGAGAGGTTGATTACGACCTTCGCCGCAATGTCGAAGATCAACGGAGAAACGCCATGTTTCTCAATAGATAGTACGTGGTGCTGCTTGGTTGTCGAAGACAAAACAAGCTGAAGGAGAGGCGGATCTTATCTTATCGTCTCGTGCTTAGATCCGCACGGTTCATCGCGTATAATCCCGACTAACTTATCTCCTCCAATTCCCCCGTTGAGTTAGCGCCGTATCCCCCGTTTATAAGCAACATTCCCCCCGGCTTAACTTTAGCTCGCTCTCTATTCAGGTTGCACCGCTATAACTTAGGATGCTTATCTTCATTTCACCTTTCTGTCCAAACTCCGTTAAATAGTCTAATTATAGTGCATGCGGAACTATTCGCATCAGAGTTTTCAGTCAACTCTACGCGAAAGACAGCTAGGGGTGAGCTGGCAATGAGGCCTAGAAGTGGGCCACCTTGTGAAAGTGACAGCGGTGGCCCAGAGATGGGCCATCTCATGGGATGACCCAGAACTGGGCCATTCATGCAATGATGTTGACTGAATGTCAAACGCCGTAGGGTATCATCGCTCCTCGTCTCCTCTCGTTCATCTCCCATCTCCCCATCTAGTTTCCACGCCTAGTTGTGGGTTAAAGAACGGGTCGTCCGGAAAGTGTCCGCTATTCAATCCTAGCGCGTCGCACGTCGATCCACTAAAGTCGCAGAGCCAGATACCTAGCGTGGCATTCACCAGGACGTTATCGAGTCTCGTGTCCGAATGTATCACGCCCTTCGAGTGTATACATGCAAAGCCTTCGGCCAGCTCTATGCACCATTTGTAGCGAAGAGGCTCCCCGATTATTGAATTATGCTCCTCCGAATACGCCTGCAGAGTCCCATTGCTGGCTTCGCTAAGCTTGATGGAGGAGCTGTCATACGCTCCCAGGTATCTGTCAATGCGATTAGCCCCTTTATATAAGGCTAGATTGTAGCTCGGCGGAAGGCGTGACTTGTATTGCAAAATCTTAGGTACCACATATGGTCCCAGGGCATCTTGAGCCTCCTGTGTCGTGCTTTGATTAGTGTCTGCGCAAGCTCGTCTCCAGATCACGTTCCAGGCGAACGTCAACTGGTTAGTTTAGGAAGATGGGAACAAGCGGCTCAGGGCAAGAGACGTAGTTAGACAGGGACAGTACAGGAGCTAGAAACGGGTAGAGAGAAGACAGAGTAAGAACAAGATACAATATGCCCACCAGGGGCCATACGCGAGTCCCACTTCATCAGCTGCTCCCCTTCCCGTGTCTACAACAAATTGCTTCCATCTGGTTCCGCATTAACCTTTATATCCATCTAGTTATCGGTAAAAGGCACCGTTGCATCCCATGATGCGGCTTTGGAAGGCGACGCGGCTTTGGAAGACGACGCGGCTTTGGAAGGCGATGCGGCTTTGGAAGGCGATGCGGCTTTGGAAGGCGACGCGGCTTTGAAACGCCCGGTGTCGCGGACCCGCTTTTGAGACCCTTCGCTGGACTCGACTTTCCATCCGATTTTAGTGCCGGATTCAGGACTTGACTTGGGTCCAATAGACTCGTGGCCGCCGACTAGGTCCTTAAGTGGGAGTCGAGTTGACAGCCCTTCAGGGCTGGCCGTTTTAGCATCTGTTTTGCGATGCTTGTTTGGTGCTGTGTCAGCCGTATTGCGCCCAATACCTTCACTGATAATACGCTTGCGCTTTTCAATCCTTCTCTCTTCCCTCATGCGCGCTTGATTCTCTTCCCATTTTAATATTCTTTTTGATATGCGGTCATAGTTCATCCCGAGTGCTTCTGTGAGTGCTCGCAGTGCTATTTCGGGATGCGCTTTTACCGCAGCTTCCAAAGACGTATAGCTTTGCGCAATATCGTCTGAATCTGAGTCACTGCCCGGATGTTCCAGATCCCCGTGTTCCCAGGTATCCAAGTCATCAGTGTGATCCTCTAGCCAGGTCTTCTCAATGTGATAGAATTTGAGTAAGCGGATTAATTCATGTTCTGCAAAGAACTAAGTGTTAGCCTCTATAGAAACGCGGACCGATATAGGTGGCTTACGTTTTTCCGGGCGTTGAAGTCTCCACAGCATAATAACCTTGTGCGGAAATCTAGGTGGTACTTCGCCGTTGTGTTCAACCGTCATAATGTTATCCCATGCGTTCTCCGCGTGCCTGTTTAGTGATATCTGCTTGAAATCTGCCACATCGTCCTGGATCTTCTTGATCTCCTTCTTGACCTCGTCCACATCCTGCCTGACCTCTAACATCTCCGTATCCAACCTCGTGAATCGTTTGTCCACATCCTGCCTGACCTTGTCCACATCCTGCCTGACCTTGTCCACATCCTGCCTGACCTTGTTCACCTCCTGCTTGAGCCCTCCTACCTCCTTTTCAAGCCCTATTACCCCCTTCTTAAGCCATGCCACCTCCGTATCCAACCTCGTGAATCTTTTGTCCACATCCTGCCTGACCTTGTCCACATCCTGCCTGACCATGTCCACATCTTGCCTGACCTCTGTCACGCCATCCTTAATCCCAGAAAGCTCGTTAGCCCAAATAGCGTGGTTGTGGTAAAGGTGGCCGGTTGAGGTGCTTAACGTGGTGATCGCGCCGTCTAGGTACGTTCGTTCCGCTGTGATGTCTTGAGGTCGTTCGGGTAGTGTGATATCGGCCAGATCGCTACTGCGCTTGAGAGCTTCTAGCGCGGCGAAAGAACGTTGGTACAGGGCCGACGGTGCCATAGTGCTTTCAACGAGTTCCGACAACTAAGATTGACGTTGATAGTAGTTTCGTCGATGAAAGCGATAAGAACGATAAGGGTGATGATGATAATGATGGTGGTGGTAGTTGAGTTAACGTTAGTTAGACGCTTGAGAATTCATTACATAATCCCGAGACAGGTCGCCAAGCACAGCGACCCGGTCGATATCACTACCCCAAGTCAACATAGAAACTTGTTTGCATGCAGGAGATAAATCCTAGCGAATTGTTATGATCCAATGCCTCATATGTCGACAAAGCTGCATTGAACTTCTGCGCCTGAATCTAGGACATGTGTTGGCCCGAATCAGGACCAGTCTTGGCTTGCTCAGGCTTGCTCAGAGCCGCTAACGCATGCTCAGGATTGCACAGCCATAAACTCAGGTTCGCTTAGTCATAGCTCAGTTTGAAACCTTGTGTGCTCAGGTTCAAAAGCGGAAATGGACTTTGGTGGGGTCATTCCTAGTGATAGTGTAAAAGGCTTAAAATGACTCGGCATAGATGAGTGACTTGTCTAGACAGTTTGTAGTGCTTCGACCTATATCTTGGACAGCGGCATATAGATGAGTGTATATAGAAAGCTTCGAGTGATAAGAACTGCAGCGAAATACTTGAGACACACTCCCTCTAGGCTTTTCGTACACTTGCCTAGTACCGCTCGAGGTCCTCTATTACGTTACGAAAAATCGGAAAAGGACAATGTTGACAAGCCCGATAGCTTTGCGGGCGACCTCAAATGGTGTCAGACTGTCACTTTATGTTCAACGGAGCCTGATCCTAAGTCCGAGCGTTGCGCCACGACGGGTTAAGGGATAGCTCTCATCCAATTTGAGTATCCCGTATCCACTAGTACTCGCTCCTCCCGATTACGAAAAAGCGCAAAATCCAATGCTACTCACTAATATGCTGTGACATTGAACCAGGGTGATGGATTGCTTCCCCCACATCACACGTTAAGCAATACGCAAACAAGCAACGGGGGTGCAGATTAGTACTCACTGATACAACGGCATCGAACACGACCTTGAGAGTCCTTTGCTAACCAGAGTGAACGTGAACATGACAGTCACAAAACAGGCTTATCACCACCCCTATCCATCCCAACCGTCTTAAGACTCAGATAAAAGACCTCACGAGCAAAACGCCGAAAAGAAAACTTACGTTACCGAGCACCCCCCCTGCTGAGCACTCTGACGAACCCCAGCAAGGGATTTGGGTTCGCTACCACTCTTCGACAAATATATGTCGTCAACTGAGCTGCGGGAATCAAACCCAAACCTTAGTGTCCTCAATTCGAGGACAAAGCCGCTGAGGATGAGATGCCTCGTAACGTCACCAGACGCGGGCCGCACTTCGCAATCGGGACGGCGCTGTGGGTTAGTTGAAAGGAAGACAAGATTAACAAAAATAACAAAAATATATAGATAGAGGGGAAGCTCACATAAACCTCACACGCGATGCTTGACCAGGAGGAGATCTCTTCGGTAAGATTGTGGTCCGCTTCACTGTACCCTAATTCATTCATATCGCCTCTGACCGTGATGCAATTTCATAGCGATACGACGCTGAACGGCGACAATTCTCCGGCTTACGCAATCTACCTCACGAAACCGTCGGGATATCAATTACGCCCAACGACCCAAGCAAGCACACCAATAGCCAAAGGTATCCAAAATCCATCGCTCTCATCTCCCTCTTTCCACCCTTTCCTATCATGCCACCAGAACAAGACAAATCGTGCCCTAACGACACGGTTGTCTACTCCCTCCCATCCCTCATCGCCGCTAATATTAGGTCTATTTTGGCTCAGCCGCGGGAAGAAGAACCGTTTGAGCCTTACTAAGTCAGCTCATCATCACTCAAGCATAAGGTATTTTCAACGTACCTCCTGGCCCAAATAGTTGTTTTGAATGGTTGGACATAAAGTTGTAGAAGCTGAACCACAGACGTCCTGTCAATAGGGCCCAGCAAGCGGTCTAGGAGTCGTGACCTTTTCTTTCCGAGCTCGCGTCGGGCACGGACGGCTTTGCCTGCTATGCCGCTGGCGATGCAGAGTAAGATCCATTTTATGACGGAAGAAACGCCCGGCGATAGTAGTGAGGTGTCTAGGAATAGGCGGAACTGTGGGTGGGCGATGAGACGTCGGAAACAAAGGTATAGGGAACACATGGTGGTTGTACTTGGGAGAAGGCGCTAAGAAGAAAGTGAAAAGAAGTGATTCTTCGGCGATGGTTTGAGATAAGATGACTTTAGCGGCGGCGAGAGTGGTTGCGATATTGATGGATTGAGCGATTGGGATGCGTTCGGATGGATGGTGTTTAGACGAAACGCCCAGATGTCTACAGTCAGTAATACTTTGCAGAGAGAAAGAATTGGCAGTAGCTCCTCGCAACAGACACCTTGCGCCATCACCAGACATACTTCCTCAAAATGTGCTGAGCCTTGAAGTAGCTCGCAGCTTTCTTACTTGGATCATACGCCGCTCAATGGCACATCCAAGTAAGGTTCCAACCAAAGCTCGATTCTTGACGCAATTCTAGCCCGGCTAAGGTCCTTATGTACAATCAACACCCGCTACTACCCGCAAAGATATCCCCCTTCCTCCTCCACTAATTCTCCCAATGATATCCATCCAGTGCTTATAGCTTGCTGATGAACAGACGCGCAGCCTGGGTGCGGACCTTCGCGGGCAGGATGTACTTAGAGAAGACGTAGATGAGGGCCGGGAGCGCAATGAAGGCAACGGTGGTCTCGTTGACGAAGAAGAAGGGGACAAGTTGGGGCATCGCCGCGCGGTACATCATCTGCAGTCTGTTAGCCGTGCCCGGCTTCATGGGCTCGCAAATTGCATACCAGTCCCTGAGCTGGCTTGGCCGGAGTCTCGGTCTGCTTCGCCTTGATCTGGGTAGCGGCTAGAGTAGGGCGTGCAATCGTTGAGGCATGCAGCATGCCTGGCTGGTGCTGCATGGCCCTTGCGAGCGGGCGGAAGACACGGGTGGAGTTCATGACGGGCTCTGCGGTATCTTCGTTAGCATTGTCCAGGGCGCGAATTGAGGGCGAAGGGAGCTCCGGAGTGCGCAATTGACATACTGGTTTGCGGATAGTGGCCCGTGGGGGATGAGGTTCGATGGCGTGGTTGGGTGGATGAGCTCTGAAGTTGCGGTTCAGATGAGGTTTCGAGATCTGGGAGAACGGAACGGTCACGTGCACGACACCCGAACCGTTTTCGTTTTCGTTGGTCTGTGCTGCTTACCTTTGTAGGACATCACCAACCTCACTCTCGACGTCAACAAAGACAACGTAACGAATACCAAATTCGAGATCTTGGATCAACAGATGATCGGTTACAGCAACTACCAATTGAAAGAGTTCGATTTTGACATTTCGAGGTGCTACAGATGTTCGAACTGATCTCAGATCATACGCTCGCTCCCATTGTCGTTCGCTATCTACCCACTCCCAGCTCAATCAAAGCGCCGCTTTGACTGCTTTTGGTTTATGTGGTCGCATAATGCATTGCTGTGTCATAGAAGCAATCATTTCCCCCTGTTGATCCCATATCTGTGCCTCATCGTATGTCCTCCCTTCCCCTCCATTAATCGTTCTCAGCTCTTTGATATGCCATTGATTCATATCAATCTTGTTCGAAAAGAGGCGTAGAGCAAAATCAAGCGTCGAACATGCGGCGGCATCTTGCAAAAACAAGTTACTGAATGAAAGTGGGAGGAATGATAAGGCCCCGTCCATGTAGAAAGAGAGTGCCGACACGTTTTCTGCTGCGGTCGTCAAAATCGACTTGCTCCGCACCCATTCGGCTGATGTTTTCGAAGTGATAGGCAGGTGGTCTTGTGTCGTCTTCAGATGCTTCGCCATCCCGTATAAGTTCTGCGACATGACATTGCCAGGGGGGGATCTGCACTCCCAAAAGCGTGCCATGAGTCCGAACACTGTATTGAATACGTCGACCATCTTCTGCGATACTTTTCCTTCTTTCACTAGTCCATTCGCGACCTCATCTCTGGTGGGACATTCCTCGGCAGGAGCATATTTGGAAGCAGACGGCGCGGAATAAGTAAACAGAATGGCGGGCTCTTGGACTTGGAACTCAGCCAAAAGGATGAGACACGGACGGTGGGTTCCATCGTCTTGCTCCTGACTGACCTCGACCTGCCGACTTGCAAAAGTCCGAGTGTCTCTGTATCGCCGAACTTTGCAGAAAAGCTTCCGATCCGTGAGAGCGGGTCCGAGGTAGTTGCCCATGATGGAATAGCAATGATATCCTGGTTTGATGGTTTGATGCGCCGCATTTACTCCTACGCCAACCGTACATCCACCATAGGCAATGTTAGCTGCGTTTCCCATCTTGTCCGGATTAAAAAGGGTGACATAATAGTCTTCAGAAATCTTTTCCAGGGCCACTTGCTCAGGGAGGGTTGCGGCGAGCACCATGTTGCATGCTATGGCAGGAAATTGAGTCGAAACCTGAGGCTTGATGAGCAATGAATGCAAAAAGCGAGAAGAGACGACAGGTGAGAAGAACAGGATGCTGCACGATTAGTAGATTGTTATTTAAGCCAATGCAAGTCCAGAGGAAAATCAGTATTGCTGAACGCTGAAGAGTAATCGTTGTGGAGAGCCGAGGCACGTCTCCCACTAGCATGCTTTAATACTGTCACGTGCAAGCTTCAATAGTCTCCGTCGTTAGCCCTCGAGTTTCTAATTCCATCATCGAACAGCCTTTGCACCGTACCTTTCTAGAGCTCTTCGCAAGGACCACGGCGTATTCCAATATGATAGAAGGCAGTCCTGACCTAGTCCAGTTGCCATGTTGTGCTTTGGTGCCCCGAAGGCATAGTAGTTCCTCTGGCGAGCTCTTCGAAGAGCTTGAAGATGTTATTCCTCGAATCAGACTTCATCATGGAAAACTATTGAATGAGCTGTTACAGCTAACAGATCCCGCAGTAATTCAGGTTTGCTTTGGGATGACTTTATAGACAATTTTCGCAGTCAGCCTTGTCGAGGGTGCCAACCCTGCAACGCAGAAACACGTACATCCCGCCTAAGCCTCGCCAGGCAACCTATTATTTCAAAGAGGGAGCACCGGTCAACCTTGTAGGTTAGATGAGTCCACCTTTCTTCACACTCTTCTCAACTAGTTCTACATCAAAAGCACCAACCCTTAAGCACATAAGCTAAGCATGGCCGAACCCTTCTCAATCGTTTCAGCGTCTATCAGTCTTCTCGACGTAAGCCTTAGGGCTATCCGAGAGACGTACAAGTTCATCTCAGCCTTACGCCAAGCATCGGCGGAGCTGAATTACATCCATCGCCACCTTGCCGGCCTAGAGAAGGCGCTCATTCGGATCAAGGCTCTCAAACAATCATACTTGACCTCATCGCTTGCGACTTTACACCGGTCATCCTTCGATGCTCTTGAGGAAGAGCTCAAGGCCTTCGTTCAAGATCTAGCCTGTCTCAGAAAACTACTCGGGAATCCTGAGTCCAGCGCTAAGCATGCGTTCAACCGATTTGGAACGCGAGTAAAGTCGGTCTTCAGAGAAAAGGAGTTGAATCAAATTTCGGAAAGGTTGGACAGGCGAAGATTGGGAATGTCTGAAATTCTGTCTACTATTGGGCGGTCAGTCTAAAAGTGCAAGGCAAAACCTAGTAATATTGACACTTCTTAGACATAACGATCTAGAAACACAAAGAAGTCTCAAGTCCATCCAAGAAATTCAAAAAAGTATTCGTGCCGACCTCAAGGCCAGCTTTACAACAAGTCGCCTGCAACTCAGCGCCGTTGACAAGACTCAGCGATGTATGCGCCGTGAGCAATTACAACTGTCACAGGCAGTCCTACAAAAGATATCCACCCATAGCCATGGCATATCCTCGATGCTAGACCAACAGAGAGAGCATACAGATTCTATGGTCGCGGGGTTCTCGACTGTCAGTGACCGGTTGTCAGCAATTCATTCTGATGGTGCAGCGTCGAAGGAAATGATACAACATTTTGCAAAGCATGCTTGCACGAAGTTGGGCAAGTTGGATCGGTTAGCTGATATCGTTGAGAACCTCAATGCACTCCACCTGACCCCTGTGGGAGATCAAGTGATACTAACTGGCTCTGCCCAAGATGCCGCCGCTTCTTTATCTCTACTCTCAACACAGTTTGGAAAGGTTGTTGCTTCGGTAAATCAACCATCGGGAAACAACCCACTTTCTCCAAGCGGGGCAGGTAATCTTTTCGAGAATCTCAGATCTCTTCTAGCGAAGTTGTATGCCCAGGCTTCTCACGAACTCGCCTCAAAGAAGAGACAACCAGATTCTCTTGGAAGGTACAGACCATCCCAACCTATCGCACTGCAAAACATTCTGAAAACCCGTCCGTCATATGTTCAGACTATCACGAGCGTATTGTACTACAAGAATGATTCCGAACGTCTCAAAGTAGTAGAAGTTCAAGAAATTGAGATCCATGTAGACCTTGGTTCTATCGGATCAGTAATAGTTTTCAGAACCAAGAGCGACCCGAGTCAATCACATGAACACAATTTTGGAGGATTCCGAGCCCTGTTCTTTCCGAGAGCTGAACTGTCAGTTTGTGGGTTCGCGGCTTCTTTTGCCAACGACGCGCCGACACCCACCATGTCGCCTCTACTTTCAACATTTGGACTCCTACGCGCGGATCATGATATATGGAGATTCATCCAATATGGTCACATCAATGGTGTCCGCGATCTATTGTGGAACCGTCGGGTTCATCCGAATGACCGGGAAAGTGACGACGGAATCACCTTACTGGGAGTAAGCCCGTATTTATTCCAATTGTTGGCTAATTTACTGCTTCCAAATAGTGTGTATTACTAACATATCTATAGTGGGCGGCATACTGGCACCAACTAGAGATTATGCAAACGCTGCTACTCGAAGGCGCTGATCCGCTGGACTGTAACTAGTATGTCATCTTTTTTGCTCTTTATAATCTAGCTTCTGACATCGGATCTATCACAGCAAAGGGTCCTCAGCATTGTCTATCTTTTATAGACAGATGAAACAAGAAAACCAGCATAGTGCGCAAGTCCTAGATGCCACACGCGCTCTCACGACTGCTAGAGGTGCCGATATTGTGGATTGGGCTGTGCACGTCGACTCGGATGTAACTGTTGAACTTGAATGGACCTATACACGTGGCATCCTTCACCGCGCATCTCGAGCGTTGTTCTGCTCGTGGCTCAGCGCTGACGTAATGTCTGAGTCCTGTCAATCTCTAGAACTTCTGATCCAGCGTGGTGCTGACATGGAAGATAAGGACGGCTAGGGACTTACTCCTTTGTTGTCTACCACAGTCGGTGTCTGCGCCAGGGCGCTTCCTCGCGTGATGAGATTGTTCCTCAAATATGGAGCAGACCCCTACGCCACCAGTAACTCAGGCCAGGGAATCTTTCACCATATTTCTGACCGACTTAGGATCTGCAATGTCTACAAATTAGGCTCCGCATGGTTGGAAGAGATGACCGAAATGATTGTATCGCTTCTTCAAATAGGATGCGACCCAAATCTCCGAAACATATGGGGAGTTACGCCTTCGGACATGATGAATTCAACATCGTCCTGGACCCTTTGGTGCCAGTGTCTCGAGAAAGTTGGTTTCGATGTCGCTCAGCTACTTCAGAAAGACGACGAAGCAGACGGTATCGAGTGGCTAGACAACGAAATAGACGAGAGGTACGAGACTGTTGTCATAGAGCATGGAGGCCTTGAGTTAAACGAAAGTGAAGAGCTGGAGGACCTTACGACCGAAGGAAGTTCATCTCGACACCGCGGAAGCCACCGGGTGTGGCAGTGGTGGCTGGCACCGTTTTTCATGTTCGCAGCCATGCATTTTGAAGCCGCTGTGGATCCGTGCCACATCCACGCCCGCTATCATTCCGATGGGCGCCCTTGCACAAACTACGTTGTGAAAGATATGTGCGAGCATAGCGATCATCAAGACAACCAATATCCCCCGATTTTTTCTGCACGCGAGGTTAGCTGGAGGAAGCATGTTGCATACCGCTTATGGAAGAATGGACTGCTTGGAAACGCATACGAAGCGTCAAATGAATGGCTCAAATCTACTTACCCTTGGCTTTTTATCGACTGGGATCAGTAGGGCGGTTTACCTTCACTTTGGGATGTTTCACTTGCTTAGTTGCCGGTTAGCTATCTACTCAGCCCCTACTATCTATCTATTGTATTCACGCTTGTCCACTACCACCGCCTCCCCCTTTCATCCCCTACCCCCGCTCCCGCAGAGCCCGAGTTGGAACGGCAAGATGCGACTCCGAAACTTCGGCATATTTCCACAATCGGGGGGTGCTTCGATGGCTCATCAGCGTTGGTCAGATTGTCAGTCCTCACGATCCCCATTCACGCACGCGCAAGAAAATTAATAACGGCAGGTTCAGAACGCGTCACCTACACAAATCACATCCACCCATTCTCTGCAACAATAACCATCCATAATGCATAAACCTCACACTTGGATATCATCCCACGGGTATCGTCATGCCTTAATAAATAGCCACCCAGAACACCAAAACGCCACAACCACCCTACCATCAAAACTCTAATACCCCCAAACAAACGTGACCCTCTCATCCCCCTCCCGGCCCTCACTCGCCTTCTCGACCCACTCCGTCAACCCCGCGAACCCCTTCACCTCTGCCAACAACCTCGCCAGCCCCAACGCAAACCCCCTCTGCCGCCGAACCGGACCCCTTCCATCCCGCCGCTCAGCTTCCACATCATCAGCGTCCCAGCTCCGCACTAGCGCCTGCCGCGCCTCGTTCTCCCGGCGCAGGTTAAGCCAGAAAAGAACGTACCCAGCCGCCGCAACGCTGACGGCAACCAGCGTCCACCAGAAGGGCGTGATATACCCCTCCTTCTGGTACTTCGGTCTAAACAAAAGGGCGGAGAAGACGCCTGCTAGATTCCCCCAGCCGTTGATGCCGAGCAGCACCGCGCGTTTCCCGGGGGATGGCGTGTTCCCCGATATCCACGCCACGGTGAGCGGGCTGGCGATGAATGTGCCGCTGAGTAGCACGTTCAAGGAGAGGTAGCGCGGGATTGCCCAGGCTTTCGTCTGTGGCATAGCAACTACGAGAACGAGGCCGGAGAGGAGGAGGCAGAGGCCTGCGAGGATTGGGGGGAGGCGCTTGCGGTGTCGGTCGGAGTATGCGGCGAAGGCGAAGAGGGTGATGGCACCGCAGATGTAGGGGGGTGCGGTGAGGAGGTTTGTGAGGGCTGGATTCGTTTTCCCGGGTTCGTTCGGGTTGTCGGTGGAGGAGGTCAGAGGGGCCAGCACGAGGGGGAGGAAGACTTGGAAGGCCATGGCGGGAATGGCGGAGAGGATGTTGACGATAAGAATGTGGTAGATTTTGGGGGAGGTCAGGGCGGAGAGAATGTCATGGGGGGTTATGCCGCGGTCGTCGGTGATGACTTTTGTGGAAGTTGGAGCGGTGGGGTTCAGGAGGCCGTGGGACTCGGATCCGGAGGTGTTGAGGCGTTCTTCGTCATCCTCTTCGTCTTCTTCTAGGTCGTCCTTGGAGTGGTGAACGGTGTCTGTACCCATGGTGTCACGGTGGATGCGTAGTTCTGCCCATTCTCGTTCGTCTGGCGTCAAGAACCATGCAGTCTTGGCGCTGTGTGGAAGCCAGAAGTAGCCAGCGAAGGCTATTATGACCGTGGAGCATCCTTCAAGTAGGAAGAGCACCTGCCAGGACTTCCAACCTTCCTCGCCGGTATCGTCGGGCCGGTTTGTTTGTTCGTCGCCGAACTGGGAGAAGACGAGGTAAGAGAGCACCCCCCCTAGCGCGCCTCCCACAGCTGCTTGTCCATAGAACAGGCTCAATCGGCGGGCGAACTCGAAGCGTGTATAAAAGACGGATAGGTAGACTACGGTGACAGGATAGAAGCCAGCTGGTGAAGATGGTCAGCAGCTGATTGAGGATCGGAGAGGGCTACATACCCTCACACGCCCCAATAATGATACGCAGAATGAACAACTGCCACTTCGACCGGACCCAGACATGTAATGCCGTACATACACCCCATACTATCATGCAAGAGGGGACCCAGCGGACCATGCCATACTTCCGGCCCAAGGCGGCTCCGAGAGGCTGCAGGCTGACGAAGAAGGCAAAGAAGAGGGCAACAGCTGTATTGACGTCGTCCTTCTCCAGCCCTATGTCGGACGTGAAGTGTGCGGACTCGGCATTGCCAATCTGAAGCTGTTAGTCGGCGTTGAAGGCTGCAGCTGGCAGGGCTCACGTTGGACTTGTCGAGCGAGTTGAACAGGAACAACAGGGCAAGAAAAGGCAGCAGTATCAGATCAAGCTTGCGGACCGTCTTCTTGTTCAGCAGGTGCTCTCTTCGCGAGTCCATGAGGTCGCCGGGCATGGCGCTGGGCGGGATCGAAGGCGGCGCTGGCGGGTGAAGCTCGTATGCGTCCATGTCGTCGGCCAAGCTCGGCGTCACCAGGGCGTCAGGCGGTGTGGACCCATGATGTGCCTCTAGCCTCCCCACTCATGGCAGAGGGCAGAAAGGGACGCGTCGTCGCACCTCGAGCAGCGACGATGCTCGAGTCAGCGTGCCACAAGTGGACCAACGCTCTGGCATGGCACGCCACAGACGCCGTTGGTGATGACGGCGGCGGGAGACCTGGTATCGAAACGTGATTCAGCAGGGCTAGCCGATCCGGGCGTATGTTTCGCGTGCAGCGCCAACGCATCGCCGTTGGGGGTGGGTTGCGTATATTCTCCGCTGCTGTCGATATCTGCGCCAGAGCCACACGGCCTGCATCTCTGTCGACCTGTTCGGCGGCCTCGCTGAACGCCTCCAGGGCCCCGAGACAGCAGGGCGTGCGCCGCGGGCAGGCCAGTTATCTTCCGGCCGTTGCCATGTAGCGCGGGCCGCTCAAGGAAGAGCCTGGCTGTCGGCACGAGAACAGGCAATCCCTCAGCTTGGTAGCGACCGGGGCCGCTGCAGCATGATGCAGATTCGCGGAGCCTGGCGGGCGTCCCAAGAGGCGTGCGCTGTTGACGAACCACAGCACGACGCGTTCGGCTGCTCGCTGCACTGGATGACTCGGCTTCACACGATATCACGGTGCAGGCCAGTAGAGGGCCAGAGGCTGCGTGCTGCCGCGCCATTCGCCCGATTGCGCGTGTTGTGGGAGCAACAATCCCAGCGCCGCCACTCCATGTTGGACGCTCGCGGGCATCAAAAAGCACAGCGCGTCCCGCGTCGCCCGCCTGAACCACAGCCCACCGAGAACCAGAAAGCAGGCCAGCAGGCCAGCAGGACAGCAGGACAGCAGCCCTAAGGCCCCGTCGCCGCCGCCGAAGCCTGGGAGAGCGCATCCGGGCATCACCCTGGCACCGAGTTGCGGACCGGCCCACACAGCTGTCCCGTTTGCACCATCCGCGAGCTAGTCCGCCAAAACACGGCCATCAACACCAGTAAACACACCACCTCACCGCCATCACCGCCCGCTGTACCGCTCCTCCGCCCTCTGTTCGCATACTGGCGCTCCGGCCCGCCGCATTGTCTTGTTTACCGTCTACATGTCTTCATAGAAGCCTGATTCGCCGCATCCCAGCTCGTCATCTCGCGACCCAGGGTCACCCCAAGCTAGAAATTGCCCTTATGCTTTTTCTCCGACCCACCGGCCCAGCACCCCGACCACGCAAACCCTTCCCTCCAGGCTTCCTGCGACCGTCTCTCAAACACCTCTCTCTATAGCGTCGCTCGACTCTGACGCGGCCTCGAGGCTGCCGCACAACCGCCTGCCATGGACGGCCCTCCGCCTCCGCCGCCTCCGCATGGCGCCAATCCCAAGTCCACAGGAGGTGGCCTCCCGCCAGGCAACTACGACATCTTCATAATACCGCCGCACTCGTCTGGTGGCGGCTTCGTTTACCTGCCGTCACTGGCGCCCCAGCGAAACAGCTTCCTGGCTGGAGTATTTGCAACGCTCGCTGCCCTTGGCCTGTGGCAGATTATTGAGCCGACCGTGAAGCAATGGGTTGCAATGATCAGCAAGGGTGTAGCGTCCGGCGGGGCGGGCGTTATTCTCTTGATAGTCGCTGTCGGAGTGCTAGGGTGGGCCTGGGGCAAGACACAAGGAGAAGGAGCCTGGGGTGGTGGAGGACCTGCTGGAGGTGGGAATGCTGATGGCGCTCGTGGAGCAGCTGGAGGGGTCCCACCAGGCTATCAGAGAGCAAGACCATCCGCCAATGGCTATCCGGGAGCTGGCGTTCCTCCCCAGAGTCCGCCGGGAGGAGGACCGCAGCCTGGCTACGGGCCACCGCCCCATTCTCACCAACATCAACACCAACAAGCTCCTCCCCGTCCGCCTTCCCCTCCGCCCCCTCCTCCTCCGCCCCCCCGGCCGCCACCACCGCCCCAAGAGCCCGACCCTGAACCGAAACCGGAACCAAAGCCTTCATGGTCGAAGCCCCCACCCTCTGCTTCTTCCGCCTGGGAAAATGCTCGCGAAGAAACACGGAAAAAGGAAGAGGAAAAGAAGCGAGCTGACGAAGCCAAGCGGCGGCGAGATGACGAGCAGAAAAGGAAGGATGAAGCTGAACGGAAAGCTCGTGCTCAAGCTGAAAAGGAGAAATGGGAAAAGATGCGGGCGCGAGAGAAGGAACAACGTGAACGCGAGGCAAGAGAGCGCATTGCTAGGGAACGCCAGGCGAAGGAGAAGGAAAAGAGGGAGAACGACGCCCGAGAACGAGAAGCGCGGGAAGCTGAAGCTCGGATCAGGATCGAGAAGGAGATCAGAGAGAAGCTGGAGGCCGAGCAGAGAATCAAGGCTGAGGAGGAAGCCAAGGCTAGAGCAATCAGAGCCGAGGAGGAGGCCAAGGCTAGAGCACTCAAAGCTGAGGAGGAGGCCAAGATCAAAGCTGAGGAGGCCAGGATCAAGGCTGAGAAGGACAAAGCAGATGCTGCAGCCAAGGAAGCAAAAGAGAAGGCGGAAGCTGCGGCCAAAGAAGCAAAAGAACAGGCGGACAAGATCCGCGCCGATCGACTCAAGGCTGCTCGAGAACGTGCCGAGAAAGAGCGTCAAGAAAGAGCAAAGAAAGAAGCGGAGCGGCTTGCAGCAGAGCGGCTCGCAGCCAGTGTAACCGGGCGACGCTCTGCGACGTATGGAATGAGTGCCGGAGAACGGACGGATGTCTTTGGTCGAGGTCCTCCTACACCCTCCGTTACTTCAACTCGTTCCTCGCCTCTGAAGACTACCGTCAAAGTGACTTCGTCGCCCAAGAAGAACTACGAGCGACCTTCTGCAAAGTCATATCTCGGCACTGAAGATGTAGACGCCCACTCTTTCCGTCCTTACGACACACCGAAGCGTCCAGCGAAGCCCCAGTCGTCTACCTACTCTGAATCTTCCTATGCTCCCTCCCAGAGTACATCTCGAACTACACCTCCGCCCAGCCAACGGGGTGCATACAGTACCAATGACCCCGACAAAATCCAGATCAAGGCTGTCTATCTCTTCAACGACTTATTCCCGAAGCCAGTGGCTCAACTGGTTGCCGGTATCGGTGCCGTTACCGATGGATTGATACTGAAGATCACAACCGAAGGTCTCTTCATTGACGACGATGTTAGGGGTGTTGCACAGCGTGAGTGGGATGTCAAGGCTTGGACTATGAAGCTTGTCGAGGTAAGTTTTTCCTGCCCGGTCAATTGATAAACCATTACTAACACAACCACTCACAGACCGGCGAGCGCAATAATAAACATCTCCTCCGCGCCAGCATCCGAGACCCTGAGGGCAAGAAATACGTCTTCATCATCGCCGACGCAGAGAGCTGGAAGGTCGCCATTGGCCTGCAAAAGCTACGACGCGGATCCCAGGTGCGCGCTCTCGGCGCTCTCGGCATGCCACCTCCAGAAACGAAACGCCTCCTCGATAGCCTCGGATGGGCATGAACAAAGTACTTGAGTGAGTGAGTGGACGAGAAATATTAGTTGCATATGTTCGAACACTAAAGAAGATCGTAAAGAGAAAAAGTTTTGCTTTGTGTACGGAATGAAGATGTTTCCACATTCCATCAGCCCTTTACATTCCAAGACCATCCGTTTTTTGAGCGAGCGAAGCGTCCGTCATAAAGATTCCCCCATCCCTTGCATACACACACGTTTTGTCTTCTTCGAGACTTTCATTGTTTCCTTTAACTGTTGCATCAGCGAACGGAGTTGTGTTCTGTTGGTTGTGTAGAGTCGAGTTGGGATGGGACTAGGTTGGGTACGGTACTTGCATCACAGGGAGCACCCTTGTTTGTCTCTTTCTCTCATACCCTCGTTTTGTACGGCTCTTGCTGGATGAGCTGTTGTCGATGTTGTTGGGTGGCATGTTGTTGGGGGGAGTACATATTTCTGTGAGGCGGGAGGTGTGTATAAGTTGCTCTGGTGGAGGTGGTGAATACAGTCGTTTTATACCGATGATGGAATTGTTGAGCTCTCCCTCTCAGCGTGTCTCTACTTTCGCGCCCTTGATCGACTGCTGACTTCTTCCGTCCCCTTCGGCGTTTCCTGACCCGATGTCACGTGCTAAGACCCCAAAGAAGAAAGTCTTGGCATGGCGAAAAGTGTCGAGCACAGAGTGTCTATGTGTGTGGGAGAGGAGGTATCGTTGCATCTATAAATCCCGAAGTCTGCCCGAGAGTTTAGCGTGACGCTAGATTCTCGCTAAAGCGGCGCAAATCACGTGGGCGTTACGTTCTACACGTCCTGTCTCCGTTCATCGCTGCAAGTCAGTCCTTCGAGGTCTTTCCATCTTTCTTTTCGCCATGGGTGCGTAGTTGAGAGTGGAATCATTTTAATCACTGGCGCCGCCCGTTGTCAAACCTGATTACTTCGTGCCGGAGCCCTATGTGGTGATTGGTTCGAAAGTTCCTCTGCAACTGTCTCGTGTGCGAGTGGTGGAACGTCGTTGGAATGGAGGTGTTGGTAAGTCAGTGATAGTGAGAGCGTGAGTAGGGTTCAGGATGATGAGGCCTAAGTGGCGACGGTCCGTATGTGGGCCGTCATTTCGATGGGAGTGAGGTGAGTATGCAGGCCATCAATGTGTGGAAATCAAAACGTAGTGGGTATAGTAATGACCACTATCTTGCAAATTTCGTAAACTTTTTTTCCCACCGGATCTAACCTGAGATCCAACTCGGACTCCTCCTCCGTTATAAAGCCCGACCTAGTCTACCTACCACCCAAAAGCCTCCTCGATATACTCAACAGACCGACACCCCTCCTTCATAGCAGTGTGCACGGCTGCCCTAGCCTCATCCGCCATCCCCGCCGGACCGCAAACCAGTATCGCAATCTTCCCAGCCTTCGAGCCCTCAGCGCTGATACTGCGCGCAGTCTGCAGAATAGCCCCCCTGACATCCGGCCGCCCATGCTCGATCTTGACATCGCACTCGCGCGGCGAAGTCACAGAAAACTCCTTGTCTTCCACGGGGCTAATCTCCGACACCGCCGAGCTCGAAAGCGTCGTGGCGCCACTATCCCGCGTACAGAAGAGCGAAGCGTGGACGTCGTCGCGGGCAAGCGCGGGCGCAAGCTCCCGGTTGGCGATGTTGTTGATGAGCCCCGCCTGTCGACATGTCCAGATGAGCTCGACGCGACGAGTGCGGGTGGAGAAGGTGAGCTGGCCGTCTATTTGGCGGGGTGAGGAGCGACGGATGTGGTCTTGGATGTAGGGCACGGCTGCGGCGATGCCAGTTCCGCCGGCGATAAGCAGGACGGTCTCGTAGTTGTGCATAGGTGCGCGCTCGCCGTATGGACCTTCGATGAGGATGTTGGAGCGGGTGACGACGCCGTCCGTGGCTTTGAGGCACTCGTTGCGCATGCGGCGAGTCCAGCCGTTGAACGGTCTAATCCAAAAAATGAGGCTAATGTCGCCGGGGGTTAATGTCGTAGGATGGTCCTGATTGCTGGAAGCTGAAGCTGAGCCAGATGAGACGGCTGAGGTGGAGACTACGATCTCGCTCTCTATCTTATTCGATGAAGTTGAGTGTGTTGGTGCAGAGGCATCATTTTCGGATGCGGAAGTCCAGGCACCCATTGTAAACGGGTGATTCTCATACCCCTTCCAACTTAAAGGTTGATAAACAAAGTAGTGGGCCCCTGGATTCGGTTTGAGGAATGCAGACCCGGGGACGATCTCAAGTCTAATAGCGTTTGTTTCCTTGCTATAAGTTGCAATAGTTTTGGTGTGCTGCAGTTTCTTTCCGCCGAATCTTAGGCTAATGTTGCAGGCTACGAGGCGGACAACGCGAAGGAATCGGTCAAAGGCCCAGATAGCAACCGGAGGCCAGAGGTAAGGGTTATATTCTCCATCGAAAATGGTGGTATGACTACACCAAAGTTAGATACTGGCGGTCTAGCGCTATATTGACGGAGGATGTGCACTTACTAGAAGAGGGCAACAAGGACCACGATCGAGAACGCAATATGGATCAGCAAGAAGACCTCATAGAACTTCTTTCGAAGCCACACCGATGAGAACAGAAGCAGACAGCTCATCAGGACAGTAGCCTGAGCGGAAGTGTTAGCTGACGAATAGTCAGAAGACGTAGCTTTAGAGGGCACTGACCACTACCCCCATAAGGAACCAAACTTCAGCAAACTCTTCTTTATAGTAACCGTCTAGCAAGATGGTTAGCCAGGTGTTTCAATTTCAACATGTGTTGTCAACTCACCGTCCACGTATATTACTGTCCACGCAATGGAATGCACGATGGCCTGCAAGGTAGCGATCCGAGCAACGTGACGATGAAAGATGTTGAAAGTAGAGAAGTTCCATCCCGTCGCCCATATGAATATGTTATTGCGGCCGGAAAACATCCAGATGAGAGAGAGATTGGCATAGGACAAGATGCCGGTACGGTCAGCGACATAACGCCATACCTGTGGCGAGATGTTGTTCCAGCTATCCAATTCATCAGTACGTGGGAGAGGCCAGCGACAAGGAATACTTACTAGAGGTTTCCAATAAAAGTGCGGTAATTGATGCCTGAGAAAATGATGCTGATAGCCCAATACGAAAATACTATGATTGCCTCCAGGCGTGTCGGAACGGTGAACCAGTAGTAAAGGCGTTGATGGTGGGATCCAAAGGCAGCAGGAACAATGATATTTGCTCGAATCCAGTGCCGGACGGCGTACACAGGAACGAGGAGCTTGTTTGACGAAGCATTCGGTAAAGGAGCATTGTGTTCTGGGTCTGTGCCGACTCGACTTTGTCGTTTATGGAAGACGAAGTTGATGAACCGGTTGATCATGGCAAGCAGCAATACACTACCCCAGAACCCATATAATGCGAATCTACGACAGGATTAGTTGCAATTCAGTTGGGCTGAAGTGTAACATAGAGACATACCCATATGTGTGATGAGACCACATTTCGAAGTCCCAGATAGTCTAGTAGAGGTAAGCAAAGTGATAGTCATTGATAATTGGCAGGATGTACTGACAATTGTCCGATATGACACCAGGAAGTATGAGCGAGATAGCAGCACCGTCGTTGTGATGTTGTCTGTCTCCGCTACTTCTCCATAATCTATCACCCGCATACTACTGATGTAGCTCTCCGTCAAAGTGTCGGCGAAGTCGGACATGGGCAATAGCTCGACTTCGCCATAGTTCTCGCAATACTCTGAAAGCATAGCGAAGCCAGGCTTGATATCTTCCGGTTTGCAATACGTCTTTGCCGTCGCATAGATTGAATTTGCTTTTAGAGAGTTGTTGCAGATAGACACATAGTACTCGCCGTAGCCTACGCCTTCAAAATTGAGGTCGCCGAAGGCCTCGAAAACGGCGTCGACACAGACCTGGTTCTTCTTGAGTTCATCGCACAGTCCTTGAGACCAGAAAAGGGCCACAAGGGCGAGAGACAAGGGCAACATCATTGCTTCCTGGGATTTGCTCGAATAGTACAAAAGCGGATAAAAGAACAATTCCAAGAAGGTTGTATGTATTTGGCGACCCGGTTGATGGGATCGAGGGTCTGGGAAGGGGGGCCTTTCATACCCCTCCCTCTTCTGATCATCATTTGCCAAGCACCTTCATCCCGCGCAGCCGTTCCAGTTGCCTCGGACGCGAAATTCTTTCTTTCTTCTAGCGTGGGAATTACACGAGAGATACCCAAGCCTAGACGATGTCAACGTGTGGAGCTCTGGAGAAGTGGCGAGAACAGTTCTCCAATGCTCAGGCCAGGCCGGCCTCAGATGAGCAAAACATGTAGCAATCAGGAATCAGGTAGCGAGAGGTGGGGACCTGTTACCAAGCTAACGGCCAAGGTTGCTTCAAGCGTCCCAAGTGATGCTCCGTGTGGCTTGACAGCAGGTTCGGTGGTGACGGAGAGTTAGCCATTTGCTTCTAGCGCCTGCAGAACCTCCGATATACGAGCGAGGTGACATGACAGCAATATGGAATAGTGAGTGATGCCGGGTACACATCGGACGGCTAGGGTACGCTTTCAACACCGGAGCGAGGTAACAAGATTGCAGGATTGACAGTAAATGAGCGTCTGCAACAGCATGGAAGTCTTGATCAAGCAGACTGCCTATACTGGGAGGCAAAACCTTGCAGAGATACTGCACCAAATGAAATTGTTATGGCTTTGTTGAAAGATGGTAATTTCAAGCGACGATTGGGACGAGAGGGAGCCGAATGAGACGAATGGTGCTAGGCCACGATTGTGGATGGCGCGCTTCGCTAGAAAAATCTGATAACTCTAAAGCGGATCAGATAAAATATGACAGGGGGTCGTGCATTCACTAAGGCGACTCCGACCTCGGAATCCCTTCTTCTGACACGTAGGCATGTAGAAGCCAGAGCCTATGTATCTAGAGGATATGATACATACAATGAGGCCGAAAGATTTGCCTCCTTCAGTCAACAGTGTTGCTTGTTTTCCCCTTCCATACTGATTGAACCCAAGTCTATTGACACATCTTTGAACTCCGGCTCTTTTGCGGTGCGAAGTTGATGCCAAGAGATCTATTATCTAATAAGATCATCTGAACCTCGTGGACTGCGGCATTAGCCAAGGGTCTCTTAACGGTTCCTTCCGGCGTCGTAGGAGAAGTCTGGAGTGTCAGACCATGTGCGCCTCACTGTGTGCAACGGATAGACGTGCTGCTCTAGCCGAGGCCATTGACCTCATGGATCGAAGGACCATGGCGTTGCCTGGAGCCTGAGGGAAAAACCTAAGACACATATTCACTGCCTTTTTCTGGGGTTTGAGTAGTCCCATGACAGCCCTAGCACTAGTCGTACGTGTGTATCCACTCTAATCTAGACCCTAGACTCCTGGGTTCTCCGAAGTTTATCCAAAATGGCAATTAGAAGCTATCATTATCAAGCCGTGGTCAAATCACGTCTAGCAATTGTGCTGGAACCAAATGTGACGCCGGCGATCAGACTAGTGTTCGGCTCACAAAGAGCAAAGAATGAGACCACTCATTGCTTTTTGTTACTGTATGTGATGAGGAATGTGGCTTCAAGAGCCGTGTTTCGTAGACAAGACCAACGCCCTTGCTGATGTAGTTTTGGAAAGGAAGCGCTGCATGCGCCGTGCCCCCGCGGACTTACGTCAAGCGCTTTCGTCCTAAAGTCTGTCACATGGAGTCGTCCGTCGGTAATGATAGAGCACTTGTCGATTGACTTGGTTCGGAAAGAATTGGCCTGGCCATGGTGAACAGATCGACATCGTCCTGGGACAATCATCCAGATTTCTAGACCGTGATCCTGGGTCTTGGGTGTTTTAGCTGTGAGATTGGGCCGGGATCGTCCTAAACGCGTGCGATCGATATTTGATTCTCTAGTGCAGCATCAGGTGGGACCTTTCTGGGTTCCTAAGGGTCCTGAAGCTCCTAAGTTGGCCGTAATGCGCGTGATGACGAGTGCAATTTGAATTGGGCCCCTCAATAACTTTCCACGCAGCGTGATTTCATTTCGCAAGACCCACAGCTTTGGCGCATCAAAAACCCCATCGAAGGGCTTTTGGACCTCCACCCAGAGTTTCAACTGTGGCCTTTCGATAGTCTGATATCCAGCCCCAGGCTCTAAGGATGAAAAACAGGCTTTAAATCGCAGAGGCGGAACCATGATAGTGAGGAGTCCGGACTTGTAGAGTCGAAGCGCATATGTCACTCCCTAGACTCGCCGCCTTTCGCGCCTGCCATGAGTTATTGTATCAAGATACAGTGTGCGATTTGGAACATTTCAAGAGCTTAATACAGAAGAACTTGCGATAGGCGATATCGATACCATGAAATTTGATTGACACCATTGGTTATCCCGTAAGTCGACCAAAGAGATAAGAACCTCCTGTTTTGCCCACACTGCTGATGCAAGATAATCGAAATCGCGAGAACTTAGATAGTTATCGCACACTAAACTCCCATTACTAAGCCGCCATTAAATTCCGGCGCAAGAGAGTACCTGATATCGTCGTACGGTGTACCAAAAGCCTATTATCCTATGCCCCTACTCTCTCCACCCAGCCTTCAGCCCTACGTCCATGGACGGCATCGATCTTCTTTGCCGCCGCATCTGCTCTCGCTCGAAGCATGGCCCTTTCACGCACCTCCTTCTCTTCCTGCTCAACACGCTTAATGCTCTCAAACACTTCCACTTCTTCAAGACGAGCGTCCTGCAGGTTGATCTTCTGCCAATTTGCGTGACGAGCGCACCGTTTCTTCGTGCACAGCGCGGAGTTGTCCACATCGTCACCGGCCTCTTTCTCTGCGACGCTCTCTTCTTCCGCGCCGGACTCGGCTGCCACGTCGTCGTCCGCGGGCTCCAGTGTGTTGTGCTTGAGGGACGCTTTACCGATTTTGGAAGCACGCCAACCAGCGAATTCGGTCTCGCTCCACGCAAGACGGCGGTCATACCCGCACACTTCCTTAGGCTTGAGTCCTTCACGCTCGGCGTATCGGACGGCGTGCTCGCGGGTGAGGGAAACAAACTTTTCGCGGTCTTTGAGAAGAGACAGACGGGATTGCAGCCCAATTTTCTCAACACTGAGCGCCGAGAGATGCTCGGTTTCGGCGCGATTGAGAAGTATCGATGGCGCCGACATAGTCCTGTTTGTGTCGGCATGGTTGACTCCATTTAGTAGCTTGGGTGAATCTGAGAAGGACGCTTTGGTAGGGGAAGCTGTGGCTGGTGGCGATAGTACTCCCGAACCCAACTTGCGGAAGGACTCAATATCCTCCGAAGACTGTGCTAGAGCCTTGAGGTCTCGAGTTCTGAGAACGCCGCCGCGCGGTGATGGCTCCTCCTCATCATCATCCATATGCGCTTCTCCGTCCGCATCCTTGTGTGTTTTCCTCTTGGTACGCCTCCCGGTTGTTCCAGTCTCGGATTTCCTCTTGCTTTGCCTGCCCACGGCATTTTTGAAGAATAGCACGCCGCATTCGTCGGAGCAGTATTTACTCACAGCGCCCTTGGTTAGCCGTGCAGGTTGCCGACAGCCGTCCCTCCTGCACATGGGTTTCCATGTGGTATATTTCCCGGTGGTCTCGCAGTTGGGGCAAATGTATTTGTCGATCAAGTTTTCATCGTCCTGGCGCATGTTGACACAAGAGCCATGGAACCAGTCTTCGCAGCCACCATCACATGCAATCATCCACCTGTGATTATCCGGTTTTCGACATATGCAGAAGATAGCGTCGTCGTCTTCGTTTGTACCCTCTGAATCCTCGACCTCGGAGACGGGCGCTTGGGAGGAGCGATCGGGCGCAGGTGAGCTGCCAACAGGAGTGCCGGCTTGGGACGTTATTCTCGCTTGCGATTTACTGAGCGGCGCAGCTTTCGAAGTGCGGGAGGAGGGTGTTTCTGATCGTCGGACGCTGGGTGTGCCACCAGCGCTGGAAGTCTCTGCGTCTAGCTTGCGCTTCTTGGGCGCAGGTTTCTTCGATGCCATGCCCTTCTTAGTGGTAGCCGATTTGGGCGCTGGGCGCTTCTTTGATGGAGCAGCAACTGGCTTGAGCGTGTCCCTAGTCGGAGTGACGGTGTCGCGACTCTTTGCGCGGAGTCCCAGTTCACTTTGCTTGACAGCCTCAATTGCCTTCAGAGTTTCTGTGTCCACGGATGCGTCAGTAACGGAACCCCTTCTTTCAAGGACAAGGGAATGTGGTGTGCCTTCTCGTGGTGTGCCGTTCGGTTCGGGCTTTATCGCAGGTAGAGGTGAAGGTTGTGTGTCGTGTAGGTCCGAGGTGAGAGGGACTGCGGTAGAAATAGGATGAGGAGAGTCTTGGATTCCGAATGAGGGCTCGCGAATTTGCGCGGTGGTTGGATTGTCGCGCACAAAGCCGGGCTCGCGATATTGTGTCCCGTCCACCACGCGTTCCTCACTGGCCTCACTCGACCGAGGCGGGACGATCTGCGAAACATCGTGCCCGAACGATGGGCTTGCCTGCTCGGGCTCTGCTTTGACCTGCTCATTGAGGATGCTGCTCAAGGAGTGTATGGGCGCGAGGACGTTCGTCGACGAGGTTCTTGAGGTGATCGAGGGCCACCTTTGCTCGTCGGGCGATCTTGAGCTGTGATGATACTGATCCAGCGTCGGCGAGTATACTTGAGCGTGTTCGATGGGTGGCGAGGGCTCGACGGGGGCGATCAGAGACGAGATGCTGCTCCGCCGCCGCGCGTCGGGGTATGGGACCGGAGGATGCGAGTCTTGCGCGCCAGCATACAATGGATTGTTGGCGCCCGTCGCGAGCGCAGTCAGGGCGTCTGCGGCCTCGAAGGTGGTGGTGGTCGGGGTGTAGCTGTCCATGGAGGCAACGCGCGAGGGCGGGTGTGATGACGGCGAGGGCTTCTGCGGCGCTGGCTCAGGGTTGAGGAGCGCAGAGATGTTGCTCATGGCGGGCGGATCGCAGCGTGACGCTGGCTATGCTACGAGTCAAGGAGGCGTCTAGCGGGCGTTGGGGGGAGCATGGTGGTGCGGCCGCGAGTTGCAGTCGGCGATGGAGCGTCTTGACCATTTCTTGGATCGACTCGCCGTCCTCGGGTCGCTCCACGCTGTGACGCTTCTTTCTTGCCCAGCCGCTCCTTCACCGCTGATCAATCCATCCGATGTGGGGTAACTCGAACTGGCCGGCCATGCAACTCGACGCGAAAGGCAGCATCCAATATTGCCCTTGGTGCCCTTCCTCCAATCTGCGCCGCCTATTATATTCCACCGCTGCACCGCCTCTACAAACCGCCTATCCCGTCCTTTGACGCCGCCCGGCTGCATTGCGCGAACTGCCCACCACACGCCCGAGGCTGGCCTTCGACCCTTCACGGATCCGGATATCTAATATGACAGCGCTTCGAAGTTGACCTCAGACACCACAGACGCCTCGAAACTATCAGCCGCCTCAGTCCTCCTCGCTCTGGTCCTCGTCCTGCTCCTCCTCGTTGCTGTCTGGTCGTCGAGGCCTGCCGCGATCTCTCCTCTGTGTCGCAGGGCCAGCTTCCCAAGCGCCCCGCTCACTCAGACCAAGACTTCGCGCCAGCCGCTGGTGCAAGCTGTCGTCCGCCTCCTCGCCGTATACCCTTTTCACGAAGGCTGCCACACCTTCGGCGCCCACTTCTGCCTTCCCTCTCGGTCCCACCACGTAGTCGATGGTCTCTTCGCCTCCCTGGTTTTCCTTGACCTTTATAATATACCCGTCTTTGCCCATTCGCGCCAACACCTTGTCCGTCTTGTCGATTGGAGTGGATTGGTCTGCGTTGAGGCGCTTCAGATGTCTGTCGAGCTTCGCCTCTGGTAGGGTGCCGCCTGCTAGCAAGATAAGGGAGACAGCCATGCTGTAGAGGCCCACGTATTGCGATTCTGCTTCTATCGTAGGAGCTCGTGGAGGGCTGAGGATGCGATCGTCGTTTAGGTATTTTTTGGGCAGGACGTTCTTGAGTATCCATTGTCCGCTGGTTTTGGAGGCGTTTTGCGACATTTGTGCCGCTGGAGATGGGATGCTTAGCTACAGCCTGCCAGTGAAGAATACAACAGTGCTCAGACATACCTCGCTTCTGTGATATCGTGACCTTCTCCTTCTTCTCAAGTTCCACCATTTCCATGCCAAATATATCCTGCAACATGACCTGGGCTTCGTCGAACACCTCTTTGAAGGCTCTGGAGCGCGCACCAAGTACTAATTAGAGAAAGACATCAGCGAGTGTTTCCGCCAACTCGATATTCGGGATATGCCCGCATGCAACGATCTCGATTCGTACCTTTTGTGCTGATATCCTGCCTCCGAAGTGGAACGCGTGCGTACTCGCAAGAGAGCGCGTATCTCACGAGATTCTTCGCAAGCTGCTGTATACTCGCATTGTCCGACTCCCCGCCCTCGTCTCCGTCCACGAAATCCTCTGCATCAGAGTCTGGTGATTGCTGCCGGCGTGTCTGTTGTCCTCCTCGCTGCGTTTGTTGCGTCGCCCGGGCTGCTGGAGCTGGAGAGCTATCGGGGTAGTCATCTAGGGGCTATCGTACATTAGATATCGCATATGAGCATGGATCAAGTGAGGGGAGACGGACCTCGGCGCGGCGCTTACGGCCTGGAAGCATATTGGTGGAGTGAGTAGAGCAATGAGTGGTGTGCTGAGAACTCGTGGCTGCGTGTGATATCGTAGAGGGCGCTCACGTTGTTTGGTGCGGGACGCGTTCTTCTCGACGCGCTGAAGTTTAAGTGCTTGGCAAACCGTCATCGTGAACTCCAAGTTTTGTGGAGTAAGTGGTTCTCCGCACGGCCGCTAGCTTTCACCAGCATTGAAGCTCCATCACCAGTTACAAGACTCTCAAGATGAATCCCGCACCAATAACCCGCTTGCTACCGAAGCGTCCCATCTACCGCTGTCTCAACTTCCCCCGCACTCCCGTTCGCACGCCGCAAAGATGCCGCTACAACAGCACTCGAGATGCCATTACGAAGGACTACAATGGCAGCAACGCGGATGCATACATGAAGGACCCGCTTCGCAGGGAAGAAATCGAAAGACGTAAACTGATTCAAGGAAGGAACCGCGCTGCGCTGGGTGCTGCCCTGTGCATGCTTCTCCCAATTGTGATAATACAATTCTACGACCTCGACGATCTATCGAACAAGAAGAAAGAGTCCAATTCCACCCCAAACTTCAGCAGTAGCAGCTCCTCCTGGTTTCCGTCTGACCGCGCCGACGCTCCCGCCTCTGCGACCCGCGATTTCCAAGGAAAGCCTGTAGTAATAACTGACAGCAACGAGGAGCTCGTACCCACAGGGACATCCTATGTACCATTCTTCCCGCGCAGCATTCAGCTACCCACCACCAGCGGACCCGAAGCTGCCCCCTCATCAGAGGAATATACCCTCCTAGGCCTCGGCATACGCAGAGTGTCCTTCCTTGGCGTCCAAGTCTACGTCGTGGGGCTTTATGTCAAGAACTCCTCTCTGCCTCTCCTACAATCTGCTCTCATCAAGCATATTAACCCGGCCGCCTCAACACTTATACCCGGTGAAAAAGACGACCTGCGGAGAGCACTGCTGGAAGGGGAGAGCTCGGAGCGAATATGGGACGACGTACTACAGCGCCGCGGTTTGGACGGTATTGAAATGGCGCTTAGGGTTGTTCCAACACGGGGAACGGACTTCAAGCATTTGCAGGATGGGTGGATGAGGGGTCTTACGAATCGCACCCAGGACACGCAGAGAAGGCAGCAGCAGCTACTTGCGAAACAGCAGCAGGAGCAGCAAAAGAAGATCAGCCTCCCGAAGCCGGTCGACCCATCAGATTTTGCGGATGAATCGTTCGGCGAGTCTATGAGGGCGTTTAGGTCGCTGTTCGCTGGTCGTGGCAAGGCGGCCAAGGGGTCCGTCATTACCTTCACTCGGGATTCAGAGGGCGTGTTTCGCGCATTGTATCAGCCACAACCACAGGAACAGAATCTGAAGAAAGGGAAGAAGGACGGGCAGTTTGTGCATCTTGGAGAGGTCAAGGACGAGCGAGTTAGTCGGCTGGTATGGGAACTCTATCTTGGGGGAAAAAATGTAAGTTCTGAGGAGGCAAGGAAGAGCGTCGTTGAGGGATGTATAAACCTAGTTGAGAGACCGGTTGGAAGCGTAGAAGGGATGGTAGGCAGTTTGTAGCAGGCCTATGGTGGACTGTACTATATGCTGTAGTTCTAGTTGGCAATGGGCCTGGTATATAAAAGCATGTCTGTATATCTATCTATCCGAGACGTTATTCGCATATCAAACAAGATCAGCCTAGTGAAGTGCATGTTCAGTCTCAAGGTGTTTGACATCCTATACCTCGTGTCGACAGTGATGATAGACTCGAAACCACACTTGAAGTCGCTCCCAGCTAGAAGAGGACGAATTGCGACGATGTCACACAACCATTCTAGCACTCGGGACCCTTCCTAGCATACCGATCTTAGGGTCCTCAAACCCAGCGCAGTCACACAACAATCCCGAGCCCGCCTCATCCGATCTGTAGAACCCCGTTATCTAGATCCAAGCAACCACCATCGTACGCAAAACGCCCTGCCTCTCCTCGGGACAGGGTCTCGCACCACACATGTCAAGCCCAAAACAGAACCTAAATCCCCCCGAAAGTCATCACGACACCGCTGACATCAACAAGCAAAAGACCATCGACACGAACGTTCACGGAACTCCTCAAACCCGAACAAAAGCAACCCGCACAACTCCCCCCCGTCCACCTTGACCCAGTTCACCAACATTAGTCACACCACCCTGTCATCGCTCGCCGCAATAATCTCGGAAATTACACACTGCGCCGCTCCCTCGTGAACGTGAAACATTGGAGGTCACTTTTGCAGACACGCTTGGAGCGCGCGTGGCTTGGGAACGGCGAGGCGACACCGACGCCCGTACCCCCAACAAGCGGCGTCAGAAAGTAGACAAGAGTTACCCAGAGCAGGCGGCGGTGGAATTCCTGAATTAGAAAAGAATGGCGGCGCGACAAGGGTTTTGTTCAGGCACACGGCAGGGATGGGGGTGGTGAGGTGAGATGCGAGATTGCAGACAGGGGTGGCAGTTTGATCGGCGCGTGTTAGTGTTGGCTGGATGGGGGACCCGTGGAAGCACGGGCTGAGGGGAGGTGAGATGGAGGTTGCAATCGAACTCCCGTGAAGGGGTGGGAGGTTTTCCTCGCACTTCTAACAGGAAACCCGAAGTCCGTAGTAGGTAAACAGATCTCACAGGAACACAGTACCGAAAGTATCACAAAGACGTCAAATAGAGAAGACAAATGTTTTAGTCAAGTTTTGAATTCTCTACAACAACCACCACCCCTATCCACACACCCCACGACAGCTTCCGATTAGAATTAGGTCTCCCACTCAAATATACAGAGATCATCGTCTTTTTTGCCGTCGAGGCCCCCATGACAGGTCGTTAAATGCTACTCCCTCCCATGGGCTACCCAAGACTCAAGACCACAAAAGAAAAGATAAACACCAGGATCCCCTGCTCCGAGTTCATGCAAAGCCATAGCCTCGAGCCCTGGGAAGGGTAAGAGACGTCAATTGAGATCGGGCATTTACAAGAACAGAGCAGCGAAAGCACCGAGACCAGCAACGGCCAGACCAGCGTTGGCGTGGCTGGCAGCACCGGTGAACTCTGGTGGGTAGGTGGCGGAGGGAGCACCGTAGCTAGGATGCGTTAGTAATGAATGATAATAGACGAAGAGAAATACTTACCCGGTTCCTGAGGCAGTTCCCCAGACACCAGTGCCGGATGGGGCACCAGATGGGTAGGGAGCACCGCCGGTGCCAGTTGGGTAGTACGCAGACGAGACTGGGACAACTGGGGGGACAACGGCGGACGAGACTGGGACAACAATGGTTACCGTGCTGGACTCGACGCACGGGGTGGACGCGCTCTCACCTGGGGAGACAACGGAGGACTCCGGGACGTAAGGAGAGGGGGTGGAGGCGGGGTAGACCTCAGTCTCGGTGGCAGGGCACACGGTGGTGTAGACGTAGACCTCAGTGGTCTCGGTGGTGGTGCCAGCGGTGGTCACGGCATAGACAGAGGTGGAAGACACAGTCTTAGTGATGTAGCCGTACGGCACCGCGGGGGCGGAGACGTTGTAGGCCGGGGCGGGCGCGCTGTAGGCCGGTGCAGAGTACACTGGGGCGGGTGCGCTGTAGGCCGGGGCAGAGTACACTGGGGCGGGCGCACTGTAGGCCGGGGCGGAGTACACTGGGGCAGGGCTGCTGTATGGGGCCGGGGTGTAGGCGGGGGCGCTGTAGACGGGAGCCTCGGTGGAGGAGGCCACGTACGGGGCCGGGGTGCTGGAGTGGTGCTTAGCCGGGCAGTTCGTGACCTCAGGACCACACGAGTAGACAGTGACTGACGAGGTAAGGTAGACGACCGGGACGGAGGACGAAGACTCGGCACCGTATCCGCCGTATCCACCGTATCCGTAGCCACCGTTGGGGGCAGCGTTGACAGCACCGACAATGGCGGCGGCAATGGCGAATGAGGAACGCATTTTGATTGATTTGGTTGGTTGGCTTAACTTAAAAAGTTGAAGTAGGTGAGGGCGAGGCGGAGTTGGAATTAAAGAATGTAAGTGGTTGGAGTTTCAACGAGTGGACGACCGAAGTCAAGATGATCTGCTGGAGCTTGGAAAGTTGGGCTGGATGAAGAGCGAGAAGGGCAGAGCAGGCAGCGTCTTATGTATCAACAGAGGGAGATTACCGCACGGGGGCCAGACAGCGGCGGCCTGCACCGTCGAAACAATTGGCCCAGTCGGTGAAAGGAGGGCGTGGGCCAGGGGGAGCACTGCAGCGTCTGTTTGGCGGACTCGCCAGCGGAGCCGCTGGGGGCACGCCTGGCAAGCAGCTAGCGCAGGTACCAGCCGATCCGGTATTTTCCCCTGTGCTAGCCCGAGCCGGGAGGAGAGCGGGCAAGTCGTGACAGCGCCTCGTGTTGTCGAGATTGGGCCCCTGCTGCTGCCGCCTTGGCAGGCTAGACGGGGCGCTCTGAAGAACCGTTGTGCCCAGCGGCTACTGGCTACTGTGCCCTTGCTGGCGAAGGCCACTGGCCGGCTGCCGTGCGGCAGTTGTTGAAGCTGATGTGATGCACGACCTGCGCGCTCCCGTGGGCCAGCAGCACAGCTTTTCCCTCACCAGCCCGCTGCAGCGTCACGGGACAGCGAGGCGGTCAATCCCTCGGCGCCGGTTGGTGCAGCACGAACAGGCCCACCGAATGGGTGCTCGACCCTGTGGCAGACTCAGGGGTTACACCCTCTCCCGTCTCCTTTGAGCTGGCGCCAGGCCGAAGCGTCCGCCGTTGATGCCGCACGAGGCGACAGCGCGCTGGCGACCATGCGTCGCCCACGACCAACAGGGCCGCGGTCCTGGCGATCCTATTTTCGACTCTCCGGAGAGCTTTGCCGTCAGCGGTCGGCGCGCTCGTGCAACCTGTCGCTGTCAGCTCAAGGCGAGGCCAGGGCCAAAACACCACCGGCTCTGCACCTGTGCCACCGTCGTCGCGCGCGCCCGCCGCCTTGCCACCGTCATCCTCGAAAGCGCGGAATAATCACGGCGCTTGAAGGGCCAAGCCTGGCAGTCTGACCTTCTCCACGCTGCAAAAGCATCCATCGCGCGTGCATGGCGTCGTCGAGAGTGGAAATTGGATCCCCTGCTTCCGTTAGCCTCCTCTGCTGCAGCAGCCTCTCACCAACGTCAAGCCTCACCCCACACCTCTGTTCCAAAAATGCACCCATTCATCTCGCCTGCCGAGATGCAAGCACGCCTTCCCGCTTGGGGCGCTTCAATAGCCTCATCCCCTGCTCCTGGAAAAGGCGGGGAGAGTCGCTGTTCGACAGCTCTTCGCCACTGTCACGTCCAGCACGCGTCCGGCTGCCACTCTGGCGCCCCTTTCCGCTGCTGATTCGCCATCGCGCGCCGGATGCCGCCTTCCGACCCTTTTGAATTCTTCCCATGCGTCATTCGGCGGCTCTTCACCGTCTCTGAATCTTCGCTGCCGTCGTTCCATCCCAGCTGTTGCCACCTCGAGTCAACACCCGCCTTGACGCCAGGACTTCGATCGCTCGCGCCAATATTGCGCTCATTGCGCTCGGGTCACTGGCCAGATTGTGCAAATCGCCCTGGTTGTGGCATCAGCGCGGTGGATCTGTGCCGTCCTGCCACGCCTGGCCATCTCCGAGCGCGAGAAGCTTTCCTTGGCCCGTCTCTGGAACATCCTTAAACCAGCTGTGCTCTGTGCTTTCAAGAAAGCCATGACCCTCAGGGGACTTTTCGACTTTCGAGGTCTTCGACATCGTCCGTATTTTCAACTTCCTTCTTCACCATCATCGTTTTCCCTTCCCCATTTCAACAGCTTTGTGAGAATTGTGGCCATGACAGTTGGCTAGTTCTTTACAAACCTCCTTAGGTCCCATCCGGTTGTTGTGTCGTCCTGATGGAGACCTCCCAGTTCCCCCCGAGGGTATACAGTAGTACCCCTCCACTACTTCTAATTTTATAGGTTCACTCCTCGTTTCTTCCATCTTCCTTGGAATGCTCTCAGCGAACGCGACTGCACCACATAGCCTCATATACAGTCGAATACTGCTTTCGTGGACTTCCTTGACCAAGCATCTCGAGCGCACTCCCATTTTACCACGTCCCCCGACAGAGCGCCCCATCAGTATCCTGGCTTTCTTCCGCCTTCACTCCGGCTTTGCCTATTCGATATGTTCTCCTGGACTGTTCACGTTGGAGCAGATTTGTCGGACCTGAGTCCTGCTCATTTAACCAACTCCTGTTGAAATGGAAAGCCGTTCTAGCTTCATCCATAATACGTTTTCTTTGGATTTGCATCCTATTACCGTAGTCCACTTCCATGCCAGTAGTGATCCAAGATTCTTCGACAAATCTGTGACTATAGTGTCATTTGATGGGGTTCTTTTGTCTGAACATGAAATCCCACAAGGACTGGTGTTATCAGCCTTCTTAGCCTACGGGTGGATTCCGATCTTGGACATTGCCAGTAACTTCTGTGATCTTTTTCGTTCGCTATATGATGAACAGGTCTTTCACAACGTACTATCTAATGGTGCTGGTTAATAGCTATCGTCTCCTGTGGGCTTCAACCATCCTCTCAGCTTGGACTTCTGTCTTTCGTCGTATCCGTAATGAAGTTCCTAGCCTCGAATTTACCCCTCGCGTACATCAGAATATTAGTCCACAACCAGGAACTGTCTACCCGTGCCTCATTTTATCCCCTTCTTGGACCACTCCGAACCCAGCTGGTAGCCAATTACAATACATGTATCATCTGAGTCAGTCGTCGCCTAACGTTTCTATCGTGATCCTCAATTTAGCGCTTGGTCATTGTACTCTTATCACATCAGGTCATCTTCAAGGACACTCTACCTCCACGAAAACTTGCTTCCTGTGCGCTCCATTACCAGGCCACTTAAATTCCGCGAACCTTTTTCAAAGACAGTCTACAGCGCACTTTGTTACTAGCACCCCTCATTTCCTGGACTCTTCACTTGAGGACATTCCACTTCCAGGATTGCTCATTTAAGGACATTCCACATCTGGGATAATCCATATCTAGGACAATTGTCCTCTAGAATAATACTCTTTTACGACACTACTTCCAAAGCACTCTACTCTCAAGGAGACCCGCGACATGATTGCTGTTCTTTCAACCAGAGCTATATCCCCTCACAGGTTTGATTGCTAATATCCCTGGAGGATCGTTCCCTACACCACCGTTATCTTTACGCCTCTTTGCCAAAAATCTAGCCGGCCACCACACTGGAAGCACCACTACACAACTCCAAGTATCATTGTCCTATCGAGGTTACAGATCGTCTCGCGCCCTGGTACTTTCTTCGTTTAGCTATCAGATCCCCATATGCACATTCCTGGGAGCTCAATATCAAATGTTAGGGGCCGCCGCAACCGATCCGGATTCCTCCAATCCAGGAACAGGTGTTTCACCGGCGATTTTCCTCTCTGGTCCGACGAGTTCAAACGTTTCGCCATGTCCACAATCCTCTGGTCCTAAGATTGCTGAACCCTTTCCATTGAACCAAACGCTGCCACTGGAACTTCTCTCCGTACCACTTGTATAATCTCCCCATTTGAGAATATATTCAGTCATGTCCCAATGGCATGCTAGGTCTCAACTTGGATCAAAAGCCTGGATCCGCATTCCATTAGCTCATAGGACACCGTACGAATCGAAATGTTTCTCCCTTCCGGCCAAGGGATGGGCTTCATTTTAATACTAAACTATGGAAACCGGAGCTCCGCTACTGCTTTGATCTGTATTTGATGCAACTCAAAATGTTAGGCCCTAAATTGGGGGAAGGAATCTTACAGCTATGAAGGGGCCCGAGATCCGGGAGAGCTGACAGCATTTTCAAGAATGTCTTAAAACGCTGCTGTCTTTTGCCCAACAAAAAATGTTCTTGCAGCATTTCAGAGGCATCGAGGAACCCCAGATGGCCTGAGCGTGACGTGGCCAATCCAAGGGGAATGGGTGCCCGAATTTGCTAGCTTTCCGGCAGAGACAACCTTGTACCACTTTTATGGCTGATCTATCGTCTCTCTCACCTCAAGTGTCACATCTCCAGGTAATTGAACCTGTTCTTTTCAGCTTTCTTGCAGTCTTTTCTGGAAATGGGCATTGCGCTTTTGGCAAAAAGGGGAAGAGAAGGAGGAAATGTTCGGCTGCATCGACAGAATGTGGGGAGAGTACCATATTCCGCTTGTCGTGGTTTTGCAGCAGCAATGGAGTGACGATGCGCTCTCACAGTGTGAGCCAGCTGAATTACCGGTATGCTCACGGAATTGTTATATGGGGACCCACTGAAGCTCAGTTGCAGATTGCGGTTCCGATAGCCACGGTCAAAAAGGAATGACGCGTTCCTGTATTTGAGGTGTACCACGAAGGGATCACACTTGTGTTCCTTGTGAGCGGGTGTTAGTGAAAATATCATTGCTATCATGCAACTCACTGGGTACGAGGTACACTTGCGAGGATTTCGACGCCGTCTCTATAAATCTCACCGTCTAACTAGACACAGATGATCGCAGGCGCTCCAGATGCCAGGCTGCATATCATAGGCTTGGGCCAGATCTGTCGACTCATCAACGCCGACACCACCGGCTGCCTGGGATTCTTGGAGACAATCCCGAGAGCTGTCAACTAGTAAGACTAGATCCGACTCCCATAGTCTTCCTAATGTTTCAAGTTTTGTTTCAGCGGGCTCAATTAACTCCCATCTGGCAGATACGACCTCATATACGCGGTCTCCAACAACGACATTCCGCTTTTAAGCCCCTTTGAAACTGCTCAGCCTTACAAGCATATTGCAGAACGAGCACCGTTCAACAACCTGACGTTTCTGGGGTCTCCTCTCCTGTATCAACTGCGCCCTATCGAGGGACAACGGCAACGCGACTTCGCGCTTCCGGAAAGACTCGTGGACCTCCTTGCCGATGCATTTGCATGCTTCCAATACCGGTGTTGGTCGGGAGACACACCATTCAGCTCCCCGATCACCACCAGCTAGTTGACAAAACCGTATATTTTCCGCGAGAGTTATCGACCCCACAGTGCCGCGCGAGATAACAGAAGCTTGCTTCATCGCTGCGCAGATATTTTACCGGGCAACTGTGGAGCTTGTACCGTTTGAAAGCGACAGGAACACTACCGACGCGGAAGCGTTGGGTGATTTGCTATGGGCTGAGAACGAATACTGCTGGGAAGTTATTGGTCAAACATGGATACGGATGCCGTTCGTCTATCAGTGGATGTATGTTGTCCCTACTCTTTTTGACGGTGAAACATCAATTGCTGACTTTTACTTGCAGTCTCATGGTAGGCAGTGCTGCATCGCAACCTGGATCGGCCGCGCGGTTTAAGCTCGTTTGCCAGCTTGCCGTTTTTATGAACACTGAATCGCCGCTCTTTTCGGTAAGCTACACCGCGGGAGAACACATTAAGTTCGTTTCTAACACACAGAAAGATAATATTTGGAACCTCCTATGGCTTCAGAAGATCATCCGAGACAATGAAAAGTTCCCCACGATCTCGCCAGAACTACAAGCATACTGTGCACGAAAATCGGCTGCCAATTGAAGCTGGACCACTACGGACAAAACGACTATGAATACCCACCACCTACCCACTCCGACTCCTATAGACCTTCACAAAATCTTTTTCAACCACTCAATAATATAGCCATTAACCACGTCCCCCTCCACCACATGCAAAAACGCCCCCTCCCTAACCTCCCTAACCTCATCTCCCTCCCCCCACCCCACCTCCCTCTCCCACTCCATCGCAGTATCCACCCCGGACACCACCAACCGCGGCGCCCTCCTCCGCCGCATATACGCCCTCGCCGCCTCCCCCCGCCCCGTCACCATCCCCTCCAATGCCACCAGCCCCGCCATACACCCCACCACCACCTCCGGATCCGCCCCCAGCGCCCGCCGCCGATTCCACGTCTGCACCCACGCCGGCGTGCGCGGCGTATACATGCCCGCGGCGAAGAACCGCGCCGCCAGCTCCGGCGCGCGCGCAGCGTCGGCGCGCATTTCCTCGAGCAGAGCGCTCAGCGCCGGCCCGGTGATGGCGTAGATCGGATGCACCAGCACGAGCGCTCTCACAAGGTGCGGGTGCTCGACCGCGACGATGGAGGCCGTGATGGTGCTCATCGAGTGCGCGATCAGCACGACGGAGGGGATGCTGAGGTGGGAGAGCAGCGCGAGGATGTCGGCGGCGAAGATGTGCGGGGAGTAAGGCGGTGGCGGGGTGGTGGAGCGGCCGTGGCCGCGCAGGTCGAGGGCGAGGACGCGGTGGCCGGCGCTGAGGAGGGCGGGGATTTGGGCGCTCCAGTCGTGGGAGTCGCAGAGGTAGCCGTGCAGGAGGAGGAGGGGGGTGCTGGCGCGAGCGCCGTCGTCGGTGTAAAAGAGCGAGACGTTTTCTTGGTTTGGGGGCTGGAAGAAGGGCATGGTGGGGATTTTGGGGGGGGGTTAAGTGAAGGGGTTGGGTTGGACTGGGATGGCAGTGCGTGCTGGGTATTTCCCTGTGCTGGAAGGGAGCTTGAGAAGATGTTTAGGATGTAGGATTGCAACTAAATCTGTTCAGGCTTTCATCCCCTTTATACCCTCCCTGATGCGAAAACAGCTTCGGATGGTGAAGGATGCGGGACCCGGGGGACCGTTCCGGTGAGATGTGGATTCCGTGGTACCCCGCACCACCAGAAGAGACTTTCGTGTAACCCGTGATAACACTGATAGGTGGCTGTTCAAAGGTTTCGAGGCTCTGCGGGTAGGTGCAGTTTTTGTGGGACGGTCACGTGGAGTTAGCCGAATGTGGAAATTGTCATGTGACTGTATTACTCAGCAACGTCGTCGGGCTCGTCGCTTGGCGCATTTCGATTGCCGGAATTCGAAAGAGTCTTCTGAGAGTTTGATGCGGCACGACGACTAGGCTCAATGAAGTCTTTAATGTCTAGTTTAAAATAGCTCGCTCGGTATATTTCGTGGCATCTATATAGAATCTTGATCTGAGCGTGTATATAGGATGAGCCAAAAACACCAACTCCTCTAAAAGTCCGGCCTCTCACGGGCAACAGGGACCTTAAACCGTTTACGTCCACTGATGAACCAGTCGATCAATGCTCCAATAATAACCGCGCCAACCAACGGGCCGGCATAATTCATGTTATTCCCCGTAACCGGCAGGACGGTCGGGAACGGCATCCAGATTACAGTGAAGATGATATAGCTCAAGGCAAACATATTAACTGGCAGCCCCACTATTCCGAGGCTAAATGGTCCGGGGGCGGGCTTATTCGCTGAAAATCGGCGCAGGAAGAAGAATAAGATTGGGAAGAAGTAGGATATGTAGAGAGCGAGGGCCGGCAGCGAGATGAAGGCGTTGAAAGCAGTGGAAGAGCCGATGTTGATGATGGCGAGGAGGAAAATTACAAGTCCGACGAGACCAAGCGCGTTGAGGGGCATCTTGAGGCGGGTGTTGACCTATGCAGCAGTACACTAATTGTTAGTCATGAGTAAACGAGGTGTGAGCCATGAGTTGACGTTACCTTTCCAAAGAATCCCGAAAAGGGAAGTCCCTTGTCTCTTGAGAACGCCCAGACTAGTCGCGAGACCGACGCAAACACGTTGAAAAAAGCGATCAATATGATGATGGCGATCATGACAATGAACAGGTTCGTGGCGCTCTTAGAGCCAGTCGCCTCGTGGTAGACCTCGATGATGGGAAGAAGTGTAGGTGTGTTGGTGACTTTGTCGATGTCTCCGATCGTAAAGAGTATGCAGACGACATATGCAAACTGCATTACGGCATTCATGGAAACCGCCGCAATCATACTACGGGGTACTCGGGTCTTGGCCTGCTTGACTTCGTCACTCATGTGGAGCACTCCATCAAAACCTGGTAGGCGATTAGCATGTCTTTTGTGTAATGAAGTCACCAAGGATCGAGGGACCATACCTGTGAGAGGGTAGGTAACGGAGAGCAGCCCTATACCCCATGACACAGCGGCATTGGACCATCCACTGGCATCATGGGTCAAAGTCTCGAACACGTAGCTCGCAGTGCTCCGTTCTGCCAGCACCACTAAGGTGATAATGGAGATGACGAAAAAGAGCACGTGACAGACGGCACCAACGGCCTCGAGCGGGTTAAGAAGACGTCTAAACCAGAAATTTGCGATGAACGGCAGAATTGTGAACGCCCACATGATAAGCGTGGCGTGCCATCTTTCAGGCACGTAGTCCGGGTAATTGAAAATGGCCAGCCCTACGATAATGTTTGAGAGAATGGCAGGATTCGAGGTGCAAGAGCATATCCAGGCGAAGATAGTGATCCAGCCTTGACATGTCAGTCCGTGTTTCAGATAGAGCGTTAGGACGGAAGTACACACCCTGCATCAATCCCCAAAACTCGTTCCACCCAGGGGCAAATCTTGCACTCCACTATCCAACCTCTATTAGCATGAGGCAAGCGTTGATGGAAGAGCGAAGTCCACGTACCCTATACTGTGCACCAACCACAGGGTCCATTGAGGCCATCTCCGCTAGCGACATGGCGATCGTAGTGGTGCCGATACCGGCGAACAAGCTCCCGTACACCATGGCGGCGGGGCCGCCATTGGTGAGGGAGAACTGGAAGGTCACTGCGGTTGCTTCCCAGGAACATTGCAGGATAAAACCAAAGTTGATGGCCGAGATGAGGTTGATGTATCTCTGCAGCCGTGTCAGTGTGTCTGGGGGAGCAACTTGGGGGCAATTGACGCCGCGCTTACCTCGAGCGCGCCGCCGTTGTGCTGCTGGGCGTGCTTCTCGTCGGAGTCGATGGGCGTGCCTGCAATGGTCTCCTGTGCTCTGGCCAGCTCGGGCGGTGTGCGGTCGCCATCGGCCGTTGTGGCCAATTCAATGTCACCCTTTCCGTCCGCCATAGCTTCCTGCAAAAAGACGAGAATTCCAGCGGAGTGGTAGAGTTCAGGATCAGCAGGCTCAATAAGAAGACTTGTGCTCCAGATAAGCCGCGGGCGCGCCCACGAGTCAAGCCGGCAAGCCAGAAATCGTTAGTCGCTGCAACACTCGCCTCCCGTCTCCCCAGACGAAGCGGCCGGGTTGCGGCCATGCACGAACCTCGCTGGTGCACACCGTCTCGGCGACTGAGAACCGCTGGGGAACAACGTCCGTGGCGGGTTGCGCGCTGAGAGGTTCTCCCGCGTCCAGAGGGTCGCCACACGGCGGCCAGAGCCGTTTCCATGGCGCGGGAGGCGTCCCATCCACGCCATCCCGACGGACAGGAAAGGGTCTGGCATACGAGACACGGCTCCCAGGCGCAGACGCGGCGTGGCACCGCAATCTCATGCAGAGTCGGCCTCTCAAGAGTCGCGAGAGGTTGTCGAGACCGCCAGAGGCGCTGGAGCTGCAGACCGGGGGGGGGCTGTCGTGACTCTGCGGAGCTTGCCGAGACGTCAGATGCTCGCGATCCCTCACAGAGACGCTCAAAAGCAGACGACGCCTCGGAGCAATTGTTCAGTGGTGCCATTGAGCCCTCGAGCGCACGTCCGATCCGACGGCGCGACCAGACGAGGACGGTTGTAGCTCTGGCGACGGCCTCGACCCCAGACGGCGACTCAAGGGGCGGGCCGGGACGGGGAGCTGGGGAGCTTGAACGAAGCTCGCCAGAATTCGCGACGGTCCAAAGTCTGCAGCCTCTCTTCACGTCCGGTGGTCACTCTCTAATATCAAGCCACAAACTTACCGTATAAGGCAGCAACTTTAGGGGCCTTTAGGGAGGAATAGCAACATTCTAGCCAATCAATCCCTTTACCGGGGAAGTACTAGCCCAGAATAGAGGTATACCAGGACTGACTCAGTTTAGCGCCAGACCACCGGACGTACAGAGAGGCTGTAGGACAGTGCTTCGCGGCAGTGCGCAGGGCGGAAGGATCGGGAGCGGATGCGCAAAGCGGCGCGCTGCCATTCGCTGCGCTCCCTCGAGGCCCGCGAAGACCTCTACTGGACCCGAGCGGGACGAAACCTGCCGGCATCGCATCATGGCCGCCGTCTGCTGCTGCTGCTGTGCCGCAACGACGACGCTCGCTACAAACTCCCCAGGTCCTGCCCTGAGACGGCTTCCGCAATGCCCTGGCATCCCTGCGCACTCTTCGCATATTGCCCTCCTGCTGCCGCTGTTGTGTCTGTTGCGCACCACCTCTCCTCGCCGTCTTTCGACCTTCTCCGCGCTGGTCCGGCTGGCGATAGCTTCCGCTGCCAGCTGCTATGCACCGCTGAGCGTTCCACAACATGCCCGGCGACGAGGCCCCGCTGCATCGCTTGAGCGCCCAAGATCGCGGTCCGATCGTCATTATATCCGCATACTCCTGGGCCTTTGTCACTCTTCTCATTTCCTTCATCCGCTTTAGCTTCGCCCGCGCCCAGCGCCTGCCGTTCAAGCTTGACGACTGGAGCTTCTCCTTCGCTGCAGTAAGCCCCCAGAACGGCCTCTTCTTATCAAGGACAATACATCAAACCACTACGGCAACCGTCGGAGAGAAAAGAAATTTAGACTAAGCCACGGCCACAGATATTCGCCCTAGCAAATTCCGTATGCTTTCATATAGCCACCAACGGCGGCCTCGGCCGTCACATCGCAGACCTCAGTCCTGGCCAACTCGATGAGTACTACAAGGTAATTTCCCCCAGCTCGCTCCACTGAGACTCCAATGCTAAGCCTTCCGTTTCCAGGCCATGTATGCCGCCCAACTCGTCGGAATCGCATCCATGGCTTTCGCAAAAACATCTTTCTTCCTGCTTGCAGACCGTGTAGCTCCGCAATTCCCACGAACATTCTACAGCATCATCGCTATGATCGCCGCCTGGGCTGTCTTCTCTATACTATCCATCTCGTTTCAATGCCATCTACCCCGAGCCTGGGTTTATGTTCCCAGTGATTGTCCAACGCACGGCTATTTGCAGTATCCAATTATCATCGGCAATGCTCTGACAGACGCATTTCTGGCTCTATGGTTTCTCCCCACCATCTGGCGTGTCCTCATCGACAAAAACAAGCGCATAGCCGTCATAGCCCTGTTCGGCACTCGGATATTGTACGATACCCTCCAATTCGCTTGTACCTCCTTTGATTGCTCTCTTCGCAAGGGCCAAGTAGCTAATTTCCCTGCAGAGTCTCCTTCACGGCAATCGCCCAGATGGTCATAGTGGGAATTAACCTTCACAAAAAGGACCAGACCCGCGCAACTTGGGTCCCCGCCATGGTAATGCAAGCTGTCGTAAATCTATCAGTACTCAGCGCCACTATCCCGCGCACAAACCACTTCTTCGCAAGCCTTCACGCCGGCCTCGTCACCATGCGTCTCACAGATTTCGAACTCGATGCCTCGCTGGGCCTCTCACGTCCTCAGCACCCGCGGCGGCGTGAAGAGCCGCCACTGAAGTTAGTACCTTCAGGCACCGAGGGCCACTTGCAAACGAACGTAAGCGGTAGAAGTAAAAGGAGCGAAAAGAGATGGAATAAATTCAAGGGCAAGAAGAGAGCCGTGGACTGGCAGAACACAATGTCGATGGGCAGTACAAGGGACGACGAGAATAGTACAAGCAGCTTGTACAACAGCCAAGGAGGAATTGCCATGAGGCAGACCCAGGAGACGAAGATCGAGTATGTGAAAAGACAGCCCATTCTCGTGCGTAGACCATGATTTTGATCGGTCCATTTGGACCAAGGCGCTACTTTTGGATTATGGACCAAGGCGATACTATCTGGTGAGGAGCGGATACCCATTTGCAGCTTAATGGCGTTGGAAATGCTTAGAGACTAGAGCGTATGCATAGTACTACGACCTGATTTACGCTTTTATTAGAAGGCGAGTTCTCAACACAATAGAGCAAAAAAGTACGGAGTTTAACATGAAACGGATGTCAAAATTCCAAACTATTATTTCGGTATTCAGACGCCATCATTAAAGGAATAATCTTTGTCCCATCGCTGTGATCGATTAGTTTCTGATTAGATAAAGGGCTTGCACACATACAGTATCCCATGGTCGACTAGAGTCAACGAAACGTAAATCAGTTCCGAGTCTAATCACATTCTGAGGGTCCTGGTTGATTGTCGAAGCGTGTATCTAGGCTCTAGTCAGCGCACTTCCTTACAATCCATCCTCGAACTCACCGCAAATGGCGTATGTAGCACGACATCCCCCGCCTCATACGCAGTTACCAGCCATCGACGATCGAACCGGCGTGCATATTCCGCTGGTCCATCGGCCAGCAAGCCTGTTGACAGCATGTTTTGATTGAAAGCGTTTCTAGCCTCCTCATCTGACATCCCGCATTCTCTAGCCTTTTTCGTGAAGGTGTCTTCGACTTCTCTTCCAAGCGTGTACCCTGTAAAGGTTAGCATTTTCAATACGGAAATACTCGCAGTACTGAACCTTTCTCAAGATAAATGAGGCCGCCACCACTCAAAGAAACATCACCCATCGGAACCCAAGCCGTGACGCTTGTAGGCTCGCCATGTCGGAGGAATATCTGATCATAATGGACTCCAATCGCCTTGTTTCCAGGCGTATTATTCCGCAGCAAGCTTCTGCGTACTCCAAGCGTACTCTCCCCCCACCCTGTCAATTTTGCAATCAAATCCCGGAGCACCGGGTGCTTGCAGAAGTCCTCCTTGTACCAAGTCTCGTAATGAGCTTGCAATGCCAGATCGACAAACTTCTCTGCTTTCTCTCCGCCAGGTTTGCCGTTGCCGTCTGCAGCTCCAGCACCAATGCCAGGATAATCATGTGGATCGTTTTGCTCATTGAAGATGCCATCGACTGGGGCTGTACCATCCTTCAGGACTCCACTTGGGGAGAGAAGCTTGAAGTATTCTTCCCTGGCTTTGAGGACGTCCTGGCGGGGGAGCAGGCCTTTGAGGAATAGATATCCGTCTTCTTCATATCGTTGACGCAGCTCTTCGAGAGGGAGGTCTGGGTTTGACGCCCGTAGTAATCCTACTTGATCCGCTGCCAGAGGACCGTCGTTCACGAATAGTGACTCGGGGGTGGGTGGGAATTGCTCTGCGTGAGGCATGACGAAAAAGGGAGAGAAGTCAGAACTTTACAGCTTGATACCAGTTTCGATAGTTCGCATTATTGAGTGTCAAATAGAGATACACATATAGATCATTGGAGCTTCTTATCAATCATCATGCAGTCACTGCATGCGGGTCGGATTTCCTCGCTAAGACACGATTGCGTTAGCACGGCAATCATTGGCTCGTCCTCCCCGCACTTTTCAACGTACATCCTAATCCCATAGCCGCGATTCATCACTTTAGTCGTCCAAAGGGCAATTCGCGCCGCCCGCTCCTAACTCCACCCTCTTAAATCGTGATGCCATGGTCAGTGCCAGCTCGTCCGGTGATGCTCTAATGCAGCTGACTCTTCCAGCAATCGCTGTCGGGTACGCCATCACAAATGTAAGAAAAAGGTGCCACATCTAGGCCATTGCGAGGCTAACAGCTCCCAGGTAATGGCAAAACGCCTAAGTGCAGTCAATGTCAGAAGGCAGGCGAGCGGTGTGTCTACGAGACTGGCCCAAGATTCAGGCGATCTTCCATTCAGAAGGCATTTAAGAAAGACCAGAAGTGGATAACTCTTCCTCGGACCAGTCAGTATTTTGGGGCTCCAGAGTTGACACTTTCGGTTGCGCTGACATGGAATTGAGTCGATTTCTTTGACGAGACTGATGATGTCCGGTCACAATATGAGCCTGGATTCGTGGCACCGAGCAGAGAGTCTCCGCCCCTCGACTTTCAAACTTTTAGTAGTAGCCCCTTTGGCACGGTCATATCGGCAGAAGCCATTCCAGTTTCGTCTTTACTTAATTCAGAGTCCCCTATTCAGCTAAACGTGCTGAGTGGACCGCCTCCGCCCATCTCACACTCTCCAGCGAATCTAGTTGCCCGTCATAATAGCGATGAGGACATTGCAAGGAGCCGCCCGCCAAGTGGCCACCACAATTCTACACCTACCGGATTCTGGCCCCTTGAAAATGACCAGGAAGCAATGCTGATGGGTCATTACATTGACCATGTTGCTCTTTTCGTAAGCAATACTCCTGCATCACTTTTGCATTGAAAGTTACATATGCTATGACTTAATAGAAGACTAGTTTGATATGTGCGATGCACTGAAGCACTTTACGTTCGAAGTACCCCAACGGGCTAGAAGTAACATTACACTCTTCAACGCCATAATGGCTTTATCAGCTCGTCACTTAAGTCGCACGTCCTCATTCAACACTTTCGTAGCGGACCGGTACTACCAAACCTGCCTCCAGACACTCATACCTGCCCTAAATGACAGCGTTGCAATTAATGACGAATCACTTCTTGCAGCTACTATCATCCTCCGACTTCTTGAGGAACTCAATATCCCAATAACTGGTGATGACCCTCGGAGTCATTTGTTTGGCACCCATGCTATCCTCCGAGCAGTCCAACGGCGATATGATCTTAATCCAGTCGACACAAGCTTCAGGCAAGCAATTTATTGGGCCGCATTCCGGCAAGAGCTTTGGATATCCTTGATGACCCAGAGACCTTTTCAGCTGCATATATTCGAAGCAGATAGATCCATAGAACCTGCCAATGACTCCACGTGGGCTGACCGAACGATTGCCCACGTTGGCGATGTTATACACTTCGCATTTGGTGAAGGAAAGCACTCCATATCACGATTCAACCGGCTTATGGAAGAGAATGAGTCATGGCGAAAGCGGAGGCCCGACTCATTTGTCGAGTTCTTCTATCGGCGAGATCGAGATGGTAGTGGTCGTAATTTTCCTGATATTCGTTGCCACGCCGATGCACACGGCGAGTCACTCATGGTCTCTATGCTCACATGGCGCTAATATCGAAGTAGTTATGGGGCGACAGTACAACATCCTAGCTCGTGTCCTTCTCGTAGTCCATAATCCAACCATCCCACAACTCGGACCAGCGCACAAGAAGGCCAAGATGGAAGTAGATGTGCGCCTACTCTCAAAGTCATTATGCAGCACAGTCAGTTGCTAACATAGGACTCAGATCCAAGTTCAGGAGGACGTCCGCACTCTTGTCGGGGTTGCCCTTTCCAACGAAAGAGCTTTCCCCGCTAGTTTGGTTGCATGCTTTGCGATAGCTCTCGGTCGGTCTATCCAAACGTTATATCATATCAATGCTGATTTCTGACAGTTGGAGATCGGTTCACAAATCGTCAAGATCAGTCACAGCTTCGTGAAATGCTCATCAAAACCGAAACGCGACATGGGTGGCCTACCAAGGCGGCTAGGTCGCAGCTAGAGGAAGTTTGGGAGTGGAACGGCCATTGAAGTGGCTGGCGTGCGCTTTCACCATATCTTTTCCAGAACTTGCAGCGACACATGTCCAAGGTACGCCACGACGAGCTTGCTTCAAGCTTAGCCCTATGGCAGATCATGGCCTCGCAGAGAATACAAAGGTTAGTCACATGGTTCATTCAGACGTTGCGAATCACGTCAGATATTCGGGAAGTGTTGTTAGAAAAGGATTTCATTGTGTGAGAAGTAGAATGTCTACTGCTCCAGAGTATCAGCCATGTAGTCGTACACAGGCTTGTGAGCTATGTCCGACGGTCGCGAACATGCGCTAATTGTCCATGATCAGGCGTCGAAGATGTCGATTGCCTATCCGCGATATTGGAATCCGGAACGAGTCTGTTGACCAGGTAGGAGCTCTTTCTCCCAAGCACCACCTGCGTGGTTCCTTGGGTCGTTCTCGAAGCTCTCGGCCTCGGCCTTCGCAGCCTTCGCAGCCTTTTCGCGAGCCGCTTTGGCCTTCTGTGCCTGGATCCGAGCGGCGTTGTTTTCTTTTCCCTTCCCCTCAAGAGCATCCTTTCGCGCGCGAAACTCTTGTGGAGATTCCTTCTTTGCGAGCAGGCTATCGTTCAGTTCCGGGCTCTTCAAGCGGTCGAAAAGCTCGTTATGAGTTCGGATGTAAGTGATTGTCTCCTTGCAAAGCTTGTCCTCTCGGCCAAAGCGGACAAGGTTCTCAACGAGCATATGCACGTATTTTGTATCACGCGGGATCTGCTCCCAGAGTTCTTTGACATGCATCGGGTGCAAGATCTTTCGAAGTTTGTCTTCGGCGAAGCGGTCAACGTTGATTGCGTCCACTCGCATTCCGAGGGCGAAGAGTGCTCGAGCCAAAAAGATCGCGCTAACGAGGTTTTTTGGGGCCTTGATTACGGTTGGAGTAGTGGCCATGCTTAGCACCATCCAATCGTGGACTTGCTTCAAGCCTTGAATTTCTGCCGATCCTGGTCGGAGTTCGAAAGTAAGTTTGGGTTGGCCCTTCTCGTTGCCCACTGTCTTCATATGTTGACGAACAGTAGAAGAGTAGTGTGCGACCAGGTTCGCGCTCAGTCGTGCCATAACTACTTGGCCTTCGGCGTTGATAATGTCTAGGCGTGGGCCGTGCCGTAGCTGGCCGCGGTCGTAAGCGGAGATAGACATGGCCGTGTTGAGAGCCGATGGAGCCGGCATCTTCTGGTTGTGGGTATTGATAATGGTTTGTTGTTGAGTTGAAATGCGGGTGGTTATGTTGGTGAGTGTAGGTAGAGGTATCAAGTGGTTGTTGATGTGTATCCCTCGAAGATGAAAAGTGGAGGACTTTATATGCCTCTGAGTCTTCAGGATTCACCGCAATGTGAGAGCACAAAGTGTATCCCCAGCCCTACAGTGAGTTATTATCGTGCTTATATAACGTTGTCAAGTGAACTCACAATGCCGCCAGGTACCCTATGCCCGTTAAACCTCCGCGGGTAGAACCGGATTTCTTAAAATGCGGTGAATGTTCTCGAGTAGCTACTAGTGAGTTGTCACTTGACTGCCACGTGACTGTATGTGACGACCTATCTGCCTACGAGGACAAGCAATCGTGAACACATAGTCGATGCATATACGCAATGGTATCTTAATGAGTACACATACAAACCCACGCTAGTATTTCAGTTCGCCAAGAGTTCATCGCTCTATCTGGCCAGAAAGAATAGTCTCATCCATCATCACCTATATCGATAGCCATAGGAATACACCACCACTACTCTCCCTGAGCCACCGGCTGGTTGTCCATGCTCTACAGAGGAGTCATCTGCCCTTGCAACATTCACCCAGAGAACATCCACCACATCTACGACCGTATGCTACGAAGCGAGCACGTCTCCCTCTCCTCCCCCTCCTCGGTCTCCGGAATACTGCCAAGCGAAAGCGTCTTCGGCGGGCCGCCGTAAAGATCCACTTTCTTCCTAGCTCCATCAACCTGCTCCTGCTGATCCGAAGCCTTCCCAGCGGCATAAGCCGCCTCCAATCTCGCCAAGTTCTCCGCCGTCATTGGCTGACCTTTTCCAATCCCAACCTCCCGAATCCAATCCTCGTCAATTTCTGTAAAGGGGCTATCGTACTCGACCTCACCGCTTGCGTCAAGCCGTTCGTTTAGTTCGGCGGCCATCTCGGCCCATGTGGAGGCGCCGATGCTGGATATGTTTGCGGCGTGGTCCGTTGGGGCCTGCGAGGCTGGAGGTGCGTTGGGGACTGGCGCGGGGGGTTCGAGTTCTTGGGTGCGGGCAAGGAGGTCTAAGACGGATGGAAAGAGCTGGTCTTCTGGGGTGCGCGCGTTGGGGTCGGGCAGGGGAGTGTGGTACTTGTCTGGAGACTCTGGGTTGACGGGCGTCGACGGAGAGGACCTAGTAGGAGCCTGCAGGGTGGAGGGCTATCTAATTGGGTTGTTAGGGGAATGATTGAGGGGTGTTATTGCTTACGCTTTTGGGAGAGGTGGCACTGGTGGTTGTTGGTGGGGAGTGGCACGTTGATGCAGGTTCACGCAATGGTCAGTTAATGAAAGTATTAGAGGGAAATTTGGGTTTATTGGATCCTACGCTAGCCATCAGAAGCTGTTGGAGTGAATTACTAGTCATTTGGAGGTAAGTGGGCGCCTTGTTGCTGCTCAAAAACGCACAGATTACTAACTTCATGGTCACTAGGGTGGAGATTTCATAGTCCACGTGCTGTGGGGAAAGTTGTGCAATAATTACGAGAATCGAAGATAATAAGACGCAGGGTAGGTTGCAAATGCAATCTCTATCTACTCAGAAAGACAACTCCGGACAGAAAAACCCCCAAACGATGCTCAAGATGCCGTCCACCGTAGCTAGTTCCTAGTGACAACGACGAAGTCATCCTCATCAACAGCTTCTAGAGTGTGTATAGCCACTCCGTATTGCTCTGAAGCTTCGTTAGTAACAGCACCAGATTCTGAGGTCCCATTCGACTCACTATTTTTCATTCCGGAGGAGACAATGGCCGCCACGGAGCCCTTAGCCGACGCTGCCAAATTCTTGACATTGCTATAGCAGGATTCCATGGCGAATTCGGCCACGCATGCAAGATATCCGGTGGTGCTCACTGTTTGCGCCTGGGAATCACCCAAGGGGATGTTGGTCCCTTGAACATAGCCCCCCATCGACTTGCGGGGTGCGGAGGGGGATGGGGGCTTCACCGTACCCGCTCCTGCATCTGGAACTCGCTTGAGACCCAACTTCTCGCGTCTGCTAGGGAGCATGGACAAGATTCCCACCTTGATGTTGGGACTGTGAGTGGTGGTGGTGGTGGTGGTAGTCCGAGACTTCTACTTTGAACTTGTGGCGGTGCTGTTGGTGGTGAAAGCGTTCAGTGGCTCGGGAATGCAGCTTTTTACTGAATAAAGTTCGAGGAGATCTATATACACGTCCGGACATCATTGTTCATTGCCTTCACAGTGATTCATGTCCTTTAGTAAATGTCGCAATGAAGTGAAAGGGGTCATATGAGGTGTACATTGAGCATTGTGAAAGGGGTAGGTACACTTTCACAATGAAAATTGCTGAAGTTAGCCGTCATTTATACACATATTTAGATCTAGGAGGGTCATGGGATTGTTTAAGAGAGGACGATCGGATAATGGGCGAACGTAATGCAATTGAAGGCACTGCTGTCGAAGAGAAGTCTTAGACGAAGGCGTGGGAATATCAGCTTTACTACCCAAAAGGAGATAGGCACGTTCGTATGAACATAAGGCAGGAAGCTTTCATCTCAAATAATAAAGTTTCTCTATTGACTTCTACGAAGTCACGATGATAGTCGCAAGTCTGAGTAAGAAGAAGCCCATTGAATCGTCTACCCCATTGAAGACTGAAGAATAACGCCAAACCCGTGGCCTACTCTAGAGGGGCTTGCATATACTGTACTACCACATTTAACAATGTGTCATACAATGTATCCGGGAATCCGATAACATTGTCGCCGTCGCCCCTTCGCCTAGACGCGATCCCAATCGCTGTCCTCGGAGCACATGTCCCATTCGTCATCAGAAGAGTCGAACTCTGCATGCAATAAGTATGCTACTAGCAATTGAAATAGATTATCATGACATACCTGTACCGCCGTTGCGAGAACCCGGAAGTTCCTTCGTAATATCACCAGTGCTCCTAAAGTCCAACAGGGCGGGAGTAATGACTGATCTACCGTTAGTAAATGTCACTGCAGAAAGCCGTATGTATGCGTACCAGCTCCACCATTGCAGACCATTGGGAGATGTTTGTACTTCGGACCCTCGCGAACCTTGTACACCTTCTGTTTCTTCATCTTGCCACTACCCTCCTTGATGGCCTTCATAGTCGAGTGCATGTCTTGACCGAGCACACGCAGACCTTTTAGAGAGTCTTTGGCCATACCGGGGACCTTGCGGAACGAAGTCGGGGGAGTTAAGCCGACTCGACGAAGTGATCCTGATCCCTGGCGGCCGAGGTGAGTGTTTGGCTGGGATTGAGCACCACCGGGGAAATTTCCGGCGGCTTCAGCGTGAGTCGCTTCAACGGCAGTAGAGACACGGCGACGCTTCGGTACAGGGTGTGCGTGTGGGGAGCGCGAGGTGGTGGAGGCCATGTTGGTTGAGTGCATGTTGGTTGAGTGCATGTTGGTTGAGTGCATGTTGGTGGAGTGATAGTGCTGGAGGATCGAATGTTTGGGAGGAGTGACGGCATAGTGATGTGGGTAAGTAGTGTGGTGACCTCGATAGAACTGGACATGTAAAGGTGCGGGAAGAGCTAGGGCCGACGGCATGGCGATTCAATGGTGAATGAAATACTTTGAAATGTTCACTAGAACCTTTCTACAGCAAAGATTACTACCATACGAGTGGAACCAGAAAGTTAAATCCGTGTTATGATTACCTCATTGATATTCCGACTATGTCGAGAATATAGAAGGTCAAGAATAGTGAGTATTACCATCAAGAAAAGCTGTTTCCCCTAGCCATGCCCGCAGCCCCAAAATATCCAATGTCTGAAAGTAAACAAAGTCCGAACACCAGAGAAATTGAAGCAATCCTAGAATCAATTTCAAGGCCATTATCGATTTACTAGGCAATCTTGCAAGTCCATTTGCCTTCCAGGCGTTCCGATGATCCTTCATTCCAGCTTAAACCCTCACAACGGTGAAGCCCCAGTCGTTGTAGGCTGCATCGATGGCGTTCCATCCCCCAAGGTGGGACCAAATGACATCAAAGGCATGAGGTTGCCAATAAGAACGAATCGAGCTAACGGCTGTGGTAGACGCTGGAGTGATGACTTTCCAGTGAGTGTGTGAATCCGATCGCATGATACGTAGACACTCCAACCATTGCTCCAAAACGTCGTCACACCGCTCCAACTCGGCATCGCCACGACCCTTCCAGAGAAGGTCCCAGACGTTGACCGAGGCATATCGCTTGCAGTGCGGTTCCATGTTGTTGGATCCGTCGACGAAGATCGTGAGTCGTTCCTTAAGGTCCGCAAGCATACGCATTCGCATAACGACTTGGGCCTCGGTAGCCGACCGACGGTGATCGTATCTTCCAAACTCCATTTTCTTGAATTCTACCTTCAAGAAGTTTTGAAGCGCATTATTTTCGGTCTTTGCGATCGACGCAAAGCCGTGTTGGTTGTTCAGAGGTTGGATGCTGACGATGGACCCTTTAGCCAAGATATAAGCGGCTTCTCGATGAATTTGCTTGTCTACTCTTAAAATGTTGCAGCTTGTGACCTTTTTGAATCTCCTCATGCTCGTTACGTAGCCACAATTTTCAAGGACGTGGTCGTAGACCATATTGCGAATCTTAGCAGGTAAGCCTTTGAAGTTGAAGGGGGCATCCTCAATGCGACGTCCGCGGAGAGTGCTGCGGCGAGGAGCCTCTCCTGATGGTGGTTTGGACACTCTTCCCGTGGCAACCTTCCTCGCAGGAGACTTCGGAGCCTTGGACTGGGTAGGGTTTTTTCTAGCCATGTTGCAATGTGATCAACTTAGGGTTGGTGGTGGTAGGAGGAGTTGACCCACTTTCGTGGATTGAATAGAGTATGGTACACCAGGGTTGCGAGTGTGGAGGTGTGGAGGTGTGGTTGGTTGTAAGAGGAAGTGCTGATGTTGTACTTTATAAGACCGAGAATCGGGCTTTATACCTGCTCTTTGGCACCCCTGAAGGCGGGTTCTGCTGTGACTGACGCTTCCTGGATTGTAACTTGCACCCCTTAGCGGGTGGATTGGACTACTGCTACCCGGTGTCATGCTCTCTACTGGTGAGACTCAGCTTCCTATGTCATAGTAAGAAGTTACAGACTTCGAAATCGGCGCAAGCCCAAATTGCACTTTGCTCCACGAACTAAACAACGCGTGGCCATTTTAAACATCTGTTCGTCGACTACAACAGTTGATGATGGCGATAGTTTCTCGTGAAATCTATAAAAGGTCTTCGCCTTGTGAAGAGCTCCAGCACTCCTATATCTCAATAGCCATATATTAGCATATTTTTGATGCACGAGCTAGGGAATTTGTCGATGTAAGTCTTCTATCGCACATTGAAGATAGTGAAAATAGTTTAGCACTTCCTCAATCTGGCAGAGACCCTCCATTTCATCGACCACTTCTAGAACCCTTAAGGCTTCTCCAGGTCTACAGCACCGTCTGAGGTCTTCTAAGCCTGTAAGAGTCCTCCGGATTGAATATAGTAAGCCGTAGCGGTCAGATTTTACACGGTGGATACTCACTGCTTCTCCATGTTTGCGGTACCGACTGAGGTCTTCTGAGCCTGTGAAAATACTCACACATAGACCTCAACTACTATGGGCTTCAAATCTCATAGCCCAGAGATCCACTGCTTTTCCAGCCCTACAGCGTCGACTGAAGTGGTGCATGTGGGTGAGTACGTGCGAGAATGGATGTCATGAATCGGATGCTCTGAATCTCATACCTTAGGTATTCACAGTTTTCCCAAACTGATAGCGTCGTCTGAGGCTGTGGCGGTTCATATAGGTGACTATGATCGAGAACGAATGTTATAAACCGGAGACTATGAATCTCATACCCTGGATATACACTACTTCTCCAGGTCTATAGCGTCGGCTGAGGCTTATGTGCGTGGGAAAGATCGAAACGGATTTCACAAGCCCAAGGGCGTGAATTAGACGCACGGATGCAGCATTGTAGGGAATTTGAATCAATTTATGTTGGAAATACGGCTGCGGGTATACCGGACCACACGAGACACTCCTGGGCGTATGAGAGGAGAATATTACAGGATGTCAAGAGCTCGAGAGCGTGAGTTGGACATCTGGACGAACTATGGTACGGGGTTTGAATCACGGCGCGTTGATGTAACGGCTGCGGGTATACCGAACTACGTGAGACACCCCCCGGAGGCTTGAGAGGGGCAGATAATAGGACCTAAGAAGCTCGAGGGTGTGATAAAGACGCATGGATTGAAGTCCAAACTGAGCTATACAAAAACGTCTTGTCTTTAATGAGCATTGCCAAATCGTTTGAAGTGACTACTTCTGCACACTTCGCTTTCATGTCAAATAAGTTGGCCTTATGAGGGCATTCGTCTCGATCACCACAAGCGTCCTCGATCACGTATGGGTTGAAGCCATACTAGAGCCCGTTAGTCCCCATCTTAACCCAAAGTAGATGTGCACGAACCTGTGTTGCATCAACAGTCGTCGCTCTCACACACCCGGAGGTACTGTAGCCGCAGACAAGGAGGTATCGGTCTTCAATCGAATTAATGTCGATGCTAGAGATGTGCCAAAGAAGCAAGAACTGCACTGCTTCTCGATGACAGTCTCGCCAGTAAATGGACGACAGATCTTAGACTCAGTCGGGCAGTCTCCTAGGACCTTACCCTCGTCGAAGGCACACAAAGCTTTGGGCAGCTTGTGTCTGTACCAATTGCCCCAATCTGCGCCTCTGTCGTGATACACCACCTACAAAGAGAATTAGTATGGCAAAATTGAAGAGCATTAAAGAGCTTATCAAAGTTGTAAGCATACTCTGGTGAATATTACGGGGATCCTCTTTTTTCGGCACAGTGATATTGTCTTCTCGCATGACTCTAGCGCCGTTTGGAAGCGATCTTTCCCATACAACGGACTTCCTTCGGTAATATACGCGTTGCAAGCATCTATGACGAGCAGAGCTGGATGGTCTCCGAATGGATAGCCGCCTTTCTTCTCTCCTGGGCCGGCTGTGAAGCCAGAAGCGGCGTAGCTGGCCATCAACTCATTTGAATATCCGTTTGCGTCTGCTGACATGGCAGATGGACTTTGAGACAAGCTTCGGAAATAATCAATGGGGTAAATTAGCTTGTGAAAGAAAAGATATCAGAATGGGAGAGAGTTGGGCTCGTGATGAATGGAGCTGAGACAGATCTTAATGCATTATGGTCTACGGAAGAGCACCAACGGGTCGGGGATATCTCTCATTGTTAGAGTCTTCGTGAGGGTCCCTTTATAAACTGACTGGGCTTATCTTCCGTGGTGTTCGGGAAGCGTGCCGATGGATGTAGAGCATCCGGCTTGGTCTACGTATGCAATTAGCTCTCGGTTCCCGATGCTATCGTTAGGAAAGTCTAAAGCTCCGTGTTTGATGAAGGCAGCCTAGAAAGAATCTCGAAATATATTATTACCCACGTACTTTAATTGACGTCGAGGTTAGAGTTGAGTGAAATGAGCGACCCGATGTATGGCCTTGGGGCTCGGCTTGCCTTGCCGAGAAAGTCGTTCATCTTCAAGTCTATTTTGGAACTCATCGAAGCACCAACACTGGCTGCAACAACACAACCTCGATCACTGCCCACCACTAATCAAGAGACTCCGGCCCCGGACCTCATACCCGACTTCATTCTTACTATCCTCACGCGCCCACCATGGCGGACGTAGAAATGGATGTCGACCCGCCGCAGCAGGCAGCCTCCCCCGAAGCCAAACCCGCCGGTGAAACGCGCACTCAAGCCGGCGCTGTCGCAGTCCGTTCGATCGAGGGATGGATCATCATGGTCACCAATGTGCACGAAGAAGCGAGCGAGGAGGATCTGACGGATCTGTTTGGAGAATACGGCGAGATCAAGAACATTCACCTGAATCTGGACAGGAGGACGGGCTATGTCAAGGTACGACTATCTCCACTTCCCTGAGTACCTCGCGAATGTAGATTGCACACTTGGAGGCGCGGGTGCGGCGACACATGTGCGTGCTGACTTGCGCAACTAGGGCTACGTTCTCATCGAATATCCCACCCTCGCAGAGGCGAAAGCTGCTATTGAAGGCGCGAACGGACAGAAGCTCCTGGACCAGACTCTTGCGGTTGACTTCGCATTCGTACGGCCACCTCCCGGAAAAGGACAAGCAGGTAGAGGCGGACGAGGTGGTGCGGCGAGGGGTGGAGGTGGAGGGAGAGCGAGGAGCAGGAGTCCAGGCGAGGGACGAGATGACAGGGACGACTGATTGCCACGAACTACCGGCGCGACCTACGAAGATGATTGTGCTGGGCGACGGCGATCTCAATGATTGCCAGTTGCAGAGGTTGGGCTTGGTTGGTCATGGTTATGACAGACAAAAGTACTCAGCTCAGACTCCTCAGTCAGGCGTCAGGAGCCTTTCAATTTCAAGCTTGCCAGCCCGTCTGCTAGAGGGGCTGGCTATTCAACTTTCCTAACGTAAGTTGCACCCTTTTGCTTCACCGACACAAAACTGACAAGCTCCAGACGTGCCTGGATAAATGTGATTGCGTGCAGCATGTGTTCACTGGAGAAGATATAACGCTTCTGGAGCAGAAGAGTGCACTGATATGCGGCTATGGTGAACTGTTGTCTGTCTAAGTAGGCCGCAATAGGCTACCTAGATTCACCGACGATACGTCTTCAATGTTGGCTGTATAATGGCACTGTCGCTTTATTTCTACCACTGGGCCTTTGGGATTGAGATTGGACGCCGAGTTCAAATTATAGCTTTCAACGACTATTGAATACACGGAATGTGGACGATCGTACTTTAACTGAGTAGTATCAGATGCTTGAATACCGTGCCAGGCATGAACATGTATAGATAGTGAATATACCATCAATCCAGGTGGAAACGGCCTGTTCTCTATTCTTGACTATACACCTTCGAGTGCGCGGTACCAGTGACCCAGTTCCGATTTGTCTTGATCCATGCGTGGAGCTAGGCGCGCTGGAATTACTCTTGGCAATTAGTATCGAGGAATTTGACAAGTTTTATCGCTTAAGCCCCACAGATCTGTCCTAAGTTATAAAGCAAAAAATTGAATATTCATGCATTCAACACGTAAAGTTCCAGGCAAGATGGCCGAGCGGTCCAAGGCGCTAGCTTCAGGCTTTCCCCAGTGAGAGTATGCTAGTATCGTAAGATGCGTGGGTTCGAATCCCACTCTTGTCAACTATTCTTTTGCTTTTGAGCATCTATTTTTGCGCTTTGAGAGAGTGCGGACTTTGTGTGCAACGTGCCAATGCTACTGTGGTATGGTGAGGGGAAGAGGAGTGGTGGCGCTAAACGGATGTGCGTGACCAAACCCCGTGCGAACTGCAGCTTGGCCAGGCACGCGGGGCCATGGAGAAGGTGGCACTCTACCTAGGTACCATCCACACATTTCTGTATTTATATGCGCTAATGTCCTCTAGTATGCTGTTGTTAATCAAGAAACACCAGCTTTGGCAAGCCTGATAGCTCTCCAAACCACCCCAGACGGTGTTAAACTGCTCTCCGTTTTTCGCGCCTCGCCCGCCTTATCCAGCACTCAAACACTCCACACCTCTCACAGCCATGGTCCGCGCCCGGCGCTGGGCGCTCCTACTTCTTGCAACTGTGTCGTTAACAACTGCTCGAGAGCTAGCTGCGTCGCGGGCAGCTCAATTGCGACTGCAGCATGACTATCCCAACCTTTTTCCGGCCGTAGGAAACGAGCCTTCCAAATTCGACCCGCTCCTCAATTCCCTCGAAGAGCTCCACCATGCGCTCGAGACGATGCAGAGCGATTACTTCAAGATCTGGCTCGGTAAATGGCCCGACGCCATTGACTGGACAGCTGCTGTTATGGGAACTCATGTATCTGCCGCCCTTTACTCCCTCACTCGATCCCTGGAATACATCATGCCGGGAACATACGCGGAGCAAGGCACGGAGCTTAAGATAGAGGGTCAGCGCGTAGAGAACGAGATCAACAAATACTTCTCGCAAGCTATCACATACTTTTTCGGGGAGGACCACTTCGCCATCCGCACCCAGGCCCACGACGATATGCTGTGGGTGGTCCTCGGCTGGCTCGAGAACATACGGTTCATTCGGGAGCACAATTCGCTACATTATCCTCCGACGAGCGACTCGACGGGTGGATCGCGGTGGTATGGAAAACAATTCGAGGGCGCGTTCGCCCACCGTGCCCGCGTTTTCTACGATCTGGCTAAGAAAGGCTGGGACTGGAAGCTCTGCGGCGGAGGCATGACATGGGACCCGCACAAGGCACCCTACAAAAACGCCATTACGAATGAGCTTTTTATCGCTGCCAGTATCGGCATGTATCTATATTTCCCGGGCGACTCCAACTGCTCGCCTTTTATGTCCACGCATGACGGACTTGACGACGACGCCCGGATCGCCGAAGAGGGCGACGGAGTCTGCGAGCCGCCTTATGGTCCAGCACCAGCCCACGATCCCATATATCTTCAATCCGCCGTGAACGGATACAAATGGCTGAAAAACTCCAATATGACGAACACAAAAGGCCTCTACGTCGACGGCTTCCACATCCGCGACTGGGGCAAGAACCACACCATCGGCACCGGCAATTGCGACGAACGCAACGAAATGGTCTACACCTACAACCAAGGCGTGCTGCTGTCCGGCCTCCGCGGGCTATGGGAAGGGACAGGCGACCTGAACTATCTTGACGACGGTCACAAGCTCGTGCGCGACGCGATCCGCGCTACAGGGTGGAGGCCGGGCCACGGCTTGATTGTTGAAGACGGGAAGTGGTGGTTTGGTCTCGGCAAGGATGGCATCCTCACCGAGACCTGCGACCCCCTTGGCACCTGCTCTCAGAATGGTCAGACATTCAAGGGCATCTTTTTTCACCACTTGACTCTCTTCTGCAAACCCCTGCCCCTGTCGCCCCTGATTCCCGGCAAAACTCACGGCGCGAGCAAGGCGGTTGCAAAGCTCCATCGCCAGAGCTGCAAGGAGTACGCACCATGGGTGGCGCGGAATGCACAAGCAGCTTTGCGAACAAGAGATAAGAGGGGCAGGTTCGGTGGCTGGTGGGGTGCGCTGAGTGGAAAAGAAGATGAAGCACGACTGCCAGAGACCCCAGATGGCGCAGTCGACTATCGGAATCGGCTGGTGAGAACCCAAGATAAGTACGAGGATACGCCGCGTGAATCTGGGCCCGATGTCCAGTTTGCCACTATGCAAAAGAAGGAAACAGAGTTTCGCATTGAGAGAATGAAGACCCAAGGTGGAGATCTGAATGATAGGGGTCGCGGCCGGACGGTCGAGACGCAGGGCGGGGGAGTCGCTGTCGTGCGTTCAATGTGGGAATTTGTGAATATGTACGCTCATGATTAGTGTGCTATTTTGGCATAGGCTCGGTTGGAAAGGAAACAAAGGCGTTTGTTGCAATTGACATTTACCCTATGAAACTTACGCCCTATGGCTTCTGACATTGCTCTCCTCCCTCCTCTCCACCGCCCTGGGGTCTTCTGTGACTGTCTACCTCCGCAGGAATCACACAAGCCTCGCCCGAATCGCAGTGAACCTATGTAATCACCATCTGTCCAATCTACACCGTCGGAACCTACATCCAGCCATCTTGGCGCTGATAATTTCCCCAACTTTGAGTGGAAAGATCGCGCTCAGTGAGTCAGAGTACTCTTATCTAGGATCATTAGCTCCTTTCTGAAGACTCATTCTTTTTCAATAAAGCTGTTTCACTCCATATTCGTTTTAGCATCTTTCGTATCGCTTATCGAGTATACGAAGCCCGATTCGGGCTAGCTCCGCGGGATTTCATTAGCCAACTACTCCCACTCACCAGATTTTAAGGACCAAAACGTAGCTATGAGAAACGAGCCTCTTTGATCGGGCTTTCAATTGCCCCGGACGTGATTGAGCGGGATCCGCGGGCTGCGTTGCTGCTTTGATTCTACACTTATTTAGACTAATATAAAAAGCGGCAGCCGACTAAGGATAGAACGTGGAAGTATCTCACCCTCGATCTCTTCTTTACGTCCCTAAAATCTACAGACACTACAATGTCTTCGAAGAACATCATCGTAATCTTAGGCATCACCGGCAACCAGGTATTCCAAAGCTCTTCCTCCCCCCCAGAAATTAGTCCTAAATAACTCAGGGTGGTTCCGTCGCAACCGAATTTCTCAACCACCCCAACTGGACTATCCGCGGCATCTCCCGATCTCCCTCATCCGCTCGTAGCGCTGCTTGGACTGCCAAAGGCGTCGCAATGGTCGCCGCAGACCTCAACGATACCGACTCCCTCGAGCACGCCCTCAAAGGCGCTACCGCCATCTTCGGCGTCACCGACTACTGGCAGCACTTCTGGAACCCCGCAAACCGCGTCCGCGCTACAGAGACTGGGCAGACGCTAAATGAGATCAGCTACGAGCTCGAGGTCCAGCAAGGGAAGAATCTGGTCGATGCGGCGGCGAGCGTGGAGGGGCTGGATAGGCTGGTGCTGAGTACGCTGAGCAAGAGCCGTGAGTGGAGCCATGGGAGGATTACGTGGAACTACCACTCCGATGCGAAGTGGGCTGCGGTCGAGTATATGCGGGAGAGGTATCCGGAGCTTGCGGCGAGGTCTAGCTTGCTGCAGGCGGCGGTGTTTATGGAGAATTATAGGAAGTTGGCGAGGAAGGTAAGCTCCGCTTGTGCTGTTTATGTTTGATCAAGGAAGGCTAATGACAGTGGATAGCAGACTGATGGATCATACAAGATCCGATGTCCGATCAAAGCCGACACGCCTGTTCCGATGATAGATCATCGAGCTGATACAGGTAAGCCTCTAGCCTACGTTTGAACGAATTAAACCAAACTTTTCGCACAGGCCATTTCGTCAAGGCTCTGCTGGACGTCGCGCCGGGAAAGAACCTCGCCGCCCATGGCAGCCTGGTATCTTGGAGTCAATTTTGCCAACTCGCCTCGAAGCTCTCTGGCGTCACTTTCACGTACGAGCAGTGTACCGTGGATGATTTCGACGTGATGATCCTAGGCGGTGCTGGACGAGAAATCGGAGAGATGTTTGTGTATACTGAAGACCCTGGGTACTACGGAGCTGATCCAAGCATCACCAATCCAGAGAATGTGAGTGTCCATACCTTTAGATAGGAGATTCTGCAATCTAATCAGAGCCGCAGCTGGGAGTGAATGTTCAGACGAAGAGCATTGAGACTTTTTTGAAAGAGGATTTACCTTCTTTCTTGAAACAGTAAAGACGCCAAAAGAATTGAAAAGATAGCCATTGGAACTCGCTTGTGCATCTCTAAACCTTACACACTTCCTTGTCTATAGAGTAATCACTAGCTTTTCAGCCGAAACCCCCTTCCGCAGTTCATCAACACCCACTTGTATCTTTTCTAGACCGTGACCAATAATGCGTGGGTTGGGTTTGCACCTCAAAAGCCCCTTCTCCAGAGCCGGCGTCACCCACTCGCCCCACACAGCTTTACCGACTTCGTTCGTATTGATATCAAGTTGCATTGCTATGACATAATCAGCCAAAGCCCAATCGTTCGAGTACAAGTCCTTACCGTGCCCAAACTTCACGTTCTCGGGTAGCCCCTTTGGCAACGGCTCCCACGGAGGATTCACGTCACACACAAACCTCTTTCCTTCCAGGCTACTCGAGCTCGCGATCTGTGCACTGAGAGCGATGGTCTCGTTGGTAGAGATTGCGTCAAAAACGCCGGCAAAGTCTTTCCCCTTGAGGACCTCCACAATCTCGTCGACGACATTCGCGCTTGACTGGTCGAAAATGTACGCCGCGCCCAAGTCTTTGAGGTAACCGTGGTTCCTGCTGCTCGCTGTCGCCGCAACCTCAAACCCTGCGGCTTTGGCGAGCTGGATCGCGCCGCTACCGACGCTGGAACTGCCGCCCCAGATCAAAAGAATCTGCCCGTTCGGTTTCACATCCAGTTGCGGATACGGCAAATCCAACGTTGTTTTCTGAAAAAGCCCGGCCGCAGCGGTCCCAAGACCTATTGGCAGGACCGCACCATCCGCATAGCTGATACCACTCGGCAGCTTCGCAACCATTTTCTCCGTCGTCGCACTGTACAACTGGAACCCGGCATTCGTCTGCTTCTGGTTTCCCAACCCGTCCATATTGGCAATGACTCGATCGCCTATCTTGAACTTCTCCACAGCTGAGCCGACAGCAGCAATCTCTCCAGCTACATCGCTGCCGAGGATCACGGGGTAGGACTTGAAAACGCCGTCCCAGTCTTGGATCTTCCAGTCGACGGGGTTAATGGCGACGGCGTGGTTTTTGATGACGACTTCGTAGGCGTCTGGTGTTGGCATGGGGGCATCGTCGACTTTGAAGGGGTGAGCTTTCGCGGCCAAGAGGTACGCGGCTTTGTTGCTCATCTTGGATATTTGAATCTCTTGTTCTTAGAGATGTGGTACAATGATAAATGCTAGCTTTGGAGGAGAATATGATCCACGCATTCATATGTATTTACCTCATGGGATCTACCTTCTTGAACGGGAGCCGGTGAAGCTTACTCACGGTAACTTTCCACACAGCGGAAGGTGAGATGTCTAGTGCTTCAAGCGTTCTCGGGTTTCGGCTTTTCCGGATTGTGGGCCTGCGTGCCCACGAGTGATTGGAGGATAGGAAATGGCTAAACGGAAGGATGCACTAAAGTGAAGCCTACCCTCCAAGCGCCATGTAGTCAATCCGACTCACATTCTGTCTGATACGAGAATCCGAACAACTTGCTCGGAATATTTAGTGACCGTAACATAGATTAGTATCCAAGTCACGGAATACAGCATGGTGTATATTCGCATCAGATCTAGATAAATCCCATCACGAGAAGCTGATGTAGTAACTCGTAAGCGTACTGGTGGCCCTCAAGACTATACTCGGGTACTGGGAAAGCTGCCACACAGAACAGCTGCTTCAGTCGCCGTCAACCTGGCCTAGTCTTTCTTTCTTCGTGTTTTTCAGCGAAGTTCGTACGAGGCATGTGTGACAGTTGTTACGCTTAGTGCACATATATATCCAACTCTTTCCTACTCCATCCGGCCCAAATCGTATTATCTTCGCCCACCTAGCCCCAGAACCCTCGACGCCGCATTGCTCACCTTCAGCACATCCCTATACGTCAGACTTACCCGCGTCGTTCGCACGTTCGTCCCGCCCGACCCCCCGCTCCCGTCGACATCGTCTGCAGCCGCGTACCGCCACGCTTCCCCCAGCAAGTCCCAATTCGCCACTGTCGCTCGCCGAAGATCCACATCGTGTGTAACAGCAGGCACGCAGTGCATGGTATTGATGTAAGCCGGCGCGAGTGTTACGAGAAGGGACCGGGGCTCGCAGAGGATACGATGGGTGGTATAGAGCGGCGCGATATGGATCGGCGCAGGGTTGACGGCAGACTCATCTACAACACCTAGGGGCGGCTCTTGTGACGTTAGGTCCTTGGCCTCGCTACTTGCCGCCGATTCCGCCGTCCCGCTCTCAGCAGCGTCCGCATCCGCTTGTGGTAATGATTGTGGTTTGTCTGTGACCTCAAGCATCACCGCACCTCCTAGACTCACTGTCGCGACCACAGGGGCGTACGCTGGTCCATCCTCGTGCGCCATTATCCCCTCACCGGGCTTGTACTCGTTGACTAGCACATGGTTCGGCGCCTTGTGCGGCGTGTGCGCAAAGATGCCGAGTGTTGTGAAGCGTGTGACGATAGGGTCGAGCAAGTAGGATGGTAGCGGGGCGGCGAGGAGAGTGTTCGATTTTGTGAGGGTGGACGCGACAGCTTGCAGACGGCGATGTGTGAGGTTTGTCCAACGGTTTGGGGGGATCTTGGATAGAAGGGAAGCTTCCTCCTCCGGACTTATGAAGGATGGGATGTAGTAAAAGGACGGTGGAAGGGAGGGGATTCGGAAGGCGAGGCGGGGGTCTGGGGCGGAGGAAGCCATTTGGAGATTGGGAGAAGCTGAAGAGTTAGTTGGGGTATGTGAGTTCAGTATCTTTGGTGAAGGGAAGGGTTGGTGCTGATTCTGCCCGAGTTTGAGCTTGGGGCCGAGCAGGTGTCGCGCTAGGTGACTCAGCAGCCATAAAGTCTACCTTCGTACAGCCTTTTCCTCACATTCCCGTTCCCATTAAACCATTCACGGGTGAAATCTACAAGAGCACATTTGACCCTCTCTTATCTCCAGATCTTTACACAAAACTCTGCTTACCCTCACACGGCTTCTTTGCAAGCACAGAATGCTCCGGGATCCTCCCCCCCTCGAACGGTAGCGTAATCGCAACCGTCGTCTCATCACTCGGATACGTCGTCGAGTGTCCAGATCCCGTGACGTCGAAAGCTAGGAGTAGACCTCCTGCCCCTCCTACAATCCAGGACTCGAGCTTAGGGTCATGAGGTAAAGTCACGTGAGCAAGACCTGATATGAAGTGAACAAGTCTTTGGGTTCGGAAGTAAGCATTGTTTCAAGCCACACGGCTACATATATCAAACAAGAGTAACGTACTGCGGTACTGGTGCGTTGTGTATTCCTCCATTGAACCGGGGTGGTAGCACTGTGTACGCTCCGTTTGTGAAATTGCCAAGCTTAGCCAACGACGAGCCGCTGATGCCAGGGGTCGAGGGGACCGTGAATGGAATATCCAGCTGCCAACACTCTAGCGTGGAAGCATTGTCGCTGTTGGTTACGAGGGCGGTGGCTGAGAGGTAGGTTTGGTTGCTCGCCGCTAGGGCAAAGAGCATGTGGGTGCTGGCAGCGAGCAAAGTCGAGTGGAACAACATTTTAGATTATGTTCTAGAAACGGAGAAGAGAAGTGAACAGGTCAAGCATGATGGTGATGAGGATGTAAGATGATCTTTTCTTTGTTCAACTTTTTGCGAGTATTATCGATGCTGACTTACGTCGTACAGCTTACGCCTACCACAAATGAGCGTAAGTTGATCGGCAGGTAGATCCATTCATACGTAGTATCGTCACAACAAGACAGACCCTGGATCTCGCGTCAGCAAGACGCTAATTACATAAGCTCACCACCATGTGATGGGCACTGATCGTGCATGATACAAGGGTCTACAGTCTTTGCACCCGGCATATTGTATAACGAAGAACTTGCAGCTAAATGCATAATACGAAATCTATTCGCAATTAATGGGCTCAAATATGTCTAATCTCCATACTCCTTGCTTCAATGCCGCGGTCATCGTCCTCTTCAGGATAGAGGCATCCACGCTGGGAAAGAGAGTTATCGACCCTATGGACTAAATGCTGTTGGAATCCTTGGGAGATTGAGGTGCCCATGTACCACAGACTGTATGTGTATTCGAGACTGGAAGAAAAAGACGAACAATGATGAGGACTGGACTACGACAGAGAGGGCGAAAAGTGCTCACGTCTATCCTGCAAAGCCAAACGTTGAGATCGGAGAAGTGAATGTAACATAGACAGTGCGTGAGACGTAATGTACGTAAAGGGGGACACCGAGCGCCGCACATACGGACCACGCCTAACCTGAACCATCAACCAGCGCGCCTACAAGTGCAAAATAAAGTTCAGATACCCTAATGCAAACGCCTGCCCTGGTCTAAGATGGTAGATCTCGTGAAGATTGTGACAAGAGCGAAGATGAAAGCTTGAATATAGAAAGAAGGAAAAGAAAGATAGCTCCGCTCGCATGCTTCGACCACTCATTTGCACATGAATCATCACATGATGATACAGCCACCGGGGCCGCTCCTAGCTCGTCGCCGCCTTCCGCCTATGCCCCCGTTACCTGTTTCGATACCACCGTCCTCTTCATCTTCATGTAACAGACGGGCCTCTCGAGCTCGACGCCTCCGCCTCCTTGCGCCCACTCCTGTACCGCCAGCATCCGCTTCTTCAGTCGCCATCATATACTCGGCCCACTTCCTTTCTAAGCGATTCGCAGCTGTGTAGTTACCGTGCAAAACACGTTTAGTGTGCTCATCAACGGTTGGTTGGTACGTGTAGAAGCACTTGAGGGAGATGACTTCGGGATATCTAGTAACTTCACTAGTAGTGGAGCTCGAGGTCGGTGTGGAGTGAACAGTCTCAGCATTGCGGGAAAGGATCTCACGGACGCCGGTCCAAGTGACGTTTGCACAATCATATGCCACGATTTTGAGGCCTACGCGGGGTCGTTCCGAACCAGACAGGGGTCTCGTGGCGCGATTCCGGGTACGAACACATGCAGCGGCTTCGATGAGAACCAGATCAGATACTCGAGTATTGTCCATGTCCAGCGAGCCGATTCGGGAACATGCTTTCAACAGTGGTAGCATGCCTGCGTCACCAAGATTCTCGCAATAGGAGATGCTGAGATGGCGAAGGTGCGCAGTGCATGGGGATGTAGAGAGGCTCTGTAGTGTTGCGTTGGTAAGAGCTTCTAGTTCTTCAAGGTCAAGGTGAGTGAGGACAGGTACAGTCGGGAGAAGATCCATTAGCGAGTCATCGGTCAGGGAGTGGCATTTGGATAGTCGAAGACCTTCCATGAATGGGACATTGTGTGCTAGAGCTTTGATTCCGGTGTCGGATATTCCACGAGAACGAGTAAGATCGAGGTGCTTGAGCTTGCGTGGGGGTACCATTGGTCGACCAGTTAAAATGTCGATGTCCGGATCGACTCCTACAACCAGAGCTGCTAGCGAATCGTCGGTGAGGCTGTCGCAATGCATCAAGACGAGTCTTTCGAGAGTGTTGCGCTTGAAAATTTCGAACATAAGGTCGACATCATCCCACCCACGAACTTCACCAGCGCGTAGATCTTTGAGGTTCGGGCATCCCTCAATGACCTTACGCACGCCCCTGGTATCAATATTATTGCACCACGAGATGTTCAAATGCTCAACTCGTGGGCAGTGCTGTGCAATGATCTTCATGGCGGAATTGGTGGCTCCTGCCAGCCCCGAGAGGTTGATGTGAACTAGGCGAGGATTTTGGACAAGGAAACAATGAATGGAGCTCCGATCAATACGACAGCCCTCAAGGGAGAAGTTCTCGAGATTCCGGCATGCGTCAGATAGAGCAGTTCCATTGTTGTTCCACCGCTCCCGTAACTGTACGCAGCCTCTCAGGTTGAGGTCGCGTATAAACGGCCCGGCAGAGTTGATGATATAAGCTAACGAGTTGGCTGAGATATCCTGATAGTATTCCGAGGTGTCGAGGTTACTCCAGAGTTGGCCGTCGAAGCACATTGACTGCCAGGACTTTGAGATGGAGGAACAGCGGACGATTTCCTTAGGCTTGAGGTACTGGAGGATATGGATCCGGATCTCAGCTGGCATATCTCCCCAGAAGTTGAAGTTCTCCCTTCTCTGTAGGGGCTTTACATGGGTCATTGGTGTGGTAAAGTAATCTCCTTCGAAGTCCATGCCCTGGCGTGACATGGGCCTCAGGTCTGACGGGAGGGCAACGGACGTAGGCGTGCTATGGCCAACCAAGCAAAAGCGAGCCCTCTCGTCACTAAGTGGGCTACCTGGACCTGGGCTTCCTGCTACAGATGTCGGCGCGGTGGAGTACCCGACAGACATCTCGGAAGAGTATGAGCTCCCATACGAGTGGCTGTATGAGGAGCCGGATGATAGCGAGACACATGACATGGATGCTTTTCCTCCACTACGATATCCGGACGAAGGCGTCCTCCCCATCTTAGCCAGAGACGGCGAAGACGACATGCGTTGTAGGCCTTGAAGCAGGCGTTGCCGGCCCTTCAACTTGGACGGCACAATGGGTATAGCATCGCTATGCGGGGTCGAGGGACTCGTAGGACTCGTAGGACTAGAGGGAGAGGTGTTGTAAGGAGTGTCAATGACAATCGAGTCAATCGAAAGAGGCTCCATGGCGGCGAGGGAGGAGGTGAGGCGTAGGGAGGATTGCGTGATAGGCCGGCTGTAGGTAGGAGTGGTCGAAGGCGGATATGCAAGAAGGGCGTAGAAGAAGCGTATGGGCTCAAGGCCAAAGAATAGTAAGCAGCAGGAGGCGAGCCCGCGAGGCACTCCAGCGCCCTGAAGAGCAGTATAAGGGACGTTCCTGGAGTCAGTGTCGGACGCGGGCGGTATTTGGCCAAGCGGGGATGGTTGCTCCGCAGTAGCGGGGAGCGTAGCCTACGACACGGCCGAGGAGTTCGCGGAACGCAGTGCTGGCGAGGCGTTTGCGTAGAAATGCAACGAAGAACACGACACGACGAGACTGGTGCCGGCAGAGGGCAGAGCAGCAGGAGTTTGCTTGACGACTGCGAGGCCCAGCTTTGCGAATGCAACGCTCTATGTGGAAAGCCGGGATTGGGCCTGCTTATCGCGCCATCAGAAAGAAGTCGGCACGTGCGGCTAGTTTCAGCGGGAATGTCTTGAGACCGCCGCCCCAAACGAAACACGCCCGCCTGAGGCCACCCGACGAGGGCGCGTGAGGCCTCGCCGAGCGCTGGGGCCGACCAAAGTGCGCCCGCGTGAGGATTCGTTATCTGTGTGCGATATCGCGGCACTCGAGGTGTTCAGACGAGCACTCCTGTCCATGAGAGTTGAACTTCAAAGGCTGGGTCTGGTATACTAGGTACTGTCAGCACACCACCAAGCACCCCCTGAGGCTGGCTTCATGCAGGGCACACCAGCGCCGCCCGTGGAAGCCTCTCTGCAGCCTCTCGTGCAGCCCGGCCGTGCTGCGGTTCGCTCGCCCAGCGACACCAGGAATGCCACGCCGTTGTCGACGCATGACTGCCCCACTGATTCACGCCCTCTGGCCGTGTGACTAGGACAGAGAGATACGCTTCCTGTTATCTTCAGCTTCACTTCGAGGAGTCTGACTGGCCGTCTTGCACACTCCTCTGCCCTGCTGCTCGACCACGGCGCCGGTATCGCTTCCTCGTTTTCGTCAATCAGCACTACTGACGAGACGGGTATGTGTTGCCGCCCATGTGCAGTACTTCGTCAGCCTATGCAACACGAAGAGAAGAGAGCTTTGTTCGACTTCAGTCGTTCCGTAGTATGTATACATGGAGGCTCATTTAAGCTGCAACAACTTCCTCTTCCACTCTCCGAGAACCACGCGGGCCTTGCATCCTGTCCGAATACTGCTTTTTCAACCCAATCGATCTGCACCTGTCGCCAAACCAATTTCACTGAACCCGACAACCTCTACCCTATTCAGCACCGCAACGCAAGCGAGCACAGATGACACGCCTGTTAGAATCGCTCGTACGAGATTGAGCGTGGCCCATTTGTCCAACAGCGCGTTCACAGTCTCCTCCTTCGCAACACTAGCCTCAGCTGCCTTGTCCGTGAGCTCAGCGCTTGCCAGCGAATCCGCTTTGCCGAGCAGCTTTTTGTTTGTGGGCATCTAAAGGTCGCAATACACATGTTAGCGGGTTTTCATAAAGAAGGGGTTTTTTACGACAGATACTAGGTTCTCTGGAGTTAGTTGTCCTTAACCGCCACTTAACTCGTGTTTAAGACGCCATTACCGACTCGAGAGAAACTAAAATGGGTGCTTAAATGCGACTTGAGTGGGTGTTCAAACGCGACATGAATCGTGTCTCAACACAGCTCCAGGAACAATAACAACAGAGGACTCTGGTATATGTAATAGGACTTTGCGCACCATCGTTATTAAAGTCCACGGAATGATGGATTGAGCGAAGACAGCTGACGCAATCCAGAGTCTGAAAGCGGTGCTGGATCGTGGTTCTGTACCGAGTACTAACGTCAGCCACTGTGCTCCGACTGGTGTATTTGAGCGCACCACCAAGGACCAGATATGCGTGCACCAGGCGTAACATAATCTAGCTTTAAAAGAAGAGTCTATCAAACTTGCCTCGCCATGCTAGGAATCCAGCGGCCGCCGTCCCCAGAACAGATAGAGCCGGTCCAGCTTTTGCGCCTACGACATAAAACGTCTTGAACTGAGAAGCCGCAAGCCCTGCAGGAGCCCGCATGACTGCAGGGACAACGGCCACGGAAAGGAACGCATTCATACCTATTCGCACGACCATGGTCAGCTTAGACAACGTCGGCGAGTCTTTGTCTGTACTCACCAGTCAAGAAGGCAACCGATGTTATGCCAATCGTCTGGGCGACAATAATGCCGGCCGGCACTTTCTCGTGATAAAACAGGCCCGGGGAACTCATTTTGGTTGATTTACAATGGTGTGTCGAAGATGCTGCTGAGACCGTCGAGGGAGCTCCAGCGTTTAAGTGCTCGTTCGACCCTTGCGTCATGGCATCTCTTCGGTCAACACCCGCGGACTCTAGGCACGTCCGACATTCCGTGGGGCGGATACTACGAGGCCACCGACCTTGCTTCTCGGCGAGGATTCCTGCAAAGCCAGTCCGTATGAGTTTCCTCTCCACAGTGCTGTCTGTGATTTGTCTCCGTTGGCCAGGCCAATAGACTTTGCACGTGAGTACACGTGATCAGCGCCAGTCTAGGGCCTACCAGCATCGGCATCCTTACCTTTGTAACAATCTGCATCTGCACAGCCGGGATTTCGGTTGCACTGAACGATTGCACCAAAACAGGTTCCTGCATCGCCCAGAGTCTACTCTACACTCCGAGTCGGTAACCTCTTGATCTAGCAGCATTACCCCGCGTTTCGTCGCTTCTACTATCCTTTTGCAGTATACCTTTGTATATCAACTCCCACCAAAATAGCCGCCACGAATGACGTTGAGCTCTTTTCTCTTTGTCATCTCTTCCTCAATTCTCTTATAGTTCAAAGTGTAGCCTTCACAGTATGATTTTCCGTCTATTATAATTGTAAATCATTCTTTGTGTAAATATGGTGCGTCTGCTCGGCATCCACGCAGTGGCAGGATTCATGATTGGATCTACACTCGCAGCTATTATCTCTCCCAAATTGGAGGGTCGGGATCAACTCCAAGCTTGTGGCGATGCATTCTATGCACCTTCGAAAGTAATCACTGTATATTCGCCGTCGATGGTAACTATGAGACTAATGTAAACCGCAGTACACTTGCTATGGAGACTTCCTCTGTCCGGTGGAAAACGGAGTGCCAACACTAAAATGTGGAAGAGATTGCTATCTACCGGACTTGTACTCGTACGATCTTTTTATTCTCACTAGGTGTCATTTGCAATAACTCCATCTAGATGCTCCAATAGCCTTCTTGTCTACCCACCTGAGCAAACTTCGACGACAGCCTCAACATCAGCTACAGCCACCGTGTCCGTCAGTAGCACTCCAACCTGCTCTAGCGATGCTATCAGGCTGCATTTGAGCGACCCTCCGTATGAAAATTACTTCTACGAAGATTGCGCGAGCTCCTCTCACGTTGTTGTTACGAGCCCACTGGAAAACAGCAACTTGACATTTATAGGTCCCCGGTTAGTCGTCGCATGGCCCGCTGGAAACAGCGGAGTGGTAGCATTCTTTGCACCGGAGAATGGCAAGAACGGAACGTTGGGAATACAGCTTCAAAACTCTATAGTGACTGGACAGACTCTCAATCCTGTCTATCTCCCTAGCAAGAATCCTAGCTCTGACAACCCTCAAGTCGGGATCTCTGGGATCATTAACTTTAACTCCTCAGCTATTCTCACGGTTCCAATACTCGGCTCTATACGAACAATACGTGATTTTACCGAAGGTCCGAGTATACTCATCACCTATATTCAAGATGCCATTGCGTTCTCTGAAATCCCGGGACGAGGTGTCAGCTTGAACAGAACATGGCTGGACAACGTAACTACAACCTACCTGGACTTTGTGCCCATCAATGGCTCTGGTGCGGTATCCATAAATAGAGCGGTCAACACAACACTGCGGTTCGAAAGTGGTTCCTATCAGTTCACTGCATCCTTCGATTATCCTCAACTCAAACCACTGAGCCCTTCGCAAGTCCTCGATCCTTCTTCCAGCGACTTGACTCAGCAGAATGTGGACCAGACAATGTCTCTATCCTTTTTGTCGTATACCACTAAACTTCTGGCTGGGGCTTGGAGGTTTTTGACGTATTTTGGCCGCGACAGCATGCTTTCTTTACTCCTACTGCAGCCTGTTCTTAGTGAAGGCGAAGGGGGTGCAATTGAAGCCGTCATTGGGGCCTTTCTCGAACGCGTCAACCGTACTGATGGAAGCGCGTGTCATGAAGAGACTATTGGCGATTACACCACATATCTAAACCGGAACAAAAACATCACGTCGACAGCTCCGCAGTGCGATTATAAGATGATCGATACGGACTATTACCTACCAGTCATTTTGAAAAACTACTTCGTGGACTCCACCATAGGAAAGAGCCGTCTCTCAGCCTTCTTCAACATCACTGCATCTGTTCTTGAAGAGAACTCCGATCTCACCTACGCAGACCTAGCGCTCATCGCGGTGGAGAAGATTATGAACACATCAGCACCCTTTACAGCTGACGGTGGCCAAATTAAAGACAACCTGATTCACTTGAAAGAGGGCGAAATCGTCGGCGAATGGAGAGATTCAACCTACGGCATCGGCGGAGGACGCATCCCGTACGATGTGAACACGGCACTCGTCCCAGCCGCACTCCACAGCATTGCCGCACTCTCGAGTGCCGGCTTCTTTCCCGAGCATCCAGCGTGGAATGAGACTGCGAGCCAGTACGCTCAGGTATGGGAAGACAAGACCTTGAGGTTCTTTGAGGTTACGATTCCGCAGTCGACAGCCGTGTCCCTTGTTGAACAGTACGTTAACCAGTCTGCCTTCACTGGCCCATCTCACACGGACAACATCACCTCTGACATTGTCTTCCACGGCCTGGCTCTGGATGGAAACAACAACCAAAGCGTTGTCCGAGTCTTAAATACAGACGACTGCTTCCGGCTCTTCCTCCTCAACTCCACAAACCAAACCCAACTTAGCTCTTTCCTAGACCAGACTGCGGACCACATACTCCAGCCATTTCCGGTGGGCCTTTCATCTCCGGTGGGCCTCTTCGTTGCCAACCCAGCGTATGGTGATGATCCAGTGTACGTTCTCTCCCAAACCCACCGCAATATTCATCCAAAGCCTATTCAACCTTATCGAGTGTCCTACTAACTCAAGTCAACAGCTACGCCGCCAACTTCACCAACTCCGCCTACCACGGCACCGTCGTCTGGAGCTGGCAGCTCGCCATGACCGCCGCCGGCCTCGCGCGCCAACTAGGCCGCTGCGCCTCAACCACTCCTCCCGGTAAGCTTAACCATCCCCCTGTTCCCCATCACCCCCCTTCTTGCCCCCATAGCCCATACTCCATTTCCCCCAGCTAACCTCACACCCCACCACAGACTTCTGCGCCCAGACCGCCCTCCACGCCAAAATCCACACCGCATACACCCACCTCTGGGACCTCATCGAAGCCAACGCAGCCCAGCTCAGCGGCGAAGTGTGGAGCTGGGAGTACGACAGCGACGGGTTCAGAGTCGTGCCGCTGGGCGCGCTGCCGCCGCCGCCGGGGACGAGTCCGACCGAGAGCGATATCCGGCAGTTGTGGAGTCTGACGTTTTTGGCGGTGCATCGGGAGGAGTTTTAGGTAGAAGAAGTTGGGGCGGGGGCGGGGGCGGGGGAGGCGTGCAACAGAGGTGTTTTAGGATAGAATCGGATTTGTATATAAGTATGAAAGCTGAATGCTCTTTGGTCTGGCTGAAGTGATGTCGAGGTGCCCCTGGCCTCTTCGGTGGCCTGGAGAGCTCTGGTGAAGTCGAGGGGCAGATTTCAACGTCCTGGTTCTAGGGATGAGGAGCAGGGCTGAATTGCACCCCTTTGAGGCAAAAGGAAGGCAATAAAAAGCAAGTCTCGCTCTGGAGCACCTGGAGGCACTCTGGACTCCATACCTCTAGTCACCGCCAAGACCTGCCTATCTAGGTTCCAAGGACTCTAGCTCAACATACATCCTCTCACACAACCACCAAGCTCCGACACAACATCTCGATCATCTTCAAAAGCCTTTTTGTTTTTACAAGCCCGACTATGGGTCAGAGTTAGGTTCTAGGTATGATACAGATACAGATCCGCTCCCATCCACCGAACCCCCTTCCTCCGGATCGCGAACTGGAGGAACATGAGTGGAATAAGCCTTTCTCCTATGACGATGCAATACAAACAGAAGAAAAGAGACCGAGAGGTACTTTCGACGACCGACAATGCTGGGAACGTGCGCGAGTTACGACCGAGTTACGTAGAGAACTGCACCCACTTGAAAGTGGATTGTCATCTACACAGTCGGCTCTGGTGCAGGCGGCACTACGGGCCCCTTCACGCCCTTGCCAGCGTCCGCACCTCCCGCGTCTGGCTCAATCAGACCCGGGACTTTGCCATGGGTGCCGCCGAAGTACTTGTGGAAGTCCTGGGGATCTTCGAAAGGCCGGGGGCCCAGTAGCCTGATCATGTCGTCCCGGCCTAGCATCTCCTTCTTAAGCAGCTCCTCGGCAACTAAGCCGACCTCGTGCTTCTTCTCTGTGAGAAGGTCTTTGCATTGCTTGTAGGCCTCGTCGACAATCCGGCGAACCTCAGAGTCGATGTTCTTCGCCGTTTCCTCGGAAAAGGGCTTGTGTAGCTGCTGGCTGGAATCATCCTCGAAGTAGATGTAGCCGATCTTTCGCGTCATTCCCCATTTGGTGACCATAGCACTAGCCATAGCCGTCACCTTCTTGAAGTCGTCACTCGCGCCGCTTGTCACGGTTTCAAAGTGTAGCTCCTCGCTGACTCGCCCACCAAGCGTCATCGCCATGCGGTCCATAAGCTGATTAACGTTCATCAGGTATGTGTCGCCCGCAGGAAGATACTGGGCATATCCGAGCGCGCCCTGTCCACGCGGGATGATGGAGACTTTGAGGAGAGGGTCGGCGTATTTGAAGTACCAGCCACAGATAGCGTGCCCAGCTTCGTGGTACGCAACCGTGCGCTTCTCCTCGGGGTTGAGAACCAGGGATTTCTTTTCTAGGCCACCAATGACTCGCTCAATGGCTTGTTCGAAATGCTCCATCTTGACAGAATCGGCTTGGTGGCGGGCGGCTATAAAGCATTAGTTAAGTTTTATAGAAAGAAGTAAAGGTCTTATCTTACCAATTAGGGCAGCTTCATTGACGCAGTTGGCAATGTCAGCGCCGGAAAAGCCAGGTGTGAAAGCTGCTAGACGGCCCATAAGGAACTCGATGTCTTCGTTGGTTACAATCTTCTTGAGATGGACCGCAAAGATCTGTTTACGGCCATCCATCGTGGGGCGGTCGATGCTGATATGTCTATCAAAACGGCCAGGGCGCATGAGCGCTTTATCGAGGACATCAGGTCGGTTGGTGCCTGCAAGGACTACGACTTGATCTGAGGTGTTGAAACCATCCATTTCGGTAAGGATCTGGTTGAGAGTGCTCTCTCGTTCGTCATTCCCACCTCCAAAATTTTGCTTCGCACGAGCTTTTCCAATGGCATCAATTTCGTCAATGAAGATAATGCACGGTGTGTTCTTCCTGGCGTTTGCGAAGAGATCGCGTACGCGGGAAGGACCAACACCTACGAACATTTCCACAAACTCAGAGCCACTGACACTGAAGAAGGGTACCCCCGATTCACCGGCGGTCGCTTTGGCCAGCAAAGTCTTACCTGTGCCGGGTGGTCCGGATAGAATAGCTCCACGGGGGATCTTGGCACCAAGCTTCTGGTAGACTCCTGGCTCTTTCAAAAAACTGACGAATTCCATGATCTCCGTCTTAGCTTCGTCCATACCAGCAACGTCAGAGAACTTAACCTTGATGTCCGTTTCATGGTTGAACTTCTTAGCCCTACTCTTTCCCATACCAAAGATACCACTTTGTCCTCCACCGCCAGATGCAGCGCGTCTCGAGAAGTAGAATATTGCTCCAATGAAAAGTAGAGTGGGACCGAATGACATCAATGTTGCAAACCAAGATATCTCGTTCGAGTAAGCAACAGGTATCCGCTCCGTGCTAGGGATGTGAAGGTCGTCTTGTGCTCTCTCCATCTGTCGCTCAAAGGCCTCGACGGAACCGATTGTGAAGTAGTAGTAGAAATTTTGCTGTGCAGCAGGCGACTCTGGGTACATTGAAGCAACAGCCTCCCGGTGGAGATGTACTCGTGCCCTGCTTTGGTTTAATATCACAACCTTCTCCACTAATCCCTTGTCCAAAAAGGTCGTCCTGAATTCCTGCCATGTTATTTCCCGGGTGTTCTCTCCAGGTACCACCAGGCGGTATAGGAGGTAGGCAACAAACGCGGCGGTAAGGAACGTGCTTGTGTCCAGATTGAGTTCATAGGGTAGTCCGCCGGGAGCTCCCTTGTCCGACTTCTTTTTCTGGTCCTTCGATTGTGGGCCAGGATCGTGAGCTCCAGACTTCTGCTTCGGGCCATCCTCTTCGGCGCTCGAGCTTTCCTCCGCCGCCTTTCGTGCCATTTGCGAAGTCATGCGAGATATCTTTGCGGCGGTTGCAAGGTCCATGGGTTCGCCCCTCTTGAGCTTGTCCATCTCTTCTCGTACTTCCGGCGGTATGCCGTCCTTCTTGATGAGTTCAAAAGCCTTGTTCAGATGCTTGATCTGCTCTGCTGGCATGCCCATTGACACAATGGACATGAGCTGATCCAAGGCCTTCTCCTCCTCGGGTGTGAGTTTCGCCGCCGCAGGACTCGAAGCGTTCTTATTTCCTTCCGGCGCATTCCCCGGCTGCGGCGCTGACATGGGACTTTGGTTGTAAAATTGCTCGAACCCAGCTGCTGGCTTGCCCGGAGGCTTGTTCTGGTCCTCCGCTACCTTTCCATCATTCGCCTCCGGTGCTTTTCCATCTTTCTTATTCTGAGGGTCTTTCGGATCCTCCGGTGGTGGCTTAACGGTAGCATACCGCCGCACACGTTGATGCGCGAAAGCGCAATGTGGTAAGGGTGCAGCCGGCCGTATTGATGGCGAGTTTCGTGTGGCGGCGTTGAGGGACTGTCTCGATAATCGCGCGAAATGGCCTGAGCGACGGAGAAGGGTGCTCATTGTCGGGAAGAAAGGAAGGGCGAGGGAGGGAGAGTCGAAGAGGCGGCTATAGGTGTAGGAGGCACACCATCAACAGCAAGATGGAGGCGTGTTGGGCGAGATGGCGAAATGGCGATGGTCTGGCAGTGGTGGCCAGCTTCGAGCCAAATAATCATGACGCCTGGGCCGTGTGTTTTGGGCCGGCAGGGTTCGTTGAACATGAAGTGGCAATCCGTTCTGACTCCGTCTGAGGTGGCCCGAAGAGCTATTAGGTGTGTCAAAATTGTCGTTCTCCATTCGCAATAACATTCAAGGGGCCCTAAAGCGGTGCTTGGCCAGTGTATATTCTAGAGAGAGTGTCTATCTCGAGTACCAGAGTTTTCAGAATAGAATCACAGATTTTCAGACTGCCACTTTTTGTTCAAGGAACTCCATCAGGTCACGTGCCTCAGCGGTGCATCACTTGAGATGTGCCATCACTCTATTCAAATTCTCGTACTCTCATACGGATGCGTGGGATACTGTAATCACTCTCGCGATATGGATTCAGCCAGGAGATCTAGGAGAACCGATAGCTAGTGGCCTCATATGTGCGCAGCGTCTTGAAGAGGTTACGGTACAGCATCATTGCATGATATTTCCAGAGGTTTGACAACACGCTACCACCTAAATCTAATGGTGGAGAAAGAGAGCACAGGTATTATACATGATTGGAGAGTTCCAATTCAACTTGATCTTCCGCCCTGGAGATCTAGCCCACGTTTTGCCCGCCTCTCCCAATCGTTCCCCACGATGTCGACTCCAAAATGCAGCCAAGAAACCATCCAGACGACAGAAAGTACTAATACAACATTGTACAGTGATTGGAGATGCATATGTACGAAGGTAGGAGAACTGCTAGAGGAATCGGAACGAGTCAAAGGCATTTGTGCGATTGACATTGGTTTCCCTTTTTCTCCAATGTAATACTTGCCCATCTACGCTTACAAGTCATCCGCTTTTTGTGCCCTGCGTTTCGGGTTTGCTGTCTGCTTCTTCGGGGTTGATTTTTTTGGTGAATCTCCACCCTCAATATATTTCAACAATTCTTCGACACTCCTCTGATCGCGGAATTGACTCGGGACACTTCGCGCTTCTCGTCCGTCTGCCTGGGCGCTTGTCTGACCAACCTGGGGCTGCGGACGAAGTGTCCCTCGAGTGTTCAGTTGCACGCGTCTGACCTTTCCCTTAGCCAGATCCTGCAATTGCTTCGCTTGGGTAACGGCGGTCTGCGTGAACTGTTCAAGCCACTGTCCAGCTTCCTTCGTGTTTCGATCTTCGGAACCGAGCACCGCGTTGAAGATTTTGTAAGACTCTCTCATGCGGTTTGCAGCACCGCGCATATCCTTGTCCAGCGCCAGCGCCTGAGAAAGCTGGAACAATAGCGTTGCGGTATTGATGGACTGCTTTCCGGAAACTTGTTCGCAGATAGCGAGGGAAGCCTCGAACCACAATCGAGATTCGTGGTACTGCTTCATCGATTGAAGCATCACAGCGGCGTTGTTAATGGTAGTGATAGAATCAGGGTGGTTGGGACCGTAGATGATTTTCCACAGCTCGAGGGCGTGTCGGACGTAATGGAGAGCAGCCTTAGTGTTGCCGGTTGCATGCTCAAACAAGCCGAGATTGAGATAACAGAGCACAGTCTCAGCATGATCGATGCCCAAGGTACGCTCTGAGACAATGACTGCTTTGTGTGCTAGCTCAACGGCTGCGTTCTTCTCTTCAAGAGTATACAGAAGATTGGACAGTTGGTGATATGCCCTAGCGACTTCAGGGTGCAAGACACCGTATATTTGTTCGTGTAGCGACAACGATTCGAGGAGAAGCTCTTGGCCAAGTTCCTTTTGGTCTTGTGCCATGGAGAGTCGACCGGCATCGAGTGCTTCTTCTGCAAGCATACTCTTTGGTGATGCCTCTTTGACGACTGGGACAATGTTCAAGATGTCGTCAGCATGGAACGTCAGCAATGGTGCTGTCACCGCAGGGCTAGCTGCCCTAGGAGGAGAGGTATGTTTCTTCTTCTTTTTGCTTGATCCGTTGGTCTGCCCATTTGTCGGTGCCAGAGCGTTGCCATCTGTATGCGATGCTCCGTTTGTATGCTGCTCTTTGACAAAAACATACTCTTTACCTTCTAACTGCAGACCGAGTTTCAAGGAGACTTCGCGAAGCAGTTGCAGATACCTGTCATGTTCAATCCAGTTGTTTCCAAGATCGAATCGATATCTTAGCGCAACTTGAGAGGTGATCTCTTTTTTCAGAGTAGCAGGAGATACTTTCTCAAAGCTAAAGTCGCCTTCGGGGTACATGGCCTTGAGCGAGTCATCAAGCTCAGGAACTGGCTTTCCGTTCAGCCTTTCTCCAAGAAGGCAGTTCAACAGATGTGTCATGCAAGAAGCGGCAAAAGGAACGGGCAAATGCCTCATCAACCGATTTGCAACATGCTTGAATCCTCGAGAAATCATTTCCTGTACTGACAAGCGCTTCAAAGCTTGAAGTCTCGCATCCTCTTTATCAGCCAAGGTAGCAAGCTTCCCTAAGTAGCGAATGTTGATACCACGCTTGTGAAGCAGAGTACTCAGCGAAGCACCATCCATAGGGAAGCCGACCTCTCCTTCTTGAAGCTCGTGGACGAGACGTGGGATGACCTCTGACAGAAGGTGGCCACATGCTGCACGTACCTCCGCTTCGTCCTTGGCCCACTCCTCCTTGTCTTCGTCTGATTGCGGCTTTTGGCCGCAGAAAACGTCTGGGTTGAGTGCGAATTGGAAGCCGCTGATGTCTACGCGCTCTTGCTCTGCTTCCTTCTCTCCGCCATCCTCTTGATTTTCGGAATCCTTATTGGTGACAGCGCCTTCCTCTGCTTTCTCGCCGTTCGACTGCGAAGCTTCTGGTGTTTCGGAAGTTCCCTTGGTTAATTCAGCCTTCTTAGCTAGCTCCTCCTTGATATAGTCCCGTAGCCTGACCCTGGAGAATGACTCTACCAACTCGGGCCGCAGCACAGCCATACGATGCGGATAATCGCTTTCCTTGGGTTTGGCGCTGTCGTCCTTTGGAGGTTCGCTCCAGTATTGTTCGATCCAGGAAACATCAAGAGGGGTCACCCGGTACAGGTCAAGGGCGTATTTCCTACCGTCAGTTCCAATGAGCCCTTTGGTTTCCACACTGCCCTCCAGCTCGTGTCGCACATCTTCCTTGTCCCAGACAGGGTGCTTCTTGACATGCAGAAGCTTAGAGAGCTTTTCAAATAGCGGGACGAAAGCGGCGTCCTCTGCGACGACGTCTTTGCCCTCGACCCCTCCGTAGTCAATCTGGTGCTCTCCAGGCTCTCGCTGCTTGAATATGCCTGGCACAATGCTCTGACCCACGATGCGTTTACCAAGATAGTCCACAACAACAGTGCCTGGTGTGAACAGACCCTGGATGTCGAGGTTGTTGACAACACGCACACCCGTAACATCCTTGCCTGTGGCCACCCGGGCAGCCTCATCGCCACCATCAGTCGCGAACGTACCAACGCCGTCGGCACCGAAAGAGAAGAAGATGTTGTTGTAGACGAATATTTGGGCGTCTCTACTTTCGGTGGGGTTGAGAGGGGCCACCTCACCGCGCGCAACAAGCATAGCTCCGCGGGTAGCGGCATCGTTGTAATCTGCGAACAACTTGGAGGTCAGACGTTCACGGAAAACACGGTCCTGGACGGCCTCCTTGGCCATCTCCCTAGTTGATTGGAACTCCTCGTTCCAGTCACGAAGGGTGTCGGTGTTTTCCAATCCCGATATTAAATAGCTCTCCTGTGTTCGTGCAATATCCGACTGGTGCGTAGTCAGGGAGGAAATCGGTGGAGGCACCATCCACGGGTTGGCTGGGATAGCATTCGACAATTGGAAGATGGTCAGGAGGTCTTTCTTCGCGTTCAGCTCCAGTAGCGCCTTGAAGGCAGCGTCGAAAGAAGGAGATATTTGGGGGATGAGATTAAGCAGCGAATGCGCGGCGAAATATTTGGGTGGCGGCCTTGGGAATGGGTCGAATTTGCTGTTCGAGGACTTGTTGACGTAGAACCCTCCAACATGAGCAGTGATCTGGTGCTGCTCACCCTCAATTGTAGTTACTTGAAGATAGAGGAGGTGTCCCTTGGCGCGTAGATGGTATGGTGGTGGGTTCCACGGGGACACCGCTATAGACTTCAACGTCTTCGGAGGGGTCTCGGGGGCTGGTGGTAAAAGGTGTTTCACCGATCCCAGAGCTTCAAAATCATAGTCTCCCATGACGGGCCCTTGGGGAGCTGCTGGGCTTGTATCATTGGTGACGGATGCCTCCACGATCTCCGACCCGACGCTGTCGTGCAAGGACAGCCCCGCTAGGACGCCATGCAGCGTGTCGGTGCGGTCTCCGGCTGCCCCTATGAGCTCCCTGACTCTAACCACATGCATACGAGCATCTTTCTCTGTGTAGGGGTCTTCCACCAGTGTTAGCTCTGAATCAGGGCTCAGGCCGGGAACCTCGGAAAGCTCGATGAAGTCGTTGATCCGCTCTCCCTTGTGCTCGAGGTGGAAGCAGGAGTACTGGAAGGTCTGAGGTTGTTCCACGATGGACTGGCGCAAGTCCTGGACCTGCTCTTGGGTCGACATCTTCAGGCCGTTAGCCACGGATACTGGAAACAGACTATGAAGCTTCTGCGTACCATGACCTGTGTTTTGTACGGTTCGTGTGGAAGATTGATGGTGATCTGGAAGACGGCTACGGCACGAGTTGTAAGCCATTGGTATTGACTAGCAATGCGGGAGCAGCATGAAGGAATGATGAGGCGTACTGTCGGCATTGTTTTCATTTGACTCGTCCTGGGAGCTCTCTCCCACTGCGTCCCCATTGACGGTAGACACGGCGTCGGTAGGCTGGGAGAGCTCTACGGCGTTAAGGTGGTTAGCTCATTGCTGAAATGAGTACGATTGTGGTAGTGGGGGAGCGAAGACGTGGATGCTTGGAAAAAGTGAAGCGGTAGGAGATATGGAGCTCACCTGTAATGGAAGCGTCATGATGGTCGGCCATGGCTGGAGCACGGAGATGAGGAAGAAAGTAGGAAGAGACTATAGAGTACACGCGAGCAGCTTCGGGAAGGAAAGAAGAGGATATAGGGCGCGAAGAGGGAGGTACAGAAGACGCATAAATGCGCAATTGCGGTGATGGCGGATGCTTGCAGCACCTCGAAACTTTTTCCTAAAAGCACTCACGGTTTTCTCCGGGCAGCCGGGCCAGTCCTCGGGTCTCCCCCCTGTCGCAGCCACAGCCTTGCGGTTAAGCCACACCTGCAACAGACGGATATCAAGCCCGACTCCACCGAGCGACTCAACGCTCCCATGTCGTGCGGTTCCCTCGGATGCTGTGCGCGTCACTGCCACTAGAGACCTCCAGCTCCTGCTTAGCAAAGCCGCTGTCTAGTGCTCCTACAGAGGATGTAGCATCCCGCATCGCTATCTGGAGCAGCTCGAGCCGACCGCTGACAGCTGCGCAGAGCTGGCTGTTCGTGGGACTAGTCGCGGCGCATCTCTCCTGAAATTTGGCCAGGAGTCAGCCATCATTGTGCGCACATCCATCCCTCTGCCATCCTCATATATCGGGGCTTCCCTTGCTCACGGCGACATCACACTCTTTTGTCCTTCTCTTCCGCCTGCTAGCCCTATTGACATTTTGGTGAGACCTGGCGCGTCTGTCGCGCCTGTTGACGCGCCTGTTGACGCGCGAATAGCAATGATGCTCTCACGAGTCGCGAGAACACGCATCGCCAGCAACAGTGCCTTCCAACCGCCTCCCTTTGTTCGTCGTCCTACTATCTCGCGGGCACATCCACGCTGGGTGACGGGTCCGCCCACGCCAAATCAGCCCAATCCTGATCCCGTCGACGATGCCACTCCCGACCTGACTGGCAACAACAATGGCCGCGCCAAGTGGAAAGGTACTGCCTTCAAGATGTTCGAAAGTGCCATGACTACGTTTGCATCTATTGCTGTTCTTGGGTGAGTGCGCCCCTTAAAGGTCATTCACTTCGTCTTTAGAAGTCACGTGCGCACTATGAACGCGAATTGTGCGTATCCGTGACATTTCGCTAAGTATGGGTATCGCAGCCTCGTCGGATACAGCTACAACCGGTACTACAAGGCTCTTGTCTTAGAAAAGATGGAGAACGCGTTCCGGCCTGGCGACCCTGTCCTGGAACTGGCTGCTCAGGGAAAGCAAGTTGCCGGGAGACCTAGTCAGCCAGGGGATGTTCCTGGCGTTGGTGGAGACGAGCATGAACGCTGGATTCCGCGAGCTGAGCAGCTCAAGATTGACGCCATCATCAGAGGAGACGATCGAGGCCACTACCACCTGCTGATTGGTGAGAAAGGGACCGGAAAGTCTTCTATGTTGATTGAAGCAATGTATAAGGTTGACGGCGAGGGTGTCGCCATGTTTGAGGCCCATGCCGATCTAGAAATCTTCAGAGTCCGGCGTGCGTGCCTCTATCCCCCTCTCTATGGTTTCCACCTGCTCACATCTCTACAGTTGGAAAAGCCTTAGACTTTGAATTCCACGAGGATAACATTGGCTCTCTGTTCTCCATTCGCGGCCCACGCGATGCATCCGCTCTGCTCGACATCGAACGAGCACTCAACAAGCTCGAAAAAGTTGCGCTAAACCGGAGGAAACGGGTTGGGCGACCCCTAATTCTAATCATCAATAGCGTGCATCTGCTCAGGGATGATGAAGACGGCCGAGATCTCCTAGAGCTGATCCAGCAACGTGCTGAACAATGGGCTGCCTCCAATCTCGCTACCGTAGTCTTCAACAGTGACGACTACTGGGTTTATGAGCGGCTCAAGCAATATGCAACGAGGATGGAAGTGACGCCAATCGGCGACTTGCCGAAGGATCGGGCGATCCAAGCTTTACGCAACTACCGAATGAAATACTTCCAAGAGATGCCAGAAGAGTCTCTACTCGAGCAAGTCTACGATCAGATCGGGGGTCGATTGACCTTCTTGAACCGCGTCGCCAAATCTGAAAGCATGATGCACACGTGTCGTAAGATCTGCGATATGGAGAAAACCTGGTTTCTGAACCAGTGTTGGATCCTGGGACCGGAAATGGATGACGATGTTATGGATCAGCAGAAATATGCCGTAAGCGCTCCCAATTGCTAACAATTTGACAGTTTCTTAATTGGCTAACATTCTGCAGTCGGCAGCCATGGTCCTGGCCAAGGCTCTCGTCGACAAGGAAAGCGAGATGGAAACGATCTATGATGAACACAGAGGACATATTTTGCCAGAAATAACATTACATGAAGCACGGCAAATCATGACTCGAGCAGACTTCATCAAAAGCTATGATCACATCAATGTCTTCACAATCGACTCCCATGCTATGGTCCGCGCAGGTAAACTTCACCTAAATTTGTCATTTCACGATACAGTACTGATCGGTATCGACAGATTCCGTCCCTATGCAGAACGCTTTTAGGGAGATCTGCGGGAAGCCAGGATTCGAGAAGCATCTTGATGGCACTCTGGAGCGCATTGGCGACATTGAAAGCTTAGGTAGAACTCGGGAGCTGACTATCAAAGATCTCTGGAATGGGGGCAAATACAAGATCACGGCACGAAACGCAAAGGGAAATGTCGACAAAGATTTGTCTTTCGAAGTAGTGCCCGGAGAAAAGGAAGACAGTGACGATGATTAGTGCTAATATTCGCTCTGAGGTGTAGAGCATGTACGATAGGATGGGGAAGGATTGTTTATTCGGCGGTGGTCTGATTCTTGATACCCAAAACTAGAGTAAATATATAAATAATTTATGCTCCTCACTTGCCACCCTAGATTTAGTGATTGGAAGTTTGATAGCAGGTCACGTGACATAAACTAGGGTCCATGTTTGCCAAGACTGTTTTGATGACTTTCGCGACAACGACCTCATCAACACACCCCTCTCTTCCGCATATTACCCCTCCTCCCACAGATTTTGGATATCACCTTACACCATGAGATAACTTTATTAGAGATTACTCTAATATTACATATTGGACCCATGACAGTGAGTGCGATCCCGGCGCTTTCATCGATTGCGCATCACTGCTACCGTATAGTCGCACTCTCTACCGACATATACTTACTTAATAGCGCAGCTCAATATTGGGATACAATAAATATGAATACTCTACCTACACTCGATAATCAGATCCCATGGACTACCACACGTTGCAATCGATTATTACGCCCAATCGCTTCTCGCCTTGCCGTCTTGCGCAAGCACACGCTCGATCGGAGGTCACTACTATTGAAGAATTCCAATAGCGAACTTGATGGCCGAACGAAACCGATCGTACAAGCTGAAAATAGGGTAAACATATCCCAGGGGTCCAAGGATGTACGGCCACGCGGGTTTGACAAGGCCCAGGATCCAGATTGGATGCCAAAGCCTAAGCAGGTTGGAATCGCCAGACGCATGTACAAAGGGAAGGCCTCGAAACTAAAAGTGGTGGCGGAGTCTACCCCAGGCTGTGGTACATTGGCTCGCCCTGGAGATGTCTACCTGCCAACGCCATATATTGCTCGAAGTCTAAAAAAGCTGGAGGACAGTCCGCATATACAGCCTTCACCCTTGCAGCCCACCAGGAAAGCAAAGCTAAAGGTGATTAAACCCAAGGAGGACCTTCAAGTGTTGAAGAAGCAAATGACTGCGGATATGTGGAAACAGATTGATGGCCTTTACGATGGATTGTCAAACCTTCTCCAAGCTACCAAATCGGATACAGACAAGAGCCGAAAAGGAACCAGGTCGCTTTTTTCAATGTGTTTGCGGCAAGTACCTGCATATATTCGTCTAGAGGAACACTTCCTCGAGGAGGATGGCGATGATAACGACACGGATGTAGCCAACGAGATCTATTCCTACCTGGAGGACCATGGAGCAGTCGAAGACGGAATTGGTTGGAAACCACTCAGAGAGGTTGTAAAAGCCCATGCGGTATCACTGCTGCAGGAGGCCATTGAAGACAGGATATTGGTCCCGGGTGTCATTCTTGGGCTTTATCGGCTCTGCATGAATGCCTCTGCCTGGAACGAAGCAGAACAAATTCTGTCCAGCTATGTCCTTTCCCAAGGATTCATAGACCCTCCGAAAGACCTACATTATAATATTTTCGGCATGGACTACTCACCTTGCTGGTCGATGATCAACGAATTTGTCACGCGAACCCAACGATATCAATTCCTCTTCGAGCAACTAAGATTGGCGCTCTCGCATGACCTTTTGCCGGTGGAGTGGCTTGCGACCCGGGGTATGCATCCCGTGTGGACTAGAGTTGTCCGTGTGTTGTCCGACGAGCACCATCACACATATGCTAGCGCTTTTGGGCTCTTGGAGAGTGCAGTAATTGCTGGACTGGGGATGAACGATGCATACTTTCTCAACGCGGACGGTCTGGCAAGCTCAGACGACCAGTACTATGGAAGCGGAGCTTCGCCTAAGGCCGATATACGTGATGCGTTAAGCAATACGTTTTCGAGCTTGTTTACGCTGCTGTCGAGTATTGCATCGGTATCACACCAACGGTCGGAAGGTATCGACAAGGACACAGTCCGATCTATTGCCTGGGCTCTACTTGGAATCACGACATCAATAGTAGACAGAGTCAACATTGGTACAGAACATTACTCCGAAATCGACGCAATCTATACTCAGCGCGCGTTATATGCCATGGCAGCGCCATTTCTTCTCCTTATTGAGGGAATTACCCTGGGATCCGCCTCCATCGATATCAACATGGATAAGCACATCACTGTCCTCGACAGATTGTCCACTGCTATTTCTCGGAGCGATTCCAATGCCGAAACGGACATCGAAACTCTCCCACAATTAGTATGTTCCTCAGCTCGTTGCTTTGGCCGGGCTTCGCAGGATGACGGCTTTGATCATCTGCGAAGACTCGTCCGGTGCTTGGCCGATCCCCACCGGCAAATATCAACACAGTCCCAATGGTTCATGAAGAGGGTTGCGCTTGCAGCTTCAATGAAATTTGCAGTGGACACTAGGAAGAGCGCGCATGCAGCTTTTTCCAACGAGATTGAAAGGACCGTACAAAACACTGGACCTTTGCTTTTAGAACAAACCCCGGCAAGAAAACTTTTATCATCTTCGCCGACAGTACGGAAAGGGTTTCGCTGGGAGGAAGGTATATGCGAATGGGTTGCCTGTACGCCATTCGCAAGGCCACAGATCCAGCAAGTCATACGACCAGCTATGCAAAGTTCTACGTTCCCTCCAACGCCGACGGACTCGGAATCTGAGCCAGATACGCCGTTGTCTAATGGAAGTATTAATGCCATCGATACTACGCCCCTTTCTGCGGCCCCTACATTGCCGTCGCGCATGTCTCCCAGCGTTACGCCGTCACATGCTTATTCACCGAAGATATCATTAATAAGCGACATCGAGGCGAAAGGTGACGGCCCTCCAAGCCCTTCTAAGAAGAGGAATTATAGTCCAGACCTTCCGGTATCGAAGCGACGAAGAACAGCTTCTTCCGATCGAATCGAACCCATAGCTACAGAGTCGTCCTCTCCAGACTCATACCCTCGTACGAATCGCCTTGATTTAGGATCCCGTAGAACGAGTGATCACTCTCTCAATCGGAAGCGAAGGAGCTTGGGCGAGATAGCTGACATAGTCACCAAGTTGAAGACTGGGAAACTACTTGCGAAGCTCACTAACAAGGCAAATCGCAATGCTGAGCGGTTGCATCATTCTCGAGAACTGTCATCAGATCAAGACGATGGGCGAAGCAATAGCTACGTGCGCGCTGGTTGTCTAAAGTCAGCAGACAAGAGAGCGAAAACCCCCAGTCGTCCCGCCAGCAATATTACTCCATTCGAACGCCCCCTTAGGACAAGTACGGGCGATGTTGGAACATTTGAGACGGAAGATAGTGAGGAAGATGAGTTATCCTTCACCGAAACTCGGATATCCAACGCTGGTCATGGGGTGAAAAAAGCTGTACTTAGGAGGGGCCTCAGGTGCACCGTTTCAGCGCGAAGTGCTATGAAAAAAAGAGAGTTTAGAACCGGAAGAGGTGCTTGTTGGAGTGATAGCGAGGATGAGCTGAATTTTAGATAGTCAAGCTTCTTGGATAGTCGAGTGTTTTGGATGCTCGAGTGTGTTCTCACTGCCTCTCAAATCAAAGATCTTGATCATGACACTACCCACGTATCTGTAAGGATATCTACAAGGATATCTACTGCTTTGCGTAGAATTGTTTTAGCGTCTCACCACGGATTCGCGTGAACTCTTTCCTCACTGCTCGTAGAGTTAATTACTCGTGAATCTGGAGGTGTCGCCCTATAAGACCACCGCACTGCTCCTGTTGGGTCTGGTAAGCATCTGGCTCTGTTGCATCTCTGCATTCGCTGCAATTGGTTCTCGTCGCAAGTACTAATGCTCTCGTTGCCTAGATTACACGATCGTCTGATCTCAAATCTCTCTGCCTCACCTGCAAGCACCTTCAGGCTATCACGACGCCGCGACTATACCACACGATCAGTCTGGATGTGAGAGATCAACGGAAATATGGGGTGCTCATGAAAGCACTTTGTTCAGGGGGCGGCAGGAACTTATGTGCGACTCGAGAGCTTATATTACTAGATCTAAAGAGTCGCAATGAGGAATACTGTCGAACACCAACCCTAGCAGAGATGAACCCCTCCGTTCTCGACCGGGTGCCCTTTTCAGACAGTGAAGGCCAGATCGAACTTGTGATCGAAACTCTGGTGCGAACACTTCCCGACAATATTCTAGACAGTTTTCGGTCAGTAGTCTGGAAAAACTCATACGTTAGCAGAGATTTGACAGCGTCCTACAGGTTCTATTCGGATGATCGCACATTTAGGCTTAGTCAGCGATGTCGCGAGTTGATTGACCGCAAGCAATTGATGATCAAACACCTTCATATGCCAGTAAAGTTTTCTTACTCCTCGGAAGATCTTCTTCTTACATCGCTGTACTCAAGAGCGGTTGAGCAACCCTCTATACTCGAATCTCTCAACTTTGTATGCTCCGCTAACGGTTACGAACTCTACGCCAGCGTGCTCATGAAGTTCCCTTTTCCGAAGCTGAGACAGCTCTGCATCCAAGGCAGATTTAAATGCGACGTAGCGTCGTCCTTTTCATATTACATGCGACAGTATCATGTCGATTTTCGCGGTCTGATGCTCTAGCCTCCTTCACGAGTACACAATTAGCACATCTAGATCTACGCCATGTTGAACTTCACACCTTTGGCCCATTGCTATTACTTTTGATAGAGAAATCATCCTTGGAAAGCCTCACCATCAGAAACTGTACGGACTGGGACGTCTTCCTGACATGCCTCAGCGCGTCATCGAGTACCTGCCGACAGACGCTTCGACGCTTATGCGTTCATTACGACGATGACTATGAAGAGTATCCTGCCGACGGCAACTATGAGAGCGGATGGTCCGTTGTCGAGAGTCTCGTTTCTTCTATCTCGGGCCTCGAAGAGTTTTATTACTACCCGAGCGAGGATTATGACGATTTCACAGTAGACCAAATCATCAAGCATGGCAAAACGCTGAAAGCCCTGGGACTAAATCTTTCCTATAGCCAGATTGTAGAGGACGCATTCCTAGTCAAAATTGTTGAGAGCTGTCGAGAAATCGACCAGTTATCTCTAAGCTTCCCTCCGATTTTTATCGACTATGCAGTCGACAGGGCGCTTTGCCCATGGATGGTGAGTGAATCCCGATGACATCGCACTCAATTTTTAAAGCGCAGTCTGAGATACCTGGTTATCTGACCGTACCAGGACCATATCCAATCTCTACCCAAGCTCAGAATCTTACACATCTAGAACCTCTTGGAAATCGATGAACATGAGCCCCATAGGACTCGAAAGGAAGCAGAATCTATTTTGCAGGAGCTAGCGGATTTCATATTCTGGCGTTTCTATAAATCTAATCCCGAAGCCAAGCCCCAAGTGGTTGCTTTTGGGACCGAATCCATGTGTACAGATGTCGTAGACCACATATTCGTACCTAAGCTATACTTCGCGAGAGGGTTACGGACCGATATGTGGAGCTGCACCAAGGTTGCAGTAGGTACACCTACATCTCTTGAAAACCTGAGACACGCAGTACCGAATCTCAACGTTCTTGAGTTCGATCCCGAAATTTCTGAGAGCGGGCAATTTCCTAATTATCTATCGCTTTGAGCTATATAGTGCCTAGACAAAAGTATGTGCATCTCTCTTCGCCGCTGTCTGAAATGCGTCGGTGTATTATTCAAGCCAGAAGAGATGTAAAGTCCAGGCAGCACAGCCTGGGATGGGTGTCGTCGTAGCGCATACATACGATGGAACCAATGTGGAGGGAGTATGAGTCCAGGAGCAAGAAAAATACTGGGAGTTCTCTATTAGTCTGCATTACTCAGACTTTTCTTACCATGTCACAAGCTTTCCGTGTGTTCAATTGATTTTCTCGTTTCGCGAGAGGCGATATGCACTAGAGTGCATCATCCAATTCGACAAGCTCGAGACGTTGGCTTCGATATTCTCATCGTTGAGGCGATGATCCTCACCAAATGCTACGCAGGGTGATTTTCTAGCTCGTCTTGTATATTTTGATATTTACGTAGTGTATTGCTCCTAGTAGTGACTCCGAGTACAACATGTTCGGGTCCCAAAGCTTGCATGACGAAGTATTAGGGAGAATGTCATCTGAGCACTCTCAATCACCACCTCTGCCCTCGATATACTTACCTCTCCCCGTGACAACCCTTCCACCTACTAAATGACATCCTACAAACCTTTCCTCCTGCGAATCGTCCACCTAATCAATCTATCCACTTAAAGAAATCAAACCTTATTAACCCATTCTCTTAAAAAGCTCTAAACTAATTTACCAACTCCCTTAATAGACTTGACCAATTTTTAACCCATACTCTATACATTTTCAATCTTATTAAGAGTAATCCAAGGTCTGTTCTATGTTCCACGGTCTTGGCGACATTTTTAGCGTCGCACGTGTGTATCCAAACCTTCCTTTCGCAGTAATGGGCTGCAGGAGATCTGCCTCGCTTATCGAGATCCGCACTAGCGGCGGGACAAGGACCCACTACAACCACGCGAGGGGTCCATGGAACTGGAACGTGGGGTTCGATCGATCTCCTGACGTTGGGAGATGTTTCACACAGTGATGTACTTGTTTGTTGGATGCTTGAGTTCACCCTGTCTGGGATCTGACATCCTACCTGGATGCTTGATCACGCGGTAAAGCAATTCATACAGCGGTGATTCCCATTGTATCAAGAGGTGTGTGAAGTGTCATGCATATTCCTTAGGGTTTCCGCGAGACCCAGAAATCTGGACCAGATGTAAAATCTCAACGCGCCTAAGTCTAAGCTGACTCTCAAAGGGTCATGATTGACCGGTTGCGTGATGGAGCGATTCGTAACGACTAAGCAGAACTACCGTAAGCGCAAACTTCTAGCCTAGCACTGCAATTTAGAACTGGGTTGTCTGACAAGAACTATACTAAAACCACGATTTATGCAATTTGCAATCTAACGACACTACCTAATGCCTCGCTCCACTCCTATAGCGCACCATCCACGTTCCAGATTGCCCTAGTCAAATCAAATACCAAGAGAGAAAACTTTCGCAAAAGACTTGCACAATACGTCGCAGGACTGGTTGCCCTTCGTCCAAACAGTATGAGCAACTCTTCCCATGAGAGTCCCACACCGCTGATGGAGCAAGTCAAGCAAGCCGATGCATGTCTGGGCGCAGCTCCGGGCACCCAGGACATATCTGCTGGTTGTTCCCTGGTATGAATCCGCTATGGCGCCGAGCAAAGGGCTTACGCGATGGACAGTCGCGTGTATGGATCATAGTAGGGGCGGTATTGGGGGCGGTAAGGGTGTTGGGTGTCTGTTGATATCGAACATGTACGCTGAGCTTTCGCTTTCGTTATCCTTCCCTTGTTTCAGGGTCTGGCCACCGTTCGTGAACTGGTCATCGACCTATCAGGCGACGACCGGTTCTGGTTGGTTGGTGGACCCGTAAATCTCGAGAGATGTAGGCGGAGGCACGTGTCTCGTGGGAAAGCGTAGGCGATCACTCGTAATTGCTTCCTAAGGGTCCGACTTGACTGGCGAACGCAGTAGAAACGCTGTGGGAGTCGTCGTCGTCAAAGTTACCTAGTCCAGTGCGAAGCCCACGCACGCCAGCATATCCACCAGCTGCATTGTCGTTGCGTCCGCTAGCCTCCACGTACCGCTTGAGACGGTCTGACTGACTAAGAGACGTAGGCTTCTGCAGTTCATTCAGAGTAAGGCCGGCAAGGCTGACTCCTCCTTTGATGTCAGTGGTGGTGCTCTTAGTATCTGTGATGTCGCTCGCTGCAACCGATTCGCCCGCGACGCTACTGGCAACACCGTTACCCTTGGCTCGCTGCCCAGGACCACCTCGACCTCCCGCCAAAGTTGGCCATTGCTCTGCAAAACCGGAGAACATTGGAGGATAGTTGGATGAGACACCAACGCCACCAAGAGCAGAGGAATGGACAGACGAAACATCATCTGGGATATAGCCAAGAATGGACCCGTTGTCGTTGTACTCTTGCCGAGACGATTTGCCGGTAGCACTCGGACGTCCGGCCGTCATGTTGTTGGCATGCTGGAATGCCATCTGGTAGCGTTGTGGACCACGGTAGCTCTGCTTCGGACGGCTGAACTGGAGCAAGGATACCTGCAAGTTGGACAACGGACCCTCGACCAGGCAATTGCGCTCTTTGAAATGAAGCAGAAGGTAGTGCCACAAGGGATGCTTCGACAAAACCTTCGGGTTCCCGAGAATGACCAATCCATACTTGGCTCGAGTAAGCGCAACATTGAGACGACGTGGGTCACTCAAGAAACCGATGCCTTGATGATCGTTGGAACGGACGCAGGAAAGAACGATGAAGTCCTTCTCACGGCCCTGGAACGCGTCCACTGATGCCACTTCAATCTCTTTGTAGTTTTCCTTCTTGAAGCTACCGGTCGCCTGCATGGAGCTGACAACATAGCTGCGCTGGCCTTCGTAAGGGGTGATGATGCCAATGTCCTGAGGTTGAACTCCGGCCTTGAAGAACCTAGTCACGATCTTTTCCACGTTGGAGGCTTCAGTGCGGTTGAGATAGGATGTACCAGAAGCCGAAATTTCCTCGTTGCCCAAATTAGACCAGAACATCATGGGTGAATCCGCAACGGGCCAGGGGAAGTCGACATC